CCGGAAAGAAGTTGTCGGAGGAGAAGAAAATCTGGGATGGGAATGGGGATATCTACCCTGAGGGTCCTTACCTTTACAAAAAGGACGGCTGGTACTATCTTATGATTTCTGAAGGAGGTACGCACGAAAACCATATGATCAATGTCGCAAGGTCCAAAAACATCTGGGGTCCATATGAGTCGTTCAGTGGAAACCCAATCCTGACCGCGCGAGGTACAAGCGAATACATACGATATACTGGACATTGCGATGTATTTCAAGATCAAAAAGGTCAATGGTGGGGTGTCTGTTTGGGTGTCAGAAAGGCTGATGGGCGGTTTGTCATGGGCCGTGAAACCTTTCTGACTCCTGCTGCATGGCCTGAGGGCCAATGGCCCAGACTGAGCCAAGTAAAGCTGGATCCCAAGCTCCCAGACGGGAATGAGATGGTTCGACTCGAGGGAAATCGTGCCGTCGTTGCCGATCCTATGGTTGACTATCTTTACATCCGAGATGCGAACCTGCCGAAACACCAGTTCTCGGACGACGGCAACAAGATCACACTTACTTCTAGCACGGATGACATATCACAATGGCAGAAGCCGGTCACGTTTGTGGGAAAACGACAACGTCTACTGAGCGGCACGTCGGTCGTCACGATGTACAAGCTTGGAGATGATGCCAAACGGGATGTCAAAGCTGGATTGGTATGCTATAAGGACGAGCATCGCTATGCTCGGATCTTCTACGACTTTGCCGCATCTTCACTGGTCTTCGAAGCGGTCAACAACGCCAAATCTTTCGTACAGACATCAAAGCAGAGCTTTCAGCTGGGAGAATCAGTTTCCCTACGCATTGAATACACGGAGAAGACGTATCGCTTTTCATTTCGAGATGAGCAGTCTTCGGCGGGTTACACGTCCGTTGAGTCGCTGGATACACTGGACATGACCGGACCAGATTTTGTGGGACCGATCATCGGTGTGTTTGCGGTTGGTGCAGAACAAGACGCCCAGGTCCAGTTTAGCGGTCTTCAGGTTGATTAAGTATAATAGATATCAAAAAGACATCGTGCTTACGGACGTGTTTCCCCACCCCCTGCTCGGTGCTCGGCGACCTCCACAACCCCGAGTTATGCTTGTACATATGAGGACTAGGGTAATCAGGTGTCATTGCTGTGACGTCTGCCACTGCTTCAACGAACCTTTCACACATTTCATGACACTCCATCAATCACCTTCACCGCATCGACCAACAATTCCGATGGACAGACTAGCTGAGGAACGAGAAAAGCTTCAACACGGCACGGAGATTAGTCCCGTTGGTGAAAGGTCGACGAGTTTCCTAGGACTAGGTTGACCACCGGCAACCGTCCCTTTTGCCGCATACCTTACATTCTAAACAGATGCTGCACAGACCACATGCGCATAGGCCGGTGCTACAGAAACAGGCTGAGAGATTATTCGACCCCGGCTAATCTTATGCTGTGGTGATAGGCAAAAAGCCCCAGCTAAAAGGCCTGCGAGGCGGTGAAAGCAAAAGTACGGAGCCCCTATCCGTGCCGATCTGGCCTTGGTTCCGTCGCTTACACTCCAGTTGCTTTATCTGTCTTCAAAAGCTAGAAAGTCACCGAAGACTTTCCTGTTGTGTTATTAGCATGTGTATTAGCATGTGTATTAGCATGTGTATTAGCATGTGTATTAGCATGTGTATTCATTTTGCCTGAATCAATGGTGTACCTCCATTGAGTTCAATCCTGTGCCTTCGCGAAAGAAAACTTCGGCTGAGACATAAACCTCCACCGAAATGCATGTACGGTCTGTCTTTGCCAAGCCACTGGAGGACGCCAACTTCTCTGCGATGAGCCGCCTCAGACATGGCTGCATATAGAGAGGAAATTTAGGCAAAATACTCGGTTACCCTCTAGTCCATGTTACGCCGGCCATACCCCGGACGGTCACCCCACGGGCTCTCAATTGTGGACCCTGCTCAACCACCACTGGGGAAAGTGTATTCTATGCAGGTGAAGATATACATATAGGGCTTCACCTATTGACGAAATACCTCGACTCAGCATATTGTCATTGTCGCTTTACCAAGTTGTCCTTTACCAAGGTCTCGATTGAATTCTCTACCCACCATGGTTTCGGCTCGTCAGGCTCCTAAGCCTGTCGCACCCCCCAAGGGACAATTCTTCTTTGCTGGGCGGCTCTTTCCTCGCATTGCCTGGTGGAAGCACAAGGAAATGCGCCGACTCTATTTCTACACGCTGGTCCTGATCATCACAAACACGGCTAATGGGTTCGACGGATCAATGATGAACGGCTTGCAAACCCTGAGCTACTGGCGAGACTATTTTGACAACCCGCGAGGCTCAATCCTCGGTCTGTTCAACGCCTCAATGAGTCTCGGCTCTCTCATTGGTCTGTTTCCTGTCCCATATCTCATCGATGCCTATGGCAGGAAGGCTGGAATCATCTTAGGCTGCTGCATCATGTTGCTTGCAGTAGGGTTACAGGCTGGCGCGCAGAATTTTGGCATGTTCATTGCGGCTCGCTTGCTGCTTGGCTTCGGGGACACAATCGTTCTCGGAGCTGCCCCTCTTCTCATCGCAGAGATTTCCCACCCACAAGATCGCGCAGTCATGGTGACTTTGAGCGCTTCGTCTTACTTCTGGGGGGCCTTCATTGCCTCGTGGGTTACCTATGGAACCTTGCGAATTCAGGTAAGCAGCTTGACCTTCCAAAAATATGAAGTACCATCGGGATGACATTCATGTCAATCACAGAGCGAATGGGCCTGGCGACTTCCAAGCCTGCTACAGGGCATTTGTTCCTTGGTAATTCTCTGTGTGATCTGGTTCACACCGGAAAGCCCTCGATGGTTGATCAACAAAGATAGAGCGGATGAAGCCTTTCGCATCCTGGTAAAGTACCACTCGGATGGGAACCCACGAGACGAGTTTGTTCTCCTCGAATTCAGCGAGATCTCCACCGCAATATCGCTGGACAAGCAACTCAACAAGAACTCATGGGTCGACCTTCTGCGCACCAAGGGGAACCGCAAACGAATAAGCATTATCACGGCCATAGCATTCTTTTCGCAATGGTCTGGCAACGGGCTCATCTCGTACTATCTCTACCAGGTCATGAATAACATCGGCATCACGAATGCAAATACTCAGCTGGGCATCAACGCTGGCTTGAAATCATGGGATCTGGTTTTGAATCTGGTCTTTTCTCTCTTTATCGACAAGCTTGGAAGGCGTCCTATCTATCTAACCTCAACGATCGGCACCTTCTTCGCATTTACCACATGGACAATAATCTCTGCAAGATACGCCATCCACCCGGCAGCAGGGCTTGGTTACGGTTTCGTTGTCATGATCTTCGTCTATGGTTTCTTTTATGATGTCAAGTAAGTGATAAGAGTTGTCCTCATCTTTGAAGACCTGGACACAAGCTGATCTGAATCATCCTGAAGATCTGGTCTTCTGGCAGCTTACACAACCGAAATCCTCCCCTACGGCCTACGCGCGAAAGGCTATACCTGGTTGAACTTCTGTGTCTCTGCGTCTCTTTTCTTCAACCAATACGTCAACGCCGTTGCACTCGACGCAATCGCTTGGAAGTATTACCTGGTTTACGTCGTGTTCCTCGGCTTCGAAATTGTCGTCATCTACTTCTTCATCGTCGAGACACGATATACACCATTGGAAGAGGTCGGCAAGTTCTTTGACGGCGATGAGGCAGCCGACGTAGCGGATCTCGCAAATACCAACGTCGAAGAAATGAAGGCTATGGGCAAAGCAGGCGTAGTTGCGCAGGAGATTGAGGTGGCTTAGAGAATCACAAACAGTAGAGACGAAATGCAAGCAGGGCCCAAGACAAGTTCGCTGATTGGGTGACCAACGAGAAAGTAGGCAGTCTGATGATCAGGTCTCGGCATAGATGAGCATAACCGATGGGCGGAAAGGAGAACTAAACAGGAGAGATATCAAGTCCTACGGTTTACTGGCCATTTCTATCCGTATTGGCGAAACCATGCAAGTCTAAGGCTCATTCGTTGTACTAGGGCGTATGTTATCAAGACCTTTCTTCATATATAGATTTCGATAGCATTCCTGGCGCATAGACCGCAGTGTTTATTGATTCTGCAGCAGTTGGTCGAGTTCAAGGCTCACCTCTCTTATTCCAGGCGTGATTACATCTCAACGCCGGAGAGTTGCAGAATTTCCACTGTTAGGATGGTCCTGAGAACTGCAGTAAGTTCCAAGTCTGGCATACCTGTTTGGGAGAATCAAGACCTGCGTCCTCTTGGCCCACTCTGTATGTATGTGATCTTCTCATTGCATAGCCAGGAGGATTTCGGGTCGACTTCGACTAACCTCCTGTTCGTAAAGACCATGTGCAGGATTTAAAGCCCTATGATTGAATGCTTGCACGCCTCGAGGAACTCTTCGAACCGAGCGATGTCCTCGGCCTGCACGATCGCTGCTGGAAGGGTCGTTCAGGGGCGGGCATCCGGACAACAGAGATATTTGTCGTGGCTATCGTCCGTAGCAAAGGTTTCTATGGTTGGCAAATACAAACACGAGTAATTCCTAGATTCATCGATTTTGCTGATGGTCGGCCCCGAGAGCGGAGTCTCCCAACAAGACTCCCTCAAGACACCATTCATATTCATATGACAATTACTTCGCATTATGTACACTCAGTTTCGACTATGACACCCGCGCATAGATCCCTTTTGGACAGTCTGACTGGTTCCTTTGGCCGGTGGGCCTGCCAGATCTAGCACAGCAAACTCCATTATGGGCCATGGCAAAATAAATCTTATCTGGAAAGTGGTCGCCGGGCAGCAGCCTGACTTGATGGTCTGAGGACTGTGCCGAATTTTAGATGCCAGCATATGTCCATATAAGCTATGCTGCTGGGAGCAACATCGAATAATACTGCAAGGCCTGCTCCAGGTCTGGAGTAGCCCGCATCTTGACCATCGAGCACGCCATTCAGGGCAGGATGGCGAATCTGGAGTCACCCTATGTGATAGGATCCTTTGTCCAACTACTCAATGCCGACAACATCAACTTCGAAAGTACTGGAAGGGATTCACATACTGACCTTTCGAACAAAATATCGCGCTTGGCTAAGATTCTTGCTCAACCGGGATGGGTACAACTTCAATTCAGTCCGTTGCCATTATCGGCGCTGGTGCAGCAGGTAATACCACATGCTTCCTGGTCTCCTGCCACTTTATGTCCCCGCTAGAAATCTGCTCATATTGAAGAAGGAGCCGCGGCCGCCGCGGCCTTTGCAGCGGAGAAATGCTTCAGTCGCATCCGAGTGTTCGAAAGGCGAGAAGCGCCCGGGGGAACATGGTAGGAATGAAACGATCCAACCTCGTCGTCGTGAGCCTTACAGATGACAGAATCAACTTCTAGGATATACGATCCTGACCCAGGACCCGGCCTCAATCTTTCGCCTGGTGGCATCCCGCCGCTGATCGACCCTCCCTTAGAAATTCCCGATGCACTTCCAAGAGCGACCTCTCCCAATTCCCAAGAACGGTATGACAGAACGCCAATATATGACAGCCTGACGTAAGTGTAGTCAGCCTTCAGTTTTACCCAAGGATAATTCCAAACAGGGCCATGATAGGACCAATGTTCCAGATATTGCGATGTCATTCTCAGACAACAGGTTCCCATATGGCCCCTTTCCACCTCACTGGGTACCAAGGCAATACATCGCGAACTATTTCTCACTTCACCGAACAGACTCATTTCTTGTTTTGAACACTACGGTGGAAGATCTGTCCAGATTGTCAGGAAAGGAAGGGTGGAAGCTCACACTTCGGCGAAGAGATTCGGTCCGGCACGTGGATGTCTGGTGGGAAGAAGAGTTCGACGCCGTGGTCATTGCAAATGGGCACTATTCCGTACCATACGTAAGTCTGTCTCAGTCGTCACGAAGGAAGGACATTTACAACAGGTCTGTACTTTACGTTTCCTGACTTTCATCTGTTCTCAAGGTCCCACGAGTGGACGGTCTTGACAAATATATCCGGTTGTTCCCAGAAAAGGTAATGCACTCCAAATCTTACCGCAATCCACAGGCCCATCAGGGCAAAAGAGTCCTCGTCATCGGCAACTCTGCATCTGGCCATGACATCACGGCAGCGCTTGTCGAATCAGCACAGCTCCCCGTCTATCAGTCTCGAAGGTCGCCTTCTCGGTGGGACGGTGACAAGCCACCCTCAGGGATTGAATGGAAACCCATTGTGAGCGAGTATCTGCCAACAGGAGACATCGTATTCGAGGATGGATCGGTTCTCTCCGACATTGACGCTGTCATCTACTGCACAGGTTACAAGGCCTCTTTTCCCTTTTGGAACGTCCAAGCCAATGGTGGGCCCCTCTGGGACTATGCGGAGAATCGTCTCGTCGGTAGCTACTGGCACACATTCCTCCGAGATTTTCCAACGGTGGGCATTGTCGGGGTCCCTCGCGTTCTCACGTTCCGCTCCTTCGAGTACCAGGCCATCGCACTCGCGCGGATATTCGCGGGCAGGAGTGCCCTCCCGCTCCCGCCACGGGAGGCACAGGAGAGATGGGAGCGGGAGAGGTGGAAACTTGTCAGCCGGGAGGGACGAAAGTTTCATGATATCCCCTGGGATAACGGGGAGACCATGGACTGGCTCCGGGGCCTCTTCGACCTGGCCGGTCTACCCTTGCTCGAGGACCGTGGGAGGTGCCCACCCGTGCTTGGGGATGAGACGAGATGGGCCATCGAGCATCTGAAGAAGTATCCCGAACCTGGCAACGAGAGCCGAGATGAGGAGGAGGGCTGGACGGTACTTGGTGGAGGCGCGGGACTTGATAGTCTGCACTTCATATGACGATCCACACACTCGAAGGAGATGTACCCTCGCGGCCTTGTCTAGTCAGCCGGTCGACAAGGCTTTTGAATAGCGGGAAGCGTGTCGTAAATGGTTAGACTTTTTTTTTCCATCGACAACAAGCTCACCTTCTTGTGAAAATCACTGCCCGCGAGAGTCAGCAGAGATGAGTCTCTGTTTCACATCTGGTCATTTTGGCAGTATTATATGCGTCTTCTCGTGGATGGCGGCGAAGAAGACAGCATATTCACCGCGCAAAAAGGGGGTTTGGTCTTGCTGCCGGAGCGGAAAAAATATAACCCGTAGTCGGCCACTGACTGCAAATTCACCAACGAGAAAAAAAGGCAATGCCACTTAAGCTGGGAATTTGTCCATCTATCGTCTCACCACGAGAGAAAATTCTCACCTCAGCTTACTACAGTCAAAAGCAAAAACAAAAATGAAGAAGAAGAAATGTTCAGGTCCTACCCGGCTGGTTGAGAGTCAGTATGGCTGAAGGCATTATCGTGGAGCAGGCTGTGAGACTCACGTTCGAACCGGGGTTGCCGGAATGTTTCAACAACGACGAATGAATATTCGACGTGAAGTCAAAATCCGGAGTGATCACCACTACACTATAGAACCCGTGTGAAATCAGGATGATTTTCTTGCGAATTTTGGGCATTCAAAAATATAAATGTCACATAATAGTGGGGCATCACGGTGCCCGGAGAAAACCGTCTGCCGAGCAAATTGCCCCAACTACGAGGGGCATGTGGGACGCTCGGGGCCCTTTTCTTAGTGTCGCTTGCCACACACCACAGTAGAGGATCATGACGCTATAAGTGTCAATCGTCCAACACATAGTTACACGTAATCCATTATAGTGAAAACGCCTCATAATAAAGCAGCACTTACCTTTTAGACTATTATCAATAGTGGCCTACGAGAAAATCCTACTAGAATGGTGCTAACGCTGGAAAGGGCATTCAAAATATAATAGTCTAAACTTCGTGACTTCAAGCGACGAATATACTGGGGGGGGAAGGACCGCGATTCCCCGGAGGGAATGTCTGCCCACTAGAGCTGCCTCGATACAGATAAGAAAAACAAAAGACTTGGTTCTCATTAAAGGCTTTATTATACTGGTTCTTTCGGACGGGCATCGAGCTCTTTATCAACCGGTGTGTCATCTTGGACCCGCAAGTAACACCCCAGAGTCTCCAGCAGGTATCTCTCTCGGTACCGTAACTGTACTGGACCCCTTTCCCTGACATGCATCTTCGCGATTGCCAACAACGAGGGCAAATGCTTTTGGTCCAGATCCAGAAATGTCTGCTCGCAGATTGTCAAGTCTCCCTCTGACGCTTCCAGAAGAGCTGCAGATAGCGGCCGCTCCCGCATGGCACGGACGCAGAAGCTTTCGAAAATATCAATGGAAATCATGAACTGGATGACCGAGACGATCGATGTAGGGTCATGAGACTCGCCACCTTTGGCAACATTTGAAGGTTCCCGTTTTCCCAGGTAGTCGCTCATAACGGCGGCGTATTCAAGCTCCGTGATTAGTGCCCGTTGGTCGATTGGGGCAATTTTGGCAGCTGTAGGTCGTTCATACCCGATTTGGTGGCGCCACATCCAGTTACAGTAGATGTTGGAGATAATGCAGGGAACCAGAATGATATAACCCCACCACATGGTGGCGGTAATGAGACCTCCAGCTCCCGCAGCAAGACCGGTGACCGCAAGCACCACTGCGTGCGTCTGCACTTTGCTGGTGCGGCGCCGCAGCAAACTTTTGGCGAAGTCCGACTCCAATCTGGCAAGCCCCGCGGAGCGATGTCGATATGCTCGAATTGAAACGTAGGTAGACCACCCTGCATTGATCAGGCCGTAGAGTGCACCTGCGGCGTTGCCAATGTAGCCTGATAGCAGGTTGCTGGCAGCGAACACGGAGGGGTTCGCTCCACCGATAGCCATATAGGTTCCGACACTGACCAGCAGGGCACCAAAACCCAGGAGCACATCCACGAAAAGCCGATCCAGCAGCTCAGTGCCACTTTCACGGAAGTTGACTCCTAAGATGGCGTCCACGCTCCGGAGGCAGGCCTTGTTGTCGCGGCATCGCGCTCTTTCTCGCTTCAGGTACGATCTTTCCTCCCTCAGCACCCGTATGTTGCGCCAGCTGAGCGTGACATCCCGAAAAGCAAACAGCGAGGTCACCAGGGCCAGCGTCGCGCCGAGGGCCATGAGGACGGCGACCCATTTCTTCACGGGGACTTGGTTCCAGACATTGGCGGCAAAATCGCCTGCATTTCCCAGCTCGAGAAATCCAACTCCGGCAAGCAAGCTGTTTCTCAAACGACCCGGCTGTAATGGCCTATAGTGGCCTCGTCGTTCTGACAAGGTAACCCAATCTGACGCCGGAAGGAATTTCTCTGTGCAGCTGCATGCTTGGTGCTTCCCCTCCTCTTGTGTGGTGCCCTCGGGGGTTTTGATCCGGGTTTCCTCGACTTCGAAGTTCCTTGCCGCATCCTCAGTAGCCATCAAATTGGTGAGTGCCGCCGATTACGCGTCCTCTCCGTCGACCGCCTTGAACTGAGGATTGTGAGTGCCAGGTTGATTGAATGGGCTTTGACGGGTTGACAACTCTGGAGTTGTGCTCCTGGAGCTCAGTGCCGACATTGGAAATCTGAATGGTTTTGAGGTAATTCACACTGTCCGTGAGTTAAAAAGAGGTCATGAGCAAGGTCTAATAATAGTTTTGGCCATATACGTATTGACCCGCTCAGAGTGGCAACGTTGCACCGATCCGAGTTCGCCGCTGCCGGCGATCCACCCGCTGGTGGAGGGTGTTTTGCACATGCTTGGACTTACCTGGATAGTACCAAAGCTCAGCTGAATAGACTGGATTTGAGTTTGGTGCTGAACCATGATCTTTGTTCCAGAACCTTGGCATCTATATTTGACTCCCCTTGATCTCACAGCAGATATCACTCCTCTTGTTCGCTAGGGGCCAAGAGCTGGACGAGCCGAGGAATGACGGCGGATGCCCTTGGAGGGAGGCACGGAGATATGGAGTTATGCTGATCCGGATCCCTCCGCTGCGCCATCTTATCTGATTTAATTCAACTACTTTACCACCTCGAAGATCGTAATCTATACACTGTCCGCGGCGCGAGTAGCGCAGGTAATAAGGCCGTGGTCTGGTCTCCTGCTCTGCAGACATCTTTATTTTTTGTTCTCAGTTTCCTAGACGATATCGCTGTCTACAGAAACGAAGTGCTACCCTGTCATCACCGGTAAGTACTCACTCAATATGACAGAGAGGCGTCCTCTCCCAGAAGACAACACGCCGAGGCCTTTTCGTCCCCCATCGGGACGAGTGGACAGCGCGGTTAATATTCATCTTGATACACGATCGGTTTTATTTATTTGTTGAGATTCTTCATGTGGATGCACCGACCCACCGAACTTGCATCAGGAACATTTGAGTCGGTGAGACTGTTTTGGATCTCGTTTCTTTTCTCGACAACTGCCAGAACATGTTACATCATTCCAGCACTCCCTCAGATAGGGAGACACTCGCTTTGGTGTCCGTATTGGCCCAGCAGCTTGCGTTAGGAGATGCACGAGATGAGCTCCATTGGGATAGACTGCATATGATTGACTTTATGAGCCGTACCATATCGTGTGTTTCGCTGGATCAAAATGGACAGGCGCTCTCCCTTGCACTTGAGGTTAACCAGCCCGTGTGAGTAAAATTACTTACACTCGGAAATGCACTTGTGTGACGTCTGGAGGTGACAATTATTACTGATGCTCAGAGGAGAAAGGTCAAGTCCACCCACTATCCAAAAGACTGCCGAAGTTGCCCATCCGACAACCTCACTCTACCTTCCTCTTGCAGAAATCGCACAGAAATCGCAGTTGCGAGATCTCCATTCTTACTAGATTTGTATCCTTTAAATACCATGATTTACAGACAACTTTCCTCTCGACCTTTTACAATTTCAGATTCACTACATCCCATTTCTCAATCTACGAAGATCTTTTTTTGCCATATTCCATTTACACAGTCCGAGAATGAGTGATGACATGACCCATCAGAGTCGAGAAGGGTGGTCCTGGACTGGAGAGAGCGGTCTGAAAAGCGGCCTCCCCAGTGTGGCCGTTGTCAAGCCTGAAACGAATGTGCAAAACAGAGACAAGGTCTTTGACGTGGCCATCATTGGTGCTGGCTATGCCGGACTCACCGCTGCTCGGGACCTTTCCACGTCTGGACACAGCACTCTGCTTTTGGAAGCTAGAGACCGCATTGGTGGGCGCACGTGGACGTCGATGATTGACGGTACTCAATACGAGCTTGGTGGTCAATATGTCCACTGGGGACAGCCTCACCTATGGAGGGAGTTATCTCGTTACTCAATGCAGAAAGAGGTTGATCCATGTGTGGATCCATCAAAGGGACTCAATTCTTTTACATTGGTCAATAAAGATGGTTCCAAGTCCATGAGCCGTGAAGAGCAAGTATGTCACAAGAGCCGGAAAGTGATGTGCGATCGCTGAGTGCTAACTTGTTCTTCGTTAGGCAGCAATTTTGGACTCAGCCATTCAGAAATTCATCAATGTCGATGGTAACTTTGGCCGAATGGTCATGCCGTTTCCGCATGATCCCACCATTGTTCCTGACGCCGTCAATTTGGATGCAATGTCCATTAAAGATCGCTTTGACCAAATCAAGGCCGACTTAGATCCACTCGAACAGACCATTCTGGAAGGATTGCTCATGACTCTGACGGGGGGGAAGCCTGAGAGCTCTGGGTTCTATGAGATCGTGCGACTCTGGGCTTTGTGCTCTTACTCGCTCGACGGTCTCATCGGGATGTGTGCGGCTTTCAAGCTTCGTCATGGGCAATCTGCCTTTGCCCGGCGATTCTTTCGAGAGGCGCTGGACACAGGAGGTTTGTCCTATGCATTCAACTGCACAGTCACCTCGGTCAAGGATGACGGAAGCAAGGTGAAGATCGGTTGTACGGAAGGCTTGCAATTTCAAGCCCGAAGACTGATATGCACCGTCCCTCTCAACGTTCTGTCCAGCATCGCTTTCAACCCACCAGTTCAGCGACTGGATAATGAGACCCTCTCTGCAATCAATGGCAATCGAAGCACTAAATTGCACATCGTGGTCTCTTCCGATAGCCTGAGCTCCTGGGATGGGCTGACCTACCCCGACAACAAGCTTATCCATGCAGCAGGAGAGAGCACAACACCATTAGGAGACAGTCATGTCGTGTGCTTTGGAGCTGCATACAATCATCTTGATCCCGAGGACAACGTGGACGAAACTTTGGCCGCGGTGAGGATGTTCCATGAGGATATCAAGGTAAAGAGCATGGTATTTCATGATTGGTGCAAGGACGATTACTCCCGCGGTGGGTGGTGTTCTTTCAACGCCACGATGTCCACCAAATATCTCGACACGCTACAAGGAATGTCGAATGGGAGGGTCATCCTTGCCAGTTCTGACTGGGCATCTGGTTGGCGAGGGTTCATCGACGGGGCAATCGAAGAAGGGACTCGTGCTGCCTTTGTTGTGAAGAATGTGCTGGCGAATGAGACAAGAGTCAACGAGTAGCTTACGCCCGTAGTCCGTCCTCCTTGGTCTAGCCCTCACTCTACCTTCCTTTTATGGCGAACCCTGCTTCCCCGCTTCTGGAAAACAACTTTCTCTTGACGCCAAGTTGCTCACATATACATGTGAGCGCATTCGAGCAAATGGGATAATCTCGTCGATGCCTCTGTTACGCCATGGGAGTCCGCAAAGGCTGCTATAACTGCAATAAGCGGCGAATAATCTGTGACGAGACAGAACCCCATTGTGCGAAGTGCACCAAAAAGGGACTCGATTGCTCTGGCATTGGTATTCGATACCGCTTCAACGATGGTATCGCTTCCCGCGGTAAATTGAGAGGCCTATCCATCCCAGTAGGCCAGTCTTCAAGTTCGAGATCGAATGCCGCCAAGCCGCTGTCAGTTGGAGGCAATCGTTCCGCTGCCATCACGAATCTTCAGGCGAAACCTCCGGTGGCGAATACGGTAACCAGGCTATCGTTTTCTTACTCGTTAGATTCATTCGAGAGTAACGAAGAGACGCCTGAGTATGCTTCCAACATTTATCCCTGCTTGCAGCCCATTAGTGGTCAATCGAGGTTTTTGCTGAACCATTGTATGCTTTCCGATCCCTTTGGTGCCCGAAGAAGAGTTACTCCGCTAACTGTAGAGCCCAGTCTCGGAAAATATTGCCCGAGGCATGGTGATTCTTGACGGACAGTACAACGGGTATCGGAACGTAATCATACCACTTGCCGTCACCGAACCACTCGTGGAAAGCGCAGTTTCCTCGGTTGCTGCTTCTCATCTTTGGCGGGGGAATGAAAAACTGCGCACGGCGGCAGATCGCGATCGCGTAAGAGTGATTCAATCACTGAAGAAGGCGTCTTTGAATCCTCGGGCCGGTGCAGTATTCAGTGTCTCCAACTGGGCCATCTTGCTTGTTCTTCTTGTCGGCGAGCTGATCACTGGACGCGATGATTACATTTATCTTCTCCGACTATTACGATCTATCCAATCTTATGGTGTCTATGATGCTAGCAGAGAAACACTTCAGTTCTTTCACACCCAGACAGATATGTGAGTTTATGTCGATTTCCGCCGCACAACACATTACTGACGTGAATTCAGACTCATGCTTTTGGCTCAGCCATTCTTGGACTTGTCCTCCGATTTCCCTGCAATGAATTCCGAGGCGGCTCTGGAGACACAGCTCAGATCGATATGTGCATCACTACAGCACGTGTCAGACTCACAAGATGTCTATATCACCAGTACTGTCATCGAAGCTGTCCGGCGTAGCTACCAAATCTATTTGAATCGTGCATTTCTCGGCGGCAAAAGCGATTCAATGGCTCTGGACTACCTCCAACATCTTGTCTCGCCCATATCACCAAATGTACCTGGTGGCCACGCACTGGTCTGGGTGTACTTTATCGCTGCGGCGGAGAGCGAGCTCCCAGAGCACAGGGCCTTTTTTACAGGGAGGCTCAATGATATATATGTTGCGACAGGGTGTGAGAATATCACAGCTGGTCTTTCAATCCTTGAACAGATGTGGGACAGTCAGACAGGCTCAGGGTGGCCGTGGGCCCTGCGCACGAATCCCTCGACCTTCATCATGTAACGTGGTCGACATCTCAGTAATGGTTCATGCCAATCTATTATGATTGGAATATAATATCCATAACAATCTGGCAGTTACATTCACAAATGACTCGCTTTGCGCACGGTTTGAAGCTCGTTTTTAACTGTCATGGCAGCCTCTGTGCCAGACTGGATCGCGCCATCAATAAAACTTCGCCATGCACCGCCCGCCCAATCTGAGTTTGAGAACAGAACAGGGCCGTGTCTCTTGCGCAATGCGTCCAGATATTTGACTTCTGCGCCTGGTCGGTACCAGGCCCTGGAGTTGATTAGTTAGCCATATATTGGTGAGGACTATAGTCATGTACTCACCAAGCGCCCTCGGCAAACTCATCACTGGACCAGTTATGGGACACCTAAGTAGAGCCGGTTAGAATGCATTAGGATGTGTATCGAAGCCTCCACTTACCAATCGCTGGACGTCCATTGGTGCGAATTTCTCAAGCGCCTTCAATGCTCCATCAATGTCCTCTTCAGCATGAAGATGATTTTCGTGACATCCAAAGAAAACACAATGCGTGGTCCCTGCAGGTGTCGTCCCGTCCGCCGCCCCAAAAAGAAGCTTGTTGTCTGGATAGGTGGCTCCACTCCAAGATCGCATTCCAGGATCATTGATTTCCGCATGCAGTTTAACAATTTGGTTGACGTGCTTGTGGTTGATTGCATCTCGTTTTTCCGGTGGCAGCGGTGGGTTGAATTCGACCTTGTGCAAAACATTCAGCGGCACCGTGCAAATGACTCTTTTCGCCAGAAATTCACGGCCGTTCCGAGCGTGAATGTGAACAGCATCTGGCAAAGAGGAGTCGATGAACGACACTGTGGTATTGAAAGTGTAAGACAACTTTCCCGACCCCAAGGCTTCTCGGAAAAATCGCAGCGCAAAGGCAGACTGGCCACACTTCAGCTTCAGAACAATGACCGTCTCCATGAAATTCTTATAGTCGTGTCCGCTTGCGGCCCACCAGCGCAGAAAATCCAAAAATGCCGAGTTTTCACGCGTCCCGCCACTGCATACGAGGGTGATTGCTGTAATGGCATTTCGCTCGTCGTCTGACAGGTCGTTCTTGATTTGATCGAGGCGATCTGCAATGGACATGTTTGCATACTGAAGGACGTCGGTGTTCCAATATTGGTTGAAGGGAAATGGCATCACACCTTTCCCGAGGAGGCCGTCGACGTTCACAAACTTTTCAATCGCTCGGGAGAAGAGTTTCATCTGGATCTGTCTTTAGCAACAGAGAAACCTAGAAACACGACAAGGTGTTTGCTCACCTCTTCTTCATGGCTCATCTGCCTCGAGCCATGCTCAGTGACAAAGGTGAAGTAGTTTTTCTCTTTCGTGTAGTCAGGGGAAAACACCAATTCATTTTCCATCTCGTACCGCGAGAGCTCTCGGTAGACGTGTGGCTGGAACCAATGAACCCACGTGCCCCCCAACTCGAACTGGTAGCCGTCGATGGCGGACGTCCATGCTCTTCCCCCCAGTCGATCTCGACCTTCCACGAGGAGGACGCGCAGACCTGATCGACAGTCAGTTTCCAGTTGCATGTCTTTATATGGCCACGCTTTTGTTGGATCACCAACCAGCAGTAGTCAGATCTCTAGCAGCTGTCAGGCCAGTATATCCGGTACCGATTATCACCACGTCGAAGATGTCGCGGGCGTCTCGAATCATCTCCTCTGGTTCTATCACCGCGTGAGACGGAAGCCCAGGTTGTACTCCTTGGGTTGGAGTCCATTGCCAGCCATCTCGTGATCTAGACATCCTTGGAGGTGAGAGCGAACCTGAGAGCAAGAAATGTCGTTACGTAGAGTCCGGACAACAGTAAGCGTTAGTTTTGTGATTGATCAAATGTGTCCTCTTTGCACGATGACATTCTTATTATATCTTCTTCCAACGTTGACACGAAAATGCCGTGGGGTTCGAATTGGACTAGTGCAAGGGCCATAGACCTGGCAACCTACCTTGGAAAACAAGGCCCAAGACCTATCCAAACGCCGTTATCTAAGCGGCCTGCAACAGCAGTAAGGGCAGGATGTTAGCAATACTCTCAAGCGCATCGGAGTAGTCCCAGACAGGGGCAACCTCCCGCTCCAAAAGTCCTTGAACCAGATTTTTTGGGCGGCAGAGGGCTCGGAACTCAAACGACAACGGTATGCAAGCTTGTTCTTCGTAACTCTGAAACTGGCAAGTCAGAGCCATTACCCAGCACCGCTCGACGCCAAACATTGACGAACAAAGATGGCGTTGACATTAAACGAGGAAAAGAACAGGCAGGAGGGACGGTAGAACCTAGGTCAGTACGTGAGTTCTTGCTTTATCTTATCTAAACGCGCTGTGAAACTTTGGCGTCAGAATGGTTGGGACTTGTCGTCTTCCGAGGCAACTCCCTCCGCCGTCTGGCTTCATAGTCATTACACAAGAATTACCAATAGAGTGTTTCTCCCCTCTCTTCTGTCCATCAGCACTTCAACTCTTCGCTAGCAGGAAACTCTATTGGGGCAGCCAATGTTGTTGAAGATGCCTCCGAAGTCCTGTTCTCTTCCTCAATCCGCAGGCCCACGACGTCCGGTATGGTTGACACTTCGATACCCTAAAACCCACAAGGAGAGTTAACGCGATGCTCGTCTTTTGAGACCCTCCTTAGATTCTTATTCTTATCTAATCGCGTGTCCCCGAAAGGCCCCCGAGTCGTTTGAAATTCTCTGTCTCTGTCCCTGACTCCCAAAAATATGCGTTCTGCGGGCGCCGCGTTCCCGAGACGTCCTCGCCAACGGTACTACCGCTCGAAGACTGGCTGCCTGACTTGCAGGCGACGACGGAAGAGATGTGACGAAGAAGCAAAACCGTGCACCTCTTGCGTACGCAATGGCCTAGACTGTACGTGGCCAGAATCACAGCCCAGACAGGTCCGACAAGAATCTCCATCTAACGTGTCAATGCACGGGAAACTGACCAGCTGGAAGCCCAGTAACTCAGAGTCTGTCGTCTCCAAGAGACAGTCCTGTCCCAGCCCGCCTTTATCCTATCTTGCTTCCTCCGCTTCCGCTCCTTCGTCCAGAAACTCCAGTATTGTGATCAGTTGGAGTCCGAGCACCATCGACACGGGTCTGTTGCAAACAGTCTCGACGGCCAAGGATTCTCAACTGCTCCTACAATACTATCTCGAGGATGGCGCCGGGAAGCTCTCGCCAAGAACGATAGAATCAAATCCATTCATTACCCATGTTCTCCCCCGTGCTGTCTGTGACGAGACGCTCATGAGCGCGGTCCTTGCTCTAGGAGGTGCTTTTCTCGAGGTCAAATATGACCGATCGAATTCGGTCCTGCACACTGCGTGGGAGCACTATTCAAAAGTTCTCTACGATCTACGCCACATTATTCAGAGCCTAGCCTCGCACACTGTTGAACAATCTGTTCGTGTCTTACTCATCTTAATCATCCTCGCTCATATCGAGGTCAGTGTCTCAACTCGAATAATCTCTACGGTGGAAGCCGGCTGATGAGGTTCCTTTTAGGCAATATCTGGAAAGACATGCGGCGCAATATTCTCGCATTTGCGTCCAAGCCGGCAGCTGATGCTTGACCTGCTAGCGAATGGCAAACACAACGACATGATCCGTGGTAAAGGAGTCGAGAGCTTCATACTTGAACATTACGCCTACCTGGCTCTTATAGCCCATATTACCCCCTACGCCCTCGACCAAGCGAGGACGATCCCTCTTGATCCGGATCTGTTGTCACTAGACTCCATCCACGAGTACGACAACTTTGGCACCATCCTGAGTTGCGGCGTGTCACTTTTCGAGAAGATTCCTTTGGTATCAGTGCTCGCCAGAAGACGGTTGTGTGAGGAAGAACAGACAGGCGGCTGCTCTTGGGAAACTTTCTCGACATATCAAAGCCTACTGGAGGATATTCTCAATTGGACATCAGGCCCTCCCGGCTCGCAGATGAAAGAGTATGAGACTGCGCAAAGATTGGCTGGCGAAGTATACCGACATGCTCTGTTGATTTATCTCAAGGTGTCCATGTGCGGCGCAGTCGTGAGCAACAGCCCGGAAGTCTTAGTCGAGATCCAAGAGCTTATCGATGCAGTTTGGGATCTATATGCAGCAGTCGTGGATTCACCTTTCGGGACTGCTATGCTGTGGCCAACAGTCATCATAGGGTCATGTCTGACACGGGAAACTCAACGTGAGAGACTCCGAGCCGTTGCAACTTGTCCGAGATGGCATATGAGAGTCACCGAGGCTTGCATCAACATGCTAAAGCTACTCTGGACGGATCCGGATCCTCGGGCATTTGGTCCTTATGGCTTGCACTTCATTATGAAGAAGCACAAGATCAATTTTTGCATGGTCTAACCAGGCTCACTTGGCTTTTGGGGAGGTTTTGAGATTACCAATTGATTGTCAACGAAAGCAGTATGCAAACTCTAGTGATCTTGACTGCGTAGACTGTGGTCGTTGGTTTTGCCCTATCTGAGTCAAACCACAAACCCTGCAGTGGCAAAGGGTAAAGTTGAACCCAGATGATTTACCTCTTGATGAGAGAGCCTAGACGAAAAGGCCCCAAAGGACAACCTCTAGAGCTCCTTGAAGGCGATCAGCGTCTGGTGTCAAACTGCCTTCTTGCCATTCTAGCGTATCTTGTCGCTGTTGTCACCCTCAACTTCTTGCCCCAAATAAGCATGGGGATTGTGGTCGTTAAAATAGCGGCCGACACGACTGTACAAGTGATGAAGACGTTGGTGAGCCCGACGCCCTCGATCCACGGAGTCAGGGTCATGGCAACAACGGTGGCGAAAGCGTTACGCAGAAACGCGACCGCGACAAGAGAGTCGCCAACGATCTAGTTTGGGGCATTTAGGAGTTGTCGGATTGAGATCCAGGTTCAGGGACAACTTACGTCCTTGTAGGAATCAATCAAATAGGTCAACGCAAGATCACTAAAGACGTTGTTGCCGATGCCAAATATGACCAGAGCGACGGCCAGAGATATCCAGTGCACTCCCTAAAATCAAAAGCATCAGTTTTCCTCTCGTCATTTATTCTGTGGTAGTGCTCACATTGTCAAGGCACAAGCCAAACATAAGGATCCCCAACGGAGTGAGAACGATCCATGGTAGACCCAGCCATAGTCGCATTTCGGGCTCGTAAATGCCACTGTTCTTCTTGGACAAGCGGACAATGTGGAAGTCGGACAGGGGACCGCCATAAGCGCTGCCCAAGAAACTGCCAATGAAAGGTGCAAGATTCATGAGCCCGACGCCAGAAGATGAGAAGCTGTAGGGTGGATAGGTCAAATCTGCATTTCGTGAGCTTCGATCCGGAACATTTCCCGCACTTCAGCAGTTCATTTTGCCGTTGTAGCAGCTGGAGTTATAAACCAGTCAAATCCTCCTTGGCCAAGCAGCACAGCAAATGACACTTACAAATGGAGAGGACCGATAACAGGACGGAGAACCATGCGAGGAGGGAGCCGTAGATTAAGGCCGTGTACGTCACCGCCGGAATAGTACAGAGTATCTGGAACGGTTGCCAAATGTGTCGGGCAAAGTCTCTGAACCCTCCGGGCGTCACTGTAAAGAGAGACAGCCGCTTGAGGTAGCTCTTCGGTTCGATATCCATTCTTGTGGTGTTGGATGTGACGCAGGTGAGAGGTTCTTCGGTACACTTCTCCACAGTTAACCCAGAGGTCGTTGTGAGCGTCGGTGCCACAGGCTTCTTTGCTCTGTCAGTTTGAGCATTGGCTGGCAGGATATCGACGAGCTCGGGGTTCGACACAATGGTGGGGATATATTTCGTCTCCTCATAGAGGAAGAAGAACATGACCAAGCCTGTCGCCAGCAGAATGGTGGTCCACCACCAAATCCACCGCCAACCCTGTGAATCTGCGATATATCCTGCGGCAACAGGCCCAAGATATGCTCCAGCAGTAACAGTCAGGAGATAGATGCCGTTGCAGGTCGCCCGCTGGTGCACATAGAACAAGTCTGCGATCGTCATCTGGCAGATTGTCTCGGCGATACTGCCAGCGAGGCCTGATACCACATTGGCGCCGTACATGTCTCCGGCCGTCTTCATCTTTGCTTGCCATATGGCTGTAGAACATGATATAGCAATACTGACTAGGTAGATCGGCCGTCGGCCGAACTTGAGCGCGAATGGAATGAAAATAACACACCCACAGGCTAAGCCTGCCGTATTGGCTCCGAAAGATCGATTCAAGACCTCGGTGCTGAAGCCAAGCTCTATCATGAGAGGGCCATAGATGACAGTCCCGATATCGACGAGGACAAACACCATCAGGGTGTAATAACAAGAAAGGCCAAAATTGATGCTTTTCCGGAGCTTTGTCCAATTCAACGGATCATTGGGATCATTGCTAGGGGTCGGATGGAGAATTATCTCGCTGTTTCTTGCACCGTGGACTGCAGAAAGATCAATACAAGAACACGGTTCTTCCAAAGGGACTCACATACGGGTCTCGAGCTGGATTGTCCCTGGCGGCCATTGATTTGCGTTGGCTTGAGGGTTGTCTTCGTAGGGTCGAAATGCCATGCTGCTGCTCAGAACACTCAAAGGGTTGAGACCAAGAACACAGAATCTGTATAACCGCTCTCGTGATGGCCAGTATATATATATATTCATGCGTCGAATTAGCTTCCTGCCTGGAGTTCCAGGTTGTTCTGTTATCAGATGTCAAGATATCGAATCCGTCAAAGAAAGTCTTCGTTAGCAGGAAATTCGGAAGTCGAGCGAACCAGTCAGTAGAAAGACCAACACTCCATCCCGCGTAAGTGATGTCCAAGCTACCGATCTAATGTCGGGCTGGATCAACGTTCTCGAAGCAACTTTCGGTTAAAGTGGCCACTTGAAGGACCCGTACGTCAATTTTCAACGGATTCAAGCCAGAGGATCAGATAACGGTCTTATCTAAACGCTCATGAATCTGTGCCGCTACTTTCTGTCTAGCCTTCAACGCCATCTTTTGTATCTAAAACTTCACGATAGATGACGCCAGGGCAAGCCATTGCCCGCCCCGTTTGGCTCAATCGGGGCTTTGCAGAATAAGCGTTACAAACAGCAAGACTGATCGATTGATATTCCTAGCCACATCTGGGTTCTATTGGCTTGGAGAACCGACGTGGCAACAGCACCTCCAGGTTCAAGCGATGGTTTGCGGTGTGTCTACACGCTGTAGAGGGTTGCCGAAAAGGACTATCTCCACTTTGTCAGAACTCTGGATGGCCAATTATCGTCGATCTCACTCTACCTCCCTCTTTCAGAAAGTACAATGTTTGAGGCTACAGTTCCGAGTGTGTACTAGCTCACTACATCATTCAAACTCAAGCCTCTTAACAGTTGACCGACGATATATCAAGCACTGAATTACACACCAATCCGCCACAATAATGCTTCGCGCCAGGGGACGGATGCGTATTGGCAATGGACCACTTCAGGCACTGGAGGGTAATCCTACCGACATCCCAACGGGGCTGCCTCCCTCTCCGGAGCTTGATCGACACAAGAGAACGAGGTAGTCGGATCTGCTATACATACACATCTTCCACAATGGCCGAGGATAAACAGAGCGGCCAACGGTGTTAGAGCAACCCAATACAGTATACTTACTTACATTACCTAGCTCTTTGAATATCAGGGTCGTATTATCGAGAAGGGAAAGAGGCGAGTCGTCGGGAGGTAGTTGGAGAGCAGGGGGGTGAGTGGTGCGAAAATGATCGATGGAGCCCTGCTTAAAAGCGGCGCGGGTACGAGGTCCTAGGGTGGATGCTCAGGTGCACAATAGGAACCGATTTAGTAATAATTGCGCGTACCTCGTCATTTGCTGCCAAGACCAAGATCTACTGATAAACCAAGGCAAAGACTCAGTCACGTCAGTGTAACACCAGCCAACGCGTTACACGGGCAGCACATGCTCACTCTACTCACTCCGACTGTCTAGGTATGCATAAGGCTCTGCGGCGGCAGCCTTGGACCTGCCCCAGATGCCTGCGCAAACAGCAAAGGTTCAATTCTACCGCCGCCGGAATCGCCGTAGCCAACGATAACACCTTCGATGGTGCATACCTCCATGCGTCCTCCCACTCCTCCTCCAAGAACGGTAGCGAAAATGCTCTCCTCCGTGAGGTTTTCAATAGGAAGACACTCTCCAAGACATCATCCACCGAGAGTTCGGGCTTGATAGGAAACACGTTCCTGACCCTTCCGCAGGGCTTTCAAAAATTCGCAGAGGCGTCGGTAATACAATGCAAGAGATTGGTAGAGAGGACGCTCGCCGCTTCCACGGCCGAGCAATACAGAGCAATACCCAGAGATCTTGATAGACTGAGCGACTTGCTTTGTCGAGTAATAGATCTCTCCGATTTCATCAGGAGCATCCACCCGAGTGACGATGTGGCTGCCTCGGCATCTGCTTCATATTCACTGATGTTCCAGTACATGAATGAGCTCAATACAACCACTGGCTTAAACCAGCAGCTGAAAAAGGCCTGGGACATGCCAGAGGTCCAGTCTCAGTGGAGCGAAGAGGAGAAAATGGTTGCCGTGCTCCTGATGAGGGACTTCGCAAAATCGGGCATTCACCTTCCCGACAAACAGAGACGACAGTTTGTCTCACTCTCGAACGAGATTGTACAGCTGGGAACCGATTTTATTAATCAGATGGATCATGCAAGGGAGTATGTCTCATTTACCGTTCGTCAGTTGGATGGTATAGATCCGACGTTGGTTCAAGGCTTCAAAAACCACGAAAGAGCACAGATTCCAGTGTCGAGTAAGTGGTCCAAAATGGTTCTTAGAGCTGCCAAGGACGCTGCAACGAGGAAAGATATGTACATTGCTGAGAGAAGCGCCTCCAAGAAGACCATTGCAACACTTGAACAACTGCTCCTTCGCCGTGCCCAGCTTGCCAAACTTACGGGCTTCGACAACTTTGCACAGATGGCTCTCATAGAGAAAATGGCCAAGACCCCAGAGGCCGTGAACAACTTTCTCGAATCGATTAATGCAAACAACAAGATACATGTGCAGAAGGAGCTTGCTCCACTCTTGGAACTCAAGCGCAAGGTGGACCAAGGCGCTGAAGGATTGAACCCGTGGGATCACAACTATCTCCTGGCAAAACTAGATCAGCTGGAGGGGGCTTCGGGACCTCGCACATCAAAGTCGCGCCTGCAGGAGAGCGCCAGATTTTACTTTGCACTCGGCCATGTGATGCAGGGCTTGTCCAGCCTGTTCGAGTCTCTCTATGGAGTCCGCTTTGTACCAAAGGAGACCAAGCAAGGTGAAGTCTGGCATCCCGACGTTAGACGGCTGGATGTCTATACCGACAAGGAGGAACATATCGCCACCATGTACTGCGATTTATTTTCGCGACCGGGGAAGCAGAGCCATCCCGCCCACTTCACGCTTCTCTGCTCACGGGAAATCTCAGAGGAAGAGGTCCGCGAATGTGAAGAACGCAATGAACCACTGAACAATGGCATGCCGACACTCCTCAGCACCAACCCTACTTCAGGCGTGGCTTTTCATCACCAAATCCCCATCATCGCTCTTGTGTGTGGCTTCCCACAATCCAGCGTACCCGGCGAACCTGCTCTTCTCTCTCAATACAGTCTCGTCTCGTTATTCCACGAAATGGGCCACGCCATCCACAGCGTCCTAGGTCGCACCTCTATGCAAGGCATATCGGGAACACGGGTTGCAACCGACTTCTCTGAACTGCCCTCTGTCCTCATGGAAAACTTCGCTACAGATCCAGCGGTTCTGAAACTCTTTGCGAGACATTGGAAGACAGACGCGCCCATGCCCGATGAGATGCTCAAAGTACTTGCCGAAGAAGGGTCAAAGGAAGCTTCTAGACAGGGTGCGTGGAATAACGAGAGCCAGATTCTCATGAGTGTCCTTGATCAGGTGTACCATGGGGACGGACCTGTTCAAGCCCTCCGGAGCGGGCGGTACGATTCTACCGCTGTATACTACGACGTGTGGAACAAGCACGGCTCCGTGCCCGAGCCGTGGGGAACCTCCTGGCAAGGCTTCTTTGGTCACCTCCACGGATACGGCGCAAGCTACTATTCATACCTATTCGACACGGCGATCGCGCGGCGAGTCTGGACGAACGTTTTTCGCGGCGGCGAGGACAATGGCGCCATTGATCGTGCCAGTGGAGAGAGGTTTAAAGAGGAGGTTCTGAAATGGGGCGGCGGAAGGGATCCCTGGCTTTGCCTCGAGGGATTGCTCGGGGAGGGGAAGGGGGTATTAGCAGAAGGCGGAGAGGAAGCTATGTTGGAGGTAGGGAGGTGGGGAGTCGGTGTCGGGGCTGGTACCCTCGATTGACGCAATGAAGCCGGCTCCGCAGACAAGCGTGGTGGACGCTCTCGTTCAACGTTCTTCCAATGTGAATAGAATTATGTAACCCTTCGTCGCGTCTGTCTTTATATACCAAATTCATCCTCATCTTCTGTCTCCTCGTCGCTATCCAGTCCCCAAATGAACGCCAAACAACTATACTCCGTACTCATAACCAAATCATTTGACTCCCATGCTTAAGCAAACCAGACTCGGAGATCTGGGGAACTGCGATCAATGCATGCTAATCTCCGGATACCCCGTGCCGAGCGAGGCATGAAGCCCCGAACCTGCGGACGCCTTGGGAGTCGTCGAGGAAGCATTCCCGGACCCTGCAGATCCAGTTGTTGTTGGCCCCGACGTCGACGCCGACACCCCTCCTTCTCCGGGTCCTGTATGCAGTCCGCCGCCGACACCATCGGCGCCGGCACCACTCACGTCCGTGGCATAGCCCAGCCCCTCGATGGTGGCCATGGCGGGGTCCATGCCGAAGTCGAGGTCGGCGTTGACAAAGGCGTCGCCGTCGAAGAGCGGGTCCTGGAAGATGGTGGGCATGCTGAGGTCGAAGAAGCCGTCGAACAGCTCGTCCAGGTTGGTGAACTGCGGGTCGTAGATGCCCGGGCCGAACGAGGACGGCACGTCGAGCGCGAACGCGCTGCTGCTACTACTTGCCGCGAGGGGGTTGTGGAGGTGCTGGTGCTGGTTGTTCAGCGCGGATGTCTGGAACCGGGTACTTTTGTTGTAGTTCTGGTACTGGAAGGCGGACATGGGTGGGATCTGGCTGAAGCCCGAGGCATAGCTGTGGTTGAACTGCTGTGACTGCGACAATTTGGGGGAGGTGGTCAACAGTGATACCGGCGTGTTGGACATGGCCCTAGCGATAGCGGCATTCCCAAAACTCTTGCTATTGCTGCTGGTGTGGCCGCTGCTGGGAGAGGATGAGGAAGCCAGATTCCGCCCTGTTCCGGTCGATTGGGCGGCTGCTGCATCGGAGAGTACGTGTAACCCGTTTCCTCCAGGCCCAGCGCCAGAAGACATTGATTTTGTCATCATCGGTGTTGTGGTGGCAGCTCCAGTAATAGCTGTAGCGGGGGTGGAAGCACTGTGGGAATGATGCCCACCATCATGGCGCTTGCCCTCAAATGGTCCAAACTTACACGCAGTGACCTCTGCTTCCATTGCGTTCATGAGCCCCGCCACGCTGGCTTTCCTCACCCCTGTCTGCTGCAAAGACTTCAACGCTTTCCGCCCCAGTCTGGCCATTGCGTCTGCAGTCCACCAGTACATGCTCAAGGCCTCCAAGGTCTCACAGCGCGTGGCGAGATCGGCCTGTGCGCGATCGGTGTCTTCGAATGCGTTGTCACGGAGACCACGGTATGCGACTGTCAGTGCGAGGCCGACTGCATATGGTACCAAGGGAATGGGTTGGAGGGATGTGTGACGACCATTGGAGAGGAGCTCCTGGATCCGATCAGCCGCTGAGATGCGACGGGCGTAGGAGGTCGTAGAGGGACCACCGGCGCGGCAGGAGAGAATTGCAATGACATGGTAGCAGAGTTCGAGGATGCCTGGGAAGAGCGTCAGTGGTACACGATAAAGGTGGACTAAGATCGACGTGGAAAAAGGTTAGGACGACCAGCACAGCTCACTCACTTTGTTCCGAGACGGGAAGCAAGGACAAATCGATACCCTCAGTCAGCGACCGATAAGCTGGGAATTCAGCCTCCCACCCTGTACACTCGGGGTCCGCAGTTGGTCTGTAAAATTCGATGACCTCGTCCAAAAGCTCTCCCAATCTCAGCCACAGATTGATGACATTACTCCTCGGAACCCCATTTTCCAGTGGCGGACGTGCGATGTCAATGTCTCGGTTCGCTATCACAATCGGCCGCCCACCGAGGCAAGCATTGATCTTGTCAAGGGTCCAGATAGTCCACCACAGCATACTCGACTGATCTTTCGGAGATCGTCCCGGCGTGTGGATGTGGAGACCGGCTGTCCAGGCATCGTGGATTGCTTGTGACAGGTGTAATGAAGATTCTTCAATGCCTCCCGGTCCATCGTTGTGTAAATGCATCAGAGTCAGGATCTGGATCTTGGTGACTCTATCAGGTTCCAGATCAGCTTTCATAGCTGCGTCCAATCCGGTATGTAGACTGCGGGCGAATGGGATGGGGTCTAGAAGTGGACCATCGTCATAAAGTCGGAGATATGGCGCAGCCTCCTCAGTCTTGCAGGTCACAAGACATATGGCCTGCATGAGAAATATCGAGCACCGTCCCTCGGTGTAGTCCCGAAGTAGTTTAATGCCGTTCAGGATGGGTAGTAGTCCGTCAAAACACGCAATGTAGGTTGTGACCAGGGCATCCTGAGTTGCCTTGGGCAGAACACGAAAGGCTCCCACGGCTTGCAGATAATTGCGTTGATGACCCGTCAGAGTCCTCCGACCGCCCTCAACTCTGCCATACTTCTCGACATTGAGTGGCGTTTTGTCCCCCGACTTCTGCGGGAGCGGCGGACCAAGGTCCTCTGGAGGGAGGCCATCTTGTAGATCTCGAGACTGTTCGACCCAAGTGCCGACCCTGCTGATCCTCTGGCTGCCTTGCTTTCTCGACGACAAGTCTGTGAGGATGGATTCGGGGTTCAGGTCTCCAACGAAGCGAATGGGCTCCTTGTGAGTCAAATTGGGCAGGACTCTCTCGAGCCCGTCAGAATCTGCCTGCTGCTCGGGCGGGCGCTGGAAGGTGTGATGACAGCGCTTCTTCGCGGCGCGACATTTCTGACATGCGCGTGCGGCTCTCTTGCGGCTTGCGAAGGCCGCAGTGTCGGCCTCCCAGACCACTTGCATCGAATCCCAAAGGCTGTCGGGTATTAGATTTTATAATGATGAAGGGAATTGGTGGGGGCAGAGGCGGCGGATGATCTGAAAGCAGATATCGCCCCGCGCAGCTGCCACGTGACTATATCATAGCCTCCTCACGTGCCTTCGGGACAAAGTATCGGACGGAAAACCTGCCCTTCTCGGCGCAAGCCCTTTAGCGCATCGTCGCTCTACTTGCCCTCGGCTTGGCCACCTGCTGCTCCTTGAACCCAAGAAGCCTCGAGGATTAGCCTCACCAGCTACACCAGCCAGCATCAGATGCCTATGCCTATACCATTGTGTCTACCTGGGTAACCCTGCAAGCCACTGCTGACGTTGAGTCGCCTCGAGAGACTCCGACACTCACTGTTACGCTTGCTTGATATGGTGATGGCTGCACCTGCAATTGCCCTTCTTTCAGCTTCGTTGATTGGCTCTCGGCGCCGAGGCCCCCAAGAGCCGCCATGGTCGCTCTCCCATTTACTATCAGTGCGTCCCGCCAATTCTACCATCTCTCCCAAGCGATGTGACCAAAGGCGCTCCCCCAAAAGTTCGATGCAGAGAATGTGCCAGTAGTAAGTCTCAGGCGCAGAGACCGGCCCCCCCCCCCCCCCCCCAAACAAAAACTCGCTTCGGCAAGTCCAGGGAGGGAAAGCCAGACATGAAGCAAATCCTGCACGCAGAGTCTTCATACAGAGACCCTCGAAGGAGTTGGATTGATATGGACCGCGGTGAAGGTGAAGGTTTCAAACCCTCGAACGGCGCTTGTCATCGTTGTCATGGTCGAAAAGTCAGATGCGACAGGACCCAAGGTCTGGCATGCTCCAATTGCCGAGGGATTGGGGCTCCTTGTATCCCATACGAGAAGCGTCGCCCTCGAAGACGGCCAGTGATCAAGCCTCTTGCCCCTCTCAAGAGCAGCTCAGGATACACCGCGCAGCACAAGCAAGGAGCAACCCTGCAGGAACCCATACGTCCACCGTCGTCATCATTCCCGACGACATCTTATCTATCCACCCTGAACGCTCCACAGCATGCTTCGCAAGCACAAGCGATAATGCAGGACACTGCAGCGGGGACATTGTCTATACAACTCGACGACTCAACTGTCAGACGGCAGCTTGTGGAGATGTTGTCCCAGGATGATGTCGACAGTCGCATCATGCAAAGTGGCGTCCGCATCTCATATGTCGGGCAAGAATACTCCAATATCAACTACTTGATCCGGCACAGGACCAAGAACCCACACGTGCATCATTTTCCTGCCAACCAGATCTCCCGACACTATACCAGCCACGAGCTGGACCGGATCCCGAAAGATGCTTTTGTGCTGCCTTCACGAACTCTTGTGGACGAGCTATTAGATCAGTATTTCCGCCATGTCAATCCTGGGTTTCCCATTCTCGACGAGGACATCTTCATGCGTCAATATAGAGCCCAGAATCCTCAAGATCCTCCTTCTCTCCTCGTCCTACAGTCCGTGCTTATGGTTGGCGCCCATGTGGCACGCGACAGACCAGAACGAGAGTCCCTGAAAGCCATGTTCTTCCGACGCGCCAAAATGCTATTCGATGCCCGTTATGAGTGGAACAGAGATGTTGTGGTGCAGGCCGCGCTTCTTTTGACCTGGCATTCGGAAGGTATTGAGGACGTCGGAGCCAACTCGTACTATTGGGTGGGAATCGCTGCTCGCACGGCTCTGGGGCTGGGAATGCATCGTGATTGCTCCTCCAGTACCCTAGTGGCTCATGACAAGCGCATCTGGAGACGGGTCTTCTGGGTCTTGGTACAGTTTGACGCGATGGTGTCGCTCTCCTATGGCAGACCCCAGGCCATCAACCTCGACGAGTGCGATGTGGCGCCATTGACCGTTGCGGATCTTGAAGGGGTCGGCCGTCTGGCTCAGGTCGAGTTTGTCATCCAATATACCGACCTATGCTCCAAAATGTCAAGGATAATGCGTGACCACTTCCGGCTGAACAAAAGTGACAAGGTTCATCAGAAATCCTTGGCTATTGCTGATGAGATTTTGGCAGACTGGTGGAGTTGCTTGCCTTCGCATATGCGCTCTCGGTCGGCATATTCTTCAATCTGGCCGAAAGTGTTGCTGTTGGCATACAACAATTTCCTAATTCTTCTCCATCGCCCACTGCCAGGTAAAGCAGCGGTTGGCGGCGTGTTTCGGTCGCATGACTCTGGTAGGTTCACGCTACGACTGTGACGTTCATGAGGTCTAATGGATAGCCAACAGATATCTGTAGCTCCGCCGCCAAAACAATCACAGATTTGTTTGATCAACTTCGCGAGAACAACGAAATCCGTTTCCTATGGGTTTCGTCGGTCAACGTGCTCTTCACAACTCTCATTCAACTCAGTGCGGAAATGCGAACAGCCAATCCAATCCTGGCCGTGGACGCCTTACGCAAGTTTGACATTGCTCTCGATAGCCTTCGAACGTTGGCTGAGTACTGGCTTAATGCGGACATCATCTTGCGCCTGTTCGAGGAGAGCTCAGAGAGGCTGCAGCAAGAACTCAAAATAGGCAAAGCGAGAAAGCTCCCACACATTACGCCTCAAGACCAAGAGACGAGCCCTGGCGTGGTCGAAGGGTCAAGTGCTTCTGAAGGAGATAATGACGACCACGACGACAATCCTGATTGCAGTGAAATTTCGAAGATCGACTGGCGAGATCTATACTCCTACAACCAGGACGTTTTGCAGACGGCAGGGGCTCAGAATGCTGAAGCGGACGGTGGAATACAGTTCTGGGACAATTCCGGACTCTTTCTCGCCGACCCGTTTGAGCCCTTTCCATTTCCTTCTTAACAATGCTAGCGACTAAGCCGACAATGATACGATGGATCGGTGCCTTTCCAGAAACCTTTCCACACAGCCAACGAACCTGGCCAAATCTTCTGGGGAGGTGCCCATAATAAGGGCAATAGAGCCTCTCCTCGTGATCCAGAACCCGTCTTCCAGCATCTCAAACCAGAACAGGTCCTTCAAGTCCCAATCCTCAGTCACATCCTCCACGCTACTGATGTCCTGAAGTCCCTGGTCGGTGAAATGCGCAGCTAAGATTGCTCCTCGGCCGGTGAATGCGCATTTGGTCCCTTTGGTGACTTTTCTGAGCTTCTCACGGAACGCGTCTCCCAAAGAATTGAACGCGATATTGACTTCGGGTGTCAAAACCTTGGCCAACCCTGCATATCCGGCGTACATGGCCATTGTATTGTTGTTGAAAGTACCCGAATGTGCCAGAGCGTCCCTATTCCGAGGGTCATAGACAGACATGATGTCTGCACGTCCCGAAAATGCGCCAAAAGCGAAGCCGCCGCCGAGATACTTGCCGAAGGTTGTCATGTCAGGTTTCAGGCCAAGCAGACTTTGAAGCCCGCCAGGCGCCAGTCTAGAGGTCATGACTTCGTCGAGGATAAAGATCGCTCCGGCCTACAAGTGTTTCTTCGCGTTAGTCAACCTGCTAGGCGTTTCGTATGTCTATCGGCAGTACTATACCTTTTTCGCGGACTCCTGAACAGCAAGCATAAAATCCTTGGTGGCAGGAATACATCCTCCGGCTCCTTGCATTCCCTCTACCAGGACTGCTGCGATATCCGGCGTCCCCTCGATAGCGACACGGGTGGACTTTATGTCGTTGTACTTGGCCAAAACCCAATCATCTAGATCGACATTGTTTGGCGCGATCCCGGATCCAAATGAGAAGACTGCTCCATGGTATCCTCCTGTGAAGACGACGACCTTTCTTCTGCCGGTGAACCGCCTGGCAGCTCCTAGAGCATGCATTGTGGCCTCTGTGCCGGAGTTTGTGAACCGGACGCATTCAACATTGAAGCGCTCTCGGATCAGCGACGCGTGACGTTCCTCTTGAATCGTAGTTGCTCCAAGGTTCAGTCCGACCGTGTCAAATGTGGACACGATAGCTTCTCGAATTACCGGGTGGGAGTGCCCATATATGCCAGCCGTCAGCTCCCCAACAAAGTCGAGATACCTATAAGTCGAACTTTTAGCACCGTGTCTTTCTCCGCCGTGCGTCGTCAGTGCTCACCTGTGGCCATCTTCATCCAATACATACGGGCCCTGGCCACATTTCATGCTCAACGGGAAGGGTGATGTATGAAGGAGTGACCGAGTATTGCCTCCTGGTAGACTCTTGACTGCGATTTCGTGTTGCTTCCTCGAATTAGGATTCGCACGCTCGAAACGGGCTCGAGCAGCTGCCAGAGCATTGTTGAGTAGGACCGCTGCGGAGGGAACTTCTATTGATGCCGTCGTCACCGTCGTGGCGCCTTTCCCCCTTGCTAGGCTGGCCTTGTCGACAAGACTATCTGTCAATGCAATCGGGGCCATGTTTTCCAGTGCTTGCAGATGCAAACCCCGAACCTAATTGGTGGCTGAAAGAAAGCCCTCGAGGGCTTTCCAACTCCATATTTGATCAGAATTGAAGCAGTATCGCCCGCATCTGTCCCCTGCAGCCAATTGCACTGGTTCCCTGAAGATCCAAGATGAGTGGCTCGATTGGCCGAAGACGAGTCAACCGCCGAACGATAGGAGCCCGCCGAGATATCAAACTTTCCCACACTGGCGGCGGCGCGTTCGTCAGATAGGGGTGATCCCGTACACAGACATATAGCATTCAGGTTCAAGTTCGGTGCTGGGCAAATTTCTCCACAATGCTCAGAGTCTCCGGGGCCGACAGTTATCTGAGTACAACATCGGCGCTGGCTGACATTGCTTTCGCCGCTGGAAGGCTGCGGGGGCTATGCCGCCTTTTCAACCTCCAGGAATGAACAAGTAGTCAGTCACCCATGCTGGAGAGGCCGTGGCTGATCCATTCTTAGCCTTGTTCTGCATCCTCCATCAGCTGAGCGCTTGGGTGATCGATCATTCATTATTTGAGGAGAGAAACAAAATGGAAGAACATTCTGTCGCTACATCGTCCATGGATTACGTCACCAGCTGGCTGCAGCAACATGTTATGATGCTTCATGAACAGAGAAATTCTTTGTTTGCCGGGCTATTCGTCGTCCTGGCACTGTTGTCATCAATTTGGCGAGCAATTGGTTTATTTGTGTCAAAGGTAGCTTGCGAGTGAGGCTCCATCGCCTCTCACTCGATCTTCTCCCCTGGAAACCAATTAAGTGTCCCATCACTTCTAACGTTGATACCTAGAAATATGCCGTTACGATTCTCAAGGACAACCCGGGTTCAGGTGTTCAGAAGACTGCCATACTTTCTAGGCCGGACAAAGACCTCGGCCCCTGGTGCATGGGCCAGATCGAGCCGCTGCGAGACCTGGATTGGAAGAGGACGAAGCCCGAACGGATTTACAAATTCAATGACACGTACCATCTGACAATGGGTATGCATCTCCAGGACGAATGTGGTGTCACGGTGGACTTCCAATCACTCAGCTAACAGTCGTTAGGGTTGAGAAACACCACTATCAATACCATCGTCCACATGGACCAACAGTATCTAGAGCGCATAGCGGAACGAGAGAAGATCATCACAAAGTACCCTGGTGCGCTGGACTGCCTGCCATCCGGACGCCACATGGTAGACGAGCTCTACACTTATCTCGTGACTGAATACCTCCCGAGGCGATTTCCCACGATGTTCCGGCTGTCCACATCATCGTCATCAAAAGTGCTACACAACCTGGTCACCGCCAAGGACCTGCCGCTGAACCCGCCTGACGACGTACAACAAACGCTCCATCTCATTGCGCTCAACGTCGACGAGGATTTTCTCATGCTCCTGCCCGCGCCGGATGGCGAGGGGTATTCTCTACAGGCTTTCGTGTGGTGTTATCCCGTGGGCTTCGACCCGCAGAATAAAAAAGGCATGAAGCTCCGGGAAGCCCACGCTCCCGTACCCGCGTATAAGCAGGTTCTCGAGACGTCGATGGATCGGTACTTTGCCCGGCTGCGGCCGGGAAAGGTGGTCGAGCGGGTCAATTGGGCGGTCGCGACCAACTCGAGTTTGTGCGAGAGAGGCGAATATCACTTATACTCTGATGACCAGGTATCCACCACGACCGAGATCGATCTCGACGACACCTGGGTGAGGTGTGAACTGCAGACCTTGTTTGCGCTCCCCGGGAGCGGGGGGAGGATCTTGAGCGTGCACTTGTATCTTTACCCGATCAAAGAAATCAAGGAGGTCGGCTTGGCCGAAGACATGTGTCGCGCTATCGACGGCTACGGCAAGGGCAACGCCGGCGGCTTCAGCAGATATAAGCGTGTGCCGGTCTGGGGGGAACAGGTCAAAGAGTTCCTAAGAAACTGACATCGTCTCCACGACCGGCGATGGGAGACTCACGTGGTGTAGGAGAAGTATCGGGCGGAGAAGCCGAAGCGATTGACAGTGCCCGGCTTCCCATCAACTTGAAGAGCGGCCGCACCTGCGACCCTAGGAATCATAGAGATAGACATGGGTGCAGGAGAATGGAGTTGAGCACTGCACATATAGATCGGTACTTGTCACGACGAGTAGAGGGCAAGCGGACTAGAGAAAAACTAACAGAGCATGCGAGATGACCACATATTTTCGCAATCGCGCATCAGCAAAGCGGTTCCTCGTGGGTTCTTGCGCAGACAACAATAATGATTGAAGTCCTTTTCTATTTTGCATCTATAGCCCGGCCAAGGAGCAGAGATTCTTCCCACGAGCCGTTACACCCCATGGTCCATTAATAGGTCAACCGCTCGTAGCCGTCATCCGGCCGATCAAAGTACCAGGTTAGATCAGCACCGTCCAATTCCCGTCTGGTGAAGCCATTGCCCAGAAACGCCCAGCGGTTGGGCGCTGTGCCTGTGGCCGGATCTTCCTGTCGTCTTGTCCACTCCCAGTCTTCGAATCGAATGTTGTGGACGTCCAATGCCTCGAACCAGTGGATGCGGCTGCCCGGCCACAGGGCGGTGACCGGGCCGCTCGTCCTCCCGTTCTTGAACCAGCTGCGACAGTCATCAGCCCAGGCCATGCGGGGCATGAAGGCGTCGACATGCTGGACAAACTCGTCGATCGCGGCGAGCGAAGGGGCGAACGATTTGTACCCCTCCACCTGGCACTTGTGCATCATGCGGATCATGTACTTGGTGAGGTGCTCGATGATGGGGATGGCACTGCCGTGGCCGACGGGCGAGTTTGGGCCTAAGAACATAAAGTAATTGGGCATATGGGCGGGCGTCAGCGACAAGTACGCCGTCGGTCGCTCGGCCCACAGGTCGCACAGGTCGCGGCCGCCCAGCCCAACGATGGGGAAGCGCGGGCGGAACGACAGATCGAACCCGGTCGCACAGATGAAGACGTCCACGTCGATGCGCTCTCCGTTGGCCAGAACCAAGCCCGTCTCATGGACCTGGACAATCTCCGTTCCTGTCACCACCCGGACGTTGGGCTGGGTCAGAGCCTCCAAGTACCCTGTCCCCGGTGACGGTCGCCGACAGCCCACGCCGAACTTGGGGATAATGAAGTCAACCAGCGGGTTCGCCGATCCTCCAAGCTTGGTGGTCATGTCCTTGATCGCAAAGGCTACTGCCGCCTCCTGTTCGGGCGTGCTGCGGTGAAGCATCCTGAACCGACTGTTGAGCTCATGCTCGACGTCCTTCCTGAACCTGAGGTACCGCCCAGGATTGTGCGCAAAGTCTTCCTTTTGTTCGTCTGTATATGCAAAGTTGGTGCCGCCTGGTCCGGCGTACTTCGACCCGAAGCCGGCAGTCACCCAGGTCGGCGTGCGGATGAAGGTGGTGAGATGCTTGACTTCGGGCTGGATCTTTGCGACGACTTGGATGCCACTAGAGCCACAGCCCAGCACAGCCACCCGCTTCCCCTTGAGCACTGTCCCCTCCTTCCACGCCGCGCTGTGCATCAAGTCGCCTTTGAAGCGATGCAGGCCCGGGATGTCCGGCCACTTCCAGTTGTTCAGGTAGCCGGACGCGTTGATGAAGAAGTGGCCGTAGTCGGATGTTCTCTCCCCGGTCGTCAGGTCTCTAATTTCAAACCTCCAGACCCCGTCCCGGTCGTCCCAGCCAGCCTTGGTAACCTGTTTTCGGAACTGAATGAACTTCAGCAAGCCGTGCTTGTCTGCTGCACGCTGGAAATAGGCCTCAATCTCCGGCTGGGATGAGTAGTACTCGTTCCACTCCGGATTCAGTTCCCACGAATACTGATAGTTATGGGAGGGTATGTCGCATCCACAGCCCGGGTACCGATTTTCATACCACGTTCCACCCACAACTGCGTTCTTCTCATAGATCTGGAGTTCCGCCTTCTTCATATATTTGCTCACGGCCCTGGCGACATTGAGGCCACTGGCACCCGCGCCTATTGTTATGATTCGTATTGGCCGCGGATCGTATAACGGTCGCTCCGGCACCAGGTAAGAATCATTGTGTGAGAGCGATCCATTCAGGAACGGAGTTGCTCCATCCTCGTTGTTGCTGACGGTCATGCTGATTCAGGTTTGTATGCAAATTTTCAGCAACGCAAATCAGTCTCCTGTAGAATCCTGGACCCCAATTCGACAGAGCTCTGCTTGAAATGTAAGGGGGACTTGCATAGCGGGCTCAAAGGAAGTGGCGAGGCTGTCGGTGGCGGTTGTTCGACGTGAGTTGCTTCACAACGGTGCTGGCTGTTTCATGATTGGCCCACGGCGCCGAGCAAGGCTGCGAACAGGGACTCGTTATCATCGCGATGATTGCTTGATCCCAACGCGAGGCCAGTGTCCTCGAACGCCATGCCCCTGCACGCTCGCGATCGTTCAAGATTCCTAGGGAGAAAGGCCCACCGAGTTCTGCCGCCGAGGAAGACCGAATCAGTTATTTCAAAGGTTGGCACATGGTCAACAAGGTCAGATAGCCATGACTTTTTCTTCCGATCACTACGAGCGGTGTTGATTTCGATTCGCATCAGCCGGCGAAATGGGCGATTATTCGTCGATCAACATATGCCAACAGCCCGCAGAACTTGGGGATCTACTGTCGCGCTTCAACCTACAGGCAGCGCCCGGCACCGACATCTATGCAACCCCCGTTCCGCCCATTCGACATGTATTCTCAGCACCGATAGTCTATCGCCGGATGCCAAAGCAATCCTTCCAGTTTGCTGGGGTCACCGTTCGGTGCCGATGGGCATTCCAATTCGACCAAGGCGGCCTCGTCTTTGTTATCCCAAGAACAGCAAACCCAGAGCCTGATGCGAGGAATGCGCAGAATCCAACCCAGCATCCAGAATGGGTCAAAGTCGGCTTTGAGGTCAACGACGGCGCCGCGTACGTGAGCGTTGTGGCCAAATCACACGAGAATTGGTGCGATTGGAGTCTTGTTCCGCTGTCAAGTGTTCCAGCCTCGAGCGAAGAGGTAGAAGTGAGTCTTCAGCTCACGCGTGAAAAGAACGCGTTGATGGTGTGGTGGGTGCCACGGAGAGAAGACAAGGTCCTGATCCGCAAAGTTCCATGGGTCTTCCTGGAGACCGAAGACGCGCAAGACTCCGAAGCCTGGGTCGGGGTGTACTGTGCCAGGCCCGACCCTGATAACGAAGCGAGAAAGGGTCAGGCCAGCCTCGTCGTCGCGTTTGAAGGCTTGGATGTACGAGGGTGAGCAGCGACTCGTTCATAGTCATCCTCCTTGGGAAGCGCTCTGGCCTCCAAGGTGCAATGTCCCACGCACAGCTGAAATGAGTACCTCGTTCCCCTGAACACTAGGCCAGGCACAGCTATGGTGGGTATCTATCGATACCAACATAGGCAACTTTATGACAGAGGCATATACGGGGTATAGAAAGAGCAAGTAAGCCGAGGCTGAGCTGGAGCATATATCACGTGAACATATAGTGGAGCCGCTTGTTTCCCAAATCGGCAGAACAAGCCGGAAACGGATCCAGCCTTGTCAGGTCGAACTCGGACACCTCCCCGTTCCCCTATCTGCGATTGCGGGGCTTTCCTGGCGCGGCCCAGGCACTGTGTGATACCGGCTGCCGAACATCCGAAGAGCCTACCGCCCCACCGGTTCATGCCCTTTACTGGTCCCGAGTTGGTCGCCGACGCTCGCAAGCGACCTGTCGAGCCTTGTGGGCAGCAAGACTTGGCTCTCTCTCTGTGTCTGGACTTGGGTGATTTGGACTCAACTCTGCTTGGCTCAGAGCAGCTGGCCTGTGCCGAGGGCGCCAGAAACACATATATTCCGGTACGAACTAGTGTCGTGCCCCCCTCAAACCATGTCCTGTCGACTTGCATTGGCACACGACACGATCCAGCATGGCCATCAGCACTCCTGTTATTCGAAAGGTCCATGTAACGGCACCTATCGAAGAGATCTGTAAAGTCCTCCGCGAAGACGGGGTTGTCGGTGAGTTTTCCCGGCCTCAATAGCCACGCCATCGGTGATATCCACCAACAATCTGTCAGTTGTCGAGAATTATGCACCACAAGGCTTTGTCGATGCCCTGAATGCTGAGGCGTATCCTGTGTTTGAGAAGGTGCGCCAGATAGGCAATCCTAAACACGTCGCTCAAGGCAAGAAGAACTTCAGACCAGCGGTAAGCCCCCAACCCTTGGTTAGATGGTCAAGGGGAATGTTAAGACGGCCTCGATAGAACACCGACGTCATTCTTGGTCTTGCAGGAAAGGTTCCTACTGCCAGCATCAAACTGTGAGTCGTTGTTGAGCCATGTTCTTCCAATCATGCTCACTCTGTCATAGCCTGCAACATCCTGTTTGGCACGGGGTGATGGAGCATTTCCTGGTCAGGGAAACCTGGGACTGGCTCGGGGACGAAAAACGAGTGAGGAAGGGCAGCTGTACGTTAAAGTTGGAGGATAGGTCACGGTCACGATATGAGCTGACACATCTTCACAGATTGGCTGCAAGCCTGTAATGGCTATCGTGTTAGACCTGGTGCCACGGCGCAGTATTTGCATCGGTATGTCCCTGACCGGATTTCGACAACTCTCCTAATGAATTTCCTGTAGAGATTCTGCTCTGGCAAGCACGCAACGAGAGATTGGTTTGGATAAGAACCCCATAGGTGGTGAGTACGGCCGCGACTCTGGTCGAGCTTTGTTGACCTTGTGTAGTGGGGGGCTTTGTAGCTGGGACAAACGTTACGGCACGGAATGGCGGGACCAATATCATCCCCGGGAGCCATCTCTGGCCGTTGGACCGCATTCCCCGCCCGGAAGAGGCCGTGGCTGCGGAATTGAAGAAGGGGGACGGAGTATTCTGGCTCTCTACAGTCTTTCACGGAGCGTAAGTTCTACTCGCTGAGCATATTGATACCAGCTGATCAATGCCACGCAGTGGAGCAAATGTCTGCGAGGCCGATGAGCCGGACGCCGAACGGATGATGTATGGATACTTTGGGGCAGAGGATACCTTGAGACAGCCCGACCTTCAGATCCTCAGTGTTCCCCCTGAAGTGGTGTTGAAGATGCCCGAGATTGTCCTCCGGATGGTGGTGAGTGTATCGAGCTTGGTGAATCGTAACAGATTGGCGCACTGACACATCGAGAAGGGATTCATCCATGGTGGGACCGGGTCCGGAAAACTGGGGGGGTATGATCCTATTGATGTGTGGGAGCCTGTCGCCGGCAGGTACACACCACAACCTACGTATACTTGGGATCTCGGTAGTCATTGAATTAAAGAGATTTTACTGGCAATTTCTCAGCGCTGGGATCGTTTAGTTCCTACTACTACTACTCTCTACCTGTAGTGACCCAATCTGTAACATGACTTTGACATGCCTTATGCTCGCAATAGCGTCGCAGCCCAGCCATGGCCAGAAGTATGCGACTCTGAGACCGTCGCGATCCTGAGTTCCGGCTATGTTGCTAACGACCTCGCGAGCAGTAAGAAAGATGCTGGATCTTTACTCTTTGCCAGGTGTAGCAACTGCTGCCCTCGCTGCATAGCAAGTGTCGAATGCGCTGGCCGTCTTGACGAGTAACTATCGCCCCTCTGCTCAACATTTCGACTGGGCCAAGCTGGGTTTCGTCGCCGGCGCCGAGGATAATAGAGCCTTGTTGACTCCGATAGTGGCAAGGCTTAATCGACAACCCGATAAGGCAATGGTTGCTTCGGCGCCCGCGATTGGACAACGGCTCCGAGAGCGGCCTGGCCGTGCACATTAACCCAGGACATAGGGAAATTCCACCTCGTTACGGCTGTTCGTGTGCATCTTGCGCTTCCAGCGAGATGAAGCATCTGCGTACCATCACAGTGGGTGGTAGCAAAGTTTTGCTTTATCTCGTTTATCATGGTTGACCTCTCCTGCCTGGCAGCCCTATCTATTGGTGAGAGCCAAGCAAGACAGCCTACAACGACGTTGGACGGCGGTGGATGAGACTGGGTGATTCCTATAATTTGACCGAATCTGCACTGGCGACGAAAAGGTGCCCATCACCACACAATAACCAAAGCCTGCACCACGAGCATAATGGACGACAAATGGCTCGCTCCCCCTCCCACGGAGGATGACAAGCAACTAGGGGTCAGTTGTGCTACGCGTATCCTCGCGATCAACAGACCTGGGAGGTTAACAATTTTCTTAGGTGGTAACCCCCATCTCCGTTCGCTCCTCGGAGGATGAGACGAGAGAAATCGAAGCCATGAAGGTCCATCGCCGTCTGTCCAGCCGGCAGGTTCACCTTTCTGCCATTGCCGGTACCGTTGGAGCGTGAGACCCTTCATCCTCACCGCAGTCTTGTCCGGGCGATTGCTTACCGTCCATCCAGCGCGCTGTTCGTGTCGATCGGTGGCGGCCTCTACAATTCGGGCCCGCTGGCGCTGCTTCTAGGTAAGACGCATTCCAAGGCAAACCGGCATGCTTCTTCTAACGGGTGATGAAAGGATTCATGTGGTGGGCCACGGTCATTTTTGCCACCGCTCAGTGTCAACTGGAAACAGTGACCTACTTGTGAGTTTCTCCGAGCAATTAAGATGTTGGGTTGCCTGCTCATCGGGGAACTCAGCCCATGGGATGGCTCTTTCATCCGCATTGCTGGCCGGTGTGTCGACACAGCCTTCGGCGCGGCTGCCAGCTTCAACTACCTCTTCTTGCTGGTCACCGACATCATCTTCGAATTGACCATCTTTAATACGGGTGAGAAACTGCGCTTGAAAATTTGGCGAAGAAAAGACAAACGCTTACCCAAGATCACCAGTTGTCGGGTACTGGGACGAGGATCTCAGCCCAGCCATAACAATCTCGGCAATGCTGGCCTTCTATTTCATCCTGAATATCTGGAGAGGTATGGGAGCCCCGAGTTGCCCGTACCCCTCTGACGATCATCTAATAACCTGACTTGTAGTGGATTGGTATGGAGAGGTCGAATTCTGGATCGGGATGGGCAAGGTTCTCCTTGCCATCGGTTTTCTCTTTTACACGTAAATCTTCTCCCACCCATAGAAAAAAAATCGAGGCCGCGACTGACATACGTCTAGCTTTATCACGATGGTCGGGTGGGTCTGCAACCACGACAGCACTGTAGCTCAGCTAATTCACCGTTGTTCAGGGGGAACCCGTTGCACTGGGCTTTCGGATTCCATTACTGGAAAAATCCAGGTGTCTGGGTCGGAGAGTGAGTCGTCCTCGACGCTGTAGAGAATGGTGCTGACTATACGCGCAGCAACTCGGTTCAGCAATTTGAAGCTGCTGTCAAGGCTGCGATCAAGGCAGGACTGTGGGTCACATACGCTCTCTGTTTTCCGTTTTGTCACTGACTAGAAACCCAGGATCATTGTTGGCCCCGAATTTGTCTCCGTCTTAGCCGGAGAAGGTACGGAGAGCACCTTACCCTGGCTGTTCATGGCTGAATTGTCGTTAACTTGGCCACAGCGAGAGCACCAAGGAAAGTCGTGCCACGAGCTTTCCGCACACTGCCTCACCGTCTCCTCTTCTTCTATATATTTGGCGCGCTCTGTGTGGGCATCCTCGTGCCTCACACTGACGAACGGTGAGTTCGCTTTCCATTGGTCGGCCATTCCGACTGACCACGACGGTCCAGGCTCCTCGGTGGCGGCAAATACGCCGCAAAAAGCCCGTATATCATCTCAATGGTCATGCTGAAGATCCCAGTTCTTCCGGTGAGTCGTTATTTTCCTTCGGCCATGAAGACCCACAAACTGACTCCGTCACAGTCTATTGTCAACGCGGCTCTTCTAACCTCGATCTTGTCGGCCGGTAACAATTACGTATTTGCTGCGAGTCGCTCGTTAGTGGCAATGGTTGACCAAGGCCTGTAAGTATCCGTCATGCTGGTCCCGGCTGTTAAGCCAGATATAAGAAGCGCAGGTCTTAATCGAGCGAATATAGTGCGGTGCGCTTCTTCGCCAGGAGAAACCGAAAGTGAGTGTCCCTCCCTTGACCTTTTGGGAGGACTAAATCGGCTAAACAAGTCTCAGCGGAGTTCCCTACATCGCGGTCATCTTCGTCCTGCTCATTGGATGCTTTGCCTACATGGCCCTCGGTAGCGGGACGAGCAAATTCCTCGACTGGGTTATCACCTTCGCCACGGCCGCTCAGATGATCAACTGGTGTGTAAGTACATGCTCTCATCCGAATGGATATGACCAGGCTTCTCAGATGATTAACGTCACAATAGGTCATGGCGGTGACCTGGATCCGCTTCAATGCCGGCCTCAAGGCCCAAGGGGTAAACCGCAAAGAGTTCCTCCCCGCCGTCTCGAGGTGGCAACCATAGTAAGTCCGTCCCGATGATGAATCTCTGGACCATCCAAACTAATTACGTCTCCTAGTGCCGCGTGGTATACCCTTTGTTGCTCGTTCGTCATGCTTTTCGTGCAAGGCTACGGCGTTTTCAAGCCAGGAAACTGGGACACTCCGACGTTGTGAGTTTCATCAGCTAGCCAGCTCAGTCTCCATGGATTGTCGTTGACCTTTTTTTTGCCTCACAGTATTTTCAACTACGGCTTGATAGCTGTCTTCATCATGTAAGTGCCTCGTCGCCCTCTTCGCGCCGCCACGGGTAGCGACTCCTAGCTAACCTGCAGGGCACGTCGCAGCGTCTTTACCGTGGTCAAGGTAGTCAAAAAGACAAAGTTCATCAAGCCCGAGGAAATCGACTTCCGCACCGACGTCGACATCATCGACAAGTACGAGGCGGTGCTCGAGGAGGAAGACACGGGCGAGAGGACCAAGATGCAGAAAGTCATGGCCAAGATTTTCTAGATTCATCACGCCCCGCCTTGGACCGACTTCCAAGATTCGGAGAGCAGGATCAAACTTCGGGTAGGGAGGGTGTGTAGGACAGCAAACGTGGATTTCCCGACGTGGTTGTTTTTGGTTTTTGTCCTAGGGGTGTTGACGAGGAGAGCGAGGCTTACCTAGCTTCTTACTGGCTTGGAGAGAGGGACCAGAGCCTATTATGAACCTCATGAAGTGACCAGGTAGCTTTCACTCTTTCGCTCGTCTTTGCAGTAGAGTTAGACGCCCACGCGATCTGAAGGTGTTTCATACCTTTTCCACGTCCTGACCCCAGTTTCCTCCGTCGCTTCTCCGGTTCCATAAAACATATATATGACCACAGGGGCTCAAGAAGGGCCCGCAATTTCTAAGAATATTAGGGATAATGCAGGATTCCAAGTTAGCGCTCATTCGCGGATCCTTATCCATTTTCTTTTAGCGCTCCGGACTCTACGATACTTAAGGTGTTGAGATTCTAGTTTCTAGTTGAATTTTCACTTGGATACGAAGAGTCGTGGTTCCGCTTAGGGGTCAATATGGTAGCTTCACTAAGGAATATGACTTGGAACTTATCAATGTGCTACCTGCTCACATCCACCAACTCCTTATTTCGTCGCCCGCGTCATGACCTTTGGAGTATCATGTATTGCATGCGTGAGACCTAGCATCAGAGGAGCCGCGCAGGACACCATAAGGCAAGAAAGCGCCATCTAATGGACGGTAGGTGAGAAGGACAAAGGGTGTGTTTGTCTGTCTTGTGATTGATGAGCTCAGTACCTATGGCGTTGGTGGCGTGACTGGCGTCGATGTGTCCTCGGCGGCCGTTACAAATTCTATCTAGCAGATGAATCCCTAGGCCTTCTTCTTGACCAACAACAACACGCCGTATACAGCCGCCTTCATTTTCTCCTTCCCTTCCTCCACGCCCGCCTCATGTAACAGCTGCTCGATCTTCTTGCGCAGGATTTTGAGGACGTCCCGTTCCGTGCCGACGTCGTCTGGGTGCGCCTGGCGCCAACGCGTCTCTGCGCTCCCCGTCGCCATCACCTTCTCGAACACGTCCAGGTCCGCTTCAGGCATGCCCACAAAGAAGTCTTCATTCGGATCCCACTCCTTGCGAACGAATGTTGTCTGGTCGAACTCAACAACGGGCTGGGGTAGAGTCCACGGAAGGGGGAGATCAACGTAGCGGCCGCGCACAATGAGGGACCCTGGCTCGAGATAGGCCTTCATGTCACGCTCCTGGTGCTCGTCAAAGGCCGCTTGGATGGCGGCAGCGTTGGGCATGGACGGGTGAGCACGGATCTCGCCGCTCGTCCAGATGGCAACAGTGCCTCCCGGTTTGAGGACGCGGGCGGCGCTGGGCCAGAAGCCAGACATGTCGAACCAGTGAGCGGCATTGGAGGCAGTGATGAGGTCGACGCTAGCATCTGGGACCGGTGGAGAAAGGTTGGCTCCGAGTTCCTCCGCCGTGGAGATTTCGAAACGTGCGGGTTCAGAGGTGGAGGAGACGACACCCAGGGAGCGAGCGATGGCGAGCATGCCTTCGGAAGGATCCAGGCCGAGGACGTGAGCAAAGTGAGATGCGAGCCCACGAGCCGCAAGGCCGGGGCCACAGCCGACATCAAGCAGTGTGTCGAGACCACCCCCAGTGGATTTGTGATGGTCAAGGACGGTTTGATACACCTTTGGATGGTAGTCGCGGCGAACTTGGGCGTAGATTTTGCCTTGTTCCTTGTTGTAGGAGCTGAAAGTCTTCTCCTTTGGAAAAGGGGCCGAAGCGGACTCTGGCTGAGACATGGTGCTTTCCAGGCGGCAGAACAGGCAACTGGAAAAGAGTGGTAGGCTTCAAGAAACAATAAGATCCGGATAGGCTTGCGTAGGAGAGCAAGATATTGTTTGAACTTAGCTCTGCATTTGCTCAGGTCTGAAGGACTCGAATCATGGACTAGAAAGAGAAGGATATGTGTTTGACGGAAGTGAAGAGATATTTATCTCGGGTGCTTTGGAAGCAAGGCTGTGGAGGAGAGCGATCAGCCAATAACGATGCATTGTTATGCATAGCGGGGTGGCACTAGGCCTAATACAGGGTACCATTGCGAGGCCCAATCAGCATTCCATTAGTCGAGAGAAGGGGTCAAAGTTTCACATACGTCGATGTCGGCGGTGAAGGAACTATCGACTCGTCTGAGTATCGCCTGAGACCTTTTCAAAGCGGTATCGGCCATAAAATTTGCCTGTCGAACGCCCATAGTGGCACTGATGCGTCGTAGTTGCTCCACAGCGAAAGAAATCACAGACAGCTCATTTCGCTCTTCCAGGGCGACCAGAAATAGCGAGTGCATGAGCGAGAGGATGCCTAAGAGGTGGTTAGCTCATGGCCATAAATTGTGCGAGACGAGGGGATACTTGCGTGGAGAGTCTTTGAAACTATTTGTGGAGATGCAGATGTCAATAGACAACTGCCGTATGGTGGAAAGAGCTAGTGCCATCAATGCATCGTCAGGCTTGGTCGAGCGGACCTCATTCTGTAGGATGAGCTGCTTGATGAACATGCGTACGGCGCGCCAATAGTTCCATGCCTCTGCGTTCCAAAGATTGGCGTACACGTGCGTCTTCCCGTGAAAGAAGGTGTCATGGGCAGCGTAAGGAACATCGACTGTAGTGTATGCCCAACTTGGAGGCAAGCCTGCTCTCCAAGTCTCGAGGTCTGCATCGATCTCCTGTGTTATGGCACGGATGGCCCTTGGATCTGTCACCTCTTGACTTCTCAAGGCTGCGCAGAGGTTGGCCACCCGGATACAAATCTCGGTGATGGACCCTGGGCTGGCAATGTTTGCACGCTGCCAGTATTGTCTCAGGGCACCTGTCTGGAAACTGAAAGTCGCCTTGACCAGAGCGTTGGGAACAGCAATATGTTCCTGCATGCAGGCCAGAAGCTATGATCGTAATGAGACAGTGGACCACACCCAGGCGGAATCCCGGCAGCATTACTCACAACGTAGGAGCGAAACTGAACATATAGCAGTGCACCACGCTCACTGCTGAACTGTTCCTTGCCCCGGAGCTCTAGGACGGCCGTGCCGGCTCTAATGTGGGCAGCCCAATGGGGATATCGATCTTGGCTTTCGCAGTTGACGTTCCAGAGGGAAGTGAGTGACAGCTCGCTGAGATTTCGACTGGATGGTGTCTTGACGTACCTCGAAGAATGCGAATAACATGAGAGCCATAAACGTCGAGTCCGAAACAGCTTGAGCTGGGTCATTCAGGGCTTGTTGCATGGATATCAAGGCCGCAGAGTACTGTGCTCGAGCCTGAGATTTGACATGAGGCGCGTGAAAGACATTCGACAGTCCCGCCATGCCCACTGCCTCAATCACCTTTCCCAAAACGTTGTTGGGTCTTTGCTCAAGGTAGGACTTGACCAACCAAGCATGATAGTTACTGAAGGAAGTGCCATCATTGGGAGAGTACTTGGCGAAGAAGAAATTGGCTCCCAGTTCATTGCTAGATTGAGACAACGGATATGTAATTGTGATGGAGGACTCAATCGATGCTGGGAAGAATCCCCCTCCAGGTACTCGCGTGTCACTTCGCAGAGACTGGACAGAGACCTGTTGTGGTGTCCAGACCATACTTGAATTGTCCTCCTGACGGCGGTGTTTACGGGCAACGCGGTCGGATTCGTCTCTGATCCTGAGCTCATCCAGATTGCGGTAGCCCGGGCAGTTCTGTTTCAATTTCGCGCAATTTGCGCATCCTGGTCTCCCTTCGTCGCACTGACGAGATCGAAGCCGTCTAGGTAAGCCGGGATATTGCTGTAAGACTCGTAGCTTGTAGAGCTATGTTACAACTCACCTTGACCTTCCGCTTTCGACATCGCTCACAGCCCTTGCTGGGAGGGCGACAGAATACCATCACCTGGTATGACGAGGGTGGTCGAATATGTCTCTGCTACAGCACTTCTCAGTGATCCGCGGCAGGACTCATTGTAAGGGACGAAGGACAGTGAGTCTGCAATCAATTCAGTAATTGCATTACTTTCTGACCCTTGACGATGCGAACCAACGTTGTATGCTATCTTTTCCGATAGTTCCCGTGACGTACTTTCTGAACAGTGGAGTCTCTGAGGGCGGGCAGCCGCAGAAAGGCCACTGTCGCATTCGCGAGAACCCCCGGCCGTCCTGGACACACGTGGCGCAGCAGGAATAATCGACTCGGGACGTTGTGATGCGGGCGGGATAATGTTGAAACTCAGAGGGTAAAACACAGGGTTGCAAGCCAGGCCATCGATCTGCCCTCTATTTTTAACCACCTCCCAGGTGCCCCATTACACGAACTCGACACCAATCACTTATTTCTCTCACCCACAGGGGCTGCAATCCCCCTCACAAGCTTCTACCAAGCCTTTGGGGATCTTTACCTATCTCGCTAACTAAGAGGCTTAAGCGAGTTCGATGGACTCTTGCGAATGTTCTATCGCTACCCAGTACTTAAAGGGCGAAGTGTCCCATGCCCCTAGAGATACACACGAGTCCAACATCCTGGCTGTGAACACAAAAAGAAGACAATTGACAACATAACATACCCGCTTACGCCGAATTCACCTGTTCCAACCACTGAATCCTGCTATATCCTCTTTCGCGATCTCATCCACGGGATATAGAAGAATCGCCGTACGAAACAATGTCCTCAAACACGACCAAGCCCAACAAATCCGAAGAAACCCTGATCTCCAAGATCTTCCGCAGAAAGTCTGGCGCCAAAGTCGACCTGTCCGATGCCGCTTCGATGACATCCACAGCGCCGCTGGTCAAACCGGATGCTGCTGCTGGTAGCTCAGGCTTGAGAACGACGTCGAACGAGGAGCAGACGGCGTTCAACGGCCTCATGGACAGAGCCAAGACAATGAGTCCAGAGGAGTTCAAGGCGTATCTACGCCAGCACAAGGAAGACGTCGAGACCATGTACCGGAGACAGGGCGGTGGAATCACGGGAGGAGACTGGATTTATCGCGATCCCACAGGTACAAATGCAGGCCACAGAGTGTGCTGAAAGCCAAAGATGCTAATGATTTGCTCACAGTCCTTGGTCCGCTATAATTTGGCAGTTGTCACTTGGGATATTGCTGTTTGCCCGCATTTGTTCTTAGGCTGGCTGGGGCCTTTCTTTCTAGCACAGGACTGCGACTTGAAACAAGAGCGTCGGCCTCGAGACATCCCCGCATTGTGCAATGCGTGGGCCTCATTAGGAGGAATTGTGTGAGATATACGGAGTACAGCAGCAGAAATATGAAGTCATGTCACCAAAAGATCGTCCAAGTCGACACAAGAAAACACTCTCGCTTCTAGGGCCGTGCCTTGTGGTGAAGAATAGAAGCGTAATAGAATTCCATGCGTGTTGACTTGGCCACGCCCTGTGCAACACATCGAGGCGGTCATTGACTGTGGCGACTCGACATTGACATTATCAATTGACCAGTTACGGCGGCCTGAGAAGGTTCAACCAATGCTTCCGTTCTCGCTCAATTCTCATTTTACCTGACTGCATATCCTCATGACTAGTGACTGAATCCGGGACGGGAGTAGTCTCTCCCTGTCTCTGGCCGTGCTTCGCCATGACAGGGTGAAGACCTCATTCGTCTACCCCGGGTTGTCGAGACCGCTCAAGTCAAGCTCCCCCAGTCTTTCATCGGATATCATCCACTTTCGTTGGCCATCTTGGCCACGCAAAAAGTCGGCTCATTTCATGCTTCACATCCATTTTGGACGCCCTCAAGTCCTCTCCTCGGCTAAGAAGCTCCAGTAAACCAGTTGGTCGTTGTGAGTCTTCCTGACTGAATCTTGCCAGAAGCGCAAAGTGTTCGTCGGGATAACACACAAAAATAACAATAGTCGAAAGGTCAAAACTCCGTCCGCCCCCATCGTGGGCGAGCATGGAATACAAGGTACAGGGGGATGCAAGAGCGTAGACGTTTTTACAGCTCATCATGCTCTTGGACGCCACCCTCGTCGGTGTCAGCGAGCATGGTCTGGGCGGCATCCGCAGCCTCACTGACAACACTCTTGACTGCATCAGCCACGCCCGAGGAGACCTCTTCGGCTACGGTAGTTGCCGCAGGAGCAGCTTTCGCCATGGTGTCGCTCGCAGTAGATGAAACATCCTCCATGTCAACATCTTCATCCTTCTTGGAGAGGGCAATGCCATCAATTCCGTGCTTGCCATTGTCACGGATGAAAGCAGCCAGGTCTTCCATGGTGCGGGAACCCGAGTAGTCGACAGGAGAGTCCTTGGCGCCAGCGGGGTACAGCTTAATGGTGGGAAAGCCAGCAATCTCATCGGGAACATCGTTCAGGGTGGCATCAATCTTGGCCACGGTGACCTTGGAAGAGAGGTCACCGGTGTAGAGCTCTGCCAGCTTCTCATATGTTGGTGCGAGGCTGGAACTTGTTAGCCATAGTCATCTCCCAAGTGGGTGACACTTACGCTTTGCAGTGTCCGCACCAGGGAGCGTAGAACTCGATCAGCACATCCTTGGAGTCATCAAGGACGATATCCTTGTACGAATGAGCGACAACCACTGTGACAGGTCCTTCCTGTTTCTCTGGAATAGGCTCTGATTTGATGCTTGGCTCAAGCTTGCCAGCGACAAAGTCCTTGACGAAAGCACCAATCTGTTTCTCACCAAGGTCGTTGCCGGCAAAGGGGTATTTCTCATTCTTCACCGTCTCTTGGATGGCGAACGAAGGGAATTTGTCTGTAGGCAGGTTCAAGTTGCCAGCGTGAGCGCCGAAGGCCTTAGCATCAATGGTTGCGAAATTAATGACGCCTTTGTATTTCTCAGCGACGGGCCTCAGAGCTTCAGCCAGAGAGGATCGTTCTTCGGGGGTTTCAGCGAAAATGTAAGCGAGAGGGATTCCAGCCTGTCAAAGACATTAGCACCAAAGCTCTGTGACCTGCAAAGGGAGCACATACGCCCATGTAGCCAGCATAGGTCTCTGGACCAACTTCCCCGACCAAAGGAGTCGAGGCGGTCTTGATGAACTTCGAGATAGCCTCCTCATCGAATGACTCGGTGAATGTGTTCTTGCCCTCATCAAAATCCTTGTAGAGCACAATCGCGGGTTGCTTGACACCTTCTGCCTTGGCAAGTGCGGCATCATTAGAGGCTCCGAAGATGAACTCATCTCTTAACGACTCAGCCAGAGATGTGAAGCTCTGGTTTGATGCCTTGTCGTCGGCTGAAATGTATGCTACCACAACGACCTTGTCTGTAGTCTTGAACTCCTCCAGGGTATCAGGGGTGAGTAGAGAGACAGCAGGTAGTTGCTGTTTGGTCATGTATGAGACAATACTGCTTCAACATTAGTTGCGCAGGTCTTCTGGGGTATTGAGGCGTGACTTACGCAGGTGCCTTCCTCGCGCCAGGATATGGCTTGATGTTGTCAAGGCCCCGGAAGACCTTAACAGTAGGATACCCCTCGACACCATAGTCCTTGCACAGATCACCCTCAGCCGTACAGTCGACTTTCACGAGAGGGATATTCTTCTCCTTGAGCGTGGCTGCGGCCTCTTCATACTCGGGTGCCAGTGCTTTGCAGTGGCCACACCACGGGGCAAAGAACTCTGCTAGTACCAAGTCATGTTGGGAGATGAAGTCTTTGAAGTTGTCGGTCTTCAGGTCATGGACGTCGCTCGCAGAGGACAGGCCAGCGAAGGCAAGGCTGATCGCAGCCAGAGATGCGATTGATCGCATGATGGGACGAGTGTTGCAGCCGAGTGTGCAGTGAAGAAGACAGCGATCGTAGACGCTACTGGGGAACACAAAGGAATGGAAAGACCGGATAGATGATTCAGGTGTAATGTTTTCGAGAAATCAGGGGACTCTTGAACCCTTTATTCTTGAGGCTCGGTGTCTGGTAAGTGAATACCAGCAAGTAACTAGCACTTTTGCCGCTCTCGCCTCAATGAGGAGAGGTGTCAACTACTTTTTTGGGGCTTCACCAGCATCTCCACATGCGGGCGACACGCACTCGCCCCCATTCAAGTTCAGCTGCACCCCCTTTCCGCCGACTCATTGACCCTGAAACGCGGAACTGATAATCAGGGGTCCTCTCTCCTCCTGGTAGGCGGAGACGGCTTGTTGGTCCGTACCGAGTATGGCTGCCTCTCGAGCATCGGCCTTGAAGACCACCCAGATCTCCTCTGATTCCAATCTTAGAATGGTTGTTCACCTCACAAGGGCAGCCTCCAAGGAGGCGGCGAAGTTGCCAAAGTGGACATTCTGGCCTTTGGTGACACTTGAGCTTCTCACAAGAAAACTGGTAGCGAGGACTTTACTGCCCGGTATTTCTAAGCAATGATGACTATTCTGAGGAACCCCGTTACCACAGCCACAGATCACTACCGCCTCGAGCCACTCTATTTCAGGAGGTATTGAGCTCAATCCTCCTCTTCCGAGAGCACTATGGTAGGTATTGTCCTATATCTTGTTTCCTCTTCTCTTGCTTTGCGCCTTCCTTCGAGCTCCAACGCCATTTGATACGCCTCGGCCTTGCCGCGATCAACATCGACCAATAACATCAGAGGCAGCGGGAGGAATATGAGGACTGCCAAGAAGACAAACGCAGGTCGTATCTCCCCGTATCGATCCGTGATTGCGCCAACAATGGCCGGGCCGAAGATGCTGGACCCTTTGTCTGTGATGGCGTAAAGGGCGTAAAATGCTGCCTCAAACCCAGGGGGAATCAATTCACCAAAGAATGCTCGACAATACGACGATAACCCGCCAAGAACGAACCCGTAGATTGCCCCCAGAGGGTACATCTCCCATGGCTGTTGCAAGCCAAAAACACCGTATCGCTTGATGGCAGGAATAAACCCGAGGAGTCCATACAAAGGAATAATCTCAAACAAGCAGATGCACGCGACAATCGTCCTAGATGCGCGAAGGTTGAAGAACCGAGAGATGAAGCTCCAGTAAAATGCGCCAATGACGCCCGCTATCGTTGCAATGACGTTGATCATGCCCAGGGCTGGGGTATTCATCCCAAGACTCGTTTTGGCGAAGAGCACCGCTGTCCTGCACTCCGTTAGCAGTGGATCTTCCGTGACTTGATAGTTGCTCAAGACTCACCCGCTCACCGTGGCGATACTGTCACTGAGCAAGAACCAGGCGCAAAGAAAGATCACAATATCCTTTAGCTTTCGAGCGTGTCCGATCGTTGTGAACAGTGCTTTCCACGCATATGTCACGTATCCCACCCAGGCGTAGCGTCCCGTCAACTCGGTCGGTAAGGGCGGTCCTGGTCGGGGTCGGAGCCATAGAGCCGCTGGAATGCTGAACACGAACCACCACAGGCCCACAAGCAGGAGAACCAGTCTCAAGGATAAGAGTGTGGATTTTGTTGCGGCCACTATGCCGATACCAATAATTTGCACGAACAACCCAGCAATGTATCCGATGCCAATACCATTTGACGATATCTTGGTGGACAACTTCAGCGCCGGCGAGATCGCAGCAGGAGATTCTTGGGCGGGAGAGGTGTCGTCGGCGCGATCCCGAGGTAAGAGGCCCGAAGTCGAGCTCGTCAAGACGTGGTCCTCGTGTTCGACGTACTCGTCGTCGTCGCCTGCTGCGCGGTCTTCTTCATGGTCTCGCTCGATAGACGGGTGATGTCGTACTAGCAAGGGCAGGAAAGAATTCAGCAACACAAACGACGCTCCAAAACATGTGTTTGCAACGATGGCGAAAAGGGCTCCCAGCAAATAAACCTTGGGTATGACGGTGATGAAGAGGGCTGTAGCAAACGCTCCAGTAAAAGCGAAGGCGAGTAGGAACGTCTTCCGAAATCTGCCGTGATCGGCTGCTGCGGACATGGAGATGATGAGTAGAGCTTGGATTAGGACGCTGATGGAGAAGGTATACATGGCGAAACTCGCAGTGTTGATCTCGGCGCCCAAGATGTATACGACACAGGCAGGAAGTTCATTGTGTCGGTGTTTAGGAGAATCGAAGACGGTTGCATTCGGCGAGGTGCCATCGTCGCTTTTCCAGCCTGCGCTGCAGGGCGTTGTCTTATCTTTCAACAGTACTCCTCGCTCCCTGGCTAGTTGTTCGAGGGTAATTGGTAGAAAGGACCCTGCAGAAAGACGTCAATGGGAATCCGCAACGCAAATGATTCCCAAATGGCATGCTCACCCATTGCACAGATGGCAAACACCTCGGCGGCCCAGCCGTACGAATACCAACCCCATAGCTCTTTCTGGCTGGTCGGCCTTGTATCCTCATCCGCATACCTCATCTCCGCTTCAGGTTCTGTGAAGTCGCCCATGTCGGAATCTGAATATCCCCACGAGGATTCCCGCTCGTCATCTGCCTCCACGGAAGGCGTCGGGGAGATCAAGCTGATTTGGGACTGATGGGACGACTGGCGAGACAGAGGTGGTCGCTGACGGGCGGCAGCAAAGAGAGGATCATGGTGGGGGACCTGTTGTAATGATGAGAAGAGACCGTCGTTGGGGATAAGAAATGCGAGAACAAAGGGTTGCGAGACAAGGACCAAGGCATCTGATGGTCGAGATGCTGATGGTTCAAGGTGGTTTGTAGGCCTGCCGAGGGTCTTCTAGGTTTGGCGATTGGCGGAAAGGGAACTCACCATGTTGCCTTAAGGGATCACCCCCCAAGCTCCACCATCAGACTACACCTTCTCTACTCTATCAGATCCTCCAAGACACCCAGTTCTTCCTCCATCTTACGAGCCAGGACAGAGGAAAGAATCTTCGGTCATTGCGGAGGGTCGTTGGGTCTTTATGTTGGGCGTGCGCGCGAGAGAAATCTGCGGGTCGGCTTAGGCCAGACTGCGAAAATTGCGGTGTTAGAGCACAGATGCAGTGTTGATCGATGCTTCAAGAGATGATCCGCCGCCAGTGGGATTCGCGGGTCTTCTTATTCAAGCAGGATCGCCCTCTGGTCTGGTCCTAAGCCAGCTGATATCTGCGTCCATATCTCTTGTTTCGCGCAACTAGCACCTCAAACTCCTCCGAAAGCATATCGATAGACTGCTACCAAGGGCACTTATCTCATGACCACTGAGAGCCCATTGACTACCACCAGGTGGGCTAGGAGGCGGTGATCTTGCGTTGTTCTGGCGTCGCCATGGGCTGTGCAGCCTACCAAAGGCCATCCAGGACCACACCCTCTCCAATGACTTGCGTCCGGCCAAGGGATGGCGCCCATGGGATGGCGTACAGCTGGACAGTAGCTCGACTATTACCCATGTCCGCAGAGTCGAGCTGAGGAGCCAATCATATGTGCTCCCTTGCGACTTGTTCGGCGACGCAACCCTGAAAGGGTTGTGCACTTGACACTTCTGGCTGCAGGTGTCTCACAGTTCCGTCACAGGTCTGATCCCCTGACCCCAAGGTTAATGATAGATAATGGGAAATAAGAATGCTCAATGTACAGGGAGAGATAGTGATGGAAAATCATGGCGGAGTCCTTCTCCGTTTGCTGTTCGACATGCCCAAGTGAATAAGACAGGAATGGAGCAATGTAGTATCTACCGAATGGGTAGCGCAATACGAGCAAAGTCGCTAAAAGTGCTACTAATAACTGAGTGGACATGACGGTTTAGGTGTCTCCCGTCCCTACTACGAGTAGGGCAGTGCTAGGGTACTGCCTAATGAATAGGTGCCTCTGCCTAACCTTGGTGACTGGGCGCTGAGATACTCGTAAAGGGTGCAAATCGGGCTAAGCTACTTCGAATGATCGATCTTGCTGCTTTTTCGCCCTGACTAGACGCCCTAGCCGCTGTCCAATCGGTGTTGGTATCACCCGCCCTGCTGTTTGGCGCCGGCTTAAGTTGCAGCCCCGGCCGACTTCTCCGTAGAGGGAACAAAGTGCTGTGCCTGATCCTTTGACAGCCGACTTCCGCGCGGGTCTCATTCACTCATCCATCATTCCATCCCAACTGCAACGCAATCATCCCTTCACAACGCAGTCACAATCCACTTACTCTCCCATTCCGACACAGTCATCGAGTCGCCTGAACCCTTGTGCAAGAGTGTCGGCCTGCGCGCCTCGTTCGATACCGCCGACTAGACTGGCCTCGTGCGCCGTCCTCGTTGTCAACAAAATTGCTGTTCTGCAAACGGTCAACGAGTCGCAACCTCGAATTCGTCCTCCCCCACCGCATCCTTCCTCTCATTCCTGAGTCTCGACCGCTCTCACCACGAACCTTGCCTTCGATTTCGCCGTTGACCGAGACCTGCGCACCGCGATTTTCTGCGAGCCAGCCTCGTGTGGTTGCGCTCGAACCGACTACGCTCAGGGCGTTTGCTTACGGGGCTTGTGGGGGAGAAAAACGGTGACTTGCAATTTCGGCTTACCATTCGGCGTCCAAGGCGCACGTCCAGGTGTGCCGGCCATGCATTGCTTGATGGTTGATTCCGCTTCAATATGAACGGGGAAAGGCGCACGGCCAATGGGGAGCAAATATCAAATGGCTTCCAACAGCCCGCCGTGGATTCCACGCCTGAAGTTGGACAATTGAAGCAAGCATCGTTGCCTGAGGACCCTCCACCGTCTCCCATTGACCACACAAATGGAGATGTCGGGTCAAATCAGCAGACCTCTGAAACCAGAGCCCACGATGCCACCCACCTTCACGAACAAGCGCCATCCGAGATCCTGCAGCTTATTTCTCAAGATAGCTACCTGCCGATGGCTGCTCTCATAAACCGTGCTTCACAGTCATGCTGGAACCGCCTACTTGAGATGGTGATTCAGTTGGCTTCAATGCCCGTCCCTGAAATGCCACCAGAACAAGCGAAACTCCTGCCCAATGGCCTCCCTAACAACCAGTCCAAGGTAAATTTGGACAAAAAGGACCGGCTACTGAAGTTTTCGAATGAGCAAAAGGCGGATTTTATAAAACTTCTGGTATTGCTGCAATGGAGCAACAATGTGGAGGAAGTGAGCAAGACCATCTCAATCAACTATTGGCTCATGCAACGTCGAGAAGCGTACTGGAATGCTATCGGATCAATGGCCCTTCTCAAGCAGGAATCTTCGGGATTTCAAATACCGAACCCAGACCTCAAAACAGCCGCCGAAGTTCTGTCAAGAGGTAGTGTTCTCAATCTCCCCCGCCTGGGTTATATACCACAGAAAGACCTGTCCAGCAGACAGATACTTCGAATCCTCCAGTCGCTTAACCGGACGTTGAGCATCAAGCTGGCACTTTCGGATAATTTACCCCATCAGCTGCGAAGATTCCGGATTCATGATGGACGTGCCACTTTCACTGTGCCCAACGAATTCGAACTGGACGTCTCCATACTAGGTGAAAACCAAGACTCTCCGTTTCGCATGGTTGATTTTCGGTTTTCCTTCCAGCCATCCCCTCATATCCCCGATAGTCTACATTCGGAGATCGAACTATATGCAAATTCCAACATCGATCGAGACGGGCTAAAAGGCTGCTATGACTTTCTGCACGAGCTGGCTTTGTCTTATAAGTTGGCTGAACTCCACAAGCAAGCGCTCGACCTGGCTCGAAATCAATGGGCTGGCAACCTACGCGTTGAACTAATTCGTCGGAATCTCATCGTGCAGTATTGGCCCGAAAGACAAATTGGGAAAAGCTGGATTGAGGTCGGCATTGCTAGTGGTCGAGAGAAGCAGAAAACCACCAAGACGGACTCGGCGCCTTTTCTCGAGATCAAATGGATGCGACAGGGCAAAAAAGCGGACTCTCTGCAATTACACTTGAATGATGCACTGCTCTGCTTCGAAGCTATTCTCCGCCAAGTGCTCGCACAGCATACAACGCAGCTCCTGGACAACATCTATGATAAACTCGGTCTTACACCTCTGTTCACCAACGCCGAACTCTTCTTGGAGCAATCGCTTTCCTATGAGGATCCAGAAGAGTGCTCCCTTACGATGCAGCTCTCGCGCTCCTCAGAACTCCAGCTGAAAATTGATCCTGTGACAGGCCTGGTTGTTCTCAGCCCTGTTACAGAGAGAACAGAACGACTTCAGTATGAGATCAATCGGGTCCAAGGTGTCGCAGACGACGTCGTCTCCAAGCTCCTCAATTACAGGTGCAGCATCATGGAAACCAAGGTTCTTGTCGGCATTCTGGGTACCTGCTGGGAAGTTTTGCGCTCGTTCAAGCTTAGCCAAGCAGAGGCGAGAGCGCTATTTGGAGGGCCAGTTTCGAGGATGAACATGTTCCGCCAGAATCAGTGGACATCAAGCTATACCCTAGCCATCACGCACGCCTCAGATGGAGATCATTGGTGGCTGCTGCAACAAGTTACCGCCGGCGCTACGAACGCTCAAGCTCGTTATAGGGTTCTTCGCAAGCAGACGATAGAGGTCAAGGAAGAACTGTCCTCTGCATATTTCGATCGACTCGCGGAGTACTTGATGGGTCTGATTTTTCTCGAGCGCAACGCCGACTTCTTCAGGGACAGGAAAGAGAAGTTTGATCTACGACCCTTACCAGCGTTCGAACGGCATTACGAATTGCCTGAAATATCATTTGACTTGGATATGGCCAGGCCAGCTTTCTCGAAGCAACCGATGCCTCCTGTCGCTTCCGAGAGCACATCTTCCTTACAGCCGACCAACAGTCTGTCCAAGTCTCCTACGTCACAAAAAGGCATCAAAGTCCGTTTCGATGGAGTTGATCGCTCCACGAATAGAGTTAGGGCAGTGGCTCAGTATCAATATCAGGCCAGTTCTGCAGTGCTTAGACGTCTTGAAGAGTCTGTCCTCGATGCTAGCGTCTCCCTGAATCCTGAGAACAAAACCGTCATAATTCGAGTTACGACTGCTGTAGCGGAAGCTGCAATTCCAGAAATTGCCGACAAAGCCATGGATCTTGAAAAGGTGGTCTCGACCGTTGAGCAGATTCATCGTCTACCAGGACTGAGATTGAAAACGATATCGAATTCCAGTTTTACGATAGCGTATCACGAGGGAGCACCTGCCGAACTAGAACTCAGAATCGGATTTCCGAGCGGCAATCAAGCACCACAACTTGATTTCTTCCCAGTGGAAGAGAATCCGCATCAATTCCTCGCAGCACAGTACACAAAGCTGATCGCCGCCAGCCGCGGCCCATTTGCCACCAGAATACGCGACTTCCTCACCTCATTGACCTTGACACTTCCATTGTTGACCTATTTACAACGACTTCAGCAGAAACATGGACTGAACCTCGAGGCAAAACAGCGCCTGGACTCATCCGAGCGAGAAGACCACTTGCGAGTGCATATCCTCGTCAGGAATGCGACTGCTTTTGCGATTCAATATTTCACACCGGCAGGACAAGCGCCGAAGGATGTCAAGGCAGATTCCCAACCACATATGCTGGCAGGTCTGGAGATAATGCATCACATTAATGCATCAAGGAAACCAATGTGGCTGGTGCGCGCAGCCCTTGAGGAGTTCCAATCATACTCTATGCCATCCTATTCCACACCAGAGTTGGGGGCGAAGCTGAAGCAGGAAATTTTTACACGGTCAGATGGCCAGTCAAAATGGCTTGCGCTAGATAAAGCGGCGGCTTGCATGGCTGACCAGCCAGAGCCTCTGCTGCAAGCTATGCATGATCTCTTGTGGGAGTGGGCTAAGCTGGCGAAAGCGTCCGAAGGCAAGGTGCCCAACAACCAGGCATCCAACAGGGCCAAGGGTGTACTAGGCAACCCAAACACAATCAACGCCAACCTGCCGAATGGTAACAATAACCGGCCTTCTGCTCCCATGAAAGCCCCTCCAGGTAAGATGCATGCACCAGGTGGTGCGATTCTGAATGGGGCAAATGCCAAGGCACAAAGACCCCCAAACACTGTTGCTGGAGGAAGATCGATACCACCAAATCACAAGGCGAACGCCAATACCGCGCAAAAACAAGAGGTCATTATGCTGGACTAACCTTGACTGCCTACAACCGGCCGGGTGGCTCGTGTATCAATGTTTCTTTGACGATTTTCAACTTTTCACTTTGCCCGAGTTTGTTCATAATGGTCTTGGAGGAGCTTGAATTGGGGTGGTGACGATATACCCAAAATGGGATGGATAACTCTTACGCAAAAAGGCCAACAGGTGGCTGGCGCCCCTTTATGACAGTCAATACTTATGGATGGAGTTTTCTCAGCTGGCATAACGAGTGCTTGCCAGCAGGCTGTATCTTGAGTGAGGGATAGAAATTCTTTGCATCAGAGGGACCGCTCTAATGACAGAGTTGATACCACTTCTAGTCAGCAGACTGAACAGATCGTGGGGTTATTTTGCCCATTCCGCTGTTATCCACCTTTTTACTACTGTAGGTAGTAGCCTTACTAGCTAGCCTCACTAGCCTTATGACAGGGCGGCAAGGCTGGACAGGAGCCTTGCAATTTATTACGCGTCAGACACGGCGCGTCATGTAGGCAGCGACCGCGCCTCACGTCTTCACCAAAGTATTCGCGAATTCAAGTTCAACCCGTCGACTCTGGGCCACATAACCGTATCAACCAACTGTGCATGCTGAGCCGTCGTATGTCATATCGCGTCACTTCACTGAATTGCTCCTTCTCTCGCAGAACTGTCTCTGGACGGTATTGCCACGCATCTGCCATGTCGTTCTACAAACGAAAAGAACCACCGACCTCTTCACCAGACGACGCGAAGAAGCCCAAGAAGAATGGCAGCCTTACCTCCTTCTTTGGTCCTCCAAAGGTCACTCCGAGAGGCGGGGCGAATGCAGTGTCACACCAAGATGGAGCTCCCACAGCGTCCAGTGAACCACCACCACCAACATTCGACAAGGACAAATGGGCAGCAGGTCTCACTGATGAGCAAAGGAAGCTCCTCAAATTGGAGATCGACACACTGGATCCAAGTTGGTTGTCTGTACTGAAAGAGGAGATCGTGACACCGAGCTTTCTAGACTTGAAGCGATTTTTGCAGAAGGAGATCGACTCGAAGCAGAAGATCTATCCGCCTTTGGAGGACGTCTACAGCTGGTAAGCCTACTCACCCTGGTTTGAAGCTGGTTGACTGACACGATACCCGCCAGGTCGCGTCATTGTCCCCTCCATAAAGTCCGCGTCGTGATCCTAGGCCAAGATCCGTACCACGGTCACAACCAAGCGCATGGTCTGTGTTTTTCCGTGCGACCACCCACACCCGCACCTCCCTCCCTGAAGAACATCTACATTGCAATCAAGAAGGAATACCCCAGTTTCAGCCCACCGCCTAAGAACGGGGGTCTGCTTACTCCATGGGCAACCCAAGGGGTCCTCCTCCTCAATACCTGCCTGACCGTTCGCGCCAGTCAGGCCAATTCGCACTCCAACCACGGCTGGGAGAAATTCACCCAAAAGGTCATCGATACTGTTGTCAAATTGCGAACCCGCGGCGTGGTCTTCTTGGCATGGGGCACGCCGGCGCAGAAGCGATGCGAAAAGATTACGGGAGCGCGTCATCTAGTGTTGAAAAGTGTCCATCCCTCGCCCCTCAGTGCGAGCAGGGGTTTCTTCGACTGTGGACATTTCAGAAAGACCAACGATTGGTTGGAGACCCGTTACGGGAAGGAAGGGATCATAGACTGGGACTTGAACGTGCCGCAGCACCCCATCAAGGCGCCGGCAGTGGAGCAGCCGGTAAAAGTCACAGAAACCCAGAAGGAAGAATCCCAAAACGCTGGGCCGGCAACTGATCTCCCCGAGAAGACCAATGGGAAGAAGATAGTGCAGCAAGAGGAGTTTGAAGGGGAGGACGATGAGGATGCCATTGCCGCGTTAGAGGAGATTGCGGCGTTGGAGGCAAAGACCGAGGCCGAGGTCAAGGTCAAGGGGGACGGCGAGGCTTAGAAGACAAGCGCGTCAAAGACATGAAGCCTTTGGGGATTCCGCTCCAGCCGCGCTTCTTTTGCTGCACCAGAGCGTGCATGCTCGAGCACTGGATCATGGCTGGTTGGCTCTTTCCCTCCATTTCTACGGGGGTATGTTTGGAAAGGAGTTATGGGATCATTGTACCAAAAAAAAAGTCTGCCGAAAAAGAACATGTTGAGCATGGTGTCCGGGCGTTCACGGTTGGATGTGGTCAATCTTTGCTGGAATGAGAGGTAATTGGCCATCTTGCTGCCCCTGTAGGAGGAAAAGCAGACGGCACACACAGACACAGACAACGAGGATCTCTTTTTCTCACTCTCCTTATAGTTTTCGATTGTTAGAGCAGTGCATTCGCGGTATTAACACGACCGTGCTCTGAGAACATGAGCCTTGTCCCACGGTGCACTGCAGTGCATAGCAAGCATGAAGGGACCGTGAGATAGTGCGTTTGGCACAATTGATTGTTTGATCAACTGCACTGCTCCATACCGCTCTATATATGTAGCATACCTAGGTATTCCAGCGCTGAGCTAAGAAACTGCGTATTGCCATGGTGTCGATGGGCCGTCATTGGTGGCAAAGTGAATAGAGATTGCCGTCATTAGGCTGAGGAGCACCCCCTCGGCCTCAAGCTTCTTGCTTTGAATCGTCGTCTTGCCCCTGGGAAGTCGGGTGCGACTCTCGACGAGTTCAAGGCTTGATGTTCAGCCCTCCACCCATCACACCCGCGCCTTTCACCGGCGATTCCCATGCGGCAGTCTTTTGCGAGTTGCTTGCCTCCGCTCCTCCTTCATTGAGGCATAGGGAGTGTTTTTGTTGACCCGTTGGAGAAAGCGGCGACCTGCCATTCATGCATAAACATATAGGGAATGCCTAGGGGCGGCGACAACGACGGCGATTTCGTACCACGGCGAATTCGCTTCATACTTGGCAGAATCTACCACCACCAAGATTAGCTAGGAGTAGATTCTTCGTATAAAAAGTTGTCTCTTTTTGATCTTGTATACCTCGCCGCTGCCTATTTTGTATAGCTGATCTTGAGATCGTCCTGGTCTGTGTAATAGCTATAGGCCCCTCCGCAGTCCCTCGTGCTCCTGAGCTAGTCCGCGACTAACTACCGGCATCAACTACGCCTGCTACGATTAGTAATGGCAGTAACAGTGGCAGTAGCAGTGGTAGTAGGAGTAGCACTAGCAGTGGCAGAGGTAAATAAGTCCGTACAGCTATACAAAATAGGCAGCGGCGAGGTATACAAGATCAAAAAGAGACAACTTTTTACACGAAGAATCTACTACTAGCTAATCTTGGTGGTGGTAGATTCTGCCAAGTATGAAGCGAAATCGCCGTGGCACGAAATCGCCGTCGTTGTCGCCGCCCCTCAGCATTCCCTTATAGAGTGTTAACATCTACCCACATACGTATGTGGGAAGGGCGAGGCAAAGTCATCATGCAGCAGCGTTGGAATGAGTGGAAGTCTGGGCTGTGAAAGACGCCCTGTGGAGGAGAGATTCAATAGAGAAATGAAGCCCTTTGAGATCAACGATGAAGACGGTGCACGGTACCCTAGGAACAATCGATGCCACTGAGAGCGTTGCATGGATGCCAGATGCTGACGAGGGCATGTGGGTCGCCTCGGGTGAAGTTCAGCCTTGTGGCTCAGCCTTGGTTCAGCCTCGTGATGCAGCCTCGCCAACCAACCAACATCTCTTGTCGCCGTGGTTCAGCCAAACCCTCAATACTTGGCAATCCCTTCTTCCAGCGCTTGAATCTGCAATGCCAACAGCTTCGAGTAGTAGCGGCACAGCGCCAAGTTGCCGCCGTGGAACCAGAACCCCGGATGGCCCGTCCTCCTCCAGATGGTCCGCATCTCGCCCTCAGCATCATACCCCCAGACATCGCCGACGCGGTTGGCGACCTCGTCGCCAAAGATGTCCCTTGCTGTCGTGCGCATGTTCTTGTACCCTGTGGCGAACACAATCTCGTCGGCTTCCAATTCGCTGCCGTCGGCAAAGCGAAGTCCGCGGGGCAGGATTTCGTCGATTTCCTGGCCCTGCTTGATCTTGATCTTGCCATCGATGATGAGCTGACTGGCGCCAACAGCGATATAATATCCGCCGCCTCTTTGGAAGTATTTCATGAACAGTCCTGCGTTCTCTGGTCCGTTGTCGATCTTGAAACCGACTTTCGTGAGTCCTTCGAGGATTTTCGCATCGTGCTTGTTTTGCAGCTCGGTGACCTTGACCTGGAGGGCCTTCAGGACTTCACTGGGTAGACTGTGTAGCCACAAATCCGCGTCGTCAACGGGGGGACCGTTTTCGTCGTACAGACCAGCCAGGCCGATTTCGGTGATGGCCTCACTGGAGATGACACAAGTGGTAGACCTCTGGACCATGGTGACGTCATATCCCTTTTCGTAGAAATCTTGAGCAATATCGTGGCCTGAATTGCAGGACCCAACTACCACGGCCTTCCTGCCTTTCCCTTCGGGACGCGCTCCTTTGAACTCGGAGGAATGGCAGAGCACGTCGCCCTTGAACCCGTCCATCCCTTTCACGGTGGGATAGTTCTTCTTGCCAGAGTGACCTGTGCACTGGATGACATGCTTGGGGTGCAAGGTACGGGTCTCGGTGCTGCCGTCCTCTTTGGTGCGCTTGACGGTAACGGTCCACCGTTTCTGGCCCTCGTCCCACGAAGTCGACTCGATGTTCGTCTGGACCCAAACATTGAGCTCCATTAATTTGGCGTACGACTCGAAAAACTCAGCGAGTTTATCCTTGGGGGTGAAGATCGGCCAGTTTGGCGGGAACCTCAGGTAGGGCATGTGGTCGTACCACACCGGGTCATGGAGCACGAGCTGATGATACCGTCTCCGCCAATTGTCGCCAATGGTGTTTTCGGTGTCGATCACCAGGGCAGCAATCCCGAGCATCTTCAGACGGGCTGCTGCGGTCAGCCCAGCCTGGCCGGCACCTGCAATCTGCAATCAGTATGCGATCAAGGGTCCGAAGCTGGTAGTTTGTACTTGCCGACAACCATGACGACGGGGTCCCGATCCTTGAAGTCGATCTCATCACGTCTCCTCTCCTGCCAGTTCTTTCGATTCATCCTTTCCCCGTGCTCGACCCCCTTGGGCCTCTTGTGGCCGATGTTTTCTTCGTGGCCCGCAATTTCGCGTAGAGTGGTGAAGAAGGTGAAAATCTTCCATTGCCCGTCCCTCTCGGCCAGACGAGCGACACCTTGACCCCTCCCAACCTTGGAGGTGAAGTTGAAAAAGAACTGAATACCTTTGACTTCGCCAGTGCCGTCAAAGGCTCCCAGCTGAGGCGAACGATACGCCGTGGTCTTGTCGATCTCAATCTTCGTCAAAGGGCAACCGTTGTCAGCAAGGAAGCTGGTGAGCTTGTCCTTTCCTTTGAGTGTGTGCAGGTCCCAGGAAAGACCAAGGTGATCTCGCCAATAGCCATCTTCAAGAAACAGCTCTGCAATGGATTTTGTGTCCTCGTTCTCTAAGGCCGTGTTGATTGATTCAGCTATCTTTGTAGCAACGACATCAGGATCGACCGATGTAGACTGTGCCGTTTGGGGCCATTTGCACAGCGGGATGTTGACGGAGCCAGGTTCACAGCGATCTTTCGACAGTGTGAGACCAGGGTCGGTTGCGGACTGCACCTGGACGCTCATGGCGGAAATGATTGTTTTTGGCGTCTACTGGAACAATAAACAGAATTGAACACGTAGCTCAGTATTGGGGCTGTTTGAGTGAAGAGGATTCTTTTCTCTGCAGTTACGATTAGGCTGAGATTGTGGGTTTTGTCCTCATCACGACGTGCCCAAGTATGGCAGTGCTTGCAGCGGGGAGCTCTCAGCTCTGCACCACTACCAGGGTCGGAATACCAAATTGGGCTTTTCCAATGCTGTCACCAATCGGCCCAGGTCGGACAAACCCCGCGTTGGCAAAATGAGGAGACAGCTTCCTCTGCCCCGAAGGCAAATCCACCGATCAACAGGTGCATCTTGGTGGTCTGCTTGATATCCACATCAACCAACACTAGACCAATGATTAAAGGAACCTTCCCAGGAACACGCCACTTCTTCATCCGTTGGGAACATGATACAACGAGGAGAGTAATTCCAAATCCTTGGCAATGGTCGGACTCGAATCAACGAAATCATAGATGAATTTTACCATCCTGGTGCACCAGGGCTCGAATCCGGAGGGAAGGCTGTCTCTTAGCCGGAAGTCAGGTGAGTTTTTGAAGGCATGGAAGATGAGCAGCTGCCCAAAGAATTGTCCACATGCAAAGTATTTCAGGGGCTCAAAGTTCTGCATTCTTGCGCAGACATCCAACGTCATGTGCCAATCCATGGCATATTCCAGCGCTTCTGCACATAATCTGAGCTCGGTGTCGTTGACCGAGGCAGGATTTTGAATGGCTTTATACAGGAATGGTCGCCCTAGGTGGAAAATCGACACCCGGTAACGCATTTGAAGTAACGCGACAACAACGGCGTCGGCCGGGCATTCGAAACTTTGCTGTTCCCGGCCGCTGGCGTAGCGGAGCGCCTGAGGAAGATTGGCCCGCCATTGCTCAAGCTGGTGGCGGAGCTCTTCGGCAACTTTGGTTGAGGGGTTGCTGAAGAACAGCTCATCCTTGATTCGATTGAGGATGATTCTGTGGGCGATCTGTGCGAGGAAATGGTAATGATAGAATGAGTCATCCGAATCTTGCGGGCGCGAACCGATGGCATAAGGATACGTGGTGAATTTGGGTAAGGGGACGTCCTCTTCCCATGCCTTCAGGCTGCTGGGCGGCAGCTCCAACTCTTGAACAACAAGACTCTCAAGCATGAGCGAGCACCAGAATAGTCGTGCTTGCATATCCGCCAACCACTCGTCAACGGGTTCGGGGGGGCATTTCCAGTACGCAGTGCAGATGACTGCCGCCCGACCGGCTTCCAGCCATTTATCAACCGGCCGCATGGCTTGCGCATAGAACACGGCCGATGTCAGGTAATATTGGCAAGCCTGGATGTCCCGCTCGGAAAGGCAGAAGCCCACTCGCCTCCGGGCTTCATTGAAAAAGCTGAGGCCGGCGATTTCTTCTTCCATAATGTGTCGGATGATTGGAGTTATCGAGGCTTGATTGGATATCTCAAATCCCCCTTCCTCGTATGCTTTGAGGCCCATGCACCCCAACGCCATGACGTTCAGGACGAGGCATGACTCTATGCCGTGGCCGAACCCTTCTCGGACTACAACAGCAAGGGTGCTGAGAAAGTAAAAGTCGCGGTCGATGCATGGATATACTCGGTTGAAGGTGTCGAAATAAGCATTCGACAAATCCTTCACGGAAGACAGGCTGAGGGAGACGAGCCAGTCAGGTGTTGACATGGCACCTTGCGCCGAGATGACCGGCTCAAGTGATGGCCGTGCCGACTCCAGCAGAGTAGGATAGCTTCTCTCCAGGTTGCGAACCTCGGACGTAAGGCTGCTTGGGAGGAGAGCCTGCACACCTGGCCAATGAATCGTTTGACGGGCACTAAATGACAGAACAGCAGATTGGGCGCTCGACTGTCGAGGCAACTGTCTGGTACTTGACAGCGGCGAGGAAAGGGATTGATGGGAGACCACGGAATCCATGTGGTAGGGGCTTTCATTGTGAGGGAGATTGGAGTCGCTTCGGTGTCCCTCGGGTTCTTGAATGGCCTTTGCGATCGCTGGGACGGACAAGTGGTCAAGTTTCGATTCCATGCGCCTCAACGTGTTGAATATCATGCTCATCGAGATCTCATTTCTGTTGTTCCTAGTTAGTCTCTGGTGGACGGAGGTGGATTTTGACGCACTTAGTAGGCTTGCGCTCTGCATAAGTACACTCGATTCCCAGACTTTTGCAGAGGCTGCAAGGCATGTCCTCGTCACATCTCGTCTTCTTCATGCGACACGCCTCGCATGCCTGTCTGGCAATGAAGTTGCGCTGTCTCTTTGCCGGTCTTGAATCGTCATACGGCGCCTCGTCGCCCTGCGCAAGGGCGCTGTGGTTTTCGTCACCCATTTGCGGAACTTGTTGAACTTCCCCAGCTTCTTCGCTCGGAGCGCAAAGACCGGCTCATCGCTATCCACTGACAACCTTCACCGTCTGACAGTCACAGGACGCCCGAGTCTATTCCATGCTCGCAGCACAGCGAGGTTGTGATGATGTTTGTTGTTATGAGTCGTCGCCCGTCGGTCCGACAAGGCCGAGTCCAACCGCTGATTGCCAAGAGACTAGGCCCAGAGAGGCTTAGCATTTATTGGAGCTTCGGTCCGCTCCAAACAATCGACATGGACATATTTCCAACGCGACTCAGATATTGAAACACGGGAGATTTGATATCTTGACGACTCATGCCTGAGCCATCGTACCGAGAACCTAAATGCGGTTGTTCCACAGTTCTGGGAAGCCCATAAGGGTATGACAGCAGCCGCATCCTTGTCCCCTCGTCTCCCTAGCCTTGGAGAGACAGAGCTGGGAAAGTAACCAATCAACGCCTCCTGCTCCTGGATATTATCAATCTCACGGACAGCCTGCAGTCGCTTATGGCACCATAAAGATCGCAGCAGTTGAATGAGACTGGTGACTGCTGTGCTGTTTGCCAGAGACGGCGTCCCTATGAACCATGTTGCACTCGGATTGACGCGTACACGCCTTACGGGAAGGTTTGGGTCTAGTCTGATGGTAACTAGGCGATGGTGCTCTTCACAACCAGACACCACAATTTGGCTGAACGGAAAACGCGAGTCGCGCTTCATGCGTCTAATTTACGGTCATTTTCCACAAGCTGGTCAGTTCCTAGACAGGGTGTGGTGACAGCTGGAAGGTTGAATCCACGTAATTGCTACTGAGGTCGTTCACTTCGCTCCCGCCATGGAATAGACACGATAAGGCTGGTTTGATCGTCCATTTGGGAGATTGCCGAGGCCGATAACAGCTCGTATCTCTTATGCGGTTCTGAGGGTGGCCGATAAAGGAAGGTGGCCGTAGCGTTTCAATGCTAAGGTAGTATCGAGAGGCCTTTGGATTTGTTCCCCGCAGTCATCAAATCCTCAGCCTTACCAGCCACATTGGGCTGCTTCGACAGGGCTTCACTAGCCACCATCTATCAATGTCACGGTCGTAACACCAATCGCTAACATGGCAGAGCTCAATCCCCCACAACTGTTGACGGCTTCTATAGTTACATCAGAGGACATATCACTCTATCACAACCTCACTGTCTTCTACATGGCCTACTTCGCAAGGTCACTCACGATGGCTACGGAACGTTGCAGATGCTGTGTCACCTGAACATGCGGTGACTGGACGCTCTGCAAGCAGCTTCAGGCTGTGCTACCTCAGCCGCTCAAAGGCATAATAATACATCTTCGTCCCTTCGTTCTTGCAAGCGAGCTGTTGACGGGCTTCAATTCTTCTGCTGGAGTGTTCAAGATACAATATGCATCCTCATCTACTGTTTCCAGTGGCTACGCTCGTTGTCGGCCTTTTGAGCGGTCTGGGAGATGCGATTGCCGCCAACCCTCTTCCAGCGCCTCAGAACATCACATGGGGCACTTCGGGACCGAAGCCATTGGCCGGCTACTTGGTCCTGAACTCGCCGTACAATCAGGTCGTCAATGATGCATGGACACGAACGTGGACCACTATCAGCACTTTGAAATGGGCACCCGTAGCCGTCGAAGCGCCAATCAGCACATTCGAGCCCTTTCCCACTGCAACGCCGTCGTCCAGAGTGAAAAGATGGAATTCGATCCTCATCCAAATTGACCTCACTGTCGCGGACACCCAAGCTGATCTGCAACAAGGAGTGGACGAATCGTACACCATTGACGTAACCCAGGCCTCGCAATCTGTCAATATCACAGCCCAGACGATCTGGGGTGCCCTCCATGCCTTCACCACTCTCCAGCAGATCATCATCTCTGATGGCCAAGGAGGTCTCATGATCGAGCAACCAGTTTCGATTGTCGACTATCCAAACTATCCCTACCGGGGAGTCATGATTGATACCGGCCGGAACTACATTGGCATCCCCAAAATCTACGAGCAGATCGACGGCATGGCCCTCTCAAAGTTGAATGTGCTCCACTGGCACATGGTCGATGCTCAGTCATGGCCTATCCAGATCGAGAGCTATCCCCAGATGACCCAAGGCGCCTACTCTTCCCAAATGGTCTACTCACAAGACGACGTTCGGTCCATCATCGCGTATGCGCGGGCCCGGGGCGTTCGAATCATCCCCGAAATCGATATGCCAGGCCACGCATCATCCGGCTGGACGGAAGTTGACCCGAGCATTGTGGCGTGCGCGAACTCCTGGTGGTCAAACGATGTCTTCGCGTACCATACCGCCGTGGAGCCCAATCCCGGCCAACTCGACATCCTCAACAACAAGACCTACGAAGTCGTCAAGAACATCTACGCGGAGCTTTCGGGCCTGTTCTCCGACAACATCTTCCACGTCGGCGCCGACGAGATCCAAACGGGCTGCTACAATTTCAGCACACTGGTGCAGCAATACTTTGCCCAGAACTCCTCGCGGACGTTCAATGATCTGTTGCAGATCTGGGTCGACACCGCCGTGCCGATCTTCACGTCCGTTTCAAACAAGACGCTGATGATGTGGGAGGATGTGGTGCTCAACGCCTATCCCCACGCACACACGGTGCCCACGAACATCATCATGCAGACCTGGAACAACGGGCTGGAAAACATCCAGAACCTGACCGCGCTGGGCTACGACGTCGTGGTGTCGTCCTCGGACTTTTTCTACCTGGACTGTGGCTTCGGCGGCTGGGTGTCGAACGACCCGCGGTACAACGAGATGGCCAACCCCAACGCGTCGGTGCCGACCTTCAACTACGGCGGCAACGGCGGCTCGTGGTGCGCGCCCTACAAGACCTGGCAGCGCATCTACGACTACGACTTCACGCTGAACCTCACGGACGCGCAGAGGAGCCACGTGCTTGGCGCCGAGGTCCCGCTGTGGTCGGAGCAGGTCGACGACACGGTCATTTCGGCCAAGATGTGGCCCCGGGCGGCCGCCGTGGCCGAGCTCGCGTGGTCGGGCAACCGGGACCCCGTCACCGGGATCAAGCGCACGACGCAGATGACGCAGCGCATCCTGAACTTCCGCGAGTACCTGGTCGCCAACGGGGTCCAGGCGACGCCCCTGGTCCCCCGGTATTGTCTCCAGCACCCCCACGCCTGCGACCTGTACTACAACCAAACGGCGCTTGCGGACTACGCAACGACGCAGTGATCTTTTGTCGATAGGATTGCTTTCTTGCTGGAGGGACATTCCACGACTGCCGGGGGGAGGGTAATTGCACATGTCCATAGCCATGTACGGAAGACGGGAAGAAGGAGTGGTGAACTATTCGCCATATAAGAAACCCGGAGGGACCGGAGGGGAGCGGTGTTGCAGTAATGCCGGTTCTTCGGCGCCGGTCCTAGAGGATGCCGTCGATCACAATGAAAAAGATAATTGAGACCTATCCGTTGCTTTGACCAGCCGTTCGTATGAATACGAGCGCGTCAGCCTTGCCATGTCACGTTTGTCTAGTGCCTGCGGCCTCCAACAAATTCCGAGACGAGCACGGGACCGCCAACTCCGAGATCGGCCAGCTGCAAGAGTTTCGAGACGCAACGGCCCCCCGGCTTGACGCCTTTCTTCTCCAACTAAAACAAATTTAGTTCCCGAGGCGAAAAGGTGCCTCGAAACAAGTGATAATGAGGGGTCTCGGTAATTGGGGAAAACGTTGCACATGGAAAAGACCGTAGGGAAGTTATATATAGGTAATCGTCTGTGCCTGTCTCTTGTTTTCTGGTTGAGTGTTAGTTACCCGAGTATTCTTAACTATAGGTCAGTTGGAGTGAGTTTCAAGGATCCTAGAATTTACAGAAATACCCACCGTCATGCCTGCTACCGCCGAAGCTGTGAATGGTGTGAACGGAGTACACAAACCGGGCGACATACCTGTTACGAGCATCTTCTCGAAATTCGTCGCCAATGCGAGTACCGAGGATCTGACTCCCCACATACGAGACCGTCTGAAGGAATACATTATCGACTTCATCGGCGTGACCCTGGCCGCAAGCCACTCGTCGGAATCGACAATACCGTTCTGCAACGCCGTCAAGGCCCTGGGAGGCCAGAGTAATGGCTCGTGTACCGTCCTGGGCAAGGGTAAATCCTTCACCCCTCAATATGCTGGCCTGCTCAACGCCACCTTGGGCCATTCTCTGGATTTTGACGACACCTATGCGAAGGGGACTTTGCATGCGGGCGTCACAGCCATCGGTGCAGGCCTGACACAGGCAGAACTGCTGGGCGACCAGGCGAGCATGGACCGGTTCTTGCTTGCTGTTGCTGTGGGATATGAAATCACCTGTCGTCTAGGCAAGGAGCTCAGCAATGATGCTTACTCTCGCGGCTTTCACAATACCTCCACAGCCGGGATCTTCGGTGCCGTTGCCACAATTGCGGTCCTCAAAGGCTTGTCGATCGAGACCGTCGAAAACGCGTTTGGTCTGGCAGGCTCCAAGGCTGCCGGGTCGATGCAATATCTCGAGAACGGAAGTTGGAATAAGCGACTCCACCCGGGTTTCGCAGTGCATGATGCGTTCGTGTGCGTGGCTCTGGCCGAGGCGGGCGTCATTGGTGCGGCGAAGATCTTCGAAGGCACATTCGGCTTTCTGCATGCGTATAGTCCGAAACCGGATAAAGATCTTATCTACCTCACCGCAGACCTGGGAAGCAGATGGGAGTTTCTCGAGACGTCTCTGAAGCCATTTCCGGCCTGCCGCATGACGCACGGCTTCATTGAGCATGCAGTGAGACTGGGGCGTGACAAGGGCTGCTCCAAAGCTCAGGATGTGAAGAGCATCACTTTGGCGCTGAGTCCTGCAAATGTGAGCGTTGTAGGGGCACCGATCCCCAACAAAATCCACCCAGAGAACATGGTCGACGCTCAATTTTCTGCCTACTTCACCACTGCGAACAGCTTCCTGTACGGCTCTGACAATGGCGTCCGCTGCTATGAAAAGGACAGGCTGATGGACAGTCAAATCCGGGAGCTATCTGATAAGATCAAGTGTGTCGGCGATAGCTCGATCAAGGAGTTTGGTTCGAAGATGAAAGTCGAGTATGCGAATGGGGAGGTCTCTGAGATCGATATCCCCTATCCCTTGGGGGAACTGCAACACCCCTTCACCCGGGAACAGGTTGATGCGAAGTTCTTCAGTCTGGTGAATCCGATATATGGCGAGGGGAAGGCGAAGAGCATAAGGGATGCAGTAAACAGTATTGAAAAGCACACTGTTAGTGAATTGCTTGCCATGTGTTGAGCTGCCTGGGATCAAGGACGTGAGAGAGTATGCATCATGTAAGTTAAGAATTTGGGTCATCTTTGTACTTTGTTGGTTGATTCATTTCATCAATGGCTTCATCCTCTGCTCTCCTTTTCGCCTCCCTCATTCAGAATAAGATGATGCGTGGACTATAAATAGATCTGTGCTTGGGAGTTGATGAAGATGAGAACGGCAGTGGCGGCTGGCTGTCGGCCGTCCACGTGGTTGCTGCCAAGGTAGCAGCCTGCCAGCCTGACCTGCAACCTGTACTTCATGTCCTCGTCTCTTCTCTCTACTGCTAGAGAATACCCCGCCTCAGCCTAAGGGCACATTTCTTGCAGTCCACCGTCCTTGCTCGCCCGAGTATCGATCTCTAATTACTTTCGCATGGATCCCGTCGCCGCGGTCGGTTTACTCGCAAGCATTATCCAACTGATCGATGCAACCGCCAAAGCCGTCAAATATCTGAACGACGTGAAAAATGCTCCCAAAGAGCGGGCAAGGCTTGCGCGGGAAGCCACCAATCTTTTGGCACTCCTGACAGACCTGAGGTATAGAGTCGAAGATGCAAAGTCAACAGATCCATGGTTTGCTGGAGTTCGTTCACTTGGAGTGAAAGGAGGACCGTTGGAGCAGTTTGACGAAGCAATAACGGCGCTCACCAGGAAGTTGAACCCTGAGAAGGGTGTCAAGAAGGCCGGGAAGTCTCTGCTGTGGACACTCAACAAGAAGGAGATCGATAGGATCTTCGATGAAATCGAGCGATTGAAGACGCTGGTGAGCCTTTCGTTGCAAGGGGATCAGTTGTGAGCTTGATAGAACACCACCCTATTTTCCCACCGGTGCTGACAATCTCAAGTTCGCTGTCTCAATCAATAAAGAAGGATACGGTCCAGGTCGTCAAGGGACTCCAAGACAAAAGAAGCCGTGACATTGTTGCTTGGATATGCCCGTTGAACTTTGATACCAAGCAGGATGACTTCTTCAAGAGGCACCAGGAAGGGACCGGAGAGTGGTTGCTTCAAAGTCATGCATTTAAGGATTGGATGAATGCAACTGGGAAAATTCTGTGGTGTTCTGGACTCCGTATGTATGGTTCCACCCTTTCCACCACTATACTGACATGACTCAAGCGGGTGCTGGCAAAACAATCATCACGTAAGGATCCCGTTCTTCCGAATGGTGTTCTGGGAGTAATTTGGCTGTCACGGGTTTCTAGATCGATTGTTGTTGATTTTCTTGAGCGGTCTTTCATCCGTGAAGATGTCGGTATCGCCTACATTTACTGCAGCTACAAAGATCAGGACAACCAAACCGCAACCAACCTCATTGCAAGCCTGTTGCAACAACTAGCGCGGAGAGCCTCTGTCATTTCGGAAAATATCAAGTCACTCTATGAGAAACACGCTCTGAACAAAGCACGGCCGTCACTTGACGTATTTTCAAGCCATCTCCAATCAGAAGTTCGTCGATTTTCGGAGGTTTTCATCATTATTGATGCACTAGATGAATGCACTGAAGACAATGGAACTAGGAGAAGCTTCCTTGACGAGATTCAGAAACTGCAACCTAACGTACATCTGTTGATTACTTCGCGGCACAGTGCCACTATCCAACTCGGGTCAGAAAGTCTGACACATATTGAAATTCACGCGAGCGATCGAGATATTGCGAGGTACCTTGAGAATCGGATCGAAAACGCGCATCGTTTGGTGCTACACGTCAGAAAAGACCCGTCACTCGAAAATACCATCGTCCGCACCATTTCCGAAAAGGTAAAGGGAATGTCAGTAATACGAAACCCTCATTAAGATGTGCAAGTTTGATTGACTCTGCTCCCAGGTTTCTGTTGGCCCAACTCCACATGGATCGGCTGGCACAGACGTCTTGTTGTCGAGATGTCCGCAGAGCTCTACACAGTTTGCCGAAGGCGTTGGACGAGGTCTATGACGAAGCAATGAAGAGGATCGAGGGACAAGCTGAAGATGATGCTGCATTGGCGAAAAGAACCCTCTCTCGGATAACCTTTGCTCTCAAACCACTAACTGTCAGGGAGATTCAGCACGCTCTCGCCACAGAACCTGGAGACACAGACATCGACGAATATGCAGTACCAGACCAAGAAATTCTGATCTCAGTATGCGCCGGGTTAGTCACTATCGATCAGGAAAGCCAAATCATTCGTTTGGCCCATTACACTACTCAAGAATATTTCAACCGCACCCATGCAACCTGGATTCCACATGCGCAGACTAGCATCGCCACGACCTGTCTCACGTACTTGCTGTTCGATAAATCTGCCAAGGACAGCTATAACACCGGAGATGAGTTAGGCTCTCGAATGTTCACGTATCCTCTCCATCGGTATGCCGAGTTACATTGGGGTGATCACGCACGTGGGGAGCCGGAAGATCGGGTCAAGGACCTGGTTCAGATGTTGATTCTGCGCAGGTCGAATTCGAGACCCGCTAACAATTCCTTGACAATTTTTAAGCATAGACCTGAGGTGGATTTTGTTTTTAGATCAGAACGGCAGAAACTTATCACTGGATTACATGTGGTGTCAGGATTTGGGCTGGCAACAATACTCCGGCATCTACTCAAACAAGGCTGCCAAGACATTAATTGCAGGACTTCGGAGGAGTTTACGCCGTTGTCATTCGCTGCTCAATATGGGCAAGTTGCGACAGTGCGTGAGTTACTCGAGCATGGAGCCGATATTAGCGCCAAGAACAGTCACTTTCAAACGGCACTTCATCTAGCCGCAAGGACCGGGAGTGAGGCAGTGGTGAAGCTACTTCTTGAACATGGGGTTGACCCTCGTTCTAGGAGCGGCTTGCGCGACACACCACTAGGGGCCGCCTCGTTGAGTAGGGCAGCACTGGTACGGCCAATATTTGAACATGGTTGCGACCCTGACACTAAAGACTTCTCTGGGAGGACGCCTTTGTCTCATGCTGCGGAACAGGGTCATGAAGCAGTGGTGCGGCTCCTTCATGAATATAGGGTCAAATGTGATTCCAAGGACGATGACGGCAGGACGCCTCTGCTCTATGCCGCCCGTCAAGGGAATGATGCTGTCATACGACTGATCCTTGAATACGGCGCCGACCTCAATTTCACGGACAAATTTGGACAGACGCCCCTCCACAGTGCCGCCAAGTTCGGACAAGAGTCGGCTGTGCGACTGCTCCTTGAATACGGCGCTGACCTCAATCTCACAGACAAATCTGGACAGACGCCCCTCCACAGTGTCGCCAAGTTCGGACCAGAGTCGGCTGTGCGACTGCTCCTTGAATACGGCGCCGACCTCAATCTCACGGACAAATGGGGACAAACGCCCCTTCGCAGTGCCGTCGTGTTCGGACAAGAGTCGGCTGTGCGACTGATACTTGCATTTTCCAAGACCAACGTGGACCTAAGGATAACGAGGGACTGACACCTCTCTTTTACGCTGCAAGAGCTTCAAACGAGGGTTTGATTAAGTTGTTGTTCGACAATGGCGCCGACTTATACTCCCAGGATGTGCTTGGCCGAAATCCTCTTTCGCAAGCAGTTCAAGCGTTTTTGTCTTGCAAGGGAGGGAAAGAGTGCGAGGAAGGGCATGAGAAAGTAATAAGTCTACTATTGCGGCGCGGTATCGACGTCGAATGGAAGGACGAAAGCGGTCAGACGCTATTGCACTATGCTGCTGGATCTATCTCCAGCTGCAATGTCTCGGTGCGGCTGCTCCTTGAGCACGGAGCTCTGGTGGACTCCAAGGATAACCAAGGTAGGACACCGCTGTGGTGGGCGTTGGCGAGGACAGAAAATGAGAAGTTGGCTTATGCTGCTTATCACAGTGATGAGAGGTGAGAGCGGCGGCGGGTATTCTGCTCCAGCACGGGGCGGACAAGGATTCTCTCGACGTCGACGGCGTGTCGCCAGAAATCGTTGTCAAAACAGGCATGAGGTTACCGGCCATCAAACTCAGGATGGACACAACTTGACTTCAAGTCCTCAACTGATGAGCTGCGCACCGAAAGAGGCTGCAAGACTGTCGTATACATGGATAGTCGGACGGCACACTCTGGAGAGACGGACCAAGAACATAGGTAAAAGTCCACAACTACTTCATATATGTCGGCCAATTCAGTGCCATGATACTCGGGGTCAGGGTAGAACACTACGGGGTTGGTGATGACAGACCACTATTTCGAGTCAAAGTCACGACGATTTAGTAACGAGGATACAATGTTCGGCAGGTATTCGTTGCCTTTCTAATCGTATGCCAACTGTATACCTCGTACGCACCCGTTCGAAGTCTAGGTAGCGAGGAGAATGTGGAGGACAGTGAGTAAGAAAAGAGTTCCATCGATTCGCCTATGTTCCCGTTCCCAGCGCGAATGCGCGATACGAAATGCGAAGTAATGCTTGAATGGATTTAGGTTGAGATCGCGACTTATGAGCAGCTTATATCTGACTAACGCGGCGCCTGTATTTTCATTGGCGATCTGGCGGGTTCAGGGATCCGGTATCTACCCAATTCCGAGTACCTGTCTATCAACAGATATTTGGTCATTGTCGAGCGAACAAATCAGAACCATATACATGAATAGACTATTTCCTGTCTTTCGTCCTCGCGGAAGGGTCGCCTCGAAATCGGCCCACTTCAGTCTCTCCTCTAGATCCGCTGCCCTTTCCACTCACATACACAAAGACAGAGAGGGCGAGAGTGCACGAGCGGGAGATCTCGAAGACAAAAAGATGCCCGAGGGCTACATCTCGCAGCGGGCCCTGTCCAACTTGTCCCCGCCGACGCCGGACCTGCACGCCGTCCGCGCGCACTGCTTCTACAACCAGTACGACCCGGCGAGCAACCCGGGCGGCATCGTCGCGCTCGCCATCGCCGAGAACAAGCTGATGCGCGAGGAGATCTGCGCCCACGTCAACAGCCATATGAACATCACCCCCTGGCACTTAACGTACGGCCACGGGCCGGCCGGGGCGCTCGAGCTGCGCAGGACGCTGGCCGGGTTCGTGCGCGAGGTGTTCCGGCCCAGCATGGGCATCGATGAGAAGAACGTCTGTATCTGCCTCGGGGCGGGCAACGCGGTGGACAATCTCGCCTTCTGTCTCGGGGAGCCCGGCGACGGCATCCTCGTGGGCAGGCCGCTCTATGTGGGATTTTTCCCGGACATGGAGGCCCGGGCCAAGTACGTTTTGTCTCTCCTTTCGTTTCCCTTACCCTTTGGGTCTGCTTCCTCCCCACCGAGTGTCCTTCCGATTTTACAGCCCCCGACTTTGACGCCGGGAGGGTTCCGTCCGTCCTGGTTGGAAGCTTACCTTGAGTCGGGGACGTCAGAGTCAAGCCCGTCCTGGTCCCCTTCGGTGCTGATACGGATCCCACCTCCGCCGCGGCGGTCCCCTTCTACGAAGCTGCCCTGCAGCGATCCCATGCCGCGGGCGTGCCAATCAGGGCGATCCTCCTGTCGAACCCGCATAACCCGCTGGGGAGACCGTACGAGACTGACTTCCTCGTCGGTATCATGCGGCTCTGCTCAAAGTACGAAATCCACCTGATCTCCGACGAGGTCTATGCGCGCTCGAATTTCCCCAGCACCGACATCCCCCACCCGCCTTCCTTTGTCTCAGTCCTTTCGTTTAACTTGGCCGAGTACATCGACCCGTCGCTGGTCCATGTGATCTATGCGATGAGCAAGGATTTCTGCGCCAACGGGATCCGCGTCGGCGCCCTGATCTCGCCCGCCAACGGCACGGTGATGAAATGCTTCCGCGCGGTCGCGAGTTTCAGCCGCGCGTCGCAACTCGCGGAACACGCCTGGCTGAATTTACTCAAGGACAGGCCCTTTCTGGACACTTATTTCCCGCTTCTGCAACGGAGGATGACGGACGCGTACGAATTCACCACCGCGTTTCTGAAACGGCACGGGATTCCGTACACCAAGGCGAGCGTGACGAGCTTCATCTGGGTCGATCTGAGCCGGTACCTCAGGGAGGACAGCGTCGAGGCGGAGCTAGAGTTGAACTGGAAAATGGCCCGTGGCGGGGTGTGGTTGGCCATGGGAGCGAGCTTTGCCAGCGAGAAGAACGGGAATTTTAGGATTACCTTTGCGACGCCGAGAGAGGAACTGAGTATGGGACTGGAAAGGTATGAGACTACCACTCTTCCTCGCTTGCTCGTGCTGCAAGACCGTGGACCGACGTGTGCTGACCAAAAGTCGGCCGACAGATTAATCAAAGTTTTGAAGGACGTCGACGAAGAGCTAAACAAGGTAAAGAACTAACAAGATTGGGTCAATTCAGATTCCCTAGAGGAAATAGAGTAAAGGTTAGACCTCCGTCTCCGTGCTATGAGGGAGCCCAGTAGAATATCCAATAAAAGCTCGCCCCTTGGTAGGTGCAACATCCTGAAAGATGTGGGCGGGTGAAAAGCGAAGTGCAGAAAGGAGTCTCACAGCCAGAGGAGACCTATCAACGAGAGAGCAAGCTGGGAAATGGAAGCAGATCTAGCCATGGCCCCAACATCGCAATAGGTTGTGGAGGGAGATTTGACTTCTCCAGGTTACGCGTGGACCATGGTAGTCGAAGAGACCGCTGCGGATGTAAGAGTGTGCAGTGGCAATCTCTTTTATGCCGTTCTTTTAGCATACTCGGATGACGGATGGCTGCCAACAGACTGCTATGCGCCGAAACGATCCGCATCGCAGACACGTCCATCAATGTGAGCACCAGTCAGCACATGGCACGCCGCAGGAGAAGCCGCAAGAGTTATCGTCGAGAGGAGGTGGCTGCACTGCCCCTGCCTGTCGTGGCCGTCCCAACTATATCTGTAACGTCTCTTGTATTTCCGCGGCTTCAGGTTAGCAGTCTCCTGTGTGCTCTGTAGTGGTGGGAGAATCAGGCTGAGATGTGTTGCTGCGATGATGAAAACGCATTGGACCTTGTTGCTGCTTTTAGCGGAACAAGGATGTTGCGAGCATCAACATTTCCCAGCCTCACGCTCGATCATCACCCGCATCTCAAGACCATCATTTCCACAATTCTCACCTTCGAGAAGGAGAAACCTGATGACCTTCCACCACTAGTGGCCCGGAAATGCACTTATCTTTCATCTCCCAATGACTCAGAAATTGGGCAATGTACGGAGCACCCTGGGCCATCCCCGGCTGTTGTTGCTGCCAAGGGTAAGAACAATCATCCTGCTACACGCTAACTTGCACCCAACCTCGCCTGTCGTGCCAGAAGCATTCGGTAGGTCTTGAGGCTTGCCACTAGGCGCCTAGACGGAACCTCCAGGCATCGCGCCGTTCCGCTGGTTGCTGATGCGTCGGTGGGTTTCCTACGGGGACTATTTCCTGACTGGCGCTGCTTGTCCGTTGATATCAGCTCTCCGTCGCACGCCGATGGATTTCAACAGGCGCCAATGACGGCCCGGGCGCTGGTTGTTCAGGCCAATACGAGCGAGGCGGTGTCCCAACGTGCATGCCCCCCCAGCATCCTTGGTGGATGGTGACCTTGGGACGTGAAGATCAGCAGAAGAATATGCAAATGTGTTGGCATTGGCCTTCCTTCTTATCATCGACTTTGGGCCAGATCGGGGGCAAGTTCAGTCTGGAAAAGGCGAGCTGCAGGGCACGCTCCGCTCGCCTGGTTCCAAGATTTCCTCTGCCCAGGCGCTTGGGCGAGACAAGGCCCGCAAGCCTCGACAAACGACAAACCTAGGACAGACGCCGGGCTTTTTCTGGCTTTCAGGCGTCGCCGGAGATTGTTGTGGTCCCTGTCCGAGCCCTGTTCTGCAGAAGCAGCCAACTTGCCAGCTGGCGTCAGGATTCGTCAAGAACGTTCTCTTGTCCTACTCGTACACCACTGCCGTCTTTTGGTCCGAGGTAAAGGACCGGTGTGGCAACCTTGCGCAGATTCTCAATTGGCCTGGAGTAGCGGGTTTCGAGTCCCGCAGCCTTTTGGCCGTTTCTCATCCCCCAACCTCAATGATGGCAGATGGAGAGATTATTCAGGCCGGGAAGGCTAGCATCACTCCCCGAGGCCTAAGTCGCTCCCCAGCCCCAGAACCCCGCAGGAAACAAAGGGCTCTGCAGGGACTCGAGAAGAAGGCTTTCTCCAGATTTATTCAGTCTCCGGCAACATGGCTGCTGGCATCGCAAACCAACATTATCCCCGTCTCCTCCTCTGAACCGATCACTCGGGTTGTCATCTCTTCTTCCCCTACCCTGTCTTTTTTCCCAAGACTGTTTGTCTTTGTTCGAGTGATACCTGCTTGGCTGCTCTTTACCCCCCAGCCGTGTCGACCATCATGGGGGCTGCAAAGAGACATACCTCGTCTCACTCGAGTCCGTACAACAGACTCGTAACGGTGGCCGTCGCTTTCGGTTCTATGGTGAGTGACGGTTCATAGGGTTTACCATCGACTTTTATGTAATGGTGTTGGCAGAAGAAGACTGACTGTGGCAGACCTATGGCTACTGCTCGGCCATCATTGGGAGCACCATCGGGCAACCAGGATGGTATCAGTTCTTCGACCTGCCTATGCAAGGCGAACCAGGCTATGGCGGAAAGACCACCGATGCGATTGCGACGGCGAACGGTCTATACAGCGCAGGCGGAGCAGTCGGATCTCTTTTCATTGCTTGGTCAGCTACTGCCATTGGCCGCAAACGAAGTATTCAACTGGGTGCACTCTTGGCCATCATCGGAGGCGCTTTCCAGGGAGGTGCAGCGGCGCTGGCGTAAGTTGTCACTCCGTGTGTCCTTGTTTCTGTCTCAGAACACTCCTGATATCTTCGTCAGCATGTTCCACGTGGGCCGAGTCATCTCGGGCCTAGGGATCGGGATTCTCGTCACGGCCTGTCCGATGTATCTGTCTGAGTTGGCGCCGCCTGAAAACCGTGGGTGGTTGGTTGGCCATCATGCCATCTTCTTGGTGTTTGGATACATGCTCTCGGGATGGCTCGGGTATGCATGTTATTTCGCAACGGACAAGAACCCGTCCTTTGCATGGAGGTTTCCCCTCTGTGTTCAGACTCTTCCGCCGTTGGTGTTGGCGATCACATCGATCTGGATCCCCAAATCGCCGAGATGGCTCCTCCAAAAGGGCAGGACCGAAGAGGCCTGGACCGTTATCCGGGCACTGCGCCGATCGCCAGAAGACCCAGACGATCTAGTGGCGAAGGAGGAACTGTACCAGACCAAAGAGCAGATCGCGCTTGACTCCGCCAAACTGAAGGCTGTTGGATATGGCCCCTGGATGGCTTGCATCAAGAAGAAGAGCTATCGCAAGAGAATGATCATTGGCTTCTTGACGCAATGGGGAGCCGAGTTTGCTGGTCCCTTGGTCATTGTACGTGGATTTCTTCGTCACTTCCTTGTTGGATCCAAAAAGCTGACACGTTCCTAGAACAACTATATGGTGATTCTATACACGAACCTCGGGCAGACAGGATCGATGCCCCTCCTTCTCTCCGCCGTCTGGCTCACCACAGCCGGTAAGTACTGCCCCCTTACCTTACCTTGAGAGCTATCCCCGCTCACATATTTCCTCGGTTCCAGGTGTCATCTACAACCCAACAGGCGCGTGGCTCCACGATAAGGTCAATTCCCGGCGCTTCATGTACATGTTCGGCACGGCGGGCTGCCTGGTGACGACGTCGATCCTCTGCGCGCTGCTCGCGACGTACGCCGGCACGACGGACAAGGGCGGCAACGCGGGCGGCGTCTTCATCGTATTCCTGTACCTCACGTTCCAGGGCACGTTCTGCGACACGACCATGTACCTGTACGTGAGCGAGATCTTTCCGACCGAGATCCGGCCGATCGGGATGGGCTTCTCGCTGTTCGGGCAGTTCGCGGCGACCATCATCCTGCTGCAGACGGCGCCGATCGGCTTCGTCACCGTGGGCTGGAAGTACTACCTGGTGATCGTGTGCTGGTGCATCGTCTACCTGCCCATGATCTACTTCTTCTGGCCCGAGACCGCGCGCCTGTCGCTCGAGGAGATCTCCAAGCAGTTTGGCGACGACGTCGCCGTCCACGTCAACGACATCAGCGACGAGCAGCGCCGCGAGCTCGACGAGTTCCTCAAGTCCAAGGACATCGTCCACTCGTCCGCCGGCGCCGACTCGGGCTCCCCGGCCACGGAGATCCAGGAGGAAGCCACGGAGAAAGTCTGAAAGGGGTTTCCCTGCGATGTACTTACGCCTGTACACGCATGTATTCACATTCACGTCCTGACAATAGCAGGTCGGCGTATACATGACCGACCTGGAAAAAGAAAGGGAAAAAAGAGGAGAGATGAAGACAAGGAAGGAGGAGGACAAAACCAAAAAGAATTGACTGACGACGCGATCGACGACGAAAAAACTGTTTAATTGGGCTTTTCCCGCCTCCAACTGCGACTTTTCTGGTTCTAAATACCTAGTTCTATCGTTCCCCCCGTACATACATACATAACACCCGACGCAAGTTTCGAGGGCTTTTGCATTTCGGGATATTTGGTGTCCAATGTGAGGTTGCATAGCAGGTTTCCCAATCCAATATACAAATACTGGGTGGGCATCAGAGAGGAGAGGACTGGAATCTTATCATGATTGTCCGTACATACCTTCTAAAAAGGAATACATGCTAGTGTAACGTAGTTTCTTTGGTCTTTCAGGTTGACATTGTTTCGCACATGCCAACAGGTGGACGGATTCTTCTGCTTGGACAGAGCACCATTCTCGAGACCTGTCACCTGAGAACTATCTCCATGGTCATAAGCAGCTCGTAATACCATCTCTTGGTCATTGAACGTCTCTGCAGGCCTGCTCAAAAGATCGCTATGCAATTTGGTGGACTGCTAACGCCTCCAGGCATGTTGAACGGCGCGCTTGCGACAAAAAACTCCCAGCGCTGCTCCTTCACGCACATCTCGCTCAGTGCCTCAAGATCAAAGAGCTCACCGATCGGCATGCCCCAGCCCGCCAGTAAGTATTCATGCATGAAAACTCCCTCTACCTCGGCCTCTCCTTCACCACGGGGATAAGTCTTCTTAGCAGGATAGACTTCAAATGATATCGCATCACTCGCCACCGCAGAGAAGCCTGTATCCCACAGCCAGCGTAGCATTTCCTCGGTTCCTTCGACCCCAGCATGTTGAGGAGTCTTAGTCGTTGCGTACGCGTTCTTGTCGTCGGGTGTCATGCGCGTATCCCATTCCTTAGTCACCCCCATGCGCACGAAGAGGATGTCGCCACGTTTGAACGTCAAGTTCTCCTCTTGAGCAATCTCGAGCAGTACGCTGAGGGGGACTGAATGGTCGCTGAATGTCGAATAGGCAATGCCTCTCTTTTCTGCATAAGAGACGTAGTCCAATAGCACTCCTCGCCCGCAAATGCCTTCTTTCGCCCAATACTGCAATCCTATCCGGTGGTTCTTGGGATCCCTGATCTCCTTATTCGTCACACCGCCGTAGAATACCCTTCTACTCGGATCACTCCCAGTCGGGTCGGGTTGAGAGAAATGCCTGAGCCCGTCCCACTGGCTGCTCTGTTGCGGGTTGAATGTGTAGATGTCGTCAAAAGCAGCACCGTCGAGGAGGTCGACAATCTCGTGCTTGCAAGGCAACCGGCCAAAATTGGCGATTTCCAGCTTGTTCAACTCCCAGCCGAGATTCACACGACGTCCGCTTCGAATGCTTGTCGCGGCTGCAGAGGCGACGACGTCTGGCGTGAGAAGGACGAGACGGCCCAGGCCCTCTTCTCTCGTATTGGGCTCGCTCGGCCATACCCGCTTCTTGTCGGGCAGCGCATCGAACGGTGTCAAATGGAGAGGGTGTATTTGAGGGTCTTTCTCGTGGACGTCATTTTGAAGTGAGCCCATAGTGAGATGGAAGTGAGACCAACAAGGGCCGACTCCACGCGTCTAGTTTGATCTAGGCTGCTAGGATAGAATGAAGTCCTAATTGCTGTCAATTGTGCAGTCTGATGTGCAGACCGTATCGCCGTGAACGCGGGGTGTTCGAGATTCAACCGGGTAAATTGGAACTCGTGTGTTCGCTGAGAGCGTGGATCTCCATCGAAGTGCAAAAAGTTGGGGACAAAGTTCGATGGTGAATTTCTCCGAATCCTCTCGGTCGAATCACAACGTCCAACCGCTGTGGTGGCAATGTCCCATCGTCTGTCGAGAGCCCGCCTTTTCAGAGTGATAAACTTCGCATCATCTCCACCGTTCGGTTTGTGTTCGGAGCTCGGACGTCCCACAACAACGTTGTGACCATTGTTTGTGGTGGGCGGTCCACGAGACCCAGGCTCCCTCAAGTCTCTGCCGTTGAGTAAGTGAACAACAACTCCTTGTTGCATTTAGGTCGTTGAAGGCCGTCAGTGGCAAATTCGTGATGACCCCGCCGCCCCCAGATCCGCGCCGAATGCGTACCACATCCTCAATGGTTGGCGGAGGGGGCGGATTCAAAGTCGAAAATGCCCAATCCTCCACACGCAGGTCGGGTAGTTCACCTTGTGACTAGATCAGGTGCTCAACTGTGGGTATCAAGTCATGGTCAAGTTTGCTTTTTTGCAGTCCAGCTGGATTGTCTAATCGGAATCAAAGTCAAAGCTCTCAAGTATCCGACTGAACTTGTTGGAGAGCTTCCAGAACCGCATTTTCCGGAGCATGGTTTGAGCTTCGTGGCTTATTGCTTCGAGACTGCCACTGCTGTAGATGTTTTCGACAGCGCCAATACTTGCGGGTCCTCCGTTCTCGATCCAGGTTGCAATTGCGGTCCTTTGACCGTCAATCCGATTCGGCAAATCGAGTCGGACAGGACATGTGGCGTAACCGGGGTCTGAGGAGGGTTGTGGCCCGAATTTGGCAAAGGCAAGGATGAAAATGTAGCCCATAAAAGTTCGCATGATCTCACAGGGCGCAGAGACCAGATATTCGTTTGCCACGGCAATGATCTGAGCAGCATGCCAGGCCAGGTTGCGAGCCTTTGTGGGATTTTTCACGAGGATTGAACGTAGGCGTCGCGTGGCCGACACAAGGCTGTGATCTAGTTGTTTGGACTGCGAAGCAGAAGAGCGGAAGATATGGACAATAAGGTCCATAGCCTCGTCGGCGCTATACAAGTGGGAGTAATGACAGATGAGCGCGGTAAGACTGCAGCGATTTGGTCAACCCAAGCTTGGAATGGTTTGAAGGATAAGCAAGACTTACTTGTAGTGGATGAGATCGGCTGTAGAAGTCAGAGCATACATGGATTCGCAAAGCGCATTGAGTCCTTGGAGTAGGGTGCTTTTGGTCTGTCTCTGGGCCGCAGCTAGAGAAGGAAGCTTCAGATACTCGGTCGTCGCCATGATATCCAGCTGCTTGATATCCCAAAGAAGTCGGCCGATACTCTGAGCACACAGCCTCTTGCCCCATGCAGGCAGGTCTTCAGGGAGACCCTTTCCAGCGAGGAGATTACGCAGCACTTTGGCGGTCGATGCTCCACGAGCGGTCGGAGTCAGTCGAGAATAAAGTGCAGCCCAAGCTTGGGGCGACCTTGCATCCCATAAGGGCTCGGTGCAGGGCAAAAAGGACGGAAGTTCCTGCAAGTCAGCAGCACCTCGACGCGAGGTCAGCGTGCACAAAGTGCAGTCATACTCAAAAGAAGACCAAGCAATGCGCTTCTCTTGCTCCTGATCTTTCCATCTCAGCCACTCGGTTGCCGCATTCTCGTTAGGTAGTGGACTTTTGAAGTCTTCCCACTCGACCTCGGTGCTGATACGGGACTTTAACAAGCCCATCCCACGGAGGCAACCCATCAATATGCCCCTCGAACAATCTGCGTTGGCGTAAAGCCTCATGTTTCCAGAGCCGAGAGAATATATCTGGTGAAGACAGCAAGCTATAAGATATGGTGAGTTGTAAAAACGAGTACTATCTCCTACACCCTGTTTCGAGAAATCAGGAAACTTGTCTGCTTCGTTTCCGGGTCGAAACTTACCAGCCACGCAATCATCTGGCCACACATTTCACTCAAAGACCAAGACTGTTCTGTTCCATGCTGATCGTCTGAGTACATCGCCCCAATACAAGCCATGGCCGCCAAGGTGACAGTAGGGACCTTGGTCATTTGGAAGGTAGCGACATGAACCAGAGGCAAGATATTGTGGAACTCGTCAAAGTACAAATCCAGGGAGTTCTTCAGCAGCTCCATGGCCGACTTCATGTTTGGGTCGTGGGAGAGATCTTTCTCTGGCAAGTATGGCGAAGAGAGCAACTGGATCAAGCTTTTGATAGTGCTTCCGTTGTTTGATTCACTTGACGCGACAGTGCCTTGCAAAATATCTCGCAGAGGGGGAAGCCTGTATCGCTGAGATTCCGGATTCCGCGTGTGGTCGAAGGGCCATTGATGAGTAGCGGCTCGTGACTCGGAGGATTTTGTGGGAATGCCTTTGGATTCTTGGTTCCGGATTGGCATTAATTGGGCGGATATAGCTTGATGATTTCTGTTCTGCAGCGCGTCTTGCGGGTCGATTGGAATTGACGGTTGGAAATACATTGGTTGCATAACAGCACCATTCTGGTAGTGAGCTTGAAGATCACCATTACTCGGGGAGTCCAGGTCTAGATTGAGCCAGTCCACTCCACCGACAATTCTCGGGGCCGTGTCGTAAGACATGAAATTGAAATCGCCTGGCAAGAATCCCTCGAATCCCATCATAGAGTGGTTGAACTCGGCGCCGCCATTGGGGCTGGTGTTCGGGAAGGATACGAGATCTGGAGAGATCATTTCTATCGGATTGTCTTCTGGGGTTGGCTGGAAGAAAGTCGCGTTACCATTGAAAGCCCGATCAGCGCCTGGTCTCTGAACTGCATTGGGAACCAGACCCGGACCACCATTCATGACTCCTAGATGGGTTTCTGTTTCGTGCTGGTAGTCCTGTGTACTTTGGAAAGCGGCGTTCTGGCATGGTTGTTGCTCTTGGAGCTGGGCAGACATTGGAGTTGGCGACTCTACCTTGCCTTCTGCGATCCTGCTCTCCTCCTTTTCGTCGTCCGTCGGATATTTGCAAAACGAACCCGACTTTGTGCAAGGCAGACATGGGTGTGAACGGTCGCACTTCAACTTTTTCTTGACACACCGGAAACATGACTTTTGCGCAGATCTCTTTCGGGATATGGTTGCTTGGTGGGCAGTGCGAAGATGTCGAAGCAAGACATCATTGCGCGAAAATTGGCGACCGCACTGGTCGCAGGAGTAATGCTCTCGTTGGGAAGGATGGAGATGCGATTGCACATGACGAGCGAGGTGACTGGGGCGAGCGACAACGAGGTCACAGTTGGGGCAGCGGAGGGTTCGTGGGGTCTTTGGAGCGGACTATTGGGAGTCTCAGTCAGCGGGTGCTAGATATCTCTGAGGTGTTCAGGCATATCGAACCATTGTATCCGGTGAATTGAGTCAAGGGTAGATATTTCGTAAGCCCTGTCGAGCATCAACGGTCATCGACTGCCGTTACTCCGAGAGAGGCGGGATTCCCCCACAGGGAATGGCCATTTTCCTTGCAGTCTCATGCAGAGGGAAGATGGAGAGGTTCGATATTTTGGTGGCAGGAACAATGTCGCTGCTGCAGTGCGACTGTCGAAGAGATTGAATGTCGATGGGCCAGAAGTTGGACGAGGGCGATGTAGTGGGAAAGGGAGACGTCTAAAGGCGAGCGGAGGATGATGATGATGATGATGGATGGGGGGTGTTTGACGCAGAAAATCATCCCAGCAGACAAAAAGAACCCCCAGAATCTGGGGAAAGGTGCGCCTGGGAACCATACACCCGGGCCCAGGGCCTGTCATCGTTAGGTAGCTACTGGCGCCGGGGAACAAACCTACCTGGGGCAGTAGGGGGGATAAAGGGGGCAACGGGGCATTCGCTAGGCTTGGGCTGGTGAGGCTTAGGCACTAGCCTCAAGCCGCCTTGCCTCTGAAACTTAAGCCTGGCGAGCCATCCTGCTCTCGTCGCTGCAGTTTGTCGATCATGTCCATTTTGTCGCTGGCCTTGCCCAAGTATCTCGCGGACTCAAATCCTGGACTTGAGACTCGGCGTTCGACGCTCAGCGCTAGGAAGGCGCTCTGCTGTCAAGGCCATCAATGTCCTTGCGCATGCTATCGGCCCTGCTCCCAGTAAGCAATTCGTCAGCCACACTACAATGCGGGCAGTTGGGAGACCTTTGGGCTAGGTACTCTGGTTCTTCAGCCTTTTAATACTCATCCCTCGCGTCTCACATAATCAGACTGCGTTTCTGGATGTCCCCTTGCTAGAATTATTACCAGTCTGTTCCGAGAATCCCTCAATGTCAAGCTAACCAAGCCACCTATCCAAAGGCATGCTTTGAACTTATCTAGTCATGGTCCCAAGCTGGCCAGCCTCGACGAGGAAGAAGCATTGAAGCCACTTCTATATGTGTCCCCGACTAGAACTATGTCATCCGGTAAGTTATATGGATCAGCAAGATATTCTTTCCTGGAAGCAGATAGTAGTAGCTCCATTTGACACTCACAAGGTATTGAGAATAGCGTGGTGTTTTACCCATATCAAACCTCCATTGGGGAGCTTACCACAGCCTTTCAGCCCTTGGAAGCCAGCCAATCCTATGGTCCCCGTTTGGGTTCGGATTACCCTGGTGCAGAAGGGCACTGGCTGCCTCCGTTGACGGAGTGAGATCCGAGGATATCAAAGGATGCGGGGAAAGATTCATGCGCCGAATTGGAGAAGACTTTTGTGATACAGCATCGGATTTCCTGCGTCGACTGTCGCCGGCGGTCAACCTTCATTCTTGAGATATGTGAGTTGTTCCATCGAAAAGGCGCTTCTGAGACTGCTCCCTTGAAGAAAGTATGGCAAGTTCAACGAAACTCGTCTCGGCCGCTGCCGTACAATCACATACCAAGCGCGATGACTGCTGGATTGCCGTGGAGGGAAAAGTGTACGACATGACCAGATTCGCGCCAGAACATCCAGGCGGGGCGGAGAGTTAGTATCCTTGTATTGAGGAACACCCTGGAACTGACGAGCCATGATAGTCATATACGCATATGCCGGTAGAGATGCCACCGAGGCTTATTTGGAGGTCCATGAACCAAATCTGATAAAGACCAACCTTTCGCCCCAGGAGCAGATCGGGGATCTGGACCCAGGAACAAAGCTCCCAGATGTGCCGCCGGGTCAAGACTTGCGAGCAAACCAAAAGAAAGGAGACAAGCCCTCACTCGACACTTTCATCAACTTATACGACTTCGAAGATGCAGCAAAGAAAACTCTCTCGGAGAAGAGCTGGACCTTCATCTCGGGCGCATCGAACGACAACATAACTCGAGACGCTAATCACGACCTCTTCAGAAAGCTCTGGTTCAGGCCGCGGATACTGAGGAACGTTTCGACGGTGTCTACGAAAGGGACGATGATGGGTTGCCAAGTATCACTTCCAATTTGGATTGCACGTAAGTCCCCTGAAATTGTGTATGGAGGCTTATCTCAGTGCTTCTACTGGTATCCATCTTCCTAACGGTGATATTCAATGCTAACGGCAAACCAGCGGCCGGGGTAGGCAAAACGGCTGGACCAGAGGGCGAGCTGGCGCTGAGCAAGGGCGCAGCAGCCAGCGGCATCATACAGACGGTTGGTTCATCTGAGCTGATAGTCTTTCTTGCCGTGTTAACCTAGTTCAGATATCGACAACCGCATCATTCCCATTGCTTGAGATTCTCGATGCCGCGGGAAAGGACCATCCATTCTTCTTCCAGTTATACATCAATAAAGACAGGTCCAAGACCGAGGAGCTCCTTAGAGTCATCAATAGCCGGCCACAGATCAAAGCCCTGTTTGTCACCGTCGACCTCCCTGTCGTCTCGAAGAGAGAAGCAGACGAACGAATAAGACTCGACACACTGTATTCCGGCGGTATTGGAGGTGCTGCGGCTGGGAGCGATCATAAGGGTTCGGGCCTCGCGAGAAGTGTGGGATCTTTCATTGACCCCGCGTTCTGCTGGGACGACCTTGCCTGGTTGCGACGACAGACAAACCTGCCCATTGTCCTGAAGGGCGTTCAGTCAGCAGCTGACGCCAGGATCGCAATGCACATGGGATGCCAGGGCATCGTGGTGAGCAATCACGGAGGTCGGGCTCTGGACGGTGCTCCAGCCTCCATTCTCGTGCTCTTGGAGCTCCACAGGGAGTGTGCAGAGGTATTTGATCATATGGAGGTGTTCATTGATGGAGGATTCAGAAGAGGATCCGACATTCTCAAAGCACTTTGTCTTGGCGCAACCGGTGTCGGCCTAGGCAGACCTTTCATGTATGCCATCAACTACGGCAAAGAAGGCGTGGTGCATGTTGTCAACAGTAGGTTATCTCTCTCATTTTTGGTTGCTTCCTGATTCCTTCGCTGGTGTCTCGCTGACCAAGTTGTTCACGGTCCAGTTCTCAAAGATGAGGTCGAGACAGCCATGCGCTTAGCAGGCCTCAAATCTCTCGACGAAGCCGACCCAGCACTAATAAATACTGCCGAGTTGGATCCTCTTGTCCCCCGCGGATCACTCCATCCTTATGCACGCAGACGCGAAGGCCCGAGAAGACAATATCGTCTCTAAAGCTCTCACATGGAACATTAGGCGGGATCAGCAAGACTATAGTTTAATTAGTAGATATATCAATTCTCCACTGGATATGAACGGTAGTGTCTTGCAAAGATAGGCAGGAGTGCCCTCTTTACAAGAGTAGGGAACCCCACTGCAGCCGAAGAAGGTTCTTTCGTATAGAGAAAGAACAGATGTACGCCGTGAAAGTAATTCCACTTTTCTGAAGAGAAAGATAGAATGTTATCCAGGATCTCACATTGCACGGTTGAAAGAGGTTGAATAGCTGAAAGAAGTGTACGGCGCCAGCACCACCCACGGTAGAATACATAATTCTCACAGAGTCGCGTCCAAGAGCTTTTTCCCCGCTCGTGTGAACGGCAAAGCCCGTGACTATCCAGATCCTGGGAAGAGCAGAAAAGGAACCTTCGTTCATCCTCACCGACCACTCTGTAATCTTTCCCACGGAGCAGAAGCAGGACGCTCGACGGCAGGTCGGATGTTCTCGTCGACCTAAACGTGACAGTTAATAAATTAGAAGTTCCTGCCTCACACACATACCCGTGACCCGTCGAACGAGAACCATCGAGGCTGCAGACTCAAGGAAGGAAAATTCACTGACCAAACTGGAGCGCCCCTCTCTCGTAGAGCCTCGACCCGTTTCTCCCTCCGCTGTTTCCGCTCCGGCCCACCCTCGGAGGCGGCACGGCTGCAGGAGGTTTTCGCCACCGCCATGGGGATGGAGAGTACCACGACCAACTCCGCTGCGGCGTCTAGGTTCACCAACCCGGAGGATCTGCTGGCATTATTGTCGCCTTCAGCAGACAGTTGAATCCGGTGCGCACGTCGTTGATGGGTCGTCCGGGCGTCAGTCTGGTCGGAGGGCCCCGTGGGTCCGGTAAAGCTTCGATGGGTCCTCGCGAACGCCCCGCAAGAAACATGGACGATGCCGCCAGAACAGAAGCGAGGGCCGAAGACAAGCGGGGACTGCAAGGCACAGTTCACGCACGCAAGCGACGACTCTTTGCCAATTCGATACCATCGTCCTCCACACCTGATCCAGCTCAGCATACTCCGACCATCCCGGTTGCGACCCGCACTGTCCAGGCACGACGTTATACCTCGGAGTCCTGATGACTGTGCCCTAGACCAGGTAGAGTGTGTTACGGGATCTTTTCTAAGACATCTGGAGAGAGGTTGCGGAATATCGAGGCTAGGGGCATGGTATGTTGCCACACTCCGGACCATGAGGTATTCGTCAGGAGCAAGGTATTGTCGTCATCCTGGTGCACCAGCTACGGAGGAGTGTCGGGAGGTGGTCTGAGCTTCACTGGATCTCCTGAAAGGTGTGGGTGATGAGGATGCCGAGGACGAAGAATGTAAGCCATATGAGCTTGTAGATGCCTGACAGATGCAGAAGGGATTCGAGTCTTCCAAGGCTCCGGACAAGCTGTCTCCATTCCTCCAGAGCACATTTCGAGAGCAACCTGCTCCTAAAGAGTGGCCTATTCGTGTGGAGCCGAGTCGAGTCCTGCATGGACCACAGCCGCAAAGGATAGCGACCCGTGCCCGCAAAATATAAAGACTGGCGTGGCTCCCGAGTGAGGAATCATAGACTTTGCGCTGTGTGGCTTCGAAGTTCCGACAAACAGCGTGAAAACATTCATGCTTGCACTAGTCTAGCTTGGTATTGTCCGTCGGTGGATTGGAATATATGCAATAGTGGTTGATATCTGTACCTTTGTCAAAACGAATGGTGGGTAACCTGAATATTCGGGTGGTTGAGAGGTATTGCGTTGATCTCGGCAGCGCGTGGCTCACTCTCCCACGAATGACTAGGGCAGGGAGAATATCTCTCCTAACCATCTACAACTGAGACACCGCTTTCTGCATTTCAGTGTTATCGGACCGATTGAAGTGCTATTGGGACCGACCAGCTTTAACAGTCCTTGTCAAACGTTGTTGCTAGTCGCTGTAGCCTGAACAATTTCCTTCCAGGGAGCTCGCCCACGAGCCCTTTCCAAGTTTACGGATCGACCCAGATCTCAGAGGCACCAAGGTCCATGTAGCTCAAAATGCATAGTCGATCATTGCCTGCCACTCATCGTCCTTGTGGTAATTATTTTCAGAAGCAAGTCTCACGTGTTAGGATACAGCAGATGGCGGGTTTGAGGATGGACAATCAGCTGATGTCCATGAAAGGATGCCGCAAGGCTGTACTCCCCCTTCCCCAAGCCTTTCTACCCCACAATTACCCCCTTTTGTCCTGCATTTCTGGTATTACCCCACATTGGCGAAAGACTGCTACGATCAACACAAGGTCGCTCCGATCTGCTTTAAGCCAAGGAGATCGCAGGAACCTCAGTTGAGAGCTCAATGTTGCTATCGTTTTCTACCTGACAAGTTCGTTCCGTTCGTATTTTTTTCCTTCCCTTACCGATCATAGCGACCGACGCCTTCAGAGCATGTCGCCCGCATCGAAACCATGGGCGCTAATCGTCGGGGTGGGGCCATCAGGCCTACTTCTCGGCCTCATGCTCGCGAAGAAGGGAATCCCCGTCCATCTCATCGACATGTCTGTCAAGCTTGACGAGCAGCCGCGCGCGACACACTACGGATCCCCCGCGATGTACGAGCTGCGGCGGGCTGGTGTTGTCGAGGATCTGCGTGCCCAAGGTTTCCTCCCGGACGGCGTGTGCTGGAGGAAGCTGGACGGCACGTATCTCGCTGGCATGAAGATGGGTGTAGAGGAAGACCCAGATCGGATGGTGTGTCTGCCGCTGAATCGGCTGGGGAAGATCCTCATGGACCACATTGGTCGGCAGCCCTCGGCGACGGTGTCCTGGGGCCACAAAGTCGTGTCGATCGGGCAAGACGAGCAGAAGGCCTGGGTCATTTGCGAGACGCCAGAGGGCGAGAAGCGGCTCGAGGCCGAGTACGTCATCGGATGTGACGGCGCGAACAGTCAGGTGCGACGGTCCTTGTTCGGGGATAAGGAGTTCCCTGGGAAGACGTGGGACGAACAGATTGTTGCTACGAATGTAAGTGCCCATCTGGTCCCCCGCAAAAGCCCGCACGTCGCTCATGATGATGGCAAGACATACTACGACTTCTCAAAGTTTGGCTGGCTCGACTCAAATTTCATCATCCATCCCGAGCACTGGTACATGGCTGCAAAGATCGGCAACGATGGCCTTTACCGTGTCACTTACGGGGAGATGCCGGGCCTCACCAACGATCAGCTACGAGAGAGACAGCCGTGGAAGTTCGAAACGATGTTGCCGGGAAATCCGAAGCCGGATGAGTACCGCATAGTCAACTTTAGTCCGTACCGAATCCACCAGAGACTCGCACCGAGTATGCGGGTTGGGCGATTCTGTCTGGCCGCGGATGCCGCTCATTGTAAGCAACCGAACAACGGAGAAGAAGGCCCTCTTTGGCTGACCTGAAACAGTGTGCAACCCCTTCGGTGGTATGGGATTAACAGGCGGCATCGTCGACATTGGTGGCCTGTATGACTGTCTCGTCGGAATTCACGAGGGCCTCGCCGACGACTCAATCCTAGACAAATACTCGGAGATTCGTCGACGGAAATACAACGAGGTCGTGAACCCCATATCGAGTGCCAATATTGTGCGCTTGTTCGGTCAAGACCCTGACAAAGCTCTGGAGAACGACGAGTTCCTGAAAATGTGCAAGCGCACGGAAACCGACGAAGAGTTTGCAAAGGAGTTCCGGAACGGCGTAAATGTGTTGAAGCATGATTTCACACAATACTATCGCAAGGATTCAGCGAATGGTGACGCGAAGGGCGCGAATGGGCATGTGGAGCTGGATAAGGACTTGGCTGGAGCAGTACAAGTCACCGCTGCAGGGGTAACAGATTGAAGCAGAAGAATGGTATACATACTTGCTGCGGAAATTCTGGAAGACATTTGAGTATCAACACGAGAATAAATCCGAGGGGATTGCGCCGGGTCAGCTAGTCTGTCCTTTGTCGTGCCTAAGCCACAAACTACGCTTTGACCTCGTCGATTTGCCGTTCAACCCCATGGCTCTCTTCCGCAGGTGAGAAGACCTTCCCAAACCTGAAATGAGCAATGTCACTCATGCCCTGGGTGACATTTCTGAGATTCTGTCTCACGAGCTGGCCTGTAGGCTGGCTGAAAATCAGGTCGATCTCCTCCAAGGTCTTGTTCTTCGTCTCAGGCATGAACAAAAGTTGATAGAACCAGCCGAGCACTGCAATCCCTCCGTAAAAGCCGAGAGTCAAACCTGTCTTGGTCATCGCCCGCTGCATGTCAGAGAAGAAGTAGGTCACAAGCCAGCTGCCGAAGAATAGGTTGATGTCGGTGGACTCCATGCCGTAAGATCGCAGGTAGGTGGGAAAGACCTCACTGGGTAGGACCCAAGTAAGGCACGCGTATGACCCGAAGAAGCCGTTGTACAGAATGATCCCAGTGAGGTACATTCCTTCAGTTGCTGTGACCGAATTCAATTGATAGGAAACACCGACAAAGATCAGACCGATGAAGAAGCAGGGGAGCATAGTGTTTGCCCAGAAGCGCCGGCCGAACTTTTCCATGTACAACACGCCTGGAATGGTGCCCAAGAGGAGAGATCCGCCTCCCACGAGGGACATGAAAACGGACTGCTTTTTATCGAATCCGATCTGGGACATCAAGGTTGACATGTAATACATCTATTCGGGAAAGGATTAGCATCGTTAGCGACTGGGATCCAAGGTGGAGCCAGGTCGGAGGGGACTTACGATTGCATTGATTCCAGTCAACTGGCCAAGTGCGATCATGATGTTTGCGTAAACGATAGCTCTTCGAGCACGAGGATTGGTGAAGAAATCGAGCCAGACAAATCTCCGGCGTTTCGTGTCACCCTCGTGGACCTCCGCATCTAGAGCATGGTGCATAATGAAGAATTCTTTGCGGTCTTCGGCGCTGGAAAGTCCTCGAATTCGCTTCCACACAGCGAAGGCTTCCAAGGTTTTACCCTTGTGCAGAAGCATTCGCGGAGATTCAGGCATAAATAGCATCTAGTCTACCATTAGTACTGAACAGATATGGCGGGAAGGGCTTTAGAAACAAGCCTCGTCGACGGCGGCTCATTTCGCCGGGAAGTACTTACACCCACGAGCATGATGGTGCTGAAGACCAAAGACGAGCCAAGCATATATCTCCAAGACCCGGACTGGACGTTGACGAAAATCGCGGCCACCACATACCCAATGACTTCTCCAAAGGCGATCATGAACTGATACAGGCTGACCAGGTTGCCGCGGTATTTCTTCTCCACAGATTCCGCGACGTAGACTGGGACGGTACCTCCTTCAAGACCGAGACCCATGCCGAGGATCACTCTGGCTCCCACAATCATGCCAAAGTTGATAGCCCCGGCTTCCAGAGCGCCGCCGATGGTGTAGAGGATCAGGGAAATGATGATCGCCATCTTTCGACCGACCAGCTCGTTAATGGGACCTAGGAGAAGAGCACCACCGATCGCGCCGAGGGGCACAGCAGAGCTCGTCAAACTGACCTGAGACGTGCTCAGATGTAGATCGTCGGGCATATAGAGCAAGGCGCCAGAGATAACACTCTGGTCAAGACCAGAGAGCATGCCCCCCATAGAAGCAAATCCCACGAGGAGCCAGGTGAAGTGGCGGGGATCATTGAACGAAATCTGCGGGTTGAGAAAGGTGCTCTTGACTGGCTGTGCTTCGAGAGCGGCATCGAATTCTGCGATTTCTTCGTCGACAATGGCGGTGTCATCCTCTGCCAGTTTCATTGCCTGGGCTTCGCTCAGACGTCGAGACGCAACCGATTGATGTCGCATGGGTGCGGGTTGCGGTGCGTTCCCATCTTCGACATGGGTTTGGTCCTGGGACTTGTCGATGCCCATCTTGTAGGAGTTAGGGAAGCTCTGACCCGCGAAATCGTAGAATGAAGAACCTCTATTCTGCTGTTGTGAGGATTCCATAAACACCGCGGTCTCTCTACCTTTATACTTCTCACACCAACAAACTTGAGCGGGCCCCTCGTGGATCCAGCACGCCCTTCTATCATCGCTACCAGGGTTAGGATATCGAAAGCATTGCGTAGTTGAGCAACGACGTTTCGATCGGCGAAAGTCTCGGAAGAATCGCCACAGCCCCTGGCCAACTGCATTGCTTTTGCAGACCCATCAACAATGTTTTGTTGGATTGCTGGACTCCCACTGCTCCGTTTATTGCGGGTAACCGGCCATGATCAGCGAAGATTTGCGACGAAGCTTTCACAAGCTTCTAGCTCATCCGTTGCTTCTCCATGGGATCATCGCGGTGAACTTCAAGATTGGCTGGTTTTGGGTAGTGCGCGGAATCACCCCCATGAGCAACGTCGTCATCCACAATTCTTGCAACGAAAATCTTTGCAGTAGTTGTAGGATCGGCTATTGAACGACGGGGGGTTGGCACTGAATGGGCCGCCACCAACCACTGAACGGCGCCTACCCTCCAAATTGCCTCGCAAGAGCCAATAGCCTGGTGGCCTCATTCAAGGTCGGCTTCTGAACAGACATCCAGTGAGGAGGCCATCCAAAGCCCGACCAAATACGTCCCTGAGCTGGAGTGGGTTGGAATGGAGCCTGGAGAAAACCTGGGCGTTACAATCGGGCTGCCGTTGTTATTCTGTACCCATATCGATGGGTCAAAGCAATCTTTCACGCGATCTGAAGCATCTACTGCCCCTTTTGCTGTGTATCCCAACATTGGCAATGCAGGAAAAGAAAACGTCTCGGCTTTCCCATTCGAGTTCGGGTGTTAATGGTCCTCGGCAAGTCGGTGCGAGTGAGTCCCTAGGAGCCTTGGTGCATTGGGATGAGGGGTTCCGTGAAACCCCTGCGACGAGCTCTCCAGGCTGCTCAAAACGCCATTGCCGAGGCAGCTTGATTGGTATGAGGCTGCACCAGCCTCATCGTTGAACATGTTCATTACGATTCATTTCATTCACCTTCTTGTGCCGGTTAGTTCGATGAAAGAAGTTGCTCATCAGAGGGACAATTAATGGGCTAGAAATTGCCTGCACAACCGAGACGCGCTTGCGGTGTGTCCGGCGTAAAGCAATACTAATCACTCGATTACGCCTAGAGGAAGGTCATCATGACAATCGACGATACTGACCAAGAAAACACGAAGGCGAGTGCCCGACTCGGCCAAATACAGCAGCAAGTCTCAGGAAAATCCAGTCCGCGCCGCCAAAAGAAGACGAAAGCGTCTGAAGGCCCGGCAGATTGGTCTGACGTGCTGGCGGAGTTGGACCAAGTTCGGAAACTTGCCCAAACCCCAAAGACGAACACTACGGGATACATCCGTCACAAGGAGGCAGGGAAGCTATGGGTCAGGGAGAGGGTTGAAATGCTTCTTGATCCGGGCAGTTTTCGAGAAGTCGGGAGTGCTGCCGGCACGGCTACCTGGGTCAAAGCCAATCCCTCATCAGAAAACATCGTCGAGGCGGAAAAGGAGGTCATTGCCGACTTCGTCCCCAGCAATAATGTTCAAGGTATGGCAGCAGTCCTCTTGGGCAGCATCAACTGACAATCGGTTAGGCTTTGGGAACATCCGGGGTCGGCGGGTATTGTTGACCGCGGACGATTTCACTCTTCGCGCAGGCCATGCAGACGGAGCGCTGATGGCGAAGACGCTTTACATGGAAAAGCTCGCGGTACATATGAAGCTTCCGATGATCAAATTGGTTGACGGCTCCTCGGGTGAGTGGGCGACTTCCGTCTGTTGGGTGTCGTTGCGTGCTGATGTGCCAAAGGCGGCGGCTCAATAACCACGTACCGAGTTCAGAAAGCGTCTTATATCCCCCAATTGGAATTGTTGCCCTGGGTGGTGAGTGATGCGGTGCTCAGAGCCTCCAGTCCTCACTGACAGACGCTCAGATGCGACAATTAGATTTGGGTATCCCAAATTGCGCTGCCGTGGTCGGTCCAGCTGTCGGTCTGGGTGCTGCGCGAGCAGCCGGATGCCACTTCTCGGTCATGGCAAACGACATTGGGTCACTGTTCAACGCTGGACCAAAGGTGGTTGAAGGAGCCACGTTCGAAGAAGATCTGAGGTTTGTTTTGTTGGCTGCTGTGGTTCACTATTCATACCTAACATTCCCCCAGTCCGAAGGAACTCGGCGGAGCAGATATCCATTGCGGCAATGGAGTTATCGATAACCTGGCGGCAGATGAGCGTGGGTGTTATGATCAAATAGCACAATTCCTGCAATATGTTCCGAACCACGGCGGCGTGTTACCGCCTGTCGTGCCTTCGACGGACGAGCCAAACAGGCTGTGCCCCGAGCTGCGGGAGGCCATACCCAGAAGACGACAACGTTCCTACGATGTCAGATCGATCATCAACCACCTTGTTGACAGGGAGTCCTTCTTCGAAATCGGACGACTATGGGGCAGAACAGTTGTGGTGGGTTTGGCGCGCTTAGGTGGCAGGCCAGTGGGCATTTTCGCCGAGTACGTTTCCTTTCTCGACGGAGCGCATCATCCTCTTCGTCGAAGAAATGATGACCAGTTTTATTACTTCGATACAAGCTAACAAAACATCTACAGTGATCCTCAATTCAATGCTGGAGCCATGGATACGCCTGGCTGTCAGAAACTGATGAAGCATATCAAGCTTTGTGATGTTATGGGCCTCCCATTGATACAACTTTTGGATATCCCAGGGCAAGTCGACTCCTGCATATGCCGGGTCTTCACCAGCTCAAATCGTTCCTGCTAACATCATAACAGATTTGCAATTGGAACCGCTGCAGAGAAGAGTGCTTGCATGAAATGGGCAATGGAGCTGTGCAAGGTTCGCCTCTGACATCGTCCCAGCGTTCGTTTACTCATCAGCAGCCAGGCCTACTTCGCCACTACCATTCCTATCTATACCGTCATCATTCGGCGGTGCTATGGTATTGGAGGAGCGATTCTCGTGGACAACCGGAATCCGAACTGCCGGGTTGCATGGTAAGGATCATGACGGCAACAAACCATGGCCTGACTAACAGACTTGAGGCCATCTGTAAATTGGGGATCACTTCCGCTTGACGGTGGCATTGAAGGCACGCCACTTGTCCCTCTAAATTCTGCATCAACTAACGAGCAACAGTCAACCACCGAGCTGAGCTTCGAAGAGCTGGAGACAACTACAAACAGGTCTACAGCCGACTCGAGGCGGAGTACCTCAACCTGATGAATCCAGTTCGCACCGCGAATTATTTTGGGATAGAAGAGATCATCGACCCGGCCATGACAAGGACTCTGGCTTGCGAATGGACGAAGGACATGTACGACACCATCCCTGCTCTGCCTCTGTTACTCTCTTCGACTCTGATATTTACTGACCATCAATCTTTCCAGGTATGAGACGAATCTGCCTGAACGACTGAAGCAAAGGGATTGCGGGAAGATTCAGCCATCATTCGCTTGACCTCGCGGATGCACTGAGCCTGTTTGGTTCCTCATAGCTCCTTCAGTACTCGGCGGCGACTCTCTATCTAGTTGAGCCACGCGTTTGGGACCGTGGCCGGGCCGCTTTTCTTGAATATTCTTGCGATCTAGCTCAGCTCTCGCTCGGCCTCACCGCGAGTTGTTCAGCCTGCTCAGGCCGCTACTCACTTCCGGCACAGCTTTTTACTCAGTCCCGTTTCTGGGCCCCTGCTCTCGTTATACGCCCACGCCACCTTCTGTTCGGAGATGTGGACACTTTCCGTGACCATCTGCAAAGGGCCAGTTCTAGGAACCCCCAGTGTCGAAATTGTGACCTCTTGTAGGGCGCTGGATCCACACATAAAATTTAAGTCGATTGGAAAGCGCGCATCAAGGTGGTCGTGTGTCATACATAGCATACAAGATATAGGGGAGGAGGGGTTAAAGAGAAAAGGCAGTGGTAGAGCTGCACATTCGACATGTTTCCCCTAATATCATATCGATTTACAATTATCCCGTTCACGACCTACCAGAAAACAGTTTACTGAAACAGGTGTGAGCAGATCATTGTCACTGGTGTATCGCCAAATAGCCTTGGCTGGCAGTCAGTGGTAAAAATAAACGGGAAGTATCACCGCATCTTAATGACAACGTTATCGATTCAGCACATGCCGACCACCACGTCTGCAGCTTGGATCGATCGTGTCTTTTGTACCTCAAACATTCGTGAAATGGTACAGCATGTTGAAATAGTATGCCAGTCTCTGTTCCACTAGTTTTCCGGCTCGTGTAATATCTTGGCCTCACCATTTCCACTCCCTCGCAGGTGCGGTCGGGCGAGCTGAACGTTGACCTGTCTGGAAGTGTGGGAGATCAGCATGGTTCCTTTACGATCGTTTGCCTGCCAGAGGAGAACTTACTTTGTGAGTCTTTTATCTACGTCCGCAACAAACAGTGCACCAACAATTGCAAGCCCTGGCACCGGAATTAGATTTCTTCTTGGAGGGCCCGTAGTTATACTCACCTCCGAAGGCCACAGTGACACAGTAGACCAACTTAAATGCGTTGCTGTAGACACTCTTCTGGGCGTCTAATGCTGCGGCGACAATGCCCGGAGTGACACCTGGGACATTTTCAAAGTTTCCCAGTGGTAGAGCCGCTGTCAATTGTTAGAAGGCGGGTTGAAAGCCAGATAGCACAGCATAAAACTCACAGAGAAACGATGTCAGGGAAGCAGCAGGCAGACCAGCCTGGATCAGTGCTCTGCCGATTTCTCTTGCCCATCTGCTGCTCACCCGGTTTGCGAGCAAGCTTGAGTAGATGGCCACGCCAATCGCACCCCCAGTGGATCGCGTCGAGTTGACCAGGCCAGTCGCGACTCCAATGTCCTCATCGCGCGCCCCGAGCTGCACGATTAGTATGCTCATGCAGTTGGTGGCGCCGATCATGGCAGAAGCGAGAGCGACGAGCACAATCGCGCGAGCGGGAGTGTGTTCGTCGCTCGTTGCGTTCAATCCCAGGAACATCGTCATCATCACGACGACGAATATATACTGATACCTGGTCTTGGGGATTGTCGAGAACGTCTGGCCTGCTAGGATGAGACCGGCTTTGGACTAGGGTGTTAGCCACGCTCTGCAGACTCCGCGATCGACCCTTGCTTACTAGTTGAGGCGGCATTGGTAGCCATGCCATACCAACCCACAGTTCTTGGGACTGTGGTGAACAGGCGTTGTACTTGCTGTGGCCACAAGATACCCGTGCTGATTAAAGCCATGCCGCCGGCAAAGCTAACCCCTAGCGGGACAACGACGGCCCTGACATCTTGCAATAGTCGAGGCGGGCACAGTTTTGCGATGCTGTCAGGGCTGTACACCTCCCAAAGAGGAAATGCCACGAAGACGGATATGCCCCCGATGATTGTCGGAGCCAGGACGACGGCATTGGTCCACGGATATGGATTGCCTCCAAACCCAACGCCGACGAGAAACACGGTCAGGCCGCCGCCAAAGAGGAGCAGCGCCACGAAATCCAGCTCGAGGAATTGTTGGCGTCGCGTCTTACCGTCTGGATGTAAGCCGAGAAAATCGGGAGGCCAATAGAAGACTGATACGAGGACCAAAGCCACGACGTTGACGATCAGAGACACATAGTAAGCCCACCTCCATGAGGCTTGGGAGACGAGCTGATACGCTGAGAGAGAAGGCGGATCAGTCGTGGACCGAAATGGAGCCAGGCCAAGTGGTAAATACTACTCACCTATCGGGGCTCCGAAGGAGGACCCTGGAATTGACACAATACTCATGAAAGCCAAAGTCTGCCCTCGATTCTTCTTCGGTACAATCTCATTTGCGGCCGCAAATGCGAGTTGTTGAAGCCCGGCCGAAAGGCCCTTAAGAGAACATCAGCGAAGTAATGACAGAAAGGTCGCCTCAAGCCTACCAGGAATGAGCTTCCGAGTATTATCAATGATGTATTTGTTGCCCTGCATTGGTCAGTGGGTTATGTGGTTGAGAACTGGTTTGTTTTTTCTGGGGAGACATACCTGCAGGCAATTGCGCAACCAATGGCACCCAAGAGGTTCCCTCCAAGGAAGAAATTCCTGCGTCCAAAGATGTCGCTGCATCTACCGGCTATAGTCATGACGACCGCGCTTGCAAGCGCCCAGGAGGTAGCTGCCCATGTGTAGTTGGTCGACGGCCCGACATCCTCGTTGATGGTGAGGAGGATTGCAGAAGGCAAAGCAAAGGAGAACAGGCACGCTTCATAGGTAACAGCGAGAGCCTAGATCTAATCAGCCGAAAACAATGGACAAGCGGCGGGGGGTACTACCAGTAAGCCCAGAATTGTTCGCAGGTCAATCGACCGAGACTCATAGTCCTGGATGCTGTCGTAGGAGCCACCATGAACCTGGGAAACGACCTCAATCTTCTCCTCATGCGCCAGTGAGATGTCTGGCTGTCCAGCTTTCTGCTCCTTCGCAACGGCCATAATGAGGTATCTGTCACATGGGAGACATAGGATGAAAGGCACGCAAAGAAGGACAAGAAAGTTCCCTTTATAGAAACGTCCTGCGCTGCATCTAGCCCCAGGGTCTAAACCTTGCAAACCACAAAATACCCCATGGGGAAAGGGAAATTCTCAGAGACTCAGTCCATGACTAAAACATAGGTATTTCCTCGGTGAAGCAAAAGCACCTTGAGGCTGCCTGGGCGAAGACCTTCGGCTTCAAGTGCCAGGAGTGATGCACTCAAATCTGGACTGCTCGGTCACAAGCATATCAGGTAACCGATACCGAAACTTTGTAAGGCAAGTTGATGGTCCACAACTTCGGACTTGCCTATCTCGGACCCGGTGCCGAGATGTCTTTCTTCATCTTTGTAATCATACACAATGCGACGCTCCATCTGTTTTCACAAGGAGCCAGACCTGGCACGATGACCGGATTCAAAAAGACCATAGCCGCACCCGTTGAGCATAAATCTAAGGAATGGGTTTCTGCGCTTCTCGTTCCAGCTTACCTCCCACCGACATCTGAGCCATGGCCTCGAAACCCGTCATCCTCCTGGTCCCCGGATCCTTCACCATTTCGGCCATGTATTACCCTCTTCAGGACATTCTGGTCGAGGAAGGGTACGAAGTGTACGTGAACAACCTGCCATCAGCGAGTCGGAACGGTCCAGAAGCTCCCGCAAGTTTGAGTGACGATGCAAAGTTCTTCAGCAACATCATCGGAATGGTCGCAGACCAGGGAAAGGATATTGTTGTCCTTGGCCACTCATATGGCGGCCTAGTTGCCTCTGAATCTGCCAAAGGTCACAGCAAGGCAGAGCGGTACGCCCGAGGTCTGAAAGGCGGGATCATCAGGATCATCTTCCTGGCCGCCATTGTCCTGCAGGAAGGACAATCATTGCTGGGCCATCAAGGCCAGTTGCCACCATCGATCATAAAGACAGACGAGGTAGGAGCCACTCCTTCGACCGCCGAATCCCAGGAAGCTAACTGGCGCAGTACGGATTCATGAGACTTGCCGATCCCGCCTTGTCCGGCACACGCATGTATGATGGTTGGCCAGAAGAACGAGCAGTCGCCTGGGCAAGAGCTGCGCCAAAGCAATCCGCGCTCAGCTTTGCTAGTCCGGTGACCTATACCGCTTTTAAGGATATACCTTCTTCGTACATTTTATGCGAGCAAGACCAGGTTGTGCCTCCAGCGTTGCAAGAAGAATACATCGAAAATATAAGAATTGTGGCTGGCAGGGCGGCGGACGTACATAAGCTGGCCTCGAATCATGTGCCGAACCTGACCTCGACTGAGACTCTAGCGAAGCTCATCCTGAAGATTGCCACCGCTTCATAGATGCTACATTAGCCACTCCAATTGCGTTGGCGCCGACAATCATGCTCCGATGTTCGCGGATAGTGGTTTTCATGGCTCAAGTCCCCGTACTTCCGGCATAACGCCAGTCCCTATTTGCCCAGTCAATGTTGTTGGCATCGAATGGGGCAGATAGTAACAACTCGGAAATAGCGTCTAGATTTGATGATCGAAAGTAGGGTATATTGAAGTCCTCTTCGCTTGCGAACGAACTTCCAAACATGTCCGCTGCATGATATCTGTTGTCATTTTGCAACCTCGCATTGGTGCTTTGTGTAACAAACGGCGAGGCAGTGCTGTCCATGTCCGTCCCTGCGATGGCGATGGCGTTCGACTCCCCGCTTGTGCTCATCAGTGTACATTCATCATAAGACGGCCGAGGATTGGCTCGATCTTCCCACTCGAAAGTTCGATACGGGAGTTTGCCGCTCCTGACGCGCTCAATGAAACCGATTGCACAATCCGCGGAATTGTACTTCGGGCTTAATGCCGCGAATGCTTGGATAGTTTGCCTGAGGTACAGATTTCCAGTGCCTCGGAGCTCTGGCTCGGTCGATAGAGCATCTTTCAAGTGTTGAATAGATGCCACGATCAGGGCTCCCACGGCCAGCGGCGGCATGACTTCGAGGAGATGGCTCTCCTCCAATTGTCTCGCTATTTCCGAGATTCGACGTGCGGCAGATCGAAGAGTCTGCCGGGAGAAGCCTTGCAAAGCTTCAGCAGCAGAGCCCTTTGATTGTTCATGGAGGAGCAGCGGCCGATGGACGGTGCACAGCGCAGTCAAATATAACAGTTCGATGGTCGCAGAATGTAAGCCCAGTAAGCTTCCATTTTGGCCATGATGCTGGCCCAAGGCTGCCTCTTTGATAGATGCCGTCTCCGTGCACCATCCGCGAAGCTCTTGGTCCCGAGCAGCTGCTTCGGTGGTGAGAATTTTCGTTTTCGGGATCAAGACCATGAAGGGGTCGCTCGAATACACGAGCCGTACGCCACTCAACTCATATTGCGAATCGAGGATGCGTCCAATAATAAGGCACAATTTGACCTTTTGTGCGCATAATTGACCCAGGCTCGTTGGTTCAATCCCTTGGCCGGGCCTATAGTATTGATGCAATGCCCGACTGAAAGCTGCGTCCTCGAAGTCAGCTGGGTCGATGCTGTCAAGGTTCTCACCTTGGCCGCGGTGAGCATTTTGCCGCCGTTCCGTTATGGATAGAAGTTTGTCTCTCATCAGACAGCAATACCACAACTTTCGCCTCATTCGCTGCCGGGCCGACTCGTTTGAAAACTGGTGCTGCCTGTCCAAACCAATATCGGTGGCCAAAGAGAAAGCAGTCCGTAGCCAGTAGAATCGACCCTTCGTATCATTCTGCTGACCATACCAATATGTCATAAGCAGCAGTATCTGTATCATCGTCGTAGGGTTTGACTCGACATCCATTTCGTACAGGAGCTTTACCCGGTCGAAGAAGGTTTTCCGGGCGTCGTTATAAGTTCGGAACCCCTCTTGTTGCAAATGGGATAGATCTGTGAAGGCGACTCCGGCAAACATCACGGCTTGAAACAACACCAGACTGATTTTGTCGTTCTCTGTACCGTTTACTGCGCCGAGGAAACTGGCCATATCCAAGACCGGTAGTAAAGGATATACGTGACAGACAAATACTCTCAGCAACTCATCAATCATCGTTTTGCTGGGAACTGTAAGAGCTCCCCTGCTCAATAGGAGCTGCCGGATATCATGGTCAAGCCCCGCAGGAAGAGGTGCGATGTAGCTCGGAAGCTCAGATTGGTCTCTGGGAGACGTATCAGCTATTTCGCCATCGTCACAGCATTCCACCGGGGTAGCATTGTCAAAAGAACACGCCAACGAGGCTTGCCCACCGGCGGTTGTTTGAGGAGAGACGACTTTATCCCCATTTCTGTTGCATCCCGAGCGCTCGCCAATCTTGAATGTATAGACGTTGGCCTGAGGCAGATTCGTCCTGCCAGGATGCTGCATCGGCCTCTCTTTCCCTCGGTCGTCAACGGAGCAGACAACGGCGGCTCTCGAGCAATTCGAACACGGAGTGCCTTTCCTCGACACATCGCACCGGACTTTACGATTGTGGCAGGTTATGCACGCTCTAGGCGCCCTTCGTCTCAGCATCGCAACGGCGACTCTCTAACGCACGAGATTTGACGGATTGGACCTTTGTGAGGATAGTCTGTCGAGCTTGGGGAGCCTCGGCTGGAGGTGCAGAAGGACGCCGAACTCTGAAGCCAAGTGCTCGGTAGAGTCACGGGGTTTGCCGAGCTTTCTGGGCTTCGAACTCTTTTGGATCAGCTGAATTGTAGCCACTAAATACCTATGTCAATCCCCCCGGCTTCGTCAACGGTTCAGGCTGCCGCATCGTGGTCCAGAAAGGGGCGTTGTGGGTGCGACAAGTATAGCCCGGCCGGGTGTCCCGGGGGCTCGAGAGTACGACTTCGCTACTCCGATCCAGGTACCCTTCAAGCCCCTTCAAGCTGACCTAAGGATTGCAAACAGGATCGCTTAGTCATAAATCACGTTAAGTGGCGATTTGCTCAGGTCCAGAAACGGAAATAAGTTTTGGAAAGGTCATTGATTAGCCGCTGAGTATGTTGGTGTATTGATTATGTTCCAGGCCCTTCGCATCACCTGATGATCAACGAAGTCTGGGGGACATTTCCTATTCCAGCGAGCATTGTCCTTGAACTTTTTCGAAACGATGCTGTGGAGAACACCATGAAGGATGACGGGACCTACAATATTGAGGCCTATCTACCAAACGCTGAACTCATCCTATGGAGTTTCACGGGTATCGCGGCGAAGTTGTTCAACAGGATCAGGGTCTTTTCGAGCAGTTCTTGAGTAGGCTCTTCTTTCCAGCCCCGAAAGCTTTGACGTCTGTTCACTTTATCGAACAAGAGCAGCTCGACCTGGTCGCTGGCATGGGTCCTTCTCCAGATCGAACAGATTGCATGTCTTCTAGCGGCATTCCTCTGGGTGTCATCTCTCACAAGCGACCTGAAAGACGCTGAGGTGACGTCTATCAGCGGACCGACAGCTATTGACTGTCCTTGGCATTGCGGGGGAACATCAGCCTAAGCCAGAAGCGGGAATTGCAAATTACTTGGTGGAGAAGAGAGGGGCTTCTCGCGCGGAAGCAGGTGAAGATCCCCTTATTCGACAGCATTTGAAAAATGCAGAACAATGAACCTCGCCAATGCAGGAGATGCGAAGGGGAAGTTGGATTGGGCCACGGAATAGTAATACCCGGCATCACGCCCACAGGATGACCTTGGGCACGTTGATTGGGTCCCGTTAACAGACCTAAGCGACGTAACTGATCGCAAGCCAATTGAATCCAGACCTTCTTTCAAGATTAATTATAAGCACTAAAGGGTTCATTCAGATCTTGCGGTACTACAATGATTTCCGTATTCGGAAATCGGAAGAAGCGGTATGGATCGAAATCCCTGTTCTGCTCTGTTCTTTGTAAGGGAACAACTGCTTGATTGTTTGCTTCTGGCCCGTTGCACTTGACTGCTTCGAGGAATGTCCTCTTCTTGGCTCCAAGGTGCCAGATCCCCCGCGTTGTGATTCCATTGGCCCCTTCCGCGTCGTGTTTGTTGTCGCACGACTCTGATAAGCAGCTCCGAACTATATAAGAGATACCCTCCCATATTCCTCAACGTCTTTCTTTCTTGTTTCTTCCGTTCACATAAACCGGCCCCCATTTACTCTTGTCGCCTGCCAACAGGAACATATTCTTTGCCTCCACTCCCATATCCTTGTCGTTCCTACGGCACCGAGTTCTTTGAGAAGCCAAGGACCCAAATAAACCATGGACGCAGGCCCCAGCAATGGACCTCATTGGTCCGAAATGTCTGCCAACGCTCCAGAGCACTCCCGGGGTGTAAGGCAAAGACTTCTGCGGGAGTCGGCAAACTCGGTCCGTCAACAACAAAAACGTGCTGGAAGACCATGGTCCTTGAAACCCCTACCTCCTGGCACTTCTGTGTGGGATATCCGTCGAAACCTCGAGGAAGTACCAATTGTCCAGGCGAAGAGAAAGACGCGACCGGCATGGGACAGCCTCTCAGAAAGCAAAAGCTCGACGTGTCCCTGCGAAGACGGAGACAGTTATTCCTCATCTTCTGAAAACGATCCTCTAATGGAAGAGTTAGAACGACTGCTCATTGAGGCGACCTCCGAGACTCCCCCAGAGGCTCAAAGCTATGAGCAAGCAGCATGTTCGGAAATTGCAGCAATAGATTTGCCACCGGCCAAATTGGCTGCGCCAGAAAGCCGTCCAATTTCACAGGAACAACTTGTGAACGAAGTCAAAGGTTGTTCTATCTAGTGAACGAAGTTTGGGACCATATGCTGATCAAGATGGCAGGCATATATACGGGACTCCTTCTCGTGGAGAGGAAATGTATCGAGACCTATCTAGCTAATTCAAAATCTTCCTCCACCGAATTGAACAATGAACAATGGCAAGCGCTAGTAGCTCTGCAACGAATGCTACTCCGGGAGCACGAAGACTTTCTGTTGGCGTCACACCATCCTTTGGCCTCCGAAGCGCTGCGAAAGTTGGCACTCCGACACGATTTGCCAGGCCGGCTGTGGCGGAATAGCAACAAAGCCTTCCTGGAGATCTTGCGGCACCGAATCCCAGAGCACTTGGAGAACATGATCGCATATATCTACTTATCTTTCGACATGCTGACACGGCTCGACGCCAAATTCCCAGACCTTGGAGAACGCTGGGCCGAATGCATGCAAGACCTCGAAACTTATCGAGACTTTCTCGAGACATTTCGTGTCAACCAACCAGATGACGACAACGCGCTTGCACCCAGTAGCGTCGCATATCAGCATCTAGCAGATTGCTATGAAAATGGAGAGTCATCACGCAGGAATGAATATGACTCGTACAATACTTCCAGACCACGCCAGACAGGCGTGCAACAAGATTGTGCGTTCTCCGTTGGAAGAGACACCGTCAATTGGCTGTTTGGAACCGCCGATGCAGACTCGGGCGATCCCTTCAGTCGGTCCTCGCCACCGAACGACTCGCTTCGCGAAACAGCTGATGACGAGACCAACGTTCAAGAAGAGTTTGACAGCTGGTTCGGCGACTTGAACCCCAACGTCTTTGACAGAGAAGGAAAGAATAAGTGGGTGTTACTTGGATGGCTTCATTTCGGCAAACACATTGCCAGGAGTTTCTGGTCGTACAGGCGGGTGTTCAGGGTCCTGCTCCTGAACGTGCTTCTGTGAGGTTGCTTGGGGATACAAACCCAGACTCCATGGTTGAATCCCTGTGATCGAGTTGTATTTTTTTCACCTATTGGCGTTTCTAGTTCTTCGGCTGGCACCTTTGGGACAAAGGCTTTCGTTTTGTGACGCGGCTATGAAGGCAAGAAATGTAGGGACAGGACACGAACAGGAACGAGCATCATCATTTTATACCCTTTGGAGGACTGTCGTTGCCGTGTATCTAAGAGGAGTTAGGCGTGGTTGCTTCCTCGAGTTCTCGTCCCTAGGTAGCGGTAGCTCTACTGCAAGAAGATTCCCCTCGACGTCACCGACTCCGAGAGCAGGACCATTTACAGGATTAGATACTTCATAGCCTCTCGGTGTCATTCATCGTCGAACAGCCTTCTTGGCTAATTCCGACATCTCCTAAATCCACCTATGTCGTCCGACCATTTCACGAACAAGATCTCTCAGCAATACTATCTCAAACAGTTCACTGCGCCAACCCTCTGCACAGCAATAAATCCATCAGACGACCGGCGTACAAAAGCAGACCGACTTTCACCGGACATACTCGTCAGTCTCGTGTGGCGTCGCCTGCCCACTGGCATTGAAGACGATTGGCCCGCTCGTTGAACTAGGCGTTAGCTGCAGCCTCCGGCCTCCAATCTCAGGGCAGATTATGTTCCGCTAACCCTCGCGATTTCCCGATACGGATTGCTGGGTTATGGCATTCTCGCCACGAGGGCTTATCGACGGTGGAGAGGGGATATTCTTTCATCAACGGGCAAAGGGCACCGAACAGGGACGCTGCCTGCGCACCATCGGGCTTCAGGAATGCTCCGTTGCTTAACAATCCAGAAGCCAGAATGGGTCCGATGGGACCGACTCGTTGTTATATAAAGGGGGCTGAACTGCTCAGCGAGCATTCTGTCGTGAATACAGGCTCCTCAAATCTCTTCAGCTCGATTACTTTGCTCCTATCGTTCTCCATTGTCATTCGAAACATACCGGTGGTCATATATCGTGTTTGCATTACCGCTAGAATGTCGGCTCCGTCCTACACCGTCGTCCTGATCACCGGGGCAAATCAGGGCATTGGGTTCGAATGTGTGAAGAAGTTGGCGGCAGAACAGCCCCACTACCGCATCATTCTCTGCTCGAGGGACGCGGCAAGGGGCATGGAGGCTGCCAATGCCGTCACCGACTTCGCCGAGGACACGACAGTCCAAGCCTTGGAATTGGACGTCAACAGCGACGAGTCCATCGCGCAGGCCGTGCAGTATGTGGAGGAGAAGTACGGTCGCCTGGATGGTAAGTAACGCCATCCCTTCTGGCCCGACCATTTGTCGATTCAACAAGGGCTGCCGACCGTTCGCCCGGATCTCTGGAAACCCCGACTAATCTCGTCACCGACAGTCCTCTTCAACAACGCCGGGATCATGTCGACGCCGGGCGCCAAAAGCTTCCGCGACGACCTGCGCGGCGTGATGGAGACCAACGCCATCAGCGCGGCCTGCGTCACCGAGGCCTTCATCCCGCTGATGAAGAAGTCCCCGCGCCCGCGCATCGTCTTCATGTCCTCCAACTTCGGCTCGATCGCGTACTGCCTGGACCCGGCGCGGCCCTTTTACGGGTACGACGCGAAGCCGTACTTCACGGCCAAGGCCGCGATGAACATGATCGGCGCGCAGTACGCCGTGCAGCTCGGCAAGGAAGGCTTCAAGGTCAACATGGTCGACCCCGGGTTTCGCTCGACCAACCTGAACGGGTTCCACGAATACGGCGGAAACCCGGCCGAAGGGGCCGTCGAGGCATGCAGGGTGATGGTCAACACCGACAAGGATGGTCCGAATGGCACTTTCACGTCGCTCGAAGGACCACTTCCATGGTAGTGAGGTTGAAGGGATGGGCAGCAGACACCTGCAGATAGGTTTTGGCGGGGCGGCGTCAGCTAGATGCAGCAACAGGGAGCCCAGCATCCGCTCCTCAAACAGCGTTGCTTATATGCTCCGTATGCTCCTTCTTGCTGTTTGTACAATCGCACATGTGTGCCCCTCAGGTGGATGCCGTGCCTGTGCATTTGTCAATGATCAACACGTCTGAAGCTGTGTGAAGAACTGGAAGCGTGAATGATTGAAACTGAAACGCTTGCACCACGGCCTCCGTATTCGCACGGCCTCCCAGTTACGCCCCCACAGCGGTGTTTTTAGGTAGATGCAAAACCAGCCGATGGCACTGGAACTATTTCTCAGCTTGGGCATTGTGGGGGTCTGCGACCCATAAATGGTGATGTCAAGTCAGCGAACAGGGCCGCCCGGGCGCCTTATCTGCGGACCAGGAACTCAGGTACGGAGTATTATATAACCTTCACCAGCTCAAGCTTCGATCGAGATGCGACGCTAAGCTCCATGTCAGAGAAGGGCGTGCAGCGCAGAGACAAACCGACATCTAGAATATCACAACGTCGACCGCCCCGTCACTCCAGATAGTTCAGGGACTTCTGAGGGTTCTACATTGATGCCACAATGGTGCAACTCGCGACCTTCCAGCTTCCAAATGTAAGTCTGCTTCCTGTGGCTTGTATGACAACCCCATTGCTCATCCCGTGGCTTCTTAGTGGATTGAAGGCAACAAAGACAGCGCCAAATATGTCCTCGGCGGAAGTGCTGCCCCAAGCATCTCGCTGGACGATCTGGTTGCTCTATCCACCGACCCTGCTGCGACCGAGAGAGCGTTGCAGTTCCGGTCGATGAAAATGAACAATGGATCGCTTCAGGGCACGCGGGAACTGCGCGAGCGGATTGCGAGTTTGTACAGCGAGGACGTCCTACCCGAGAATGTCATCACCGCGACAGGAACAACCGGGGCCAACTTGACCGTCTTTCAGAGCCTCTTGCAGGCCGGCGATCACGCAATCTGCCAGTATCCGACCTATCCACAACTTCTCGGGCTGCCGGAAAGCTTTCCGTGCGACCTCTCCTACTGGAGGCTTGACCCCGATAAAGGATGGCAGCCCAGCGTCGACGAGCTTCGCAAATTGATCCAGCCGTCGACGAAGATGATCATCCTGAACAATCCGAACAACCCTACGGGCGCGCACCTCGACGGGACACTGCAAGGGAAAATTCTGGAAATTGCCCGCGAACACAACATCATCGTGTTTGCAGACGAGATATTTCGGCCACTATTTCACAGTCCAGCAGCTGCATCCACTCCGTCGTTGGTAGAACACGGATACAGCAAGGTTGTCGTGACGAGCTCCATGAGCAAAGTGTGGGGTATGTCGGGAGTGAGGATTGGATGGATCGTGTCTCGCGACCGCGACATCCTAGCTCTGCTCCTCAACACGCGTCAGTATACCGTTATGTCGACGAGCCTGATCGACGAAGTCGTTGCCACGGAGGCGTTGAGCCCTCGCTGTCGCCCACTAATCCTGAAAAGACATCTCGAATACGCACAGCAAAACTTGGCCCGGTGGGATGCATTCGTCAAGAAGAACAGCGACATGTGCTCCTGGACACGGCCCACGGCTGGAGCAATTGCTTTCGTCAAATTCTCCTCTCCGGACGGGACAGTGGTGGATGACGTGGAATTCTGTCAACAGCTCCTGAAGGAAGACGGGGTGCTCATCAGTCCCGGGAGTCTCTGCTTCAGCACCGAAAAGCAGACCGATTTCCGCGGCTATGTTCGCTTGCACTTCACGCTCACTCCAGAGAATTTGGACAAGGCCCTCGAAGTACTTGATTCCTTCCTAGCCAAAAGGCGGAAGCTGTTTGCCGCGACATCTCGGTTATAGTCTTAGAGATAGATCAAGAAGTCTGATACGTTTTGCCCACTTCTCTTCCTCCGACCTTGATACGATCGTCCTTCTCTTTGCAAAGACACCTTCTAGACTGAATACCCCAGTCGCCCTGTCGAAGGAATGGTCTGCTGCAGCAGGCAAAGGCGAGTGCCACCCCCATTGTCAGATTACATCACTTCGCAAGGAGAGATCACCATGATCAACAGCTGGTAGCGGCCTAAGCAAACGAGCAGAGGAATCAGTCCGAGACATGCCCAGGGGATCGTTGTTCGCGCTCCACATTTACATGAAATCATTTGTCTCGAATGTTGAATAGAATCCGTGGAATCCAAAGAGGGACAGATCTGGATCGGAATATTGTAGTAACGACGGTTCCAACTCGCCGAATATCACTGGGTCAAGCGTTGCGAAGTCGGAGGGAGTATATTCCATGGTGTCGTTCACTGAAATAGACAGGCCGTCGGCAGCATGATTGAAACAGTCCTGCGATGTGGACCCATCTTGCCTTTGTGACCTGCTTTCATTATGCTCGTCGGATTTTCGCACACCGGCCTGAAGGCGCTCAACCAGTTGGAGCGCGTCCTTTGCGAGCTGACTGCCACTCGCCATGAAGCGAAGGGCATCGATGCCACGTTCAATTGTCGACCTGTACCTTCTGCGAGGATCGAGCACCTCGTCCAGGAGCAAAGCGATAATAGCTGAGCTGCACGAGTGGAAGTCTGTGTGGGAGAATTTGGCAAGTCGATTGCGATTTTTCAAAAGATCGATCCATTCGATAATTGTGTAGGCGGCATCGGTACATCTCTCCGAAAGCTTTTGTGACACAAGATTCAGGGGCTGGTCGGATCCTCTGACCCCATCAGTCTGGCTGGATCGCTGGCGAGCAAGTCGTAGCGAGGCGCCTCTCCCTATGTAAATCCAAATCATTTGGTACATGATATCCAGGTGAGCAGTCACCCGCAACGAAGTGTCGTCGAGGGCCACTAAATGAGCCGGAAGAGAAAGCTTCCACTCTTCAAGAGTCGAACACACCCTTGCAAACTTCTCCGGAGTTTCGTCAACTGGGCTGTGCATTTGATTAGTATCTACCAATTTGCATTATTTGACTTTCTCACCTCGCTTCAGTGACTTTGTTCAGAACCAATGTCAGTTTTGTGAAAGCTATAAGACGATCAACCTTTTGAGGATGAAGCTCATCCAAGTCTGGTCTCCTCTTGGGTAGAGGAACTGTGATGTCTCTCGTTTGCAACATCGTCGGTAGACCCATCGTCACCGACATGCGCCTAAAAGGGTCAACCCTCACGCTCTTGTGGACTGGGACAATGCTAACCTCTCAAGACAATATGCAGTCCAGAAGACCCTGATTCGAAGTTCGCGTGCCTGGGGCGTGATTTGGCTGTCTGTTTTGTTGAGGTGAAGGGACATGCTAATTGCGAGACGCAAAGCAAGACCCAGATAGGTGTAGTGGTGTGTAGCACTCTCCATCGGAAGGGTGTACAATCCCATCAGGATGCAGCACTGAACACTCTCCACCGAGATGGCAGCGAGAACACCAGGAATTAATCCTTTTGCGACGCCATAGAACTTGCCACCAGGTAGCTCCCCCAGGGTAGTATCATGGTCAACTAAGCAGGCAGAAGCGGACTGGTCGAGATGGACGAAAGACCCGCCCAAAGCTAGCACGAGGAAGACCAGACAAACAGTCGTGCATCGAAGTTGTGACGCAGGAGAAGCCTCCTGGTAGAGTTGCTCAAGTAACTCACGAAACCAACGTTCGTCAAAGTAGTACCAGTTAGATTCGAGATATGTGAAGAAAATATCAGTGAGGAACCTGGCTTGTTGGTACGGTGGAAGCTTGGCTACGGCTCCACCAAGTAGTCTCGAGTCATCATCAGACTCGAGAACATTGAGGCGCGAAGAACGCTTGGGAAAGCATGAGCTATAGCGCATAATGAGCAGCTGGGTTGTCGGGGTTCACTCACTTCATCGGACTGAGGATGCGTCCTATCGTGTGATATGTCCTCCGGGGAGATTGCTTCGGAAAGAGCAGCCAAAAACTTGTCCTGTGAGACTAGGGCTTCGTCATCTAAAAGGAGTCAATCAATAGCTCCACACGAGTATGGACATACCTACCGACAGCGGTGACATTCAGCCCCTGACGCGGGGACTCGACGTCAGACGTCCCATCCTTCAAATAGGACTCTCGCGTGCCCTGGGCGACAGCCTCACGGAAGAGTTCTGATAAAGCCGAGAAATGATATGGCTCCAAGCTGTTTTCGGGGCACATGTCGTGGAATTTGTTCGACACATCTCTCGCGATGATCGCCCATTGGGTCGAGCTGGCTAGAGCAACAGAATGATCCTTCCCATCCGGGGACTCACAAGAGCGGCTCTTTCGGCCATTTGACGAAAGGTCGCTTTCAAAGACACAAGCTTGGCGGGATCGCACGCAACTAGTGCACTGGTCTTGGGGACCCGGTCGACATTTCTTCTTACTTGTGCGGCACTGGACACAGGCCTTGACAGCCCTCTTTCTCTGTTCTAGGGGCACATGTGGGCGATGTCGCTTCGAAGATTGGGGCTTGCCTGTCTGCATTACACTTGGCGGCTATGTTGCTCTCAACGGCGGCTTCGGCTCGATAAGAGTTCTCAGCCCTATGCGTCGTGAAATAGCCAGTCTCCGGGACGCGGCCACAATGCCGTTGATTCGGGTAGTTCTTGATTGAGATTTTGACATTCGAATAGCCCACATCTCACGAGGTTGAAATTAAACTCGAGCGTAGTTGAGATGAATAAAGACAATGACGATGTACAAGTCCAGCTGGGGAGGGTTCGAGCAGAATGCCGCTTTAAAGGCAACAACCTGCGCTAGCCTATATTGAGGTAAAATGTTGCCGCCTTGGACGTTGAGCACAATCTTCAGTGTGTCTTGGACGAGACGTCAGAGGTTACAAGTACTCTCCGGAGACCGGGGCGTACAGTATAAAGGGGAGACGGGACAGCGCTTCTCTCTTTCCTTACTTGCCTTCATATCTGCCCTCCTTGTAACTAGGAGGATTCACACAAGAAAAACTTAGTGCTCCATCCTTTCTTTACCAGTGGCATCAGCCGGGGTCTCACTGCTCGCAGCGCGCCCGTTTTGCTCACTCACACCCCATCCGCGCGTGGTTCAGGATCGCGTCCGAGCTCTGATGAAGAGGGCGGATGGACCCTCCCAAAGAGCCTTGAGATGATGTCCGAAATATGGATCAAGCAGTTCAAAACGACCCCCTCCTTCACCAACCAGGAGGTTTTGGTTGCAGATCAGGGAAACAGTCCGCATATGGAGGTAGTCGAGTGCAGTACTGTAAGAAATATGCGGCACCTCTCGCTGCTGCGTAAACAGGCGCTTTGCTCAGGAACTGCACTTGCTTCGAAGGGTCCGACTGTCGCGCTAAAACCTCTTCCCTCAGCAGAGCGTCGAATTGAGCATTGTGGGCGTGTTCTCCGTAAGAGATAACTCGCCCAAGATTCTGGCCCCGGCTGAAGTAAGAGTCCAATGCGTCACGCAGAGCCTGGCGAACTCTATTCCAGTACGGGTCAGAGGCTGGGCACGAAGTGATGACGGGGTCGCCCTGCCCAGGCACAGAGCATTGCGCCAGACCAAGAGTGAAGTCTGCGATCCCATTGCTGCCGAAGTAGTGAGTCGCTGTCCAGAAGGGGCCAACATGCGCCGTCAGTGCTTGGTCCGTGTAGAGGACGGAAAATAGATTATCGGACCATGGCTTCTCTTCGGGAACTCCATCCAAACCCACCCCATTTCCAGCCATGGCGGTATTGATCTCTGAGACTGGCCATTGGGCCTGGTCGCCTGGCCTAAATATGTACCCTGGCAGAGTTACGATTTGAATGTTGACGTGCTCGGCAGCATCCACCAAGTCTTCGAGGTAGAGAGCTGGAAGGTTGGGGACCGTCAAAAAAGCTAACTCCAGTGGACCGAGGGGGGCGAGGAAAGAGTTGGTCCTGGATTTCAGCTCGGCCAGCACGTCAATGAGGCCTGCGACCTCGGGTGAGGCTGGGACATGCAGACGCTTGCGGAAGTAGCGGAGCCATTGGCGGCCGAGATCAGAGCTCTGCGTAGCGCAATTGTAATAGGGTGGTCTATTGCAGCAGACAATCAGCATGATTCAGAAGACCAACCAGGGGGCAGCATTTCCTACGTAGGATGTATAAAGGACTGCAGGGATAATCGGGTAAGGGCTTGGTTGTACTTTGGGCTCCCTTCCACTCGAGCGACATCGACCGTGGTTCCGTTGGAGAATGCGACAGCAGCAGTTCTGGATTAACAGATGGTGATCGTTAGTCTGAGTCTGTGAGGCAGCAACAAAGAATCCTCACGCATAGCCAGCCGTCAAATCAAAGCCTACTGCAAAGGACTGGTTCTTGAAACTATCCCAGCCCTGCGGGTGACGATAAGGCGGACTCCCGAGGCCAGTATAGCACAACAGGGCGGGAATGATAAAGAATAGACAAGCCGAGAAGAACAGGAGAGTCCCAATAAATATAATGATGCATAGCCAGCACCGTGAGCCTCGCCGCCTCGGACGAGAATCTAGCACTACCGGCTCGCGCAGAGGCACATCCACGGTGCCATAGACAGTTGTAGGCGACATCACGGCCGTTTCTGGGTGCACGATGAATCTGTGTGAGACATCAACCACGACGTGTTCTTGGGGCATTTCGAAGAGCTGGCAGAAGAGGCATAGAAATAGTTCGGAGTGGCTTTTGCGACGTCAAAGACCAGAGATTTGTGTTGGTGAACCCGATCGGCTGATTCTAGCCTTGAGCACCAAACACCAGGCGCCAGGCATAGGGTATCATGCATATCAGGCAGCAAACACTCGACCCTGATTTGTGCGGCTCAGGAGGGGGCCGAACATTCTCCCTTGAAACGTAGCGCCTCAACCAAGGGGCCATCATGTCCCTCATCAACTTCCACCCACCCTCGACCAAACTCTTTTCCGAGTCCATGCGTCGTCTCTACGGGAATATCTGATCTGCGAAAAGCTGCAAGGCTCAAACTTGACCACACCATTATTAGGGAGGTGTTAGGGTGGATTGATGGCCTCCCTACAACTCATAACAGACATTGACTAGTATTTACCGTGTCCATGGCACCGGGAGATCTCCTGAGAAACAGAGAACCGTCATCCGCGGTTTACAAACCGCGCTAGGGGCGATGCGATACAATTCCTACGCGGAGCTGTTCTTTATGCGAGGCTGGTTCAGATATATGCTCTTCGAGTATGTGATTCCGTCTTGCGTATTGTCGGTGGCAAAATGTGCGATGAGCTGGGGCAGCCTTACCATATTTTTTTTTTGCAACTATTCCGGCGGTTGTAGCGAGACTGGCTTGGGCACCGAGTTGCATGATGCCGCTTACATTGCATACGCTGTAAGTCGCCCTCGAGCTGATTTGCGAGAGCTGTGATGAGCTTACCATTGTTGCCATCACAGAGAGTTGCTATCCGCTTTGCTGATTGCGGATTCGGCTCCCTTGAAAGCGCAACCTCTGTTGGAGCCTCTTGTTTCGACGGTACGACGCGCTCCTTGGCCGACAGAAGTAGACGCCTTCTAGGAATATGAAAGAACCTCAAGATGCGGAGAAGATTTGAGGAAGCTGTTGCGGTGTCACTCCGAGCCTGAGCAGGATAAAAGGAACAATGTGGTCGCAGCCAACACTGACAAAGGTCAGCTCGGAGAACATGAGAAGATAGAAGACATGGGCTGTGCTATGATACTCCAACGCTGGTACTTTAGACATATCGGAGGGATGGATATGAAGATATCCACCCCGACTAAAAGAGAGTATACAGGTACACGACATCAATACACATGGCGGCAGGCCTCGCTATGCAAGTTTGGAAAGCCGCTTTACATCGAGCTTGAGCTGCGACCAACGAGACGCCACCACCCGTCCGTCCTTTATCGTCGCCAATACGTTCTGAGCCGGATCGTCCAAGACCGCAATGTCCTCCAGAGGGTTAGCCTTCAAGACCAAAAGATCGGCGGCGAATCCCGGGGCGATCTGACCCAGGAAATCTGCTTGCCTGAGCATACGAGCAGCGTTGACGGTGGCACTTCGCAGAATGTCGTGCGAGGACAAGACCTTGCTGCGCAATCCAAATTCGCTGGACTGGGCAAAGTGGAGGACGCCCAGGAGATCGGTGCCGAAGCAAATGGTGACTCCCGCATCGGACGCAATCCGCAGAGCATGCAATCCCTTCTCCAGCACTTCCTGATTCTTGCGAGCCGAATCCGGGGGAAGAAACGTTGGGAATTTGGCCATGGTGGCATACGTGACGAGAGTTGGCGTCAGAAAGACTCCCTTTTCAGCCATCAGTCTGGCTGTCTCCTCGTCGATCAGATTCCCGTGCTCGATGCCCATCACACCCTGTCGGATTGCCTGCTGGATCGACTGTGGGGTGTAGGCGTGAGAAGTGACATAGGTGCCCGCATTCGAAGCCACCGTCACGATGGCCCTGATCTCCTCGTCGGAGAACTGGATATGTTCGATCTTGTCGGTCGGACTGGCCACGCCGCCGCCGCCCATGATCTTGATGAAATCCGACCCCTGACGCAGTTCCTCCCGAGCATATTTGAGACATTCCGGTACCCCGTCGACGACCTTTCCAATGCTCAGCACGCTCGCCGCGCAGCACTCGCTGCTGTCGTGCCGCTGGCGCATGTCTCCATGTCCCCCACTTTGCGACAAGGCGTGCCCGGCAATGAAGAGGCGGGGGCCTGGGAGCACATTCTCCTCGATTGCTTCCTTCAAGGCGAGCGTTGCCCCTCCACAGTCTCGCACCGTGGTAAACCCTCGCTCGAGCATTCCCTTGCAGACTTGAGGCTGGCGCAGGAGGGACACGTACGGGCTCATTCCCTTCATGGCTCGAAGATCCTTCTCTCCTGGGACAGCGGCCAAGTGCACATGACAATCAATGAGCCCGGGGCACACATATTTCCCTTGAAGATCGATCTTGATGGCCTGGGGGTCGCACTCCCACTCTTCGGAGGGACCATTTACGGACACCACGACGCCTTGAGATAGGTGGATGGTTGCGTTCTCGATGACGACTCCTCGAACTGGGTCGATGAGGTTGGCCCCATGGAATACATACCTTGGCTGAGGCGGAGCACGCCAAGGTGTGACAATATCCTCCATGAGAAGTATTTCTAGTTTGCTTGATTCGTCACAGAAATGGAAAAAGATATCATGAAGCTGTGATCAATATTGAAGAGAATAACCACGACTGAGACTTGACGACGTTATAAAGCCGCATTCTCAGTTACGCCACAATACACCTCGTAGTGCCCCAGAGCCTGGACCGCGGATCGTTATAGCACGGGTACAAGTACCCGCCGCATATTCCGCTCAGTTACCGATATCGAGAAAACGCCGCCGATCGGCTGTTCGTGCTTGAGCTATTGGCTGTTCGGGTACATGTACCCGCACAGTTTGCCTCCCACGCAGCCAATCAGGGTTACTGGATACATGTACCAGCGCAAACCGCGATCAGCCGTGGTCTCGTCCTGACGGTGTATGCGCCAGGTAAGAAGGGTATGCTCGCTCCTATCTTTCAGACCGAGCATGGCAGGGAGGCACCTCCACACCAAGGGTCGAGAAGCTCAGAGGCGCCGCGATAACGACTCCCTCCTGCGTCCCTAAAAGCATATAACGCCCGTGCAAACCACTTGTTTTGGTTCTCATTTAGATCTGTGGCTCATCCCTTTCAACCATCAAGATCAACTCTTCTTTTCGCAGTCACCATGGCCTCAAGTGAAGAGAAGACCGGCTTTGACAGCAAGGTCGACTTGGACTATGTGGGCTCTCAGTCAAGCAGAGCGCATGACACAACTGGTACAGTCGGACTCACATCAGCCGAAGAAAGACGGCTGGTGAGGAAAATCGACATTCAGTCAGTCAACCACCGACAATCCCATTTTCAAATGCTCCGTGCTGATTTTCCATGTAGTTTGATGCCGGTGATGTTCTTGTTGTATCTTTTCCAATACCTCGATAAGACTTCCCTCGGGTATACCGCCATTATGGGCATCGTGCAAGACGCAGTGAGTTTGGCAGCTCATATACCTGCTATATCTGCTAACTCGAGAAGAAATTGGTCGGTTCCCAATACTCGTGGGTGTCGAGCTTTTTCTACGTCGGGTTTCTGGTGGCCAGTCCCGTCGCCGCCGTCGCGCTGGTCAAATTCCCCGCGGCCAAAGTCGTCGTCTGGACTGTGTAAGCTTCCATGCATGACAATGCCTTCTTTCCAGTACTTACTATCTGATAGGGTCATCTGGGGCGGGATCCTCATGTGCACGGCCGCCGGAAACAACTTCGGCAGTCTCTCCATCCTCCGGATCCTCCTTGGCGCCTTTGAGGCGGCCATCAATCCAGGCTTCACAATGATCACGGCTATGTGGTATAAACCGTCCGAGCATGCCCTCAGACACGGGATTTGGTATGCAGGAGCTAGCATCGCCTACATTTTCGGGGGCATCCTGGCCTACGCCTTCTCGCATATCCACAGTGCGGTCAAAAGCTGGCAGGTAAAGTTACATACGGTCTTCGTGGTCGGAGTAGGTATATTGACCTCTTGCAGTTCCTCTTCATCATCTTCGGCGCCATTACCACACTCTGGGGTATCGTGATGTATTTCCTGTTGCCGAACAATCCTCAGACGGCCAGATTCCTCACACCCGAGGAGAGAAAGCTGGCGTTCGCGCGAGTGCAAGGCATTCGGCACTCGGCCGACACTCGAAAATGGAGTAATGCTCAACTGAAGGAAGCCCTGATTGATCCGAGGACATGGTTGTTCTTCTTGCTGAACGTCTTCACCACGCTGCCCGGCGGTGGTCTGACAGCAGTAAGTATATCTGAGCTGACGTCCTAAATTACATTCACGCGCTCACAATCTACTCAGTTTGGAAGCATCATTCTTCAAAGTTTCGGCTACAGCGTCTACAAGACCCAACTTCTCACCATGTCCCAGGGGGCCTTCCTGTTCCTGTTCCTCCTCATCACGGTCAGTGTGTCGGCCTTGTTCAAGAACGCTCGCTGCTACTCCATCGCGCTGCTCAACCTCATCGCCCTCGCGGGGGCTTTGATGATCAAGCTCGTCCCCGCGAGCGAGAAGGTGACTCGCCTGGCTGGCCTGTGGCTTATTTCAGCCTACGCCAGTGCTTTTCCGACCATCTTGAGTCTGGTCTCCAGCAACATCTGCGGCCACACCAAGAAGGCCGTCGTCAACGGAATGCTCTTCCTCGGGTTTTGCACGGGGTACATCGTCGGCCCACAGACGTTCTTGGCCAGTGAAAGCCCGGGCTACAAGGTGCGCTCTCCCTCTTCTTCTGCAAATAGTTGGCTCGACATATGCTGACCGGTGTTGGGGGCGCGGCACAGACTGCGTTTAATGTCATGATTGCATGCTTTGTGCTCAACATCGCCATTGTCCTCGCCATGCGACAACTCATGGCATGGTGGAATCGGAAACGTGATCAAGAGATGGGCCAGGAAGGCATCGTGATGAGGGGAGAGGCCGCGGCAGATGCGTTGGAGCAACTTGAGTTGGATGAAACCGACTGGCAGAACAAGCAGATTCGTTACTCGCTGTGAGCGTGTGTGGGAAACAAACCAGATCAGAAATTGTGCGTCTGGGGGGAGAAAACATACATACCACTAGGAAAAGGCATGTACGAGGACAGATGTAGCTTGACAACAAGTACCATATATCCAACCAAGGGCATCTGTGTTCCCTGCAAATATATCCCAGGGTTGAGGGGGCTAAGGCCAGGCTTGAAAATGTTGAAGAACCTCATGATATACGTACTCGTTGGTTTTATAAGTTATCCGCCATCAGCTTGGAGGCCTGTTCTGACGCCAGCCTTGTAGACGTACAATGCCACCATCTGAGCAATCAAAATACCCACCTCCAGCTGAGCCGTGTCATATGCATGTTCGCTGTCCAAAATGTTGAGCGACCCGATCGTTCTCCCCTCGACGCACACCGGGATGTTGAGCACGGATCCCAGCCCGACACTCCACAGAAGCTCCCCGTCCTCAAAGACGGCCTTGAGATCTTCCCTGGTCGACCCCCGCCACGTCTGTCCTTGTACAATCACTCGTTCAACCCATGCCTCGCGCTCTGGTGGTGTCCTGGGGTGGGTTGAATTGGTGCCTTGCGAGTGTCGTGGTCCCAGTGGGTGGAGATCGGGCCTCGTGCTGTGGACTCTGTACGCCTGCCCCATAGTGGGTGAGTAGATGAGGATGGTGAAGAGCGAGTAGCCAAAGTGCTGCGCCAGTACTCTCCCAAGCGTGGTCCAGATCATGGACGGTTCGGCGTTCTCGTGCATCAGGGCGGCTAGTTGAGAAAGGTCCGCGACCAATGTCGCCGCCGTTGCCTCAGAAAGAGAGGTGGTGAGGGCCATGTTGGGTATTTGGTAGCGGGAGAAACAAGGATATTTCAGGATGGAGGGAAGTATTTGAACAGTGAACGTGTAATCAGTCGATGAGGTGATACGGTTTTGCTAGATCCACGTAACGTTTTTCAGGTCGCGGTGCGGGCACAGTGTGCTCAACCCTACATTTAACCAAACCACCTTGTGGAGACTTATGATCCCTCAGGCGAAGTATTCTTGCAAGCGATCACGTCGGCCACAACGCTGCACCATCCTAACTTGTATGGTGTACGGGTACATGTACCCGATGTTAGCCAGTGCCGCAGAAGCCTTTCCCGTAGCGGCGGTCGGGTATGTGTTATAAACCTCCCCTGGATTGCGGGTGGTATCGTTGGTGCGGCCATATCCGCTTTCCCGCAGTGGAAATAAAGACCTTGTGTCCATCACGGCGTCCACTTTATACGCCTGCTTCCCTTACAACAGGCGAGAGATGGCTGATTGCTCACCCGATTCATCCTGACTCGCGCGAGACTAAGGTGAGAACAGGCGGCATCACCCTCGTGCCGAAACGGGGTGAGCCGCGAACCATTTTTGCTCCCTTCCAAGGAGTCCTGGTCATCCAACATTCATGCTCAGCCACTGCATCCATGCGATTCTTGTACTGAATCAGCCGTGGAATGCATTGTTATATTTCTTTCCATGATTTTTTCGATGCATCTCGCAGTGGATCGGAAAGAGAGAGGAACAGATATCACAAAGTGATCATCCAACACAGGCCAGATGAGGTTTCCGACATTGTCGCGCCAGTCGGAAGTGTCACAATGGGGAGAATGCAGTGTTGACCTGCAAGAATGATCAATGTGCCAATGGGAAATGGTGGGCGACCGCCAAAATTTGATGAAGCCAGCTCCAGAGCGGTGCGCAGGCAGTTTTGGAGTGCGATGAGCGGGTGAGAACAGAACGAATTTAATAATTCTCAAGCTACACGACCATGTAGCTCGTCAAGTTTTGATAAATTGCGACGGTTCATATGATGCTGATCTCTGCCTCTTCGGCCCCTTCAAACCACGAACTCCTCTTCGATCTTCGACGGTTCACTCGAAACCGGCATGTACCACACCTTTGGAAGACCCCCGGCGTCTCGGTCGATTTGAGCATCAGCGCCTTTTCATAAAGCTCTACGCCCGAGATTGGCGAAGTGAGTTCTTGAGAGAACATGAGTAGACAGTAAACAGTGCCTCCTTGTGTCGAAGCCAAGTCCTCCTTGGTGTCGATTTCAAATTGCGATTGCCACCCTCCCATCCAAATCTCCGAAGACGACACAGGTTTGACGACACTGTTTAGGAGGTATGGTGGCTGCCTGTTGGGCCAACGGTCGAGTTCGAATTTTGCTTCGATGATTTTCCCCCTCAACTTGACGTAGCCGGAGGATACCTCGCCAAAAGGGTTGGCACCTTTGATGGTGCAGTTACAGTCGAGGATCTCGACGCATTGGTTTCCCATTGCTTCCCTTGTTGGGGCGGGGGTGACCGGGCTAACTCGCAACGCCCACGAAAACGTGGGCGCGATATATGTCGAATGGCGCTCGCAGTCCCAACCCCGAAACGAAGACCACATCAGTCCGTTGGCGAGGTCTTGTTCCCAGAGCCCAGCCAGGTACTTTCCCATGCCGCAGGTCTGCATCTTCAACGCGACACCAGAGAGGGCGGGTAGTGTGTCTCGACTATATGTCAGCGCCCTTTTCGCGTAGTCGCCCACTATGCTATTCCAAACGCTGGCTTTTGAGTCATTCTTGTCCGAATTGGCACGCTTTTGATCCAACCATGGGGCAAGACAGCTGGAGAGACTCATATTTGCCATTGTGTGCTCTAGAGAATTTGCACTTGAAGGCGTCTCTTCGCCCAGCGGCATTCCCATCCTCAAGCGTCCTAGCTTGCTTTTGCCATCCCTCGAAGTGACCCGGTTGATTTCGGAACACTCGCAATGTGCCGCGCTCTTGCACTCGAAGACGATTTCACTCTTGGTATAATGTAGCACTCTGGTGGCGAGAAGTCGTTCTTGGAAGCACCAGGCTCGGCGCATCAGAGGAAAGCAATAATCGCCACCACTCATTGCCGTTCCTGAAAAGAAGTCTTCGTGACAGAATTTTTCGCGGACAAAGACTTGAACTCTTTGTCATTGTACTGTCCTGTGAGCTCGTAGGTAACCCTTGGTGCTAAACACCCGCCGGCTCCATCCGCTGATGAAGTGGCGGCCAAGGTGACGTAGGATCCCTCGTATATAGAAGCCATCCGCGCTAATTCCCTTTCCCAATCTAAATGATCATCATGGACAATACACAGCGAGTCGATCCAGAGGTATCTTAGTCCCAGCGCCCGGGTTATGGTGACAGCATCCTGGAAGGTTCGGGAAAGCGAATCCAACGCTATCTTGGATTTTCTCGCTTCAAGAGTGTTTTGGGTTGTTGTAATGATCTGCTGCGACCCCCAGCAGTGACTCAGGGCGACATATTGCCTCCGCACAGCGCGGTCCATAGAGACCGGTATTAGATCCTCACTCTCTATAAAGACTGGGTTTTGATCTCCATTTGATGGCCCGACATCTATCAATCGAGTAGGAAGTTCCAAGGTGGGATCGTCTTTGCAAAGGGGATGCAGCGCACAAGCAAGAAGCCAGTCGCGTATCGTTGAGTAGGTGTGCGCCGATTGACGGATTGGGGTCGATGGAGAGTGAGGGCCCTATTGCTGGCCATGGGTTATGCTGACCTAAAAATTGTCAGTCCTAGGCGAGATAGAGGCAGAAAGAGTTGTAGTGCCCCCCCCCCCCCCCCAACACCTTCTAGAGAGAAAAACTGCAGGTTCATGTCCTCGTCCATGAAAGCATCTGGTAGCCGGTCAAGCGGTTTACCGCCCAGGAAAAGGAAAAGCCGGAGAGGGCACCCGAGAACGATTCGTGCCACGATCTTCCGCAGTCCATATTTCTCCCATCGATCCCGATAGTGCTCGAGGCCTTCCCGAAGGATGGCGCATGACGGGCGTGCACGAGCAGCGAATCGCTCCTGCAGCTTCTCGAAGCTGATTTCAAACTCGAAATCCTTGGGGTCGGCTTTGATGTTCTTACCATCCAAATCGTGACAGACGCGGCAAGGGGCCATCAGGGTATGTCCAAGTTGTTTGTGTATGAATCCAGTTGCTCATTAGCTCCCCATCAGTTCATGCAAGGCTGGGATTCCTCAAGTAAATGGGCCTCCATCACCAGCTAGGGTAGTCTTGGCGCATGGGGTAGCGGCAGGGCGTCTGCCAGGATCTTAAATTGGTCCCGTTGAGCGACGAGGGCTGTTGCACTGCAACGTGCCCGTTTCGAGTTCGACAGGGCCTGCGCAACAATTCGTTCGCCTCTCTGGCATCTACGCCGCCCAACTACCACCACCATGATGATATCCTACAGAAAGGCATTTGCTGTCAACTTCTTCGCCAGTGGAAGCTTCAGCTGAGCCGCTCGTCCCGGTGCCGCCGCGCCTCCTCGTCCGTCATCGTTTAAACTCCTTCAACTGCGGATTTGGGCCACTCCACTCCATTTCCGTTGCAAGCCGCCATTGCAATCTTTGCCGCCCCTGGTCCTCATCTCGAATCGTTTCCCGCACGCGACCCTTCCACTCCCACTCCCCTCCGGGGCCCTGCTCTGTCATTCCCACGACCTCAAAACAGGCCGAGAATACACAAGGAGGAGGAGAAGATGAGCTAACCCCTGGCCCGCCGAGAGAGCAGCGAGGGGTCACGCGAATGAAGGGGGTACAACACAACAACCAAGGTTGTGAAGGACGTGATGAGGATTGGAAAGACATAGTAACGGAACTACGAGAGACGCGCACTGCTTGTTTGTTTTGTGCGAGTTCGCATTGTCTCTTCGAGAACCAAGATCACGGACGTCAGACTGGTAGCCGTTGAAGTCATTTAAGACCAATTTAAAACCTATTGGAAGACATGCTTAAGATGGTGACGGCGCAGTTCGAAGACGAGGATTGTGCCGTTAGAACGGACAGCCTCTAAAAGTTCGATCCCGTAACCCTCGGATGATAAGAATTATCCAGTGGTAACGTCTCTCCCACGAATAATGACCAGCCTTTTTTTGGCGATACATTCATGTTATAGTTAAGTCTATGTGCTCTCACCTCCAATGCCAACCATGAGACCGAACCGGATTGCGGAGAAACGCCCTTCATATGCCGCTGTCCACGGTCGCAGCGAGATTGTCCCGCACCATACACTACCGCAGGTAGGCATACAATCACCACATTATGACCGTGGATCCGTCCTTGCGCATACACAGCTACTGGTATTCGTTCGGGAGTCATTTCTTGTATTGTTTGTTCATGCTCTTCATCCAGCATGGCTCGGGCGGCTTTCAGCGCTTTCGGGAGGGGCGCAGGCCCGCCCAGCCAGCCACCCATTACTCTTCGATCGGTAGAGGAGGCATAGCTGCAGGAGGTTGGTGGATTCGGATGATGACTTTACGACGGGGATTGGGCTGGTAGTCGCGATTCAGGCACGACCTGGTGTCAGGTTAAACGTCGAGGTTTGCTGGGATGTAGATAGAGTCTGGATGCGGCTGCTGGCAATCTCAATCTCAGCGTGCCGACACGTGAATGTGATCGTGGCATGTTAGCCTCAACTGTTCGCTGTAATCATCGAAATGGGTTCGAGTAAAGCCAGGACAAGTCAATGGGCACCTAACTTCGTCCCCGTGGCTGGCGCGATTTGCCCACGGACCGTATCACTGCGCGAAGAACGTAATGGTTTTGCACCAGACTTTGGATGTGGTTTCGTCGCATCCTCCACGCTTTGAACTTTCGCCCGAAGATTCCAGCATTTTTGGAGGCACAACAGATAAAAACTAGTAGAAGGCGTCGGTGGTAAACAGTGTTTTGAAAGCCAGGATGTGGTGCTCGGCCTTGAATTGCAAAGCACGTTCCCATTGGCGAAGGAGAGGCCCGCCCGTCTTGGCGCGTGCACGGGCCACAAGCAGAGTTACTCTCATTGTGGCCCGTGCACGCGCCAAGAACAAACTAGCTATTGCGGCAAGGGGCAGCGCAGCTGCTCGGCGATCCCTAATGGTCGTTTGCTCGGATCCAAGAGATTGTTCTTGTCGTCCTGTGGCTGTTATCTGTATATGCGAAGGCCATTTCGTATCTCTCGCGTGAGCGGAATATCATTGAGCGCCCGGGGAGGGCCAAGAAAGAGCTGTGTCGCCTGACCTCAAGCGATTCTGAGGGAGGGCGAAAATATAGATGACTTGTATGGCGGATAACAAGTCCCGTGTGTCATTCCTCAAACGTGCGTGGGTGCTTGGTATAGAGCAGGACGGGAGTGAGCCACGAAGTCTCAACACAACCTTAACAAAGCTCACCGCAATGGCCCAGGTATGTCGGCGTCTCAATAACACGATGGTTTGATCGAGAATTTGGGATCGCCCTTGGTCACACGAGATTGGCGAGATGAAGAGGGTAGAGCCAATTCATCAGGCCCCCGGCCCTGTAGAGGTGAGCCACATGACCGACCTGCTGTGTGTGGACGGCATTTGCGAGCTCTAGTGTGGTCAAACAGGCACTGAGGGCACGAGGCGATTGAGCGAAGAGGTCGACGGCGACCAAAACTTCGGGCAGCAAATGCTGAGGGCCACTTGCCTCTATCAAGTCTGCCATTGGAGACGACCGAATCTCTTTCAAGGTCCCAGATCATGCGCACTAATGTCAGGATGAAGCTATATCTGTGCTCCTCCGTGATTTTGTTGGTAGGGTTTGGTGTCTTATCGAAAAGCATGCGAATCACTGTTCGCAGTCGCGGTGACTTCGGAATGGTCGGCGACGGGGGACAACATGGACAACCAGCAATGAGCTGATCCAGCATTCAAAAACTTAGGCTGGCAGGGCAGGCCCAGGTGGACATCGTCAATACTGAGGAATGGTTGAATGTTGTGTAGGTACGCCACCGAGGCATCGTACCTCTGTAAGTGAATAAAATGTTAGCATTTGCATTCCTCTCTCGAGTGAAGCGACAGTGTTCTCCTTACGTATACAGCTCAGCCGAGACGGCACAGCCGCTCTTGACGTACTCATTCTCTCCCCTCCTGTCTGCCGACAGACCGCTCATATCCCTGGGAGGATTGTTGTCGGGGCGCTGGCGAAAGGGCCCCATACATTTTGCGTGATGAATGAGGTTGTTGCGGAATGACATCGCTCGACTCGAATAACTGCTTGCTACCACTACAATACCCATGCAGTCCTTGCAACAGTTGGGCCAGGAGGCAGGATTCTGTCCGCGTATATCGAAGGTCATACTCCGCCTACAATGATTTTGATTTAGTGGACCTCACTCACATCGTCCCCGAGTCAGGTCTACATCACCAGGAAGAGGAGTAAGCAACGATTGATCTCTGACATTGTATTTGCAAATGTCTTTGCTATGGACCAGATGCTTAAGACAGGCCCTGACGCTAGCGATGGCGAGCGTGATGGCCGGATCCTATTCTAATTTGTGAGGGCCTCAACAGTGGAGGGTTGTAGCTTTTACGCCGGAAAGAATTGTGAAAAGCGCTGGCCAACTTCAGCATCATCAGTTCCTAACTCTGGCAACTCCAAAGGCAGCTGACAGCGCTCGGCATGCCACTCCAGCGGCCAAGGGTTGTCGAGACTGCCCCGTCCTCAGAGAGGGGGATCGTAGGCAGGTCGAGTATAGGTTGTTCTCCCTCGTATGGGTTCATCATGTCCTCCAAGGCGTCATCGCCGCTCGATCGCGTTAGTTGTTGAGTAAGCGAAGCCAATGATTCTTCTTCCGCTGGCAAGTCTTCCTGGTTCGAGTTATCGGGTAAATTGCATGGAACGAAAAGATTGGGCGTCGCGGCTATGCCATTGCCAGACACGGGGTCGAACAACCAACCGAGGTTCGAATTGAAATCGTTGCCGTCTTCAAGCAGATTGGAGAACCCGCTATCAAAAGGGGCACCCGAATTGGCGGCCATCGCAATATCCCCTGGAAGTGCTATTTCCCCATTCCAACCCATTGGCGCAGGGACAACTTCATTGTCGGGGGGGTGGGATTTGGCTGGTCGAACAGTTCGCGAATGTAAAAGAGGATTGAGTGGCAGGAAGATGATGGGATGATGCCTCTGATCGTGACGCCGGCTGCGGAGGTCCGAGAAGGGGGGGATCTGTCGTATCTGTCGTATCTGGCTTCTGATTAAGAGAGGGTGGAGATTTGGAGTTGGGGCTGTAGACGCAAGGGATTTTTCGTTTCAAGCACGATTTACAAGATGGGTTCTCGCGGCTGCACCTGATCTTTGACCTAATGGTCAATGAGTTTTGAGTTCGCTGCGTCTTTCGTTGAGTCTTGCGTACTTGGTACAGCCCACACAAGCCGATCTCGTCCTCCCTTTCAATATCCTGTGCTCATCATGCACACGCATGTGACGACGTAAGCTATCCCTGGTATCAAGGTGTCGGTAGCGAACATGAAGATTCTCCGGGGCCGCCACGACACTTACCGGCGTTCAAATGATTTCAGGCATCTCGGGCAGGGACCACCACCAAGTTCCCTCCTTCGGACGTGGCGTTGACTTTGACTGACCAGAGGAAGAAGGCGCGAGCCCCATGGAAGACATGTTAGTGAGCGACTTCTCGAGTGACGAGTGTCTGCAAGAGAGACGTTGTCTGTCACCAATAAGACAAGGTTCGTCCTCATTCGAAGGTTGTCATGTTGTCATCACCAAAATGAATGGTGGGAGGCTTGGCCCCGCGTCTTCTCCAATCAAAATGCAGAGGAGTCAGCATTGTGGGGGGAAGGTTAGCCCAAGGCAGCAGGTTTGGCGAGCGAGGCGGGGTACCCTTTGCACCTCGACTTCTACCCGGCGAAAGCAAGGAAATGTCAGAGCCGTTGGGCCCCAAATAAAGCCCCAAGAACCCTGTCTGGGCTATTCTCTAGGCCTCTGACTGATGCCGATGTGGACTACTGTGCGTCTAAATAGCGACCGTCCCACCTGGTGCCTGTCCGCGTACTGACTCGCACCCAGTCGGCAAAACATGGAGCCAGGATCATGAGGGAGGAGAGCCCGCCCATTTTTCAGGCATGTACAGCGTCTAAACGTTTTTGTCCTTTCGACTATTTCACGGGGGGGAAGTTCCGGGTCAACCGGCGAGCATCGGATCTTCTGCGCCCTGCCACAATCGACTAGTGAATCCGAGCGCCCTCGGGGTGACCGGGATTGATGTTGATTGGCCTTGAAATGCAGACTGTTTCAGGACCATAGCGCCCGGTACGATTTGAGGGGCTTTCCCGAGACCTCTTCCTATCAAAGTTACGGAAAAGAGAGAGCGAGAACTGACCGATAAATCTACAGGTCCACGGCCAATATCATGGCGGACCAGCTATTAACTTTAATCGAAATAATTTGCGCACCAGATTCCCTCCCTTTCTGAGGCCGTGACTACTTTGTGGCTTCAAATGTTTCGTTTCTCCTTCATCAACATTTGAAGCCAAAAACTCCATCGACGCCAGCGTGTCGGGGTGATCGTCGCCCAGCTTGACCTTCAGTAGGCCTCGCAACTCTTCCATCAGCCGCATCGCCTCTGCTTGCCGTCCGGCTTGTCTGTAAAGTTGTGCCAGCTCAGCTGTTGACGCTAACGTGTCCGGATGATCGAAGCCCAACTTATCTGCTCTTCGTTTCACTACTTCTTCCGTCAACTGCAGTGCGTCTCCTCGTCGCCCGACTTTGTACCACTGATTTGCCAGAATCTGCATTGACGCTAACGTCTGCGGATGATCCTGTCCGAACTTGCCCTTCCGGTGCTCCAATACCTCCTCGGTGAGCTTCAGCGCCTCCATCTCTCGCCCAGCGCGGCTATAGTGAATTGCCAGATTCTGCATTGCCCCCAGTGTATCCTTGTGGCTCTCACCGAGCTTGATCTTTAACAACCTCACCACCTCCTCAGTTAAGTGTAAAGCCTCCGCGTGTTGTCCAGTGTCGCTGTAGCAATTAGCCAGACAATTTAGAGAACCTATCGTTCTAGAATCATCGAGCCCTAGAGAGGTTTTGTATCGTTCCGAAACCTCTTGAGCAAGCCGTAGCGCTTCCTCTCGTCGCCCTGCTTTGCGGTATTGATCCGCCAGAGCCTTCATTAACCACAGCGTCCACGAACCACTCTCTCCCAAAACACTCTGGGCTATTTTCAACATCTCCGTCGTCAGGTCAATGGCCTGGGTAGCCAACCCATTCTCTGAGAGTATGAGAGCCAGGTAAGGCCAAGTTTGCAATTTTTCCGCTTCACTCAGATCTCCGACGAGATCTTTGAGACCAAGAAGCTCTTGAATATGGGGCACTAAGGCTCGCCGAGACTGGTAACTTTCAGAAGAATCTTCCCACTCTGTCGAACAAGTCAAAAGGGACAGAGCCAGTCGATAGCTCGAATGCTGCTCTTCATTAGTCATCCGATCGCGACACCACTCATGAACTAAGGGATGCAGAGACACGGATGTATCCTGGTTCGTTGTAATCAATGAAAAAGATGCAAGGAGGCCAAATGATAACTGGACCAGTCTCTGATAATCAAATGGTTCCGAGGCCTCCTTTCGGAAGGGTAGATAACCGAGAAAACGGCTTCCCTGTGAACGACACCCGTTCGTGTAGAACATTTGAAGTGAGACCCGGTCGTGATGCAAGAAGCCGAGAAGCTTCAAAATCCGGGTGGCGTAACAGGGTACCGCTTCTTCCCTTGATTGGATCATATCCGCAGAGAGCTGCCATGTCGCGTAGACTGAATACTGGTAGCCTGTAGCGACATGTTTCGGGACACGCTGCAGGATGCTCGTTTTGCGGCTCTGATAGATTTCGAGATATTTGTAGAGAGAGCAAGAAGTCTCGCGAATGTACGCCCCAGCCTGCACGATGGCTAATGCGAGACAGCCTAGGGTCTCAACAATCTCCTGAAGCAGATGAGTATCCAGCTCTGACGAATTTGAGCTTCCATAGATAATCTTGTTTAGCAATGATACAGAGTCGTCTGATGACAACTGCCTCACATGCCTATATCCCACGGTGTTGTACTGTTGACATGTAGGATTTCGGCTTGTTATGATTATATCGCCTCGGTTACCTGCAGGCAGATAGGGAGACAGTGACAGGTCCGGATCGTCAGCATTGTCGAGCACGAGGAGCCAGGTTTGAGCTGCGTTGGCCAATCTTCGCTTGACGCAGTCGACGGTCTCATCAACTTGCAGCAGCTGCGCAATTTGCGCAAAGTCTTGCTGCAGACGATCGTCACTGCTCGCATCAACCCAGAAGATGCCCCAATATCTGAAGAAGCGTCTTCGTCAGCGGTCATCGATGTTCTAGAGCACCGGACATACCTCTCTCGATGTGATTGCACATAACTAAGACAGATCTGAGTTTTGCCCGAACCTCCCAGACCGAAGAGCACAAATCGCCGTTGGTGGTGTCCTTGTAGTGGGTGTCGACCTGCGAATGCCGCACTGAGAGACCGCAGCTCGTCCTCGCGACCCGTAAAGAACGTGCTCAGGAGATGAGGAACTAGAAAGTATGAATTATTTGAGACTAAACAATACTTCATCAACCTAAATGGTCTCAGATCACGGCAGCTCCTGGGGCATACCCAAGTCGTGCATGGTTGTGTACCGCGGACTGTCTCTCATCCGCCTGATTCTCTTGTAAATCTTCTCAAATGTATCGTCATCCTCAGTCTCAAACTTGCACATCGCACTGTGATCGGCATCGACCGGAATCTGTTCTTCATGGTGAACCTCGAGCAAGGCAGAATTCTTCTCAACAATCTGCATTTGTTAGTCTTCGTACATCTAGTAGATAAGTATCAAAGAGAATACTAGACTAGAAAATCCTGGCATCGACCGCTGTTCATAAAAGCTATAGACTTGATAGTCGGGCACTTGGAAGCGGAAATCAGTCGTCAACCGAAAGAGAGCGTCGGAGTTGGTTTGTAGAGCCGTCAATAAACGCGGAGGAGGGTGATGGCTGACGAACTGCGCAACACTCGCCAACACTTTCCCATATGTCGCTTTACCGCTTCCGCGATGGGGTGTACCCAAGAAGATCAGACCGACGGTTGCATCACGGATCGACTCGTATCGTGGTTCCAGCTTTGCTTGAAATAGCGCCTGGAAGACATATCAGCGATCGAATTGATCGAATCGACTGTCCGAATATCTCACCTGTTTCACTACGATTCCACCCAGAGAGTGCGCGACGAATACCAAAGGACGCTGAATCTCCTGAAATCCGTTAATGGGGGGTTTTTGTTCAGCTTGATTATGCATTCCGTACATCTTGCTCCTCTCTTTTGTCCACCAAGCTACTCAATAAGCTCTTAGCATGGTCAACGATCTCTCCAGTCGACTGGCCGAATGCGGCATCGGCGTTGTAGCCGAAAGTTAAGACCCGGGCATCGGGGATTTGCAGAGGTAAGAAGTCTTGCAACCAGAACTTCTTCGACTTTGGATGAGTCCATGTGTTCACAAGGTCGCCGCCGAGACCGTGTACAGCAACGACGCTAGGCAAAACCAGAGTGTATTAGAAATCGGCCAGGTTAAATGGGACTTCGAAGCGGGGGAGGGCAAGGTTCTTACTCGATGGAAGATGACGTAGTTGGTCCCTGGGCACGGTAAACGACTCTGAGTACCATTCTCCAGCTAAAGCTGCTCAAGTGAAGGTAGGAAGAGAACTTATGAGTCTAGAACTATCTTACTGCAATCCTGTCGCAGGAACGCAGGCAAGCTGGTCTGTACCGAGTTCTTCAGGTCTGGACTTCAGCCGTAGGCGCCAGCACGTGACTACCACTCACCTTTAGAGTGTAGCGCAGTGAGCGAGGCACTCAGCTCCTGATCTTGAGCCAAACTGCATGCATGCTAGGCGCAACTGCGTTAGCCTTCCGTGTGCAGTCCTCAACCATCTGTTAACGTAGTCAGGTCGAGGAAGATAACCTGCTCGTGATGTTTAACAACCTTGACCGAGATTCACAAGCTCGATTGCGACCGGAATATGCTCTCCTCTAAACAATAAAACGAAGTCAAGGGAGATCGAGACCAGATCCTTTAAGAAACTGCCGAAAGGCGGAAATAGTCTGGAAATAAAAATACAGAATAACCAAGTTTTCGCATACCTCTGAACCAAAAAGGCAAGCATCCTGCAACCGATTAGAAGAATCCCAAGGGAGTTCACTTTCTCCTACCTTCCTGATTTGCCTCGTCGCTCAGAAGATAGCGGGTCGATGATGATCTCCCCAAAAATCACCGATATTGTTTTCATGGCGCCTGCGTCAAGAATCACAGTCTGTCAACAGTCTCAGAATTGCAAGATTGAACAATTGCTTACCAGACCCGAAGCTTCAATTTCACTCAAACCTTTTTCAAACTCCTTGTGCAAGGGAGTGACTGGTCCATCAAACCCGCATCGACGACAACGACCGTCACCACCACGAAGGCATCCTCAACCCACGGCACCTCGCCCCCGGATCCACAAATCCCGGACCTGAAACTCAACCTGATCTACCCCTGCACGCCGTAGCACATCCGGAAGTACTCGGCACAGCGCCTCCGCATGGTGACAGAGACCTCCGAGATATACGCCACGCATATCAGGCCGTGTATAGCAGGCCAGCGAGCCGCGGGCCACCTAGACTGGGTCTTCAACACCCTCGAGGGCCGAACCGACTTGTAAGGTACCTAGCGCGGGCGCTAAGTATCTATGCTTGGGTTGCGCTGGTTTAAGCAGACATAGTTGTTGACATTGAAGATCACGTTCTACAATACTGCACTCCAATCTTGCTTCTTGATCCACTCTTCAACGGTGCCCAGATTGACGGGGATGCCCAGCTACACCCGTTAGCTGCAGTATGTTCCGTGGATAGTGTCGACTCACATCTTTGGGATGAACGACGCTCGGATCGCCTCCTTCGAATCCGAATTCGGCGATAAAGTCCGCGCATTCCTCAATGTCCTCGCGCAGCTCTGGAATAGCAACCCACACCTCCCCGGGACCGGTCGCTACATATTTTGCTTTGACCCCAAGAGCGCGACCCCACGTCTGGGCGAATTCGTCCAGCGTTATCAATTCACGGTACGCGAGAAGGGTTTTGCCCCCGTCGACATTGACGAGTGCCTTCGTCAGAGGGCCGGTGTCCTCGCTGGTCGCGATCAGCGGCACTATGCGGTCGGCGGCCATTTTGGTGCTGAAGACGTATACGCCATCTTTATCCTACGACCCATCAGCGCAAAGCATGACCGCAAGAATATGGTGTTACTTTGTGTGGTTGGTAATGTGGCATTCGCAACATATTTGTCAAATAGATTCCGAGCTGGATGACGCTAGTCTTCTTCATCAATTCGGGGTACGTCGACCGCCCGTACTCGACCGCCCTGCCCTCGGCGTCGAAGTGGTACACATGTGTATACTTCCCCTTGGACCATTTCGTGACATACGGGAGAGCAGAGAAGACCAGTCTTTCCAGCGTGGGCGTCTGGGCTGCAGCGGTGAAGACGTTCTTCCCTTGTTGCAGCTCGTAGTCGTGCGCCCATTCCATCATGGTCTGACCGGGTGCGAGCTTCGAGCTGTTGTCAGGATTGCGAAAGCCGGTCCAGAAGTCGGTCACGGAGAAGATGGTGTGGGCTCCTTGGAAGGCTGCAACCAGAGACGGCACGTCGTCAAGGTTGGCGCGTACCGTTTCCACGCCTCTGGCCGTGAGAGCCTGGGATGTCCGACTGCTGGTGTTGCGCGTGACGCCACGAACAGTCCATCCTGGTTCGTTGCGGAATGTCTCGACTACCGAGCCTCCTTGCGTTCCTGTGGCGCCAATGACGACAATGAGTTTAGACGTCATTATTGAAAAGCAATTGTGTAGAATGTTTCTACAGGAATCGCCAGCTCTTCCACGCATAGAACCTACCTGTATTTTATATCGGATTTGGTCGGCGCAAGGGTGTGTACACGGTCCAAGTATACATGGCGCAAGGTATACACGGCTCCCGGCTCACAAGTATGCCGACTCCGACGATGCCTGGGATGCTGACCAATCTAAGTCCACCGACCCTAGATCAAGACCCAATATCAAGATGAGCGCTCCGGGGTAACTGCTCATAGTTGTGCCGAAGTGGATTTAGAGGCAAGCTGTGGGCATCCGTCGCCAGGTCTAGTATATTACTAATACAGAACGGATCCTTCTGCTGCTTTTTACGGTCCCTGTGGTGCCTGGCATTGGGTGTTTCGCTCAGGGCATCCTCGCGTTCAGGTTGGGATATTTGTTCGATGAGTCCAAGTACTCGAGTCCGTTCCTGTGAATGATTGGCACCAGAATTCCGACTATGGAGCAACTGACGCGGCAAGAAATGCCGCGGAGGAAGCAGTCACGGCTGCTGGCAGGCCTGGACAAGGCATAAATGGCTTGCTCAATCCACGCACCCTGTACCCAGGGCTCCTGTCCAGCTTCAGGATCCTTCTGCCAACCAGCATCTTTGCTCTGAAATTCTTCGAGTGGTGGCACGCCAGCGACTTTTCTCGTCGATTGAGTAGGAAAGCAGCCGAAGGCCCTGGAATTACGGCCACCAATTGTTTTGAGCATAGAATTGGGCCGTAGACCTGAAGAACAACCAGGCGCGGTCGCCAAAACGGCGAATACCGCGGTGAAATGGAGCCCGCTAGTCTCGAGTATAACATTCCTACCCATTTCCACGGTCCCGCTATCAACGCAGAGTCTTACACAAGTTCTCGTGTCGTTCGCTCTCCAGCCGAGGGGACGGTCTGACACCCTCAAAACCCTGGATCCTCGTAGAAAATTCTGTTCGATCGCAGGAATGGATGCATTGGTATCTGGTCTATCTCATCGAGGTGCCGCTTAAGTCTTTACTGTCGCTGTGACTTCCCAGCACGGGATTGGGTGACCGTTGCGCATCTTTACCCCGCATACTCCCTTGACCCGGCTCAGCCTGTGGCCTGGCGCTGGGCCCGTGATCTGGAGATAGCGAGGCCGGAAAGCACGACAACAAATGTAGCCCGTGGTGTTCCTTAGCTGGGTATCTGCACAAATCCCATCACTAGCTAGCAGCCCACTCGAGCGCTTCCCGCACGACTGCTCTCATCGCGCTTGTCATGTCCCACCCACCCACCTCTTCCTCAGTAGCCCAACAGCTCTCTGAATGCTCTTCTGGACTGAGGGTGACCTCCCTGCCGGAGACCGACACAATGTAATTAAGTTGAATAGCGCTCTTGGAAACAAGGACTTCTCGGCCAGCGTCGTCGACCACGGTTTTCTCAGTCATGTAAATCATCGGCTTTAGCTCAGCGAGAATGTCGGTGACGTCTAGGCCCGTTTCCTCCTCCACTTCGCGAGCTAGAGCGTGTCCGAGGGTCGCGTCGCCTGGGTCGACTTTTCCACTGGGCAGCTCGAAGACGTTGGGAAAGTAGGACTCGTGGGCTGCCCTCTTCAAGAGAAGGGATCTGGATAGGAGCGCGGTCATTGGCGATAGACTAATCTGTTATAAGCGGTGTGGTGTCGGGAGGCATCTGCTAGATTACGATCTGAGTTTGGCCCGATGTGGTAGGTATAGCAGTAAAGGTGCTGTTCAAGAATTCTCTTTATTGGAATATCGACGGATCTTCAAGACTGCATGTCATACCCGTTTGGGATGGTCGGAGAGAAGTAATCGCCGAGTTGTACTGACTTGGGAGGAACCAGTCATGTTTTCGTGAACGCTGGCTGAGCGAGGGGTGGCAAAGCCAGGGCTTATCGCGGGTATTTGCAGACTTACATTGTACTAAGTACTCGCAGTCGAGACTTGAGCCCAGGTCTGAGCCTTGATGCTTGAATCCGAGATGTCAAACGTTCCGGTGCACATGATTCAGAGATCGGCTGTCCACCACGGTGTTACTCAGACACCCGAGAATCGATATCAATAAACGCTCGGGGTGATGTGACATCTCACTCGCTATCTGCTGCAGCAGTCGCGTACAGGATAGCATCTGTCTAGCGAAACCCACTATCTCTCCTTTCCCATTCGAATGTGCAGTAATTCAGAGGCTGAGCTCTTCCCAAAGCTCCCCCTCACACAGACGGGAGTGGAGCAAAACGGTTCTAGAGGGATGAAGGGAGTTGTGGACTTCTAGTAGTTCGACTCACCCAAGTTATGGAGCAGGGCACACACGGAACAGCCTGGGTTTGCGATTGTGGTTTCCAAAAATTGCACAAAATATCTCGATCAACCTTAGACGTATCCGACTAAAAGCGCGCCCGGGATGCCTTTCTTGCCTAGATGGTCCAAGCAATTTGCCGAGTGTCGGAAAGACGGCTGCAAAGGTAGATTCTTCCTGGGTCGAGCTGTCAGTGGCAAAAACAGGGGCGGCAGTCCGCATCTCTGCTTGATGCCAAATCTCGGCTCAACTTTCCGGGATTGCTCATGACATACAACCTTTGAACAGCTGACAGAGTTGGAGTGGTGCGTGCGTGATCGATCTAGAAGGAGCGTAAGAAACACTGCCCGACACGATGGGTGCCATGAGCACGAGCACGTCCCCGAACGAACCGGTGGCGACGAGTCAATCCTTGAAAGGGGGAAATCAACACGAATCCTGGGTACTCTGGCCTCCTACTCGCAGAAAATCTCCGGGCAGACGAGGCGCACATGGCGAGCCGATCTCGCCTGTTTAGGACCGCCCGCATAAGCCCTGGCAGCCTGGGGCACTTGGCGAACAGGCCCTACGACGCCCCCGGGGACCAATCCAGGGCTGTGGATGGCACCATCTGACATCAAACAAAAGAGCGAGGCTTGTGGTGGCTGTTTCAGATCTGAAAGCACGCAACAGTCGAGGACTTGTACCCGTACTCGTACTCGCCAACAACCAGGACCGACGCACTCAGACGCGTGCTTGTTGATGATTTGCGAGTGAGGACGAGTACGAGTAGTAGAATATAAATTGTTGGCGTGATATGTGTTCCGTACGGTCTCGAACCTCTTCAACATGGAATATGTCCACAGAGGGAAGACTCACTCCACTTGCAAGCATGGCTCTGATATCGATATACTCGTAACAACGTGGACAATGGGGGCAGACAGGCACACAGACCGTCTACTCGTATTTGCACCATCCATGACTTTTCTGGGGCTGTTGACGAAGCCCGAACTCCGTGCGCACAGTGTACGTACTTTTTGCAAGGCTAGGGTCGATGTGGCTTGGTTGATGGCGTCCTAGTGGAAATTAGCCGACCTCCAGACCGCAATTCTCCTCAAACACCTTGTCGACGTGTTGCTTGCGCCCTGGAATGGCGAGTTCTGATTTCCCCATCATTACTCACCTTCCCACTGTTTCGGCCATGCCGGAAAATGGAAACGCAGCTGGGCGTCGTAGCTCATCCGTCCCGAAAGACGCGGTACCGGGGTCCAATGCCCAAGATAGCTGCTGCAACCAGGTATGGGAAGGCCACAGGTCACACCATGTCGTTGTACATGGCTTTCCACTGCCACGAATTCTAACTCTATATTGTGTACCTACAGTCCTAGTTGACAAACTCTATCTGAGCAAAACCGATACTCACGTTCTCGCTCATCACACTGGAACGAAATCGATTGCGTTCGTCCCTACGAGAAGCTCCGTTGTGTAGCTCCGCCAGGTGCCAATGGGCATGCCTCAGCAAGCCACATCTGGGTCCTTTTGAAACCCGACATCTATCCAGCCGCATGGGTGGACTAAAGCAAACTATAGTAGTAACACACCCACTCGACGACGCAATGGCCAGGCTTCGATGCTCCATCACACCAATGACGGACCTTCGATAATCGAAATCGATATCGGCCGCATGGTGAAAACGGCCATGGTCGACGGTGGCTGTCGTGACAATTTCGGCACCTGTTTAGTTCGCAGCACGTTCCTCTGGAACCAATAGCCGAACAAGCATTGCGCCATCTGGCCGCGTTGATACTGCATTCATCTCGAGGCCGTCGCGGAATCTAGGCGAATTTCCATTGGGAAAGTTCTCCAGCCAGCCTTGCAGGGGACCGGGAAGCTCACGACTGGGGGTCTTCTTTCCACGTTGGCAAAGCTCCTCGACTTGTGGAGGGGGACATCGGAGTCCGCGAACAGCCATGGACAGCCCACGTCCTGGTCCACGGCGATGGCTGTCTTAATAAACCATGGCTGCTGGACGCGACAACGACGTGACGTCCATCAGACCTCCTCTGCCTCCTCTGTCCAACCGCCATTGTCAAGATGTCGTCCATCAGAGACACGCCGGCGGGCCAGTTTCTGCGCCTGATCGGGTTCAAGTCATGGCTGTACTATCCGGAGGAAGTCACCGGGTTCGAATTACCCAACTTGCCATTTGTCTCGGAAGAAATCCTCCCTCCCTCGGACGACAGCGCGGGCGAAAAAGACATTGAAAAAAGCCTCCCCAGTGTCTCAATCAGAGTGGCCACTCCCCCGGATGAAGTCTCGAGTGCCATGTCCCAGAAGGCTCTGGCAGAGCCCATTGTGGTCTCCTTCACCGACGACGACAGCGGAAACCCGCGAAACTGGTCTTCGGCAAAGAAGACATGGACTGTCACCCTGATCAATGTCTATACCTTTGTTGTTTACTGCACAGCGTCGATCATCACCCCCACTGCTGGCTTCATCGTGGAGCGGTTCAACGTCTCGGTTGTCGTTGCCAGCCTTGGTCTGTCCATGTATGTTGTTGGCTGTAAGTTACTACCTCTCCAATCCTTGTCCTTGAGAACGCATTGTTGATCGTTGTTGCAGACGGAACTGGCCCGATGTTCTTCTCGCCTCTCAGTGAAGTCCCAAGCATAGGGCGGAACCCGCCGTACCTGTACTCCTTCATTGCATTCTTCCTCGTCTCCATCGGCCTAGCATTCGTCAACAACTTCCCGGGTCTGATCATCCTCCGCTTCCTTCAAGGCTGGTTCGGCAGTCCCTGTCTGGCCAGCGGTGCCGCCTCTATTGAAGATGTCTACGATATGTACAGTGCGCCTTACGGTTACATCTGGTGGGTGGCCAGCATGTACTGCGGCCCTGCCTTCGGCCCCTTGTTGGCCGGCTACGCCGTCTCAGACAATTGGCGGTGGCCGCTCTATCAAGTGGTGATCATGGGCGCCGTGGTCCTCGTCGTCCTCCCCTTCCTGCCCGAGACATCGCCGCAGACCATCCTTCTCAACCGAGCCAGGCGCCTCCGAAAGGCCACCGGCAACAACGCGTACAAAGCCCCCTGCGAGCTGAAACCTCTTGCCTTCGGCAAGATGCTGCACGAGGCACTCAACAAGCCTCTGGAGATCACCGTCAAGGACCCGGCCATTCTGTACGCCTGTGTCTACGGCTCGATCGTCTACGCCACCTACTATTCCTTCTTCGAGGCCTTCCCCCTGGTCTATCTCGGCATCTACCGCATGTCCCTGGGCGGCATGGGACTCGTCTTCACCTCCCTGACCGTCGGCTGCATCTGCGGCCTGACAATCTACTACCTCTACATCACGTACTACTTCATCCCGCGAGCCCGCGCGCACCACGAGGAGAAGGGCGAGCCCGTCGCCCAAGAGCAGTGGCTGCTCCCGGGCCTGTTCGGCGTGTGGGGCCCGCCGGTCGGCCTGCTGCTGTTCGCGTGGACGGCGCGCGCGGGCGTGCACTGGATGGTGCCGACGCTGGGCATCGGCGTCTTCGCGTTCTCGACCTTCTTCATCTTCCAGGCCCTGATCTGCTACGTGCCGCTATCCTACCCGCGCCACGTGGCCAGCCTGTTCGCGGCCAACGACTGCGCCCGCTCCCTGCTGGCGGCCGCCTTCGTCCAGTTCTCGCGCCAGATGTACACGCGCCTGGGCATCGACAAGGGCGTCACCCTCGTGGCCGGCCTGTCCGTCGTCGGCATCTTCGGCATGTACGGCCTGTATTTCTACGGCGCCCGCCTGCGAGCCCGGAGCAAGTTCACCGGTTAATGGGCCTTTCGATCTTCCCTCCTTCCTCGCCTTCCCTCTTTCGGAATATCTGTTCGTTGTCGGTTGGACCTGGCCGGGCAGAACACATGTGGGATTAACAGCATCGGCTTCTTGTCTTTTGTATGGCGAGGCGCTGGTGGTATCAAACTATTTTGCTTTTCCTTGGGGGAACACAGGACCTGTCAAACCAAACTAATCTCGTTCACTTCATCTCTGTTCTAATACTTATTATTGTGGCTAATGTGCCATTACTGGAACGAGGTCTGGATTTGGTCCTGAATTGATTTTTATTACACCCAACCTATCTCCTTGCCTTGCTGTTGTACAACAGGGAGAGTGGAAGAAAGGGGTAACGGAGGAGGGGGATACTATTCTTTAATTTGATTTCGTTGGGAGGGAAAATATGTAATGAGACAACGAGAATACGAGGATCATCAATCATCAATCACATATCATCTCTCATTCCCCCATTATTCGTCATCGTCGTCATCGTCCCGGTTTCACTAAGAGTCGTGGTCGTCATCGCGATATACGTCGTGCCCGTGCATACACCAGCACCCTGAAAATTCCCCCGTGGTTCCTTGTGAAGTGATGAAGCACTGCTTCAACTCACCCATACTCGCTGCTTGAGTCCCTCACAGCTGAAAGAAGTAGATCTATTTGATCCCCTCCACTTCACCCCGTTCCTATGGATATTCTGGTTAGGTGGCTTGCAGCCTTTTGGGCCCTCGCTCAAGCCAGCACAATCTCCCTCCACTCAGGCCCCGGCCCAAACGTCTTTCCTTCCAACACCGAAGTCTTCAGGACATGGCCGATGCCTCTCCGTTCATAGACGGCTTTCTTGGGTAGGTACTCGACCATCATCACCCAGTAAGAGTCCTTCTCAACGACGTTCTGCAGGGTCTTGTCTATCCCCTCGGCTCTCCAGTTTGGTTTGTGATGGCGCTCGGAGAGGAGGAGGAACTCGGAGAAAGGGTATCTGGGCTGTCGTGCTTTCTCCTCTGCTTCGACCAGTCTGTCTGCATCTGCGTCTGTGTTTCCTTGGGTGCCATTGGAGACGTAGTTCTCCGTGTTGGGAATCGCAGGTAGTAAGTCCGGTATGACTTCACCACAATTCGAGCCCGTATTGTCAAGGATGGAGTAGTGGCAGTACGAATCGGAATCTGGCCCTGGGGCGGCAACGGCCATGTGGATGACGATGGTCTGGAAAACCAAGACGGTGTAGGGAATATCTGGCGGGATTTTAGCAACCACGTCTCGTGCAGCCCAGGGTATTTGATCCAGGGGGTGCAGCACAGATCTCTCCCCACGTGCTGTCACGGTATTGTGTATGTCACTCGTGTTTGCTTTCTCTCCATCATGTATGGCGAATTGGTGCCTAATTGTCGATGGATCGTGGACAATTTCAAGCTTACCCCCTTTCTGGGACATCCGCCATTTGATCCAATTGGCATCGGCCAGCCAGTCGAGAATCTCATCCTCGCCACTGAATATTATATCAAATTCACCCCAGATGTGCCAAAAGGACGGGGCCCGCCATCCTGCCCACGACCAGCTCGGAAAATCCGACCTACGGCGCACGTCTGAAGACAGCTCTGGGTTGTCCCCTCGATTTTGAAAGATCATAGCCACAGGGAGAATCTTAGCGGGTAGGCCTTCGATCATTTCCGTCGTTGCGGCATCGGCAACTCGCTCAAGGATGCCAGACATGGCATTCAATGCGTCACTGTTCATAGTAATTTTGCGTTTTTGGAATTCCTCCAGAGCACTGAAGAGGAAGTCGTAAGGTGCCAAGGCAAACTCCATGTCGTCCATACTCTCTCGCGCAAACGCGATGTAATCGGTTCCCGTTTCGCGGTAAAGTCGAGGATGAGTCTGAAGCACAATGTCTTTACACAGATCTTCGGCCCATACGCTCTCCCGGCAGCGGAAGAATACTTGTTCGTCGACAAAATTCATTGTTCGGCGTGAGAGATGTTGTTCTTGGAGTCTGTGTCGATGGTGGTCAGTATCAGTTTAATAAGGAGCTGCATTGTAAGAATGATTGCAGGAATGATCTTACGTCCAACCGCGCGTCGACCACACTGATGACTTCAGGTGGGCATCTAGCGGCACCACCCTAATCAGACTTGTGTTGGGCTTTATATATTGGACCATCTGGCTTGGGTTACGGGATCTCCCAACACCTGGAAGACCATCATTGGCACTGGAACCATTGGCGGCGACTATGGTGAAATATGCTTTCTCAAATATCATGTCCATATTTTTGATGCTCTTGCGAAGCTCTTCGAAATCATCTTGAAAGAGGCACAGTGAGTCAAACCAAAAATACCGTAGCTCGAGATTCCTGACAACCTCTATCGCATCGCGGATGGTTTGGGGAAAGCTGTGCGCTCGAAGTCGGATTGAGTCGGGAGTCATCCACATCTCCAGCTCGTGTTTGACAAGCCGAGGAGGAGTTGCTCCTCCCCACACATAGCTCAGGGCAACGTATTTCTCCGTCCATGGGATTTCCGTCAGACACATTTCTTGAACATCGACAACGCGAAGGCGAAGGGGGAGATTTCGGCCATGTGTTCTGCTCCCTATGGCTGTGGACGGGCAGACTTTATGCAATTGCGAGCAAAGCTCTAACCAGGATTTCATACGTTGGTAGTCGATGCCTTCGGAATCCACGACTCTTCCTGCCTCAGGATCTCGGTTATAATCGTTTGCGAGGAATGTCAGCATTTCCAGCAACTTGCCCACGTAATAAAAAGCTGGGTCACCAGCCTTGCGGTAGCGAAGCCTGATAGTTAAACATCTGGTATCACAAGAAGCCCAATACGTCGAGTCCGGCGGCCCCCTATCGTTAGAGCAGCTTTCTAGCACGGCGAGGGTGAATCTGCAGGAGGGGCAATATTCTCTGGCCACAATTGTTTCGAATGATCCGATTTCGAGTATATGGAATAAACGGCCATCGAGGAAGGTCTGGCCCAGAGCCTCTTCAATCGCGTCGAATGGATGGAGAGACGGGCTAAACTGCAGAACGGCCAGGAATCGGCAGAATTCCGAGTCGCAGAGTTGGTCAAGACTACCCTTGGCACTCTGTTGTTGAGGATTGTCCATTGAGATCAGGAAGCGAGAAGGGAGGTTTGCTTTGAGTGTTTCGGCTGTGATGGCGGGAATGACCATGCGAGGATATAGCGGGTAGATCATAGATCCTGCGGGCCAAGAGTCAGCATTGCTCCTACTGTACGGATCGCTGCGTCGGTGACCGCATTCCACGACTCCAAATGCCGCGCGTCCCTTGTACAGTCGGTACGGCCGTTTCCCGTCGAATATGCCTTATATACAACACCCAATAACCCCTGATGGACAGAGGCTACTCTTCCAGCTGCAGTCGCCAGCTCTGCGGTTTGATTGCTGAAGCCAGAGACAGCCCCGTTATTCGCTGCTTGGCTAACAATTACAATGACTTCCAAGATATGGCGACGCCTCTCAACGTTCTTTTCCAACCAGCCTCGAGCTGCCTGGGTGAGAGGAGGCGGCATCATTTTGTTCCTGTTAACAATCCTCTTCACAGCGACAGCTATTGCGTACTCGAACTCAAATATTGAGACAGTATCACCGTCTCACTATGCTGTGATTAAGTCCAATTTCGCCGATCCATGCCTGCTGAGTGTGGACGGCATGTTCTATGCGTTTGCAACGCGACCAGATCCTTCGTTACATGTTCAAGTTGCCAGTGCGAAGGATATATCGGGTTGGACATTGCATGAGGGATATGATGCCATGCCGATCCTACCGAAATGGGCTCTACAAGAAGGCGATGCTGCGGTGTGGGCGCCAGAGGTTGTGCAACGGGTAAGTGAGCATCATTCCAATGGTGTGGTGACTTGAGACCTGGCTTGCCTGCCAGGAGCGCTACCGAACTCCCGCGGTTTATCGCTGCTCCTGGAAAGCTCTCTCGGTCGTTATCTTGCTAACGGTCTGAGCGTAAGCCTGACGGGAGCTTTGTTCTCTACTTCTCGGCATCATGGCATGCCAACAGTCGTTTCCACTGTGTCGGCGCTGCGACTTCTCCCAATGTCACAGGCCCATACGTCCCAATGGAAGAGCCACTCACCTGTCCCTTCGACCAAGGAGGCGCAATCGATCCAACTTTCATTTACGACCGACGAAAGAACATGTCGTTTGTCGTCTACAAGAACGATGGCAACGCAATTGGCACCGGCGGAGCTTGCAGCAATAGCAACTGGCCTAACACACCCACTTCGTTCCAGTTCAACATCGTCGACAACGAGGACTACACAACGCGCATCGGGAACGATACCTGGACTCCGGTCGGCAATGCCACTTGGATTTTGTTCAGCGAACGTAGCGACGGCCCAAACGTGGAAAGTCCACAGATATTCTACCGGGGCGATGCCAAGGGCAGATTCGCCCTTGACGGAGACCATTCAGCCTACCACCTGATCTACAATGCCGGCTGTTACGCGGATGAGTCTTATCGCATCGAACATATCGTCTGCCGAGCAACTCAACTGAACGCGGTGTCCACGCACTGGACTTCACATGATCCCACATATGTTCCCTTTTTCCGGGATTGCTCGTTTGGCGCCATGCAACCCGAAAGCTATAGATCCTGGGGCCAGGCGTTCCTGGGATTCAAGGACAGGATTGACAACCACCACGACTTGATTTTGAAATCCGGTGTATTCCGGCAGCCTGATGGAGTCGGCGTGCAGCTATATGCACCTGGGGGACCTGCAGTGATTCAGGACGGACGATACATGGCTTTCCACGCAGACATCAGCCGCGATTGGTACGAGGGTAAAGTATGCCCTGCCTGTAGGGTCCGAGCTTTGTTCATCGCCGAATTGGAATATGGTAGTAAAGGCACGGGACTGAGGGTCAAACGACTGATCAAACCGAAATGAGACATCTGTATCCAAGTAGGAGTTTGCTCCTCATGACACGGTTGGCGTAAAGGTGGTAAAACCTCAAGGAATGGACTCAAATGGTGGGAATGAATCAGATATGCGTACGTAAGGCCTGGGTTGAGGCTTCTTAAAGGGGACCATCGATTAATTTTGGGCGTCAGGCTTGCATAGACACCACGCAGGAGTCACACACACACACACACACACACACACACACACACACACACACACACACACACACACACACACACACACACACACACATATATATATGGAGATTGAGAAGAGGATGAATCGATGTCGAGGTCGTGCTTTCGGGACTCTTCAACTCAAGTGCATTGCTATTTGTGTCTTTTGAGTGCTCGACGAGATCTGTATATAGTGTGAGGCCTCGAATAGATTCCCGTCACAGCGCTCTTGGTGTCACTCGAGAGGACAGTAAACAGCCGGTGAGTGACTTCGAGGACATATGCTGACCTTCTAGGGCTGGAATATATTCGGAAATCCTTCGTCCGGGAGAATGAACGTTGCAGAGTTGAGTCTGCCGACCTGGTGACACTGCATTTTTAGCGTCCTCGAACTGTCAAGAGCCGAGGGATACGTGGCTCGCTTCGTGTTCCATGCCAGTCAGTGTGCACTAACCTGCACTGCAATTTTAGCCTTGTTGACCTGATGTTCCCACACGCTCCTCTGACCACCACCCCCAAGTACCCACACCTGGATCCTCAGCCTGATCGTCCTGTTTGCGATTGATCACCAACTACTCTCGCGGCGTCATTGCCCTCTTCTGCTCTAATCATTATTATGAGTCGTCAGAGACGTATGCTGATAGATAAGGCTTTCCAGAAGGCCATTTGGTGAGTGTACCAAGATACTCACATACTGTCTCCATCAGCCGTCAAGGCTCCGTAGCGTGTAGCCTGGTGTAGCGCGCCTACCTCAGGGTCAGTTGCCTACCCAGACAGGGCTTGCGCCTTGATACCTGAGGATGGGCAGTCTTCAGCCCACCGCAGGAGTATCACTCGAAGAACGGATAGCCCCTAAGGGGAACATTTGCAGAGACGGCCTCTCCCGACATCCGACAACAGGTGCTTAGCAACGGATAGTTATACCTGTTAGCGCACTCTGCACTCCGTACTCTTTCTACCAACTACTAGTAGACATCAGCTGGCAGACGAGAACAGTCATTCCGGAAATGCTACTTCGCAGACAAGCAGGACCTGGGGATCAGGCTGAGCAAGGTGCCCGGTTTCGGGCGAGTTCTGAACATCATGTCGACGAGACTAAAAATGCAGTGCTGCCAATGAGGCTTGGGCACTGTCCAATCTGCCGCTGCATTTTTGTTGTCCCTAGAGCTCCCACAAACCAGGTGTGGGGACCAAGAACGAAGATCTCTCAACGCTTGCCTCAACCTGTCTAGAGAGCACACCGCCCTCAGCTATCTGAAGGCACGAAGTGCATGGACGTCCACCTTCAAGGAGGAGGTGCAGAGCATTGTAACGAGACTAGAGCATCGTCATGCCCGACCGAGGACACTAAAAGTGCAGTGCACGAGGCGCTGCAGGAGGCCGCGCACCCTTCAAAACCCCACTGAAAACCTGTTTGATGAAGGTGCCCTGGCTCATCTTCCTACTCGTTGGTCGATGGACACTCGAGGACATTAAAAGTGCAGTGCTTGGTGGCTGCCTTTTTGCGAACGTCGAGTGGCCCTGTACTGTTGATCCAATCAGATCGTGGAGGCTCACAACAACACGCAGAGCCTCACTAACCAGCAGGGACTTGAAGACACTAAAATTGCAGTGAGGGTGAGCAGGCGTCGACTTCGACTTCTCCCATCCGAAATAGAGAAAGGTTGGCAAGGGCTCTGGGGGACTAAAATTACAGTGCAGCAGCACTGCAGCAGTCCAAGTCAAGTAGATGGTGATGGCGAAGAGTCTCGAATTCAGCCTAACTGCCCAAAAATGAGTAACTACCTATCTCCAAACAACTTCTCCTTGACCTCATCGTCGGTTCAGGTGAATCTTCTCATGCCTCGTGCAATCATTTTTCCTAGTGAAAGCCTTGCCACACGTTGCACACGGGAACGGCTTTTGACCGCTGTGCGCCAGTTCATGGTCTCGCAATATAGCCTTGCGGACAAAACTCTTGCCACACTGTCCGCAGCCAAACTTTGCGTGGCTGGGTGTCGCTGGCTTCAATTCCTTGAAGATCTGGGCTTTCATCTCGGCGTCTAGATGGAAGTTGTGCATGTGATTTTCGAGTTCTTTCTTCGTTCCGAATCCCATGTCGGCCACGTCGCAATCTTCTGCCGTGCACTGATATGGTCGATCGTGTCTGCCCACATGCTTGTCTCTCGTTCTCCCATCGGTAAACCCTTCGTGGAAGTAGAAGCAAGTGGTTTTCGAGCATCGGAAAAACTTGGAACCGTAGTATGACTTCAGCCGCTCATGGGCTTCCGCCTGCAAGCCTTTGTCTGTAGAGAGCTCCTCCAGCAACTTCCGAATGCTGGCCATCGCAGTTTTCAGCCTGTCTAAACTGATTTCGTTGCGTTTGTCAAAGTCTCTGGTCCGATGCAGCTCGACGTGATGCCACAATGACTGAAATCCATCTTCGGCGCCTTCAAAATCCGTAAGCAGGCGGCAGACCTCGGGCTTCAGCCTGGCTTTCAGTTGCGACGCTTCGGCCTCAGCGTGACTGCCTCGAAGGTCGTCCGCACACTCCCGAACCATGTTCTCCACTGCTTCACAGAGCTCCTGTACCACAGCTTCGTACGTGTCAGATTGCATCGCGTCGACTTGACTGGCAAATTGACCGAGTATCTTGTCGAAGTGATAGATCCATTTAGCAACTGCATAGTCCGCAAAAGCATAGGACCCGTTGAGTACGTTTTCCACCTTGACATCTCCGTCAAAGTGGGGGAAAGCGAGGTATTCCAGACACAAGCTCGCAAATCTGGATTCCACGGCCAGAAGGTCGACATGCTTCGTCACCGTGATAAATCTAACCACCAGAATTAGATCAAACCGAGATAGAATATAATGGTAATACAAAGGTTATGCCAGGAAGTCTCGAGTATACCAATCCTGCTAAACGTACCTCTTGGCGGTGCTATGCACGAGAATTACGCGGTCCCTATGTACAGTGACCAATGGCCCGCACAGGTCCTGGGCTGTCTCTCGGATGCGACCTTCCTGGAAATCTACTTCCTGCTCGTCGACTGATATTGCCATCGCACCTTGAATTTCGTGCCACTTGAGCGGTCGAGCTGCGCAAGTCATCCACCCTAGAAATTGTTGCACAAAATCCCACTCGTGGTCCTGAAGTCGCAGCTTGATGCGTTCAATGATGCGATCGTACCTGTCAAAATTCTACAGTCAGCAGAGAGACAAAACGCCTTTGAAGGATGTAGATGTCTGCTGCCAATGGTGAACAGCATCCTTCTACGAACCACAAAGCATCGGAATGGTTGATACCCACGCTTCTTCCAACTTCTTCGGAAAATGCTCCGCTTCAACTTCACGCTTAAATTGTCTGAGGTTGACTTGAGAAAGAAGGTGTTCTAGCACCAGTTTGGCGAATAGAAATTGGCCTTTCGAACTCAGCAGGTCAGTCCCATCAGCAGGAGAAGATCCCTACCTGCTGCATTGCGGGATGTATGCTCCGCTAATAGGTTTGATGCCTCGACACTGAGTGTAAACTTTTCCTGAATTTTGGCTATACGTGCTTGCACAAATGTTCGTATGTCCTGGCTGTTGTCTTCGCGTTTGAGTGCAAACTCTTCCGCCGATGATAACCATCTCCTTATATCAGGCTCCTCCTGACTGACAATGAGGACGCGTAGCTTTGAGGGGTTCCTGCCGTCAATTCGGGTGACTAAGGACGTAAGAAACGACAATATCGACTTTCGTTCCTCGGGCCGGCATTCATCCAAACCATCGAGAACGATGTACTGGCGCTCGCCCTCTTCGCAAACGGTCTCGAACAGATTCTTTGCGGTCTTATCGAATGTCAGGACAGCTTCGCCTCTCTGAAGCCGCTGTTCATTAAAGTAAGGGACAAGAACCGGATACCAATATATCTGTTGAGCAAGAAGACCTTTCAAGATTGAAACACAATTGGTGGTACCAATGTCATCATGTCTGCAATAAAAGTAGGCTGTTTTGCTTTGCTGCTGCTTTAGGCAAGCTTCGATAATGATCGATGCCAGGATGGTTTTCCCTGAGCCAATTCAGTTGACGTCTACCGGGGAGCGGTGACTGCCTCACCTGAACCTGGAATGCCATGCATCCACAGAATTGAAGACCGGGGGAGGTCGTCTGTGAGCCAGCTAGAGACCTTTTCATTCTGTGTGATCCAGAGTCCCGTCTGAGCATAGTCTTCACGGTCTCTCAAAGCCAATTCGTGGGAGTCGCTAGTATTGTTCCCCGCGATCCAGTCGCGTATCCCGGACAGCCGCTCGGCCTGACGACTTTCTTCCCTGCTCTTAAGCGAATCTCCTGCCTTTCGCACTTGCTGCTCTAGATTCTGAATTTCATTAAGTAAATCTGTGTGATGTGCTTCGTGCTGGCGCGCCTGGAGCAGGTTGAACTGTGATTCAATCAATCGTCGGTGCCGATCAAGGTTGCGAAGGATCCCGTCAAACTTTGTCTTGAAGTCACCCCATGCGGATGGAAAAAGCTGTCGCCAGCCTCGAAAAAGTCAGTGGGGGGACAAACTGGGATAGTGCGCTATTACTCACCCGAACGATTGAGAAAGCGAAGTGCGGGCTGATGAAATTCAAGAATGTCCTTGTACATCATGGCAAGCACCCTCTGCATCTCAGGATGCTGCTGGAAAAGTGACAGATATTGCTCGAGCAGAGGTAACGCTTCACCAATTTGCTCGTATGCCTCCAAAATCTTATCGAGAGAATTTGCCCACGCGCTGGATACCTGAAGGATGAACTTTAGGGGGCCCCAGACAAAAGCGACGAAATCACTAGTATTGGTGAAGACTTCGATGATATTGCCAAACTGTTTCATCGCGTCCAAGAAGCCCCGAATGCGAGTCAAGTTGCGTAGTTCCCGCTTTGCTTCCTGACGTTTCTGGATCTCATTTATGGCATCCTTAACGTCATTTAGGGATGTACACTTGAAGCTTCGCAACTGCTCCTCGTTTAGACGATTTTTGAACTTCGTCAGCTCGGCTTGGAAAAGATGAGATGCAGCTGAAGTGCCGGGCGTAGCAGCAGCCATTGTGCACCAAGAAGGAGGGTATGGGAAATAAAGATATTGACCAGATCGATTGTATTTTCACGGCTTCCTGGCCGTTCCCTGATCAGGGCCCCTAATCCGTCCAAACCAAAGCGCAGGATGTCGAGGGAAGTCAAGGATTCGGCAAAGGATGGCATGTACGGATTGCTGCCTCGAGCACAAGCATTTGCAGTATTTGATCGATCTAGGAGAGATAATCCATAGTTGTAAGGATCATGTTGAGCTGAACCACGATCAGGCTGAGGGTCGACATTGAGCGAGGCGCAGGCGCAGGCGCCGGAAGGCAGACTGCCATGCAGGAGAAGGCGTCCACGGTGGGGCTGAGTGCGCCAACACCATGGCCGCATACTGTGCAACCTCATCACCACCCTGGGGGTTCTCGAGGCTGATATGGCTGATTTTCTCGGTGCATAGATGTGTTAAAGCGAATGCAGCAGCCCTCACAGCCGTTGATGCGAGAAGTGTTGTTGTGCTCAGGAGAGAGCTCGGCCCAGGCGCCCCGGCAGAATGACATCATCCAAACGAACGGCAGACTGCCTCGATTACTTCGAATATCACGACGACTGCGACGACACCTTCTCGTCTCAGCCGTATTCCTCACAGCAGTCGCAGAGCTTCGATGACGGCTCGGAGCTACAACTGGATGTCGGTGGTCGTGATTGGAACCATGTCTGGAACGAGTTGATCGGAGATCCAAACTGCGAGTCTGCCATTGGCAATGTGGAAGAAGGAGACCCTCAAACACACCTCTTGTTTCCCGACATCCACAATGTGCAGGACGACATCGAATCCTGGTTCGCAAAAGACTGGGGGATGGCTTCTTTTGGGGACGGAGATGATCTACGCTTAGACCTGGAAGACACGGTCGGTCAGCCGCAAAATGACTTCAACCGTTGCTATGGCATGGTCAGTGACTACCTGCTCAGCAGACGCCCCCTCTCTAAAGCCCAAAGAGAATTCGCTCTGAAAGTGCTGGGCTGATATTTCCCATGCAGATTTACCGCGCAAAAGCTAGGCTTCAAGGGACCATGTCAGAGGTGTCGAGATGTCTAAGGGAAAATGTGCCTCGCGCTCTCACACACTTTATCCTGGACATCATTTGCGCTGACGACGAGCTTTGCGTCTGCATTCCAGATGGCATGAGGATTGCAACTCTCAACCTCCACCTGACCGAATCATTGCTGGAGCACGTCAAAGCCCAAAAGGTCCGTCTTGAAGCCCTGATCCGCCGAAGGACGATATTCGAGTAAGTCTCTGGCTGGTGCCCACGAAGAATGCAGCCTCAAGCTACGGATAATGAGTGACAACGGCTTTATTGCCTTGCCGACTCTAATTCTCATTCGTCCATGATATCGACGTGGCTGTCCCTCCTTTTACTGGAGCACTTTGCAGCAAATGTACGATCCAGGACTGACTCATTCAGTGATATTGGGCAGGCTACAAGAGCGAGGGAGGCATTTGCATACTTCAACATCAACGTCTATGGGACTGAAGAGTCACAAAGCTCTATTGGCCACGACTTCTCTGTCAAGAAAATATGGCTACAACGGCCTGATTGGGTGAGCCCAAATTCGACGTACGACAATCCGCATGTTCTGAAGTTGGCCACGGCTCAGCAGCAGAGCCAGTGGGAGATACCTGATCAGCTTGAGCAGACCACGAGAACCTGGGGGTTTAAGGATTCCGTTGACCAGATGTACTCAATGCTCACGCGTGATTCGCATCTCAAAGGGTTGGCTGGTGATGCTCGTCTTCGCACCCCACTTCTTCAGCACCAGGAGAAGGCCCTGGATTTCATGATACAACGGGAGACAGGCCCTGTTCCAGAACAGTTTCAACTTTGGCAGGCCACTACCGTGGAATCGGAGCTCTGGTATCGCCACAAAATCACAGGGACAAAATCTCGGACGTTGCCAGCAGAAGCCGGCGGCGGCATTTTGGCCGACGAGATGGGCATGGGGAAGACCTACTCGATGTTGGCTGTGATCGTCCGAACACTGGATGAGGCAACAAGGTGGTCCGAACGCCCGGATGTGCACGTTGTCGAAGAAATCCTCCCGACCAAAAGACCTTCCAGGGCGACATTGGTCGTTGTCTCATCCCCGCTGTTACTACCTACTTGGGAAAAGGAGATCCGGAATCGTGTCGGTATAGAATTGAAGATCTTGAAATATCACGGCAGGACAAGAACCAACGACCCCAGAGTCATAGCTGATAATGACATCGTCCTGACAACCTACCATACAATCGTGGCAGACAAGCACAGATCGAATCCTGCCACCGGGGTCGCTTGGTATCGCATTGTTCTGGACGAGGCACACTTCGTACGCAGGCATTCCACCTTTCTCCACAAAGGAGTGGCCGAACTTGACGCAAAGTTCCGCTGGTGCCTGACCGGAACGCCTATCCAGAATACTCTGGACGATATCGGCTCACTGTTCGCTTTCATCAAGATATACCCATTTGACAGACTGGGCGTCTTTCGCAAACATATCACGGCCCCGTTTGGCGATGGGGGGATCCGACGCCGGGAGGGGCAGCGGAATCTTGTCCAACTGTTCGACTCAATCGGTATCCGACGCACGAAGGACCATCTCAATCTGGCTCTCCCGGTGGAAACGATAAACACGATCCAGTTGTCACCCGAAGAGCGGGCGCAGTACGAAAAGACAAAGGAGGACATGAAACGGGCATTGCCGCATCTTGTAGGCGCATCCGAGAGCCGGAGCAGATTCAGCATGTTCCAAGCCCAGCTGCAACTACGCCTCCTCTGCAACCATGGGACCTTCCAACATCAGTTCCACTGGGCCAAAAGCAGGAACACTCGTGACGCTCGAGAAGATGCGCTCAACTCTGCCGGCACCGACGGCGAGGTCAAGTGTTCGGCTTGCGAACAGACCGTGCACGCTGTCCTCACGAACCGACCCTCCGGCCTGTCCGACAAGTGCGCACATATCCTGTGCTCCGAGTGCAAGGAAGGTACAGGCGACAGCTGCCCGGTGTGCGAAGCGACGCTCCGACCCCTCAAATACCAACGTCCCACGGAAATAGGGATCCCCCAGTCCCGTCTGCACCAAGGCGACCTGCGCTCCGAAGGCTACTCGTCGAAAATGGTCGCCCTGGCCAAGGACCTGCGGGGCGCCGCCGCTGTGGGCGACAAGAGCATCGTCTTCTCGTGCTGGACGACGACGCTGGACCTGATCGGCCAGCACCTGAAAGTGTGCGGGGTCACGTTCGAGCGCATCGACGGCGAGCACTCGGTCGAGCACCGTCAGGACGTGCTCGCGCGGTTCGAGGCCGACCCGCTCGTCCCCGTGCTGATCATGACCACGGGCGTGGGCGCGTTCGGCCTGAGCATCATCGCCGCCAACCGCGTTTTCCTCGTCGAGCCGCAGTGGAACCCCAGCGTCGAGGCCCAGGCCATCGGGCGCACCATCCGCATCGGCCAGCAAAAGGCCGTGCTGGTCACGCGCTACGTCGTCGAGAACTCGGTCGAAGAGGACATCCGGCAGCTGCAGCGGCGCAAGCAGGGCATCGCCAAGATGACCAGCAAGGACATGGAGCTGGCTGACACGTACATCAAGCCCGAGTATCCCGCGTTCAATTGAGCCTCGGACGTGCGCCGGCAGCAGAAGATAATAGAATGAAAGACATATAGCTGAATGACTACCCGAAAGTAATGATCATGTAGGAAGAATCAATGTCTGTTATGTACTCATCATCCATCCCTCTCTTGTCTCGATATTCCAACTCCCACAATATGTACACTGGACATTCCACTATACATCCACGTTACTCCCTCCAGGCTGGCGAGCGTCGAATCTGTACACGAAGAAGGGAATACTGGGAACTCAAATCCCCAGCCGCAAAAACTGCCAGATTGGGATACTGGTAATGTAGAGCCTGTTATCTCTCCTTTTCCTTCGTTGGGAGCCACGGCCCTCTTCTTTCGAGGCTTTGTACAACATCCTCTGCCCGGCTCCAAGTTCATTTGTGCAAAACGGGTAAACTGCCTTCGTTTTCAAGAACATCCCCCCCCTTAAAAGATAAGTATCATGGAAAGAAACATGTGCTGGGTGAAAACGAGTAAAAACTCGATGCAAAGATAGGAACAGAAGGATGCCGCTCACTGGCAGCAGGCATGGCCACCAGAACACATTCGATGAAAGCGACTCCCGAGTGTGGAGGCAAGATTCTCAAACAGACGGGTAAAAGATTTCTCTCAGAGCAAACACCCCAGTGGACGGCTTGCCGATATGCTCACGCGACTTGATCGATGCCCAGCAGAAGCAACCTGTTGATTCGACAAGAGTCGCCCACATTCGTTGGTCTGGTCCCCCAACATGACTTGGTAACCAAAGTGCCTCCGGTCCCGCTCGCTCCAGGTTTCCACTTGTCATTACAAAGTCAGAACAATGGAGTGTTGAGTCGAGGCTGGTTGATGGTGTGGCAAACTCTCACGGCGACACTCGGGGAATGACGAAGGCGATGGTCGACTGGTACCATATCTGGGAGGAAAGCCCCCCTTTACAGGCAGCCTTTGCCATGGATGGAAGCCCACGTCGACTTACTCAGTCTTTCTCAGGCCTGGGGCGGGTACATCGTAATTTTCTCGATTTTCAACGGCGACTAAGTTTGTGTCCACTGTAATCCGTGTAGCCGGTCACTGCGACTGCCGATAGAGACCCCGACTGCCGAAGTCTCTGCTTAGAAGGAAAATCTTTTGCTCTCTGGGGCTCTGCTCCTTCGGTACTCCATTAAGCAGGAAGCAGACCGGACGCTGTGGAGTTCAGGCAGACTCGGCGGTGCGCGTTTCACCATCTTTTTTAGACAAAAGGTCCCATATGCGTTCACTGAGCCATCAGCTTCTGGTCCTGTGACCATCTTGCGAAAATCAAAAAATGAATGCAAGGAGACTTCTATGGTCGCAAGAAATCATCGACACCCAACTCCTTTTTGCAGTTCGTTATTCTGCGGGGGTGACCGGCGCCCTGAAGGTTGCAGTCCATAAGGATTTGGTCTGGTTGAGATATTTTGTCTCGACGCTTTTCAAGTAGCTCGCCACGCAACCGCATCCTTGATCTTGGTTGTCCAAGAAGATCGGCTGAAGTACTATTCAAACCTTCTTGTAGGAATGGGGCAGCAACTGTGGGTTGCTAGTCTGTCCCGGCAGGACAATGGTAAGAGGGTCGTGTCGCTCTATATCGGCTTTATGCCGTTCTCTGACTTCTAGGTCGCCCCTGTTCTGCTCGATAGTGCAGATATGGGGTTGCGGTTACGCAAGCGATTGCTCCTTGCAGCCATTATCCCTTGCTCTGCATTGAGATTGGTGATTGATTCCCTGGCATGCAAGTTGATGCTCTGTACCACGGAAGGCGGAGACAAATCCGAGCCATACATTAAGTTGAGACAAACAATCACTGTACGTGGAGCCAGTGAGTGAGTCGACCAACTTTCTTTTAGCAATGGGCCGCCCAGTAGACCGAGTCGCACCACCCCCTGGAATAGGCAGTCAATGCCTCAACCCGGTTTCGATTGTCGTCTTTGCATCAATCACATCGGCTTGCGAAAACACCCTCGCTTGGGATATCTTGCCATTGTCGATGACTGCATTTGTTATCCCTCATTGGGATCGAGACTGCGACCGTGAACTCTTGTTGATTTGAGACCAAAATTTACTCTTCTCTGGACTGAATGCCAAGGCACGGCTATCGAGCAATCGAAGTCTTGCGAGTGCTCAGCCATCCGGCGATCCGATCCTCGAGGCCAGGAGAGAGTCGAACCACAGTTCATAGGATGAGGTCAGTTGCAAGTTATGCTACGGTAGTCGGTGTATCGCTCGGCAGTCGGACGGGCTCTAGGCGGGATGCCAACGACTGTGCAGCCCGACAATCGAAGTATCGGGTGGCAAAGTCGCATTTCGGAGCGGTAGTCGGCCCTCGATGTGATTCGCCTAGAGCGCAAGGCTCTGGTATTGACGGATGGCTCTTGTTGTAATGGTGCTGTAAATGACCGTATCCTTGTCAGATATCCCTTCGGACTGTCGGCTAGGACATTTCGAAGGTGAGAGGACACCCGAAGCCTTGCAGGATGATGGGACCATGGCCGCGCAGGGAGGGGCGAGCCCAGCAAAGTCATATTCCGAGCGCTTGGAATGCCGGTGTGTCGTTTCCACAAATACTGGCGGATTCTTTGTCTGCTTTCGAGAGACACAATTCTTTCTTCTTCCACTGGCAAGCCATTTCAGGACCCGTTTCTCAAGTCGTTGATCTCTTCTCAAGCCACCTGTTTTGCTCGCTTCATTTCAGTGATGGCTCCCATCAATGATGATAGCAGCGTCTCGAGTGAATCGAAAGAGCAGGACCATCCAGCACAGGTCGACCTCGCAGTCAAGGAACCGCAACGAACAACAGTTGCGACACGGCTGAAACAACATTTGATAGGCCATGTCGAAGTCAACCTTCTCGCCGAGACCGAACTCCTAATCCTCACCTTCTGTACGGGAATGCAAGACGCAACGACCTTCCCAGACTACCATTGCTTCGCCTCGAACCAGACGGGCAACACGGTCATGCTCGCAATGGCAATCCTCCTCCCAGATCTGACTGGCAAGTTATTCAAGACGGAAAACATCGGGGTCGCCCTGGGTTTCTTCCTCGCCGCAGGATGGATAACAGGTCAACTGGGTCACATTATTGGGCCGCGATCTCGTCTTTGGATCGTATTTTGCAACTTGATCCAGACCATACTCGTCTTCATAGCGGCTGCGATTCAATACGCCTATGGCATTGAGCTGGAAGGCACAAAAACCATGGTGGTCATCGGCTTGCTGGCCTTTGCCGCCGGCAGTCAGGTCGTCCTATCGAGAGCGTTGGCAATAACTGAAATCAGCACGGCAATGGCGACAGCGGCATGGGTTGATCTGCTAATCGACCCTCGTTTGTTTGCGGCAAAGAATCGCCCTCGGAATCGTCGAGCGAGCTTTCTTGCTGCCCTTGTGGCCGGAGCCTTCTTTGGCGCAGGCATATATCGCGGCATAGGCCCGGCAACCTCGGTCTTGTTTTCAGCAGTTGGGAAACTCATAGTGACCCTCATGTTCTTACTCAACAAAGCAGAAAAGGCGCCGAAGCCCATAGGTATCGTATGAGGGTCATACATACGTCAAGTTGCCGTGACTTGGCTTTGAGCTGGCGGCGTTACAAGAGTAACATGTTGACGTTATTGTTAGCGAAGGCGCTGGTTGATTTTGTGGGTATAAGAAGCAAGCTGGTGTCGACTGTGGTGAAATTAGATCGAAGAAAATATTGGCTAGAAGTATTCATCGTCAAGATCCTGAGAAAATCCATATGTTTCTAACGTTTCGGGCCATCCCATCCAAGGATTAAAGGCGAGACGCATGCCGTCCAGCCACTGGCTCTGATCTTCTTGGGCGTAATTTGTCGGCTCATTGCTTCCGCTTTCAATGATTCCATCAGGCTGTTTAGACTGTGCCGCTTGGGTTGCTCCAGGGACACTCTGAGAGCGGAGGATTTGAGGATTGGGTTTGGCATTCATAGTATTTCTTAGCTGGCGTTGGCGTTGCGGTCTCAAGGAGCCGGTCGAATTGCCGTTGGAATTATGGTCTCGCGGTGGTGCAGGACTGGTCACTTCATTGCTGTCGTCAACAAAATCTGCTCGGCCTATCAGACTATGAATTGCCAGGCGCTGTCTGGTCCTCGCTTCATCTGCAAGTCTGGATAAATGGTCCTCCAATACTTCTTCGGGCTGAGGTAGTTGTATACCGGCGTTGGTGTTCTGCGACGAATGGCGAGCGATGAGCATCTCGAGTTCCCTCTTCATTGGCTCGACTACAGGAGAGGTACGGAAGAACCTGTTCATGATAGACTGACAAAAACGAGCCTTTTCCAGAGCGGCAGGCATACTCAGACTTTGGGTGACGACATCTGTTTGAGCGCTAAAGAGGATGATCCGAGCGCTATGGTATGCGCATATTGCAGTGTCAAAGTCAATTGTCAAAACCTTACATTGCTCTGAGAAAGCTGCAAAGATCTGGACGATTGACAGAGCGTGGTTCAAACACAGAGTACGCCGTCGAAGGATGTCTTCACGATTGATGCCTTCCATGGCCGAGGGAGGAGCGGCCTCGCGGTACCCTGTCAAAAAAATTCGGTACAGGTCAGTATATGCTTGGTGCCAGCATTCGTGCACCATGAGGATTCTAGCCGGTCTTTCACAGTATGAGAATATTTTGGGGTTGTATCGATCAGAGTCGGCAAGGCTTCGGTATAGGTGCTGCAACTCATCTTCAAATCGCCGCACTGTATGCATGAGCTCCCCAGGTGGGACCACCGAGGATGCAAGCCGGCGCGTCAGTCTGGATCAGTCAGCGTAGAACGGCGAAATCACGGCTTACGGCATACCTCATGATGTCTGTTCTTATGGCTGCAAGTCTTATACATGCAGCATACGTGCCAATGCGCTCGGGCCTGTCGAAAGAGGTCGCCCTCAATGGGGCTGTTTCCACTGGTGCATCCTGCTCAAATGCCGTTTCTGGACATGGAAGTTGAAGGAAGACATTCTCTGGCGGACACGTTTCGAATTCTCGCAGTCCCACAGAGAAGTTGCCATCGAGGGCGAAACATGACCACATTAATCGTCGACGGACTTCTTGAGCCAGGAAGCGCAGTTCTGGGCGTTCGTAGTTCAACCGAAGGGCGACGGCAGACCGACCAGCCAATGCAGCAAGCATAAAAGCCCTCGAGAAGTGGCCGACTTCCACCCTGTATCGCACAATCAAGATGAGAGCCTGGAGTCGTGAGGTGGAAGGACTTTCCAAGTTTTGCAACAAGAAATCTTCGGCTTTCTGGGCCCATTGGGCACTCAATTCCCGCGCGTACGGCTCAATCTTGAGACGCTGAGTGGTTACGGCACAGATTGCAAATGTCAAACAGTCTTCAATCGCCCCTTCATGGCATCTTTGCATCACCGATCGTTTGTGCAAGAATGCATACCACGGCAGGGCGTATATGTGCTGGAAATAAGCCTCGATTAAAGAAATGATTTCCTGGCGGTCTGGCAAAGCGCCTTCGTTCGACAGAGGGGTTTGGCTGGCTTCGTTAGCCGACTGCTCCAACTGGGCTGGGAATTGCAGTTGACTCTCAGGGCGCTGCGACACGGCAGGTGATGGTAAGCTAGAAGTTTGTGGCGTCCGGTGCGGCCGCTTGAGGGCGGGATAGACACAAGGTCGATTCCTTCGAAGACAGTTGGAACACGCAGGAGACTCCCCGCCACATCGGATTTTTTGAGAACGACATTCTGTGCAGGCGCGAATCCCGCGTCGTCGCTCCAGCTGAACGAGTGATTGGTCGCCTGATGGCGAATCGCCCGAAACACCAGCGTCTCTCGGTTGAAATGAACAGTCAAACCTCAAGCGTTCGCAGTTGCGACAACAGTTGGGACGCCCGTCGCAACGCACCTGTTCGTATCAGTCCAGTCGCTGGCTAAAACCCACACTGCTTAGAGCGGTTCGTTCTCCGCTTACCTTCCGAGCGCGACATTGCATACAAGTGGTCTTGGACTTTCTCGAAGTCGGCGCCATTTCATCCATCTTGTGTCGCACTCGTCTCAGCAGGAATTGTTGCCGGCGAAGCAGACAACATCATGCGAGACTATGAATATTATCGAAGAACGAACCAGAGAGTGATGTTTCGGTCGGACGGGCCACGGCGCTTTTTGTTGAACAAAGGTCACAGAGGTGTGATTGGAAGACCCGATTTTTGAGAAGTTTGAGCCCGCAGCAGCTTTGGGAGTTATGATTCTCCGTAGACACGGCAGAGTATCTCTCCACGAAATGCACATCACTATCTTCAACTTCCCAATTTCATCTGGCGCAGGTGCTCATCATCTACGCCATTAAGACGTGCTTGCTGACTATGGCCGTTTATTCCATCGCGTCTTGGACGCGACATCCACTGCAGAACCAGAGCCTAAAACCACGGCTGACCAGACAAACCCCCTTAGCAATGATCGGCTCAGTCCACCCCGAGCACTGTCTATAGCAACTTTCGATTCCTTTGTCTCATTGCTCGTGTGTTGCTATTGCAGTCCTCGATAACTAATTTCAGATCAAGGGCCGATGTCTCTTCTCTCCTCGCGCTTGTCTCATGGCATCAGTCCTGAGTGAGGAATCTTTCCTATCCCACCGCGCCCTCGTCAGCCTGTCCTCACCACGGCGAAGACCTGTTGCACCTGAACCTTGTCCTGTTCCACCAAATGAAGCCGGGCCAGGAGCTAGGACAAGACAATCAGGTTAAGCCTCTAGAGAGGCAGTTGCACAAGAGTTGTGGCAAGACATGTGTGGCGACGGAGACAAAAGGTTGCTCAAGAGCCGATATTTCGTCTTGGTCCAGTCCTCCAACATGTTGGACATGGCACCGCTGCGACGACTGTGCATGTTGGACTGAAGCAATGCAATCTTAGCCGACTGCACCCATACATGGACGGAGCGAGGGTCATTGCCTACAATGAATGGAACGGACAGCTCACACTATCACGCTCAATCTAGTCCCACCCTACCTTCCAGGCCTGCAAATTGCGCTTTTGTGTCCTTGATGGCTTCTGCGGCTGGTAATGTTGCACATACAACTTTGGACTGAGTATAACCTGAGAGAATCAACAGGTCTTCTGTATAGAACCAGACCAATATACGAACGCCAACCAAGAGTATTCTCAGCAGTCACGTCTGCCCGCTCTGCACAAGCATGTCAAGCCCGCCCGTCTCACCCAAGTGCGCACTTTTTCTTCCTTCGTGCCAATATCCTCTTCTCATCTTTTTTTGGACATATTCTTATCCTAGCAGGTCGAGGGCGGCATTCCTTACAACCATTTTTCAAATCGCAAGCCTAGAAGCATTCAGCGCCTCCGCTTCAACCTTTTTGATCATAGTTTCTCCTTGCCTCGTTGCAAAGCTCTGGAAGAGAGTAAATGAATCTGCAGATAGCGCAAAGGCCTCGTGGTCTTCTTCAAGAGTACCCATCGACACCGGCACGAGCCCCTGCTAGGAAAGCTGACCAGGGGTAGCGCCATGAGAGACGCGATTGTCAGGTTTCACTGCACACTGGCAGGATTTTCCTTTGAAATCTGCTTCCTCAATAGCTCGATTTGTTGCTTCAACTTTCTCCACAGGATATAGTCATCCAGGTCCTTTTCTTTCTTCGATCCCTCTGCTTCGATCTCCAGCAAATCCCACTGCTCTCGCAGGTCTTCCAGCTTATCATCCCTCGCCGGTGCTTCTCCTACAAGCTCACTATCCTTTTCCCTCGCAATCTCCAAGAGTGCGGTCACAAAGGCTTCCTGAATATACGCAAAAGAAAAGCCGTCGGTGATCTTGGCGGCCGCCGTACATATCTCGTCGGGAAACTCGATCTCTTCGTTGTCGCCCAGCTTCTTCTGCCAATACTGGCAATACTTGACGCGCTGCGAGAAAGTCGGGTTGTCGAACAAGTACTTCCTGTCGAACCTGGACGGGCGCTTGGCGATGCCGGGATCCAGCCTGTCGAGATGGTTCGTGCTGCCGATCATGAAGATGCCGTCGTTCTCAGAGAGGCCGTCCACGGCGTTGAGGAAGAAGCTTCGCACTTGGTCGGTGACGAGGCTGTCGAGGTCTTCGAAGACCAGGTAGCAGGGCGCCTCCTGTCGGGCCTTTTGGAAGATCGTGTCGATGCTGAATTCGGGCGGGACGAAACTGACCAGCGACTTCACGTAGAGCGTCGGTACAGGCGGGCTTCGACTGTACAATGTGTGCATGGTGGCCTTGATTGAAATGGTCTTGCCGTTCCCGGGGGGCCCGTAGAAGATCACACCCCGTTTCCAGGGGACACGAAGACGGTTGTACTGTTCCCTTGAATCGAAGAACCGCTGCACAGTGTCGACGAGATCCTTCTTGAATTCCTTGTCGAGGATCACATCCTCCCAGCGAGACTTCATGATGCTGCGGTAGAGCAGCGGATCCTTCTGCCAGTATCCCTTGTTGAAGACCCAAACTTCATCATGCAAGACAGATTCCCACCGTCCAATGGTGGCCACCAAGGTTCGCGCTGCCGCTTTGTCGCCCAGGATATACTGGTTCCGAACTTGCGGGTACGACAGAAGGCCGTCTCTGCCATCGGCAAAGTACACGAGGAACGTCAGATTCTCCCACTTGTAAATGTAGCTTTCGAAAAACACCTGGTCGGCGACGATCCCATCACCGCCTTCCATGCGCCGGCTCGGCGGGACGAAGAAGGTCCATCTGAGCGAGTCCGGCCAGATTTTGGGGTCGATCTTGCTTTGTTCGAGGACCTCGATGGAGGCCTGGCCCGCTCCGGCATAGGCTTTCAAATTACAATTGAATTCGGGGACGATGGTGATGGGAACGCCAGGGTGGGCGTTGGAGATGGTGTCGAAGATGACCGCATCCGTGTCAACGCGGGACGCTGTGGCGTTGCGGAAAAAGGCGCCAGACACCGATTCCGCGGCTTCCTGAGCATTGTGGAAATCCATTGTTCTTGTTCACTCCCAGCTGTTGGGATGGATCCTTGATTGAACGAAGTCTGCAAGTAGTGGTGGTAAGGTTTGGAATATAGATGGAATAACTGGGGGTATATAGCTCTGCCAGGCACCAGCATTGATCGGCAAGGGAGCTCTCGAGCTCTGCGTCGATCGCGTCTGGGGAGGTTTCAGTTGCACAGCCCCGATCCTTCGAGCTTGGGGGCCAAACATTCAGCCTTGTGGTTTGAAGGCCAGGTCAATAATGTCTTGAGAGACATCCTCCTTCCTCAATAACGCCTTGAGTTGGTTGTCAATCCACGCAAGGGCGATTTTGCGTGTCTCTGCCTTCTTATGTTGGTATGCATTCCAGAAGCTGCCCTCATTCTTTACATCTTGAAGCGCCCCATCAATCAGTTTTTCTAGCTTTCCGTCCGACCTCGTCCCTCTGTTCATGATTCTATGAATGTCGTCGATCAGCACGCAGCTCAACATCCCAAGCATCTGCGGGTCGTGTTGGATGCTGTCAAGCGATCGCTCGTGCAGCATCAGAGATTCCAAACATTGCCGGCATAAATTCCAGAACGTCCACATCTGCACGACTCGGATTGGATGATGCTCTTGTTCGAACATGACAGGATGTACTATCCTGACAAACACTGCCGAGTGCAACAGAGCCTCCGAATACCTCTGCGAGGCGAGTAGTCCAAGGAGCAACTGCTGCCGCAACTGAGGCCAAGGGTATCGGTACAGTGGCCAGCTGCTCGTCTGTGCCAGGCGATGCATGATGTGATTGATGCTGTCAATCTGGGTGTGCTCGAGTCCAGTTTGAGATTGCAGGCCTGCGAAGAATTGCTCCACCTGGTCGCCGGTCTCAGCAACGATGGCACTAATGGCTGGCTGGGCTGCATCAGTGGCCACGGTGTTCAGAGATGGGTGGAATCTGTCTCGAGGAGAGTCTCGACCTCTGGAGCACAAGCTACAACTGCAAGTAAAGAAATACCGAGCCTTCAGTTCCTCTTGTCTCTTGTCAAAGGGGAATGTCGTATCAATATATGAAAGAGTCACTTCCTCGTCTCTGGCGATTGGCTTCAAGGCATGAACAGATATGTTTCCGTAGGGGGGGAAGTCCTCTTGATGACCTACTGCTGGGACGTCAAATCTCACAAATGCATTGGGATCACAAGAGTGATTCAAAAGAGCTGGTTTGGGATGCAGAATCAATCCCAGAGAGTCGAATGTCGGGTTTGTCAGAGTAAAAGAGTTGACAAGCAACTGGAGAGTCAGTCTTGGTTCAGGACCAGCGTTCAATGCATGCTTACAATGCAAGATATTCGCAGTACTGTCTCCTCACTATGGTTGGTACCACAATAAGACTTTATGCCCTTCATCATGATGAAGATATCTTGCCAACGCTGGCCCCCAGCTTTGATCAGGTCCTCTTGATGACTCTCAAGGGTCAGAAGCTGATCCCATTCGGATTGAGAAAGAAGTTGTGCCTTGTGCTGCTTCAGTAGTCGAATGATAGCCCTAGCAGTGCTTGGGAGTATTCGAGGATGCAATCTGCCATAGAGCTTGCACTCTAGCCGATGATACTCTAACCAAGCCCGAGTCTGGCACTTCTGCGCTTGGAGTTAGAACTTTTGCTTCCTGAGTATTCCCCTGTAGCAATATGGTAGCAAGACGCCCAACCTACTTGACCACAAAATTTGACGGCTTTGCATCCACCACACGTCTTCAAAGTCTGACCTTTGGCGTTTTCGGCAGATTGACTAGGATCTCCAGGGGAGCTATAGCAATAATAACAGCGAGTTTGCAGTTGAGGGGTCTCGAGTGCCACCATCAGAGGCCGAGCAACGAAGATGACCTCTGATTTGGGTGCGATATCGTGAACTGCGAATATGCCGTTTCCACGAACTGGCACTTGTTTCGTATAGGCCTTTTCGGCCTTGACCCATTGCTTCAAGGAAGTCGTCATGGTGAGGAGAAGAGGATAGCAGCTTTATCGAAGGCTGCTTCACCTTGAGATACGGAGCCGACTGGTGCTGGTCATGCACGAATATTTTCGCATTAGTCTCGGCATTTCTCGAGGTTGAATATATCAGGCAATTGTCGACTCGAGTAGAGCTTTCATGACCCCTGCCGACCATCCAACCAGCCTAAGATTATTGCAGTTGTGTACAAAGTAGAAATACACCACACGAAATGGTAAAACGGAGTCGCAGTTGATGCCGTGGCGCAGGTTGAACGTTGCCGCTTTAACAGCTAGACTTCAACTCTCTGAAAACTTCATCGCCAATTCTCAGCACTCTCCCTTCCATCACTCCTCCTTCGTCGGGGAATCAACCAAATCATTCATGTGCACCTATAGATATTCCCACCGATTGAACGTCCAACTCCAACATGGCAAGGCAGCGGATACTGTTGACCTAGATTCAATGAAGAAACCAAGTAGGATCTTTTGGGGCGCCAATGAAACTTCCATTAGCGACCTGGCTATTGATCAGGTCTCTCTCTCTACGAGCCTTAGACCTTTTACAAGGTCTGAGTAATTCGAGACCGTCCAGCCCCCCTTATCTCATTTTTCCAGCTCGTCAGAATATACTGACTCAGCTCAGTCTCCCTTTCGGGTCTGCGTTTGCTGCTGCGTACATGTGGCTTTTCAGAACCCTGTCAGTCCGACACCCAAAGTCTCGCTCAGTTCTGTCCCTTCTTCGCTGCCGCCGCCTCCTTGGCCGCTATCTGGGCTTCAGTGTGGTGAGGATCACGAGACTGATGCTTGTTTGCCGCCGCCTCCTTAGCCGCAATCTGTGCTTCGGTGTGGTGTGGCTCCCTGGATTGATGTTTTTTGGCTGCTGCCTCCTTGGCCGCGATTTGTGCCTCTGTGTGATGCGGATCACGCGCCTGGTGCTTTTTCGCCGCTGCTTCCTTTGCTGCAATCTGAGCCTCGGTGTGATGTGGTGATCGCTTGTCAACCCAGGAGCCAAATTCGTCTTCGGTGCTGTCCCAGGGCCCGAACTCGTCGGGAGCTTGAGCACTTCGGGCGCGGTGACCCTTGGCTTGTGCTGCCTCTTTAGCAGCAATTTGAGCCTCTGTGTGATGTGGATCACGAGCCTGGTGCTTTTTCGCCGCTGCTTCCTTTGCTGCAATCTGTGCCTCGGTGTGGTGCGGAGATCGTTTATCAACCCAAGAGCCAAACTCATCTTCGGTACTGTCCCATGGTCCAAATTCATCTGGAGCCTGAGGACTACGAGCACGATGGCCTTTGGCCTTGGCTGCTTCCTTCGCAGCGATCTGGGCCTCCGTATGGTGGCGACGCTCAATATCAGGAATCACCGCCCTGACGACTTTCGACGCCATGGAAGCTAGTGAACCCTGTCTGCTGTCAGTACGACGCAATAAAAGTTGTGTCCAGATTTTACTTACCACATATCTCCTCTCCACATCGTGGCCACGAGCCTCGAGTGTGAATCCAGCAGTGAGTGGCGCGGAGGCCAAAAGGCCAACGACCAAAGCTTTGGTGATCGAGAATGCATGCATCTTTGTTCTTTCGAATATGTTTTCAAAGTGAACTGACCGGCAGTCTTGAGCAATTGGCACAGAAGAAGTGAATAAACAATGGTCACAGACCTATATTGAAGTCAAGTGGAATGAGAGCTTGGGATTGGAATTTGCTGAGGGAGTGATGCAGATTTATATCAGATAAACAGAGTCTTTGAATCTAGGAATGCTGTGGTCCTTGCAGTGAGTATCGCCCTAGCCGTCCGAGACTACCTTTCTCGGTATGGCTACAAGTCTTGACTATTACACTGGAACCGTTAGAATAGGGTCGCATCATGGACGCAGGAAATGCCTCACGGGGTTGAGATCTCCTGGAGTTCTGCGACGAGCGACGCCTGTCCACGGCCTGGACCTGTGTCTGATCGCCATCGCTTTGCTAACAAAACCCAGGATGAGACCCCTAAGCGCCTTCAACCTCAAGAGGTATGTGCCACCAATACCCTCTTAGTTCTGTGGGCACGTCGGTCAATAGAAGAGGTGAGTGATCAGTTTCTAGGAGGCAGGATCCACGTGGAACATCTACCCGCCGCACCTAAGTTCAAGGTCACCATCAATATTGGCGTTTATGAGCTTGTTCTCCGCACGACCCGCATCTGTGTATCACAAAGCATGGTTTAGCCCTCAATCCGCGACCTCCAGCGAGAAGAACATCTCCCAGGAAGCCGTCTCGAAAGGCGTTGACAATGGACAATTCCTCCTTTGGGTTAGTATGGGGTACCGAATGTGGAGTATCACCAACATCTCCACAACGGGGGCAGTTGTTTGACCACTCCCTCCCCGGGCGCTACGCCATTCTGAAGCAGCACGTTGTGGGAAAGCTTTTCAGGTCTTGTCGCGACGCTTTGAAACCGAAAATGTGTTACAACTAGAGAATGGAGAAAGGCAGAGTATATGGCAACTTTACGCGGCCATATGCATGCTTGGACCAATTCGTGCGTCGCAGTGCTGGACTGATGTTCAATGCAAGTCTTCTTGACTCTTGCAGAACTTTTCCCCGTTTCCCAGGCCTCTTTCTGGCAACATTGATCTCTTCCAGTACAAGCTTTGATGTACGCTGACTGAATCTTCCTACCTGGAACTTCAAAAATGGATTGCAAATACCAGCCGTTGACTCCAGTCATCGAAAAGCCTCGCGCCGAATCTCTCGATTCCTGTTCAACACTTGGTGACTTGGAGGATCTACAAATCCCGCTAACATCTGGTTCGAGCGCCTGCCATGGTCAGAGGCTGAGCATTCTGCGCCAATTTCTCACCTCAAATTGGCTATGGATGGTTCATGCGATTCTGCTTCTCACATCTTGCACGTTATTCACCCTTTCTATCACGATCCGATCATCAACCTTAAAACATGTACGAGAGTTTTCTGCTTGGTGTAAGTAGTCCAGTCAAGTGGCAAGCCATGCAGAATCACATGAGCTGACCGAGCATGCCGACAGCCCCTGCAGATACGGCCGTCAAGTTCAACTCCGTGAGGTATAACATCACAACAAACGGGAATAGGTTCGTCGGTGCTGGGCCTGAGGTGGACAAGGCCTGGCGCGAGATTTCCTATGATGGTACGGATTCGGCTGCCGAACCTCTGTTATCATGCTCAATATCTAACGTGTCTCTCAAAAATAGTTGGAGACCAATGGATCTCGAAATCTGACATCAAACACCTCGACATGCCGGATTCATCACTTGAAGTCAACCACCCAGAAACGGGCGAGGAAGGTTATCGAGTTGGGATGGAGGTATTTCATCAGCTCCACTGCATTAATCTCCTCCGTCGAGTGACGTACAAGGAGTATTACGAGCCTCTGGGAGGGGAGTTTGCAAAGGGGCCTGAGGAGTTGCAAAGACATACCGGTATGCCAACTTTCACCTTCACTTTTGGTTAGGGAGAATTGTGGCGAAGATCCATTCCTGCTAACTGTATTGCGAAAACACCAGATCACTGCATCGAGGTTCTCCGGTTAAACATACAATGCAACGCCGACGTAGGACTCTTCACTTTCTACATGATCGAAGGTGATCCGTTGGCCTGGCCAGAGCTTAACTCCAAGCACGTCTGCCGGGATTTTGACCGGGTGCGCCGGTGGGCCTTGGATCACTCGGTCGGGAATATGGAAGTTCTTTCCTGAAAGACAGACGGTCTTGCAACTCGGAGAACTTCCAACCTAGATTAGAACTTTTGGTAGAATGAGCGGTTAACCTCTGTCTCTTTCCTCAAACTCAATCAACTTGCAGTGCTTTTCGAACTTACCGATGCTTTGCAGGAGCGGCCCTCTCTAGACTAGCCCAACTCCTGCAGTGAGGAGCCTAAGCTGCGTCGTTCTCGATCAATTTCCCCTTCGAGTCTGATACATGGAGAGATCGCGTCCAATTCGCGTGGGTCAGGGAAGCTTGACGATTTGGTAATGGAAACGCTCGCGCAATGAATTCCTCCGCCACGCCTCGTCTCACATCAAGTCGTGAGTTGTGAGAGCCGCAAGAGACTAGATCAATCAGATTTCAAAGATGTGGGGGTGTAATGTGTATCAGCGCGGACTAACCAGTTCAGAGAAAGCCACTGTTGCTCTTCGGGTTCGAAACAAGGCTTGCTCATTAACGATTGTCGATGTGGAAAATGTCGCATGGTTAAAAATGGAGTCGAGTTTCAACACTGGCTCTATGGGCCTCGCTTGAACGGCCATCAGGCTCTGATCGACCTAGTCAGCCTCATCGGCCCCCTGCATTCGACCCCCTGGTGCCCCAGAATGTTGTGGAGTACAGTATGTAACCAGCCGGGCGGAACCTCGGCGCGTCCGCCAATTCTTTCTCTGATGTGATAGTCCAAGACTTCAACAGTCTCGACTATAGACAAGACCAATCCACCAGACCAATACTGCGAATACGGCTCACAGACCCTATGGAGCAATGGTGTCGCCAGCGGATAAAACGGCATTCGATGTGGCACCGCAGACTAAGATTACAACGCGCTTTCCAGGTGGATGCTAGCCATGCTATTCATCAACCATCTCATCGAAAGCTCAAACGTGTGATACGGTTTCATGGTAAGCCTCCTTGGCTGGAGCTTGATCCAGGGCGTTAGAAAGGAATATGCTTCTGATCCATTGTGAGCACATCACTGCTCCCCCCTAACGCCCATAACTTTCACCTCCAGCCTTTTCTGGATCTCATTGATGTTGGCTGCAATCTTGTTTCTGCACTGCTACCCTGTTTCCGTCCCCTACTGTTGCCCTCTGCTATTTTGTATTATTCCCCATACTTGACACCATGTCTTGCTCAGCGGATGAAAGCACACATCCCATGCTATCGCAGCACAGAATCCGAGATGAGGAAGACGAGGATATTCCACTTGAGGACAGCGAATCAGACGTGACAAGAGTCTGCCATACGGCGCCATTTGGCAAAATGAACCGTCTACGAGCACGGAGCCCCTCGGACATGTCAATATGGTCTTATAGCGCTCCCAATCCACAGACAAGAGGACGGCAGCGGCTTGTCGCCGCCGTGGCTTGGTTTCGCTGGGGGATGGTCGTGATGTTGCAGACTGTCATTTTAGTCCTGCTGTGGCGGCAGAGCCTGAAAGGGACAGGAGGAGAAATGGATCCAATATTGAGAGGCAAAACAGTCGAGACCGGCGGCGACATCAATGGGATTTACAAAACAAGTAAGCACTTCATCTCTATACACCGCCCTCTGAGATCCTAATGTGACTCCACGTCGTGCATTCGAAAGTCCATCTGGATCAGCCACTGACTGATTGTGTTCAGCATCACATGCCTATACATTCTTAAAGCCCGACCCAGACAGATTTATCCCCAATATGACATCGAACGACAACCGGTTGGAGATACGGAGGAATTGGGACTTACTTATGCCATGTAAGCAGACCTGGAAGACACTGACAGTTCCAGAGCTGTCGCTAACTTGGATTGGCAACAGTGGGTAGTGGCAGCGTTGCGATCCCAGACTACCGCGATCATCCGCTTCTCGGAGACCCGATTACAGACGATCCCATTCGTTCTGGGCCGCTTTTCGAGGCGTCATGGACGCACGCCTTGCATTGCGTTAGTCGCGACCCGCTGTCCTTTTCTTGAACAAAAAAAAAAATTGAAGCTGACCAAAACAGTTATACTATGCCGTGGATAGCTACCACCAACTCATTGTCAACGGACGCACAGACAACGATAACCCGTACCATGCAGCCCACTGCTTCGAGTACCTTCGCAACAGCATTCTGTGTAACCTCGACATGACATTGGAGGGGTCGATGTCGACGCCAGATGACAAGGAACGTGGCCAGCCTCACGTATGTCGCAACCGAGAGGAGGCTATTGCCTGGATTGAGGCGAGAAGGGTGGACGATTTGCAGGACATTGTTGGACCATGATCCTGGATGAGTACATGTCTATGATCACAGTCCGCACGATATAGAGAATAAATGCTTAACATCAAACCGATCTTCCAGCTATGTCCAAAGTGATAATGCGTGTCTTCTGGGAGCAGGGGAGCTCGGGAACCATATTTCCTCCACGGCTAAACCTCGGAAGAAATTTCAACTCCGCAGTGCGGCACTCGCTCCAAATTTTATTTTCCCTGCGCTGCGGTCATTGATATTCTTCATATTCCCACGAGTTGGCGGCGGAGGTGGTGAAGGGCTGCGGAACAACATGGAGTCACAAGCCAACAGGCCTCATCGGCCGTCCAAAGAGAAGAAACAGCCCAAAAAGGGAGAGAAGAACGTCAAGGCCTTCGCCGTCGCCAGGCCTGGGCGACTTGCAAAGCAAGCGGTGCGGTCTAGCGACATCAAGGAAAAGCGCCTTCATGTACCCCAAGTCGACAGAATTCCGGAAGAAGCCCCTCCTATCGTCGTTGCCGTCGTTGGCCCTCCCGGCGTCGGAAAGACCACCCTCATTAAAAGCCTGATCAGACGCTACGCAAAACAGACGCTGTCGCACCCGACGGGCCCTCTTACCGTGGTGACCTCCAAGAGAAGACGCCTCACCTTTCTAGAATGTCCCTCCGACTCGCTCGCTGCCATGATCGACGTTGCGAAGATCGCCGACATTGTCCTCCTCATGATCGACGGCAACTACGGTTTCGAGATGGAGACGATGGAGTTCCTCAACGCCCTGAGCGTTTCTGGCATGCCGGGGAACGTCTTTGGCATCCTCACACACTTGGACTTGTTCAAAAAGCAGAGCACGCTCCGCGCGGCCAAAAAGAGGTTAAAACACAGGTTCTGGTCGGAGCTGTACCACGGGGCAAAACTGTTCTATCTGTCTGGTGTGATCAACGGACGATACCCTGACCGCGAGATCCACAACCTATCGAGGTTTCTCTCGGTCATGAAAAATCCCAGACCGCTGATATGGAGGAACAGCCACCCGTATTGCCTCGCAGACCGTTTCCTGGACGTGACACCGCCCACGGAGATTGAAGAGAATGAGAAATGTGATAGGCAGGTAGCACTGTACGGCTATCTTCGAGGCACAAACTTCCCAGCGGAGGGCGCGCGAGTGCACGTCCCGGGCGTGGGAGACTTGACAGTCAAAGAAATTGAAGCTTTGCCCGACCCCTGTCCAACCCCCTTCCTCGACCAGGCGATAGCCAAAGCGACGGGAAAAGCTCACCGACGAAAACTGGGCGAGAAACAAAAAGTTCTTTTTGCACCCATGTCTGATGTTGGTGGCGTTCTGGTTGACAAAGATGCCGTCTACATAGACGTGAAGACGAATACTTTTGACCGGGAGGCAGAAGACGCAGACGAGAGAGGGCTTGGCGAACAACTTATGATGAGTCTACAGTCGGAACGGAAGTTACTTGGGCAGGCGGACATTGGCGTCCGGCTGTTCCAGGGCGGTCGACAGCTCACATCGGATGATCCTGCGGAGAACGATACTGGCCGTAAGACGAAAAGGGGGATTCGAGCGTTTGGTGACAAGGGCGAATATGCCGAAGACATCGAGGACGATGAAGACGAAGGGTTTGTCAGTGGGGAGGACGATAGCGAGGCAGACGAGGACGAAACCAACGATTTCCCCGAGCATTCGGGAAGACCAGGGTTCATCGCTGAAGATGAATCCGTCGAGCGTGAGGGCGAAGACGATGTTGCATTTGCTGAAAGCGACTCCGACATGGGCTCCGTCTCAGGTGACGATGACGGCAGCAGGGATTTCTCAGCTGATGAGCTTGAGGCTTCTGATGAAGAGGATGAGGACGATGGAGGTCTTCGTTGGAAAGAGAATCTTGCTGAAAGTGCTCGAAAATTGCATTCCAACAAAGTCGCTTTCCGAGCTGCCGATCTTTCCAGATTGATGTATGATCTCACTCTATCGCCCTCCCAAGTAATGTCGAAATGGGCCGGACAAAAGGTGGGAGAGGACGTGGCTGCTGGCGAGGATGAAGATGAAGACGATACCTTCTTCAAGAAAGCAAAGACTGATCAAGAGACCACCCTTGAGGACCGACAGACGCCCAAGTACGATTATGACGCATTGGCTGAGAAGTGGGAGGATGAGGAGCATATCCAATCACTGATGTCCCGCTTCACCAAAGGCTCAATTGCTACTGGAGGTAATGCAGATTCAGAGGCCGAAGGCGAGGAGGCTGAGGACTACGAAGATGACGAATCTGATGAAGGGGATGGTGAATTTGAAGATCTGGAAGCGGCAGCGGACGAAGACTCAAAAGCTACAGCTGAGCTCACCCTTGAAGAAGAGCGGGCTCAAAACGCCAAACGAAAAGAAGAACTGAAGTTACGCTTCGAGGAAGAAGACCGAGAAGGCTTCGCTAATGCCGCAAAGAAGGATATCGAAGCAGCAGAGCAAGAGTTTGGCGAGGATGAGTGGTACGACGCGCAAAAAGCGATGCTTCAGAAGCAAGTTGACATCAATCGAGCAGAGTTTGACAGCCTCGACCCCGTCTCGCGAGCAAGAGCCGAGGGATTTAAGGCCGGGAGCTATGCACGGATAGTGTTGGACAAAGTGCCTTACGAATTTGTGCGCTCGTTCAATCCGAAACTACCTGTTATCGTTGGGGGACTGGCACCTACTGAAGATCGGTTTGGATTTGTGCAGGTTCGCATCAAGCGACATCGGTGGCACAAGAAGATCCTCAAGACGAACGATCCACTCATCTTCTCCCTCGGCTGGCGGCGGTTTCAAACATTGCCTCTTTATTCGATATCGGACTCGCGGACTCGCAATCGAATGCTGAAATATACCCCCGAGCATATGCATTGCTTCGGCACCTTTTATGGACCGCTCGTTGCCCCAAATACTGGATTTTGCTGTGTCCAGTCATTCTCCAACGCCAATCCAGGGTTCAGGATAGCAGCGACCGGGGTGGTGCTGAATGTTGATGAGACCACCGAGATCGTCAAGAAGCTGAAGTTGACGGGACACCCATACAAGATCTTCCGCAACACAGCCTTCATTCGCGATATGTTCAACTCGTCTATCGAAATTGCCAAGTTTGAGGGGGCAAGCATCCGCACCGTTTCTGGGATTCGTGGACAGATCAAGCGAGCCCTCAGCAAGCCTGAAGGGCACTTTCGAGCGACCTTCGAGGACAAGATCCTCATGTCTGATATTGTTTTCTTGCGAGCATGGTATCCGGTCAAGCCACATCGATTTTACAACCCAGTCACGAATCTCCTAGACGCGCCTCCCACAGGCGGTGCAGATGCTGGGGAAGAAGGACAAGGCCTTGATGATGGATCTAACGGATGGCAGGCCATGCGTCTGACCGGCGCCGTGCGAGCGGCGATGGGTATACCAACTCCCTTGGTGAAAGATTCAGCATACCACAAGATTGAACGGCCAGTTCGTCACTTCAATCCGCTGCGGGTCCCACGGACTCTGGCCGCGGATCTTCCATTCAAATCTCAAATCACACAACAAAAGGCACGCAAGGCACCAACATACCTCCAGAAACGAGCAGTTGTCCTGGGAGGAGAAGAGAAGAAGGCACGCGATCTCATGCAAAAACTGCAGACCTTGCGAAATGAGAAAGCTGAGAAGAGGGCCAAGAAGCAGGAAGAAAGACGGGCCGTGTATCGTAAGAAGGTGGCCGAGAACCTGGAGAAGAAGGAAGAGCGAGAGAAAAGAGAGCGAGACGAGTTTTGGAGACGAGAGGGCCGCAAGCGAAAGACAAACGAGGGGAGCGGCGGAGGAGGAGGGAAGCGGCCCAGACGATGATTGTCTATGTGGTCTATTTAGATGATACGATACATGCGATGTCAAAGATGATACCCCTTCACTGTGAATATGAAAGACAGCAATGGAATTTGAGGAACGGTGGAGTCGTATGCTCAAAGCGGATAACACACAGCCCATTGGAAGAGGGAGTTGGAGGCGACGGCGAGGGAGACGAGGCCGAGGCGATCACCGCTGCAGGCGTAATATGACGAGGCCGTGCAGCGAAAAACGGAGCAAAGGAGCATAGCGCGTGCCAACGTGCCAACGGCCAGACGCAGATGCCACGAGCAAAACTCTGTCACCATACCTTAGACAGGTTACAGGTACCTAGGTCCTCACACCCAACGGCGACATGGCGAGGTGAGCCCTTGAACCTGGCCCTCTTTGTCGCTGCCGCCCTTGGATGCGCGTGCGCTCTTCCTCTCCTCCAGATTCCCGTCTTCATCTCGCCTATCCAACCCGATAACAACGCGTCGGCTGTGGCCCGAACACGCGTTGCAACGCAATCAGGTCCTCGCCCCACCATCGTGACCAGCCTGCGAGGTTTGGAACTCGCTCGCTCCACCGCTACCACACGAGCCACGACCGCTGCGACACGCGACGACGCTGCGCTGTCTCATCGTTCCTCTCTTGTTCTTACTCCTGGTGCCCATCGTCCTCCTTATACGAGAACGTCGCGGTCCGTACCCCTCGATATTCGAGCCCTGCTATCTCTCACAATCGGGCGACCGTACGCCGCCGAATGACCGAGTCGAATATGCAGCATGCCACGGTGCATGATGCTTCAGCCATGCCGGATCCACCTGACTTGACACCTGCACCCTTACCGCCCGAGTCTCTCCATTCCGCTCCTCCTTCGCGAGACTCGAGCGATACCCATTCCTCCAAACCGACAGACCTCAAACTGTCCACCAGCGTGAAGAATCCGTCTGCGGACCATGACGAAGTATCGCCCACTACTTCTGCCATATCGAGCCATGGGGGATCACAAGCCACAGAAACTCTTTCACAGCAGGAGGAGCGGCTGAACGGGGAGACTGCTCAGGTCGAGGGAGGCAAACGCGAAAAGACCGACTCCACCTCTCAAAGTCCTCCACCAAATACATCCTCGGGTATTAAACGTACCGCGAGTGGTGAAGTCAAGAGAGCCAGTGTGGACGCGGTGGAAGACGGTATCCCCAGACCTAACGGTATCGGTCATGCTCATACATCGAGCACTGTCTCGAACCAGACAAAGGGCAATGTCCTCGAAGTAAGTCGTCCACGTCTCTCCGTATGAGTTTGAAGTTCTAACGTAAAGCAGCTCTCACAGCAGTTGCGCACCAAACTGAAATATGCCATGGTCAAAGTCCAGAACGGTTGGCAGGCTCGCTCCTTGGACGAGGTCGAGTCCTTAGCATCCCAATCACCACGGTCGACCGTGTCCGGATTCCAAAATCTCCATGACCAGCAGTTGCTTTCGCCCAGGACCGCCATGTCTAGAAAGTACCAGCGCGAGTCAAGCGAGAGTGAATCGTCCGATAGCACTGTCGCTCTCGAAAGCCGCGGGCTTGTGAATATGGTTGGCAGTCCTCCAGTTCCATCCCGTCGCGCTCTCGCTCCTCCGGCCGATATTGTTCCTGGTTCACGCCGGCGTCCGACTCCAAACGCTGTCTTTCAGAGCGTCAACGGGATCCACGCCCAGACTCGGAACCTACATTCGTCGAGGCCGCATACGAATCAACGGACTCCGAGTCAGAATGCTGCGATGGAAGCAGATGCTGTTGAAACCCTTCTTTTCATGGCCAGCCCGAACAACTCAGGATACAACCCACCCTCCCACGCTTCACAAGATTCTTCCCTCCGGTCCGCACAGGTGTTCTCATCACAGACCTCACCCCTGCGAACTCAGTTCAGCCAGACATCGGTCACGTCACCGAAGAAAGTGGTGTTTTCCGATGCCGGCTCCACGGAGCCTGCCTTTGACAAGGCAGCCCTCATTGACCGCATGCTGGACGAGTTATCCGACGACAGCGACGATGAGTTGGAGCAAGCCTTTCGACTTGCGGAGAAGAGCAAGATCTCGGCGCCACTCTCTACGTGACATTTATCTACATCTACCCTTGTGCGTGTCAGCGGCGTTTGAAGAGACCTCACTCTGCGCACCGTGTGCAGTGAGGCTACGAGGACTATGACTTGTACAGCGATCTTGCATGTCATCTCGAAGGCGGTTCAGTTGGCTTACATATTGGGGAATCCCATGTTGTTGTATATGCGCATGCCACATTTGGAATCCTAAGCTTATGGACTTTGTTTTCTCTTTTGTACTTTTTCCCTTTCTCGCTTACAAAGTGATCATTCCGGAACCCCGAGTCCATCCTCTCCATTTGACCCTTAAACTGCCGTTTGTGTTTCGAGGCCTGAGGGAACCAAAACATCTACGAATAACTCCCATCGACGTCAAGACAAAGGGAAGTCATAATACCTGCTGGGATATTACTGGCATTGAGGTTTGCCTGCCCTTTTCCCTGACTGGATGCGAGAATAACGCAGGGCTTCCCCCACCACGAAATGCCCCTTTCTCCTGCCAAGCAGTCGTCCGGGTCTCTTGGACCATGTGAGAAGGTCCGGTGCCATCAGCAGAATAGTGTCCTAGACAGTTGGAATGAACCATGGGCGTGATAGAATTCCTCGCCGAACGGATTTGGGTACGGATTATGGACTATTCGCCTCTTGGACTTGGCTGCAGACGTTCTCACCGGATTTTCGAATTGTGGCTCGGTGGACGACAGGCTGTGATAGATCGTTCGCCAAAGGACTCGCTCTCGTTATTAACATCAAAGAACCAACTTCTTGCCTCAACTTGCAAGCATTCAATCACGCTCAAGGCCAGAATAGTGGGTGCACGAGTGCTGTGGTGTGGTGATACATGTACATATACCCAGGTTAAGATAAACAGAGGTGGGACTGATGCAAGATCTGAACTGGTTCGCTGAACCGTGCCCACCTTTCCAATTGTCAAGGGAGCGAGCCTTGGCGCCAAGGTCTCCGCCGCTCTCCGCAGCCTCAGCCTCAGCCTCAAAGGTTCATGGACTGGCCCTCGGACTACCAATATGCCCGTGATATTTCAGCTCGGGTTGCGTCCTTCATCATTCGTGGGAAACCAACACCGATCTCGAGAGGCAAACCTAGAGTTCGAGCGCTTGCACACCCCCTAGGACTTTTGCCCGCATCGAAATACGAAACTGCCTGGTCAACCTGGGGTTCTTTGGGGCTCCCTGGCAACATATCTGCTGAAGCTTCGTCAAGAGAGCTCGGATGACAATTCTGCCTCGTATTCAGCCTCAAATGGCGGAACACCTGACTCAACCACCGAGCAGCATCTCAATGCTATCCTTCCCATTACTAAGTGCGAAGAACGAAGCTGAAAAGGTTGGTCAGTAGGCGTTAGTATATTACTTCAATGGCCTGTTCTGGTCTCGAAGAATCTGTGCCTTCATCCTCTCCTCTGCGGTCATTCTAGATCCCACTTCACACTGAATACCCGGCATCACAGAAGTAGTAGCTGCGGCTCTCGCTATGCGGTGGTACACCTTGACTAGTCCCATTTTCTTCCTTCTGTGGCTCTCGTCGAGCATAGCGAACCCAGTAGGCGCCAGTGCACCACATGGACTACCTCTCCAGAAGAGAGCGGTCCCGCCTCCGCCAACGGACACCACCTTCATCAACACGGTCCTGACACGAATCAACGCCTATCGCGCCTTGCATTCCGCGCCAGCCGTGAGCTGGGGCGCGACGCTAGCGCAAGCCGCAAAGACCGCCGCCACGAGATGTAGCCCGGTCCACACCGTGAGTTGCCCCATGATCCCTTGCACAGCATCCCCCCCCCCCAAAGCCTAGCCAATCTAGTCAACCCGTTCGACACAGCTTTCTCACTGACCTACCATTCGCCCGAATAGCCGAATAACCCGTATGGCGAGAACATCTACAACTTCTGGCTCACGCCCAAGACCACGGTCCCCAATTTCGGCCTGTTGCTGAAGAAGGGGATCGACTGGTGGTACAGCGAGGTCGGGACCTACTTCTCGTGGGCGGTGGACCACTCTCCCCAATACCACTTCACGCAGCTGGTGTGGAAGGGCACGACCAAGGTCGGCTGCTCGTGGTCGGCCAACCAGTGCGCGACCGCGAACGGCGACTACTACCTCGTCTGCGAGTTCCAGCCCAAGGGCAACATCGCGGGGCAGTTTGACGCCAACGTGCTGGACGCTTAACGCAGAGAGAGAAGTGGGGGGGACGAGAGAGTAAGAGAGACGTCCGCAAAGATTGGGGTCTTGAGAGTATGGCATTAGCGGTGATTTTCTTTCGAGTGTGTGTCGAAGCGAGAAGCGTCCGCCCCAGGAAAGTGTGTGGAGTGCCTTCGTGCGGTCTTTTATTGATTATGTCTGGGACCCTCCACTAACGAGCTCAGGCATATTTGTTTATTGGAGCCTTGTATGTCCAGCAAATGCATACGAGCAAATAGCTGATTCTAGCACTATATAATCACGCCACATCAATCCACGTCTTTGGCCAGAGTGACCAAAATTGTTCTATCATATTTTTTTTTCAGTCTTTTCGACATCTGCGAGAGCGCCCCACCTCATCGTTCGAGCCACGGATCTACATCTACAGTGAGATGCTACATCACGTTATCCTTGTCGGAAGGCACTATCTACAGATCAGATGTCGGGATCAACCATGCACTGAGTCAGCGCAGCCCCTTAAGGCCTGAAGAAAGGGTCGAAATTGAGGACGGAATATGAAATGCAGGACCGTCCCCCCGATCACGATTCTAGATTCCTCACGTTATCGCTCAGCCATGTCTGGCACGAATAGAAAGAAGAAATCTCAACAGCCAAGGGAGCGGTCAACGTGAAGACGGATAGAAGCGTATCTGGGTCCTTGATATCTAAGCCTAGCCCGCCTCCCCCCCATCTCTTTCACCCCGGACGTCCTTGGAAAGGGACGACGCCCATTCAATGGGGCCGCGGATACACCTTGCGCACCGACTCGCGCTGCACCATGTTCGCCCACCAGCGCCGCGTCCTGGGCCCGACGTGGAAGCCCGGCACGGATTTCCGGAGCAGCGCCTCCAGGGGCGCGAAGTCGTCCATCTGCGCGCTGCCGGCGCCCCACAGCGCGTGCGCCAGCCAGGGGACGATGTGCAGGTCGGCCAGCGTCGGGTCCGGGCCCGGGCCCGCGGCGTAGGGCAGGACGAGCAGGGCCTCGAGCCTGTCGACGCCGGCGGCGAACCCACGGTACTCGGCGCGGCTTCTCTCAAAGAACTCCCGGAGCGCGGGGGAGTCGTTGGTCGACGATGATGATGATGATGCGGCGGCGTAGTGTTTGTGGATGGCGCCGTTCGTGTCCCGGCGCGAGCGGTAGAAGGCGCTGTCGGGAAACTCTGCGCAGTACCGCTCCAGCGTGTCCTGGCGGGCGGCGAGGAAGGCGCGGAACGGACTGCCTTGTTTGGCCGCGAGCTCTTCGGCGTCGCGGGCGGCGAGGAGGATGATGTTGGTGCTCACCTCGGGTGAGTGGACGAGGTCGATCAGCTCCTTCATCCTGCGCGATGTCGCGTGGTCATCCTCCTTGGGCGAGAGGTCCAAGCCCGACGGACGCGAGTCGTTGAGGTAGACCAGGATGTCGGTGCTGTCGATCAGTGCTTCCGGCAGTGCAGGGCTGGTCAACGACGGGATGGTCCCGTTGGGGTTGATCTTGACATAGTCGGGATGGAAATTGCCGGCGCCCACTTGAGCAGTAGAAGGGAAGCCCGTAGTCAGCCAGGAGGTCTTGTAGGAAGCGACGCAGGGAATGTACTTACGCAAGTCAATGTTTTCCACTTCGTAGCTCCCTTTAGCGTACCCTTTCTCCACGAGGCCGAGAAGGGGGACACCCGCCCATTGGGAAGCGGTGGAAGAGTAGATTTTGAAAAGCGGCTTCGAGTCCTGCATTGTCTCGGGATAATTGTCTGAGTGGAAGAGTCCTGTCGAGGAAAACCGGCGTAGCTCGTGTAGATAGTCGCGAGATGAAGTATAAAACAGCTACTGTTGGAGATATAAAGTCTTGTCGGTTCTTCGGTAGTATGCAAAAGTGATAAGTGCGTATGTCTGTCTCAAACCTGGTCTGCGAAGGAAGATCCAGCATGACTTTATACCCTCAACAGTCGCAGATGTCGTCGCGAATATGGAGTAGGTCCATTGAGTAATGCAAAATGTGGTATACCGCATTCGGCAAGGACCGCGCATTCTGATTCGCTCAGAACCTGGAACGTCGAATTCTAATGTTTCCAAATCCTTGGCGCGTCGCTGCTGGTGGCAAGTATAGATCCATAATCAGCAGCATCTGCGAGGCTTAATAATGAATGGATTCGTGGGGATCTCCAGCCTTAGCGATGCATCATTGAGTAACAGCGAAGCGCTCGGTAATGGCCAGCCTTTCTTCTACGGAGAGACGATGGTAGCACGGTGGCCGAATTATTCAGTCGAAGATCGCAGGAAAAGGCTGTTTAATCGGTTGTTTTCTTTTACGTTATATTTCCACAAGATCCCCTGAGCGCTCAGCCTCGTGGATCCGAAAATGCCGGGAAGAAGCTCAGTCGCTGTTGCCAGATGTGTTGCGAGAAGTATGGTGGGAGAAAAGGGAGCCTGCGACAATTCTTGCGGAAACTGATGCTTTTCTGTTTCATTTCCCGGGCGTGGAATTGGCAGCGCATTTTTGAGAGAGCCAGAGGGTTATGTTGAAGCCTTCTCGCAGTATAGGCGATGAGTGCTAGAGTCCATCATTAGTCGAGTTACGCCGTACAAATCTCAACTGCTTAATGCATTCGTGGGGGAAGCCTTCAAAAGTCTGGGTCAGTTCTCTCGTCCCTTCACTTTGATCCTAGACAAGGCATGAGTTTATACAAGTTCCTCGCCAGCTAGCAAATCTATCTTGCAACAACAGACGAGCCAGCAGTGGTGACGACCCCTTCTATACAAAAGCGACCCGACGTCAGCACATACTTACCTAGGTACCTGCCTAGTCACTGCGGTGTCCCCTTTCCGACACCTCCAACTCTTACTCGCTGTTGCGCCAACGCTTGAGCCTCGGGCCAGTCGGCTAAGCCCGCGCGAAGGATGCCTCCAGGATTCTGGTTTTCTTACAAGGCGCCGACTGACTCGGCAGTGGGACCTCGATCGCAGGCCATGGCTTCCCCTCATATTGTATTCGGTACCGACATTCAATCTACGCCCCGTTAAAAGGTGGATGTTTATTTGTCCGCTTTCGATTCGACTCGTCACGGGCGTGGTGCGGCGAGACATCCCCCTGGATCCCGAGGACACCAACGAATTGGAAGACTGGCCCAGCTCGAGGCCGAGTCTTTGCTTGGATAGACCGAGTCGGCTCGCTCGAAGGGAATTGGGAGCCAGTGAGGAGCAAAAAAGTATACTCGTCCAAGAGAGGACGTAAGCCCCCTCTTTATCCCATAACATATACACGTACTATAACATCGAACCTTCGACCATACCGTTCAACACCCCGTACCACGCTATACCACCCCATCGACGTGATATAACAAGATACAATAGCAATCCACCACACCACACCTCACTGACGCTATTCCCCCCCTCCCACCCCGTCTACAATGGCTCAACCCACACACTTCTTCCCCGCCCCGGACTCGCCGATCGGCAACATCGCCTCGCTGGAGGACAAAGTCGCCCTCATCACGGGCGCCTCGTCGGGGCTGGGGCGGGCGATCGCGCAGGCCTACGCCGCGGCGGGCGCGTACGTGGTCAACGCGGACCTGAAGCCCGCACCGCCGCCGCAGCCCACCATCGCCGGCATGCTCAAGGACACGGACCTGACGACGCCGACCGTGGAGCTGATCAACACCAAGTGGCCCGCGACGGCGACGGTGGACAGGGCCAGCTTTGTGCAGTGCGACGTCACGGACGAGGAGAGCGTCAAGGCCGCCGTGGCGTTTACGGTCGAGAGGTACGGCCGGCTGGATATCCTGGTGAATAACGCTGGTGAGATTTGGTTTCCTTCTGTTTTCCTGTTTTCGGTTGGAGTCGGGTTCATGGATGGTACATCCTAGCGACATCCATGACCACACAGAAACACAACTGCCCATGCATTTACGACATCCCTACATCCATATATATCTTAACATCTCCCCTCTCTCTCCACCAGGCATCTCCGCCGAGACCGGCTCGCGAGAATACACGGGCGTGTTCCGGCGGATCCACGAGACGCCCGTGGCGGCGCTGGACCAGACGTACCAGGTGAACATCCGGGGCGTGTGGCTGGGGACCAAGTACGCGGTGACGCAGATGCTGGCGCAGGAGCCGCACCCCCGGTACTCGCGGCCGGGAGGCACCTCTTCCACGACCGCCACCGCGACGACCGCGGACGTGCACCGCGGCTGGATCATCAACCTGGCGAGCATCCTGGCGAGCGCGGGGCTGGCGGGGGCGTCGCCGTACTGCGCGAGCAAAGGGGCGGTGCTCAATCTGACGCGGGCGACGGCGCTCGAGTACGCCAAGGACGGGATCCACGTCAACGCCATCCAGCCGGGCTTCACCGACACGCACATGCTGGAAAACATGTACGCCAAGATCGGCCGCGACGCCATGGACGCCATGATGAAGACGTGGCACCCCTGGGGCCGCACCGGCCGCGCCGAGGACATTGCCCGCGCCGCCGTCTTCCTCGCCGGCGACGGTGCCAGCTGGATGACCGGCCAGTCGATCGTGGTGGACGGGGGATATCTGGCTCAGTAGAGAGGTCAGGGGAGAGAGATCGGAAAGGAGGCGACAGCGGAGAAAGGGGGAATCAACGGAGGGCGAACGTAAGGACGAAGGGAGCCTCTTTCGACAAGAGAGTAAGATGTTTGTGCGAGAGAAGGTCGACGGCGAGTCAACACTTGCGAAGTCTTCAAGTTCTCGACCATGGCCACTCACAAGCACGACAGAGTCTTCCAATGGATGCACAGACAAACAAAGCTTCCAATACAGAAGCAAGAGATATGTCGCTTACAGAAGTGGGCGGCATATGAAAAGACAGAGCGGTTTGGACAAAGTTAACCAATACCCATCTGATTATGCATGCTCAACAGGGCCGTGCCACTGAGCCTATTATGCAGTCAACAGCGTAGGATGAAGTGTAAAACCGCTTGCTGGAACAGGACCCATGAACGCCTCGCCTCATGACTCATTCATCATTCCACCATGTGCCTCGTTTGAGAGAGCCTCCCTTCATGTCTCGTAGCCCACCACCACGTCCGCGAATCGAAACGAGTGGCTGCGGTCGTCAAATACATGCATGAAACCAATCATTAAAAACCAAAACCATATCGATCCCGTCTCCCCATTCCGTCCAACGACCGTAAGACGCGCAGAAGAAATGAGACTGGGTTCGGTTAGGATGTCGACCAATAACCAACATGAGCATTTCACATTGGTGCTCTTGACGGCGAGTCTTGACGAGAAGAAACCCGATGCCACCGATTGAAACCCTCTTGACAACTCCAGCGTCTTGACTGTCATATGTCGCTTTCAAAAAAGGTAACATGATGAGCCGATCAAGTATAACCTGTCAAACGTCAGCAACAGACAGTGGAAGTCCAGTCACAAGTAAAACTCACTTCTCATGGCGTCCGTGTATCCAGTACCACCCTTCAGGTCCATCTCAAAGCTCTCAGCCACGTCAATCACGCGTTTGATATGCACCATACTCAAAGGCACTTCTTCATGGACAGCTAGAGCTTGTGCAGCACGCACAAGGTTCTTGATCTGTCGCCCATTGACGTCGCGCCGCGCGAGGTCGTTGTAATCTTGCTCCGTGATGGCCGCAACTTGCATCCCTTCCTGGTTCTTAACACGGTCGATGAAGAGCTTCCACACGGTGCGTTTGGCCTTGGTCGTGAGGTTCTGGAAGCGCAGCGACAGGTGGATACGTGACACAAAGGCGGCGTCAAACGTCTCCACTCTATTGGTGGTCAAGAACAGGATGCCTTGGAAGTATTCGAGAAGGCGAAGGAAGATGCTGACCAGGGCATTACGATGGATATCGTGGATTGAACGTTGTTCCAAGAAAACATCGGCTTCGTCCAGCAACAAGATTGCACCCCAGCTGTGGGCGATGTCCAGAATGTTCTGAAGTTCCTTTTCGAGTTTGGTCGGTTCGGTGCCCAGATCGCCGGCGCTGACCATGTACAACGGACATTTGAGAAGATCTGCGATCCCTTCAGCCGTAAGCGTCTTGCCTGTTCCGGGAGGACCATGGAGAACAGCCACCAGGCCACGACCTTTGCCAGAGATGATGTCGTCAATGCTTTTGTGGGCTTGAAAGGTATGACTCGAGACAAGGGCCTTGACGATGGACTTGTGGTTGTCGGGGAGCACGAGGCTTTCAAATGCTTTGTCGTTGAAGACGACGTCGGAGATGCCGGAAACTGTGAATTCGAGCCAAAGCTTTTCGCCGAAGGCGAAGCCCAAGACCACAGGGCTGGCAATGAGCAATTCTTCCTCGGTGAATTCATGGGTCGACAGCTTGTCGTCTCCAAGTGGTTCAGTGTTTTGACTCCAGTCAAGGTCCTCCTTCGAGTTGACTTCGACAATGACATTTTGGCCATTTGGTGTCTTCACCACTTTGTATTTTTTCGTCTCCGGCACCTGAATGGTTTCGTCAGAAGGAGTGGTCTGGTTGTTGCCCCCCACGTCGGAGCCGCTATCAAAGCCGCAGCCGCAGCTGTCATCTGTGTCGTCGAGGATGGCTCCGTCAGGATCGTCCTTTGGCTTGATGACACTGGCAGGGTAGTTGGGATTGATTCTGCGATGAATGGCGGGATCGACCATGACACGCCCGTCAATGTTGATCTTCAAAACCTGCTTCTTGCGTTTGGTGTACGCCATGCCCTTGTGGTGGCGGTAATTCATGCCTTGGAGAGACACAAAATGCTTTCCTCGCTCAATCAGCTGAGATCTCATCTTGTCGGCATGTTTGTGATACTGAAGGGGATAACAGTCTAACGAGGTGATCTTGCGCACACCTTGGAAAGACGAGATTTCCGCGTGGGTGGTGCCCATTCCAAAGTTCTTGCCGTCGTACTCTAGGTATCTGCCTTCGACAATGTACCAACTGCCCCTCATGAAGTGCGATTCTTTGGTAGTGAAATCGATCTTGAACGCCCGAGGTTCATCCTGATCTCCATAAGTGGAAGAATACACAATGGCGTTCGGTTTGTACAGGGCCCAGAGGAGGTCAAAGGTGATCATGCCATTTTCCACCATCGGGTATAGATTCTTTTTCGTCTCGGCAAAGTCTTTGTCCAGGTATTTGACCATCACTCGGAGGTGTTTGGCTTTGGTCTTAGAGGCTTTTGCCTCCTTGCGCTTCTTTCCCGCGGCGTCGTCCTCGAGCGTCTTGATATAGTCCCTCATCTCTTCCAGATACAAGAAGAGCATATTGGGGTCCAGATGCGGTGTGTCTTCGACTAGGCTGATACCCTTGACGCCTGCCATGACATGTTGCAGGCATTCTTTGAGAGGTTCGGATTTGATGTCGACGACCGTTGCCAGATATTTGTGCTCCCAGTCGAACCGACGACGAACAGTAAAGATATACTGGTCCCAGATGGCCTCTCCTGTATTTTTGACAGTTTCAGTGAGCTTGAAGTTGTGGATTGACTGGTCCCATAGTTGGTCCACTCGTTTGTAGGCCACTTTGGAGGCGCGTTTTGGCTTCTTTTGTTTCTTCGGCTTGACTTCTTCAAGGTCGTCAAGGAGGATTTCGTCATCGAGGACAGCATCCCTACGCCGACTTCTTCGAGGTTTGTCATAATTGCTGATGGGGATCACGGGCTCGGGATTGAGCTGAGCTCTAGGCATGCCGAAGACAGCAGATGGAGGAGCGAGGGGATTGTTGTCAAAGTCCAGCTTTCGTAGTGAGGATTTCAGGTGGCGTAGTCTTGCAGATTTGGGATCTTCACGGATCTCGATAACATCACATTCGTCTCGACCAGGGCTGTCATGTTTCCTAGACATTCTCTTGGCCGGCTTGACTCGGACTCTCGAGCGAGGCCTAATGACCTCCTCTTCAAACTCATCCTCGCTGTATGAGTCGTCCTCCTCAGTTGTTACCCTCTTTTTGGATCTCTTCTTCTGCTTCTTGAGTTCTTTCGCCAGTGCTTTGGCCTGCGCCTTCAGCTTCTTGACTTTGGTTTTCTTCTTGGAGACTTCGACAGAAGAGGAAGAGTCACTCCCCGAGTCGCTCGAGTCGTCACTATCGGTTGAGGCTTCCGAGGAGGATTCTGACTCTGTAGACTCGCTGTCACTATCAACGATCTCTTTCTTCTTGGTGCCATGCTTCGGCTTTGCCTTGCTGGACGGTCCAACGTGCTTCTTGCATTTCTTCTGGTCTTTGGCAGCCTCGGGAGCAGGAATCTTGTTGGTGGTAGGGCGTTCGGCCGAAGACTCCACCTTCTTCGTTTCTGCCGTGACACCAGTGTTTTGGTCCATCTTGCCCGGGAGGTAAAGGTGGGGAGAGAAGGAGGGTCACGGTCTAATGGTGTGTAGGATATACTGCAAGGTAGGTCAATGACAAAGAGATGTGTTCCCCAGGAAGAGATGAGCCGCCGGCACCTCAATTCATAAGGCGGAGAAGGAAAGTATGGAGAGGGAAAGTGATTCTCAAAGGTGCAAGAGAGAAAAGGGTGGGCGTCTCAGGCAGAATTGAGGCTGAGGCAGCGGCAGCGGTAGAGGTCGAGTCACAGGCGCGAGGGGCTCACTTCTGCCTTTTCTGAAGTCAGCCAAGAAAGATACCAAGCGTAAAAGAAAAATCAGGCCAAAAGGAGGGGACAGGCAGAAACCTGGATGGCTGAGCAGTGAATGATGGAATGATGAAGGTCAAATGCGCGAACCAGGGCCTCGAGCGAGGTGTTGTTTGATGCCTTGTTGCAGCCTGCCGCAGTCTCTGGACCAACCAAGCCATCTGGTCGCCCGAGAGGCAGGTGCTAATCCAAGGTTTTTTAGTCAATGACAAGCAGCAGTAGCAGCCTGACGAGAAAAGAAGGCCATGTCAAGCCTACCGGCAGTAGGTGGCATGGGCAAAAAAGCATCGCAATCCCTGGGGAAGAGCAGCGCAGACGTGCATGGATGATGGTTCTGTGTGGTCTCCTGATCAGCGGCGGCGCAGAGGCCGTGGACGATGAGTGGACGAACTGCACCAGCCACCCAGGACTCCCCAGGCCAGTCTACTGGGTGCCCAATTGCCCACAGGGTGAGCTGACCAGGCGAGCAGGGGAGCTCTCATCCGTGCATCCGATCTGTGGAGGAGCTGGCCCTTTAAACCACTTCAGGCTTACGTTTCGCTTTCCTCGCGGCAGGACACACAAAGACCCCCAGAAAAGCAAAAGATCCCCTCAACCAAGTGGGCTCCGTGCAGCGCATTCCACTCAAAAGTCCTTCGGGGTCCGCCCTGGACGGCTCCAGGCAAACCGCCACCGTCTTGACGTCCACTGCAATTGGAAGAAACGCTCGCATGGCGGCCCAGCTCAGGAAATGATCTATCGCATCAGAAACGTGGTGAAACTCTTGTCGCCGAACTCTGGGTGATCGACGGCAGATCTTGTACGTCTATCCGTCAAACGAGCGAGTAACAAAGAAAACATTGCTAGTACTTGTGCTAGCTATCAGTCACCTGCACCTCAGATTCGACCCGCTTGCTTCATCTATCAATGAAAGAAAGAAAAAGAAAGAAAAGAGCAAGAGAGATATCGCATTCCCAGAACTCCTTCAAGTCAACCCCGCCCGCTCCATGGCTTCACGCTCTCACGCCCACAATGCCTCAATAACCTGGAGCAGGCGCAACAAATTTGGCAATCTCCAGGTCCCTGATGTCGTGTAAGCCGGCTTTGAGAAAGGAGCATTTCGGATTTCCGCAGTTGTTGTTACCCCACTGCTCGATCGTCAGCACTCAACCACGACAACAGGACGCTCGGTTCCGAGATGACTTACCGGACATTGATGACCATAAAAGCAATCGCTGCGACGACACTTGGAACCATAAGTACACGCAATGCTTCTCGCCTTGTAGCGCAAGGTATTCTTCATGGTAGCGTCAATGGGTTCATGATCGTAACGACAGTTGTAGGATTCACAGTTGTCTCGCAGATGATGCTCGTTACAGAGCTTGCGCACGGCGATACGATCGTCAAACTTCCCCATCTCCGCGTCGGAGGGGACTCTCATCTTCAAATCAATCCTCTGCCCCAGGCGGTTGACCGGAATTCCGCTCTTGCCATCGTGACCCCCGTTGAGCGCCGCAGCATAAGCTTGGGTGGCGGGCTTCGGTTTAGCTACCTCGGTGGGTGGGGTGGACGCTTTGGCCTGAGATGAGGCTCTGTTAACGGTGTTGAGTGGAAGCGTAGCCATCGATGTCGAGGGCTGTGGGACAGGGTTGGATGAATAGCTCGACCTACTCATAGCTGGGGTCAAATCCGAGCTACCATTTTCGACGGAGGACGAAGCCAGGCTGAGGGCCTCGAGGGCGGGTTGGACATAGACCATCTCGGGCTTGGGGATGATCTCTAAGGGTGAGGACTCGAAAACATTGTCGAATCTTGTCGACGTGAAAGGTAAAGCGTTGTAGGCCCGAGCAGTCGCAGCCGTCTGTGCACCGTGCACTAGGACAATCTTGGGAGCGACGACCTGGTCATGGCGATATTTGTCGAACTCGGCGATATAGCCATTATCGTGGGAACAGGCCAAGTAGATGCGTTGACACTGCGCGTTATTTGCATAGAAACGGAAGGTATCTGGAGATGCTCTGGTCAGCCACGTCGGCACGCTTGACAAAAGCAGGAGCCACATTACCTCGTAGTTTAGCATCGACCCTCTCCTTTCCCGGGCCGCAATCGATAAAATGAAAGAGGCTGCGGCTTTGAGTAAAGGAGCAAAAGAAGGAATCGATCTGAGAAGGGTGGGCAAGGTAATCGGCGGCCACGAGGGTTCTCGCCAGCCCCTGCTTATTTGCATAGATGTTGAGCAGGACATCACAGTCGGGATTAGTGCCTGGAAGCGCCTCGGCGGCCTTTAGATGGTTGATGACCTGGTTGTAAAGCTCATTGGCCGCCTTGGAACCGCCGGAGGTGGCCAGGGCATCAAAGAAGGCCTTTCGAAAAATGAAGCCGTCGCCGTCGACGAGGACTACACTATACTTGCGGGCCACGGCAGCTTCGGCGTCTTCGGCACGTTTCTTCCATGTGCGACGCGTATTTCTCTCGTCGTCTAGGTCGGATTCTAGGGTGGAGCAGGTGTGGTTGAGTTTAATGCAGCTCTGGATCAAAAACTCGATCTCTTTCTGGCGGGTCTCGTCAAAGGTGCAATAGTCGAGGAGGCGCTGGCGTAGGTCGTGTTGTGGAGGCAAGGCAGCCATGGCGACAGGTGTATTGGCCATGATAACGTGTAAGTAACGATGATAAGAAGTTACGGGACTTGATCCAGGTGATGGGCGGCACGAAGCAGCTTAGAGGAGCAAAGAGGGTACTGCTTTGAGGGTCGGTCGCAAGCAGCCAAAGTCCAGAGGGACTGAGTAACAAAACAATCAAGTGGTGACGATGGCGATGATGATGACAGTAACTTTCGGTGACAAGGCTAGAGCAAACGAAGAATCAAGAGCACAGAAGGCCTCTACTGGCAAAAAGTAGTTTCACCGCCCAATGGAGGCGACGCTCGGACAGGAGGTGGCACAGAAAGAGGATGGGAAAAGGGGGCATCAAATGAAACAAGAAGCAGTGCTGGTCTGGCAGAGCGACAATGGCCTACCAGTCTGGAGATGGCCAGCTGAACAGAGACGAGAGCACGACACAACACAACACGGGATCTTCTAGGACTGTTTCAACGAAGGTGAGAATGAACAGTCACAGGAGTGAAAGTGTGAAATTCATTCCAATCTCAGGGTTCGTCAGTCTGGCCGGATCTGGCCCTTCGCATTTGGGCACCGCAATGGCTGACCTGATTCTCATTCACGTTCAGGCAGCCGCCGGTGACAGGTTGAGAGTATTGCTGGGGTAAAAAGACAGAGACAGAAAGAGACTGAGCGAGACTGATGGTTGTGTATGGTCTTGTTTTAATACTGGCTCCTTTGACATTGAGTTCACGTCAATCACGGCATTAAGCAAGACCTAGGTACATAGGTGATTGTGCAAGGCCCAGTTTAGCTAAGCAGGTGTCGCCCCGGTTATCTGTTCGGCTATTCCAGGGAGCTAATTCCTTACCCAAGCACGGGCGATGCCAGAGCCATTGTTTAGTGAGGGCGGGGCCTACAAGTACATAGATATTGCAGCTCTAGGTGGCAGCCCCCTACAAGTAATTAGACGCCTCCCTTAGCACTGACTTCGTTTACACTCGTGACATTCCCCTCCCCAAAATTCATCATCAACAATCATCCACATCGTCTCATGTTCTGCAGTCCCATTCAACGATCATAATCCAAAAGTCTCACCACCTCCCACTCAAGCTCCCGCTATCACTGGCTGCCGCCGCTCAAAGACGGGGGATCATCAAATATCCGATTACTTATGCAGCTAGGGTCTCTGCTCCCTGTTGTATTAACAATCAACTCCCCATCCAAGCCACGGATCTACCGAGGCAAAAACTGGCTAACGTTGAGGTTTTGGTGGTGCTGCTCTCGTGAAACTGTCATCTCGTTGGCCGTAGTTGATACCATCAGCCAGAACTAGAGGCCCACCCCCAGGAAGCGACTAGGGACTCATACTCTTTATGGATGGGTTCCCTGGTACAGTGCCAGAGTTCTCTGGGACTATATTATGACGACCATCTTCTCAAGAGCGGTAGGAAACTTCATACGATCAACAGCACACAGCACTTCCCGCCACTGTCTTCATCTTTCTAGGCCTTACTCCTCTTCCCCCACTTCTCTCGATCCCAAAATGGTGCAGAACAAAGCCTTCATCTACAAGGTGCGTCCTATTTCCCTTTCTTCACCTGCACAATGGCCTGACATCCCATATCACTAACACCACACACCAAACAAAGGCCATCCCAAATGGCTGGCCCGTTCCAGGCAAAGACCTGACGGTGGAGGACATTGGGTTTGACGAAAACGCGCCCCCGCCCAAGGGCGGCTTCACCACCAAAAACCTGTACGCGGCCTACGACCCCAGCCAGCGCGGGCGAATGCGCGACCCCAGCATCCCGTCGTACTCGGCGGCCATGACGACGGGCCAGCCGGTGATCAGCGTCAGCGTCATCGGCAAGGTGCTGAAGAGCGACAACCCCAAGATCCAGCCGGGGGCTATTGTCATGCTGCAGGGCTCCGGCACCGAGTCGTATTCGACGAAGGACGAGTCGGCCGTCGCCACCACCCAGATCATCGAGCCCAAGGAGGGCGTGCCCTTGACGGCCTACCTGGGCCTGCTGGGCATGACGGGCATGACGGCCTACGGGTCGCTGCACGAGATCGGGCAGCCCAAGAAAGGGGACGTGATTTTGATTTCGGCCGCTGCTGGGGCTGTGGGTCAGATGGTCGGGCAGATCGCAGTGCGAGAAGGTCTACACGTATGTCTGAACATCCCTCTATTCTCGGTTCTTTGCTGTTGCTGCGTACCCATCGATCAAAAGCCAACCAACTCCCACCTTCCTCCTCCCCTTGGGGAAAACAAAATATTGACGGGAAAAAAAATTATTCACAGGTAATCGGCTCAGTCGGCGACGACCGCAAACTCGACTTCATCCTCAACGACCTCAAATTCCACGCGGGGTTCAACTACAAGAAGGAGTCGATGGCCGAGGCGGTCAAGCGCCTCGCCCCGCAAGGGCTGGACATCTTCTACGACAACGTGGGCGGCGAGCTGCTGGACGTGGCGCTGGCCAACATGAAGGAGTTCGGGCGCATCGTGGCCTGCGGCTCCATCTCGACCTACAACAACGCCAAGGACACCACCCCCTACGGCGTCAAGAACTACGGCGCCATGGTCCGCAAGCGCCTGCGCTGGCAAGGCTTCTTGGTGTTCGACCCCAACATCGTGCGATGGCGCGCCGAGCGCGACGACAAGATCACCCAGTGGATCCGGGACGGGAGCTTCAAGTCCGTCGACTTTGTCACCGAGGGCATGGACCATGCCATCGAGGGGTTCCTGGGAATGCTCCGCGGCGAGAACCTGGGCAAGAGTATTCTCAAGATTGCCGATGAGTGATTCACCGAGGGAGTGAATGGATCAATCAATGAATGAATGAAGGAGGGCAACCTGGGGCTGGAGCTGGTTGTCAGGGACCCTCAAACCAGATAGGCCGAGTGAACAGGATGACCAGGATGGAGAATACTACCTAGATACCTTGGGTAGGTACAGACTGTCTAATCCAGATAAGTTCAATACATACATACCTAGGTATGCAAACGCATTCAAACACCGTTTATGTACCCTGGGTACTAGTATGTTGCAACCCCTTCCGTCTCCTCTGCTACGTACCGAGCACGAAGTACACCCACCTCCCGGGATTCCTAGATACCACCACTCTCCCGCCCCCGAAAGTCCGAGCATGGGAAAATCAAAAGGAAGAATCCAAAAAATAAAAGAGGGGGGAAGATTTTGATCCTCGGCCCTTCTCAGGACTTTACCTATCCTAACTATGGAGGTAGATTGGTCTGTGACCGAAACAGTGCGCAAAATCTGGAAAACGACCTCTTCGCATGTGTACCGAAAGCGAGGAAAGGAGGAGACAAGGGGCCAAGGAGAAATTGACCTATTAATATTCATTCAACAGGAGCGCATTCATGGAAGATGAATTGCACACCAAAAGATCCGACTATCAATACCTAGTACCCAACCAGACTGTGAGCTATGTTTTCCGTCTCCTCCATCAATCCCGTTGTTTCCAAGTCTGTCATTTTCATTCGGTTCGTAAACGTCGTTGTCATCTCCTGCCTCCCTGACCGCCGCCTGGAGCATTCCTCCAAACATCGCCTTGCGTCGCATTGCATCTCGTGCCATAAACGCCAGCCGCAATCTCCTACCCCATGACAACGTCGTCGTGTGCTGTTGTCCACATAAACGCAAGGAACAAGGCGTCACCGAGTCATAAGCAATCTCGGCGTCTGCTCTCTGGAAAGCCGCAGTATGGCATGAACCGCCGTGCCATGGCCGTGTCCTCGTCTTCCCTGGTCGTTGATACCCCGATGCTCCGACTCGCAGCGTTCCCTTGCCTTTGCAGCCTTTCGGGATAAGAAGCAGTCTCAGATACCGCAGATTCATCAATGCCCTCGCTGACACGGCCGTCCTCCTTAAGATAAATCGGAAAAGTCGCGGAAGTCCCCTTACTCCTCGTAGAACGCGCGTCGAAACGATCTCATGCTGCCTGCGCATACAGTCCAGAAACATCAGCACCCCAGCACTCGCCGCAAATCCACACCTGTTCGGGTCTCAAACACCTCTGACAGCTCGACTGAGCAGGGCCTAGTGAGCCCATGGTAACCTGCTCGTCGCGGAGACACGTGGCACGACCAAACCTCCCAAAGGCGGACGTGGGATGGGGCTTCTACTCTGCGGCCATCGATTCATCAATGTCCATGTCATCCTCATCCTCGTCATATCCATCGTTGCATCCACAAATACTGCTTTCGTCGAAATGTGTGCCGCAGAGATAGCAGAACTCGACGCCGCAGATGCAGTCCATGTGTTCACAGCCGTCAGTCCTCTCCACCATGTTCGCACACGTCGGGCACTGTCTCCATTCCTTCTCCTCCCCCAGCTCAAAGAGTTTGACGACGTCTTCCTCCAGAGCAGGACACACGCGCTTCTTCATATCCGCATCCCAAACAGGGTGGTCGCTCTGGAGCCGTTTGCAGCTTTTGCATGTTGAGTTGTGGCATTGAAGACAGAATGCCACCTCTTGCTGGGCTAGATGGTCCTTCACAGGGATGAAGGCGGAGCACTTTGGCGAAGCGCAGTAAAAAGGGCGATGTGCACCGAACTCGGCTTCAATCTCTTTGTAGCGTTCGACAACGTCGTCGTCGAGCACGGTGCCTACAGCAGAGATGCGTAGCGGGACATTGTGGCACCTGGGAGGGAATGACGCTCGATCCCTGCAGGCTACTCGGAAGGCCTGGTTGAGACACGGTATGCAATAGGCGCAGTGGCAGTGATGTAAGACAACCAACTCTCCTGGTCGGTGTTCCTCAAAGCATACGGCGCACTCCTTCGGCGGTGTCGAATGCAGAGGTCCGTCGCGCACAGGATAACCAAAGTGAACATTAGGCTGACGACCCGCTTGCAAATGCTCTTGATCGCGTAGTCGTCGAGCAATTTCCAATTCACCAAGCATTGCTGCCACGTCGCTGTTCCATTCATACACCAGGGAGCCGATCGGAGGGAGGACTTCTCTTCCGGGTGGAGGCAGCCTCGCTCCTCCTGTGGTGGCACGTTCATGCTCAGAGAAGAAAAATGGATTCCCAGGAATAATGGGCGGGAGATGTAGCATGGGGTAGGCATGTGGCTGGGTCCAACATTTTTCTTCGAAGCTCCTTCCACCTGCAGAGGCTATGTGGGCCTCTAGAGTTCGTCGCTCTTCACGCGGAAGATTGGCTTGTAGACGCTGTGCTCTCCAATCCCCATAGTTAGCAGCGGCCGGCGCAGGCATCAGGTGGTGCCCATGGCCACCGAAGATGCTGGACAGGCTGGGCAGCGTTGTCATAGTTAATTTGACGCCTGACAATGTCGCAACATGTGTCGACGGTTCATTTTCTGCCCAACTGAGATGGGCCTAGGTTGACCTTGTGTTTGTGAGGCCAAGGGGCCCCGTGAAGCCTTGAGACTAGGTAATAGCTTATGCTTAGCCCAGGTGCTAAGAATGTTGGGGGCGGAGGTGATTGCGGGGGAAATGGTGAGATGCTGTGGCACCAGTGGTTGTTCGATCGGCGGGAAGCTGTTCCGGCGAGATTGATCGACTGGAGGATGCAAAAACTCTCTGGCCACAGGACGATTCAGTGGGCGAGACAACCAATATGGAAGAGATCGACCGATGCTCTCAATGGAGAGGGCAGGCGAAGGTGTCTGCGAGGGTCGAGTCAAGTCAAGGTGTGCCCCCCCGAAATTCAGAACTCAGCTGAGACAAGTGACAGGTTTGGCTTGGCTGCAGCCAAGGTGGCTTGAAGGTGCAGTAACAAACTGAGGGCGGCAGTCAGGTAGAAACAAGTGATGGCAAGGATGACAAGAGCAGGTCGACCTTCCAGCAGGGCGGGGAGGGGTATTAATATGTCCTCTCAAGACCTCAACCTGTCCCATGTGTGCGGATCGTCCAGTTCGCTGCTGCAGGAGCCAGGGCTTCAACACCATCTCGTTTGCCCGATTTCATGTGTCCCCCTTCTAGCACGCATGCTACCAGTTGCCCCAAGACCTATCCAGACCTGTCCAAGCCCTGTCAGCAGCTGTCAAATCGCAGCTATCACACCGCCCAGCGAGTCTGATTGGATACCGAGTCTCGGACCATCCACCGCATCGGCAAGGATTGTTCTCCTCCGTACTTTGGCGCATCCGGGGAAAGGGCACGGTGCACTCGATTCGCATACTGGCCCTCGATTCGAGAGGTCAGGAGAAAAACAGCTGGGAAATGGGCCACACACACCAAGAACCAGGAGCGGGGAATTAGTGTCTGCAAAGGGCTCAAAGATGCATCCAACTACAAGAGTCGATGAGTGAATGGGCCAACCCGTGTCACTCTTTCACAAGAACCCACGCTCGAAAAACCTAGAGGTCGGTTGTTTGTACATGCTAGCTCCAAAGCCCCCCCTGGACCCATCCCGTTGTCTATGGATTAGCCTTGACAAAGTCCACACCCTTCTGAATGTTCTTCTTCAGGTCTGGAAATGCGGTCAGTATTGCGTGATTTTAGGTTCTCGGAGAGTTCAAACTCACCTCCCATGCATGCCTCCAGTAGATTCTCCTCGTACTTGTTGATGCGACCGACCTCGTGGATCTTCTGGACTCCGTCGGGACCAAGCTCAACTCGGGAGGAGAAGAAATCAATGCCCTGGTCCTTGTACAAGGGGCTGTCGACGAACGTGCACTCAACCACACCCTTCTCGCCCTGCGCGGCCTTGAGCAAGCTCTCGGCAAATCGAGCACCGGCCATAGCCATGGACAGAGTGGCGGAGCCGGCACCATCCTTGGCCTTGACGACTTCATCACCACCGAATTGGATTCGGTTGATCAAGGCATCCAGCTTCTCACCGGTGATGTCCGGGTGGCCAGACTGGGAGATCAAGGGGACGATGGTGACGCCCGAATGTCCACCAACGACGGTGATGTTCTCATTCGCCGGGTCTGTTCCCTTGACTTCGGAGACGAACTTGGAGGCACGGACGATATCGAGCGTGGTGACACCAAAGAGACGCTTGGGGTTGTAGACACCCTTGCTCTTGAAGACCTCGGCGCAGATGGGGACAGTCGAGTTGACCTTTCCAGAATCGTCAGCTGCATTTATCGGGTGTGCCAGGGCAGGGCTGTTTCGTATTCACATACCGGGTTGGAGATGATCAGAAGGTTGGCGTTGGGCGCAGCATCAGCCACAGCCTTTGCGAGGTCCCGGACGATGCTGGCGTTGGTGTTGAACAGATCTACAACCCGTCAGCAACTACATCCTAGACATTGTAGAAGCCGTCTCTTCTTACCATCACGAGTCATGCCAGGCTTTCGGGGGACGCCGGCGGGAATGAGGACAACGTCACTTCCTTCCAGACACTCTCGGAGACCCGAAGGAGTTGGGTCGTAGCCCTTGACGGTGCTCCTCGTGTTGATGTGGCTGATATCAGCTGCGACACCTGTGTATTTGCAGTCTTTGATCAACATCTTTTCTCATCACCACGCAAGCTGTGGACAGACGGACCTGGACCCAGGCGGATATCGTAGAGGGCTAACTGCGAGACACGGGGGTTGAGCTTCATCAACAGCGACAGCGGCTGGCCGATACCACCGGCGGCACCGAGGACTGCAACTTTGGAGGACTGTGCCGGGGTTTAGACATTAGCATGAGGTTCGTAACGATGGAAACGACTTGGTGTGACGGTGAGAGGAACAAACCTGTCTAGCAGACGCCGAGAAAGCTCGACGCTGGACCTGTCCGAACATTTGCCTGGCGAAAGACATGGTGGGCTAAGACAAGAAGAAGAGATTCCAGAGAAAACCAAGGGGGCCGGGATTGGGACAAATGAGACGAGATGTTGGAAGAGAGAGAGGGAGTGAGTGATAGATGAAGCTGGCGTGATAATATCTGCGAGGAGATGTGCTCTGTGAAAAGGTTTACACCGCAAGCTCTCTGCTCTAGGCCCGCGGGCCCATCTCCAATGGACGGATCACTCTGGGCTGCTCGCTTGGGTTGCCGTAGCCGCAGTCCCGAGCTTCCTTGGAGAAGCAAACAACCCCCAATGCTGCCCTCTCGCCCCCTTTCTGCTCGCCCTCGTGACTTGGGCTTGGCATTTCTTGCTCCGGGTGTCCGGCCTGTTCCACCCCGGTTGATCCGATGCTCCATCCCTCTCTACAATGGACGAATTGATAGAAGATGGAGCTCCTCATCCCACCACCTATTGTATAAATGCCTCAAGACTACCTATGTTTGTGGGGAGCCGCACGATGAGACTCGGCTGGGACGATGACGCACGCTTTCATTTTCAAGGGCGACACGTATAATGACTGGGCCAGCCAGAAATGGAATGAATGGCGAGAATACGACACGACTGCTGCTCGATCAGCTCATCTCTCTTTTTCCCATCCTCAATCAGAGCAGACCTCCATGGTCATGATAAGACTCCCTTAGAGGACGAACCTGTGCACTCAAGCTCGGATGGTCGATTGATTCATGCTTGAGAAAGGAGGAACTGACACTCGCTCCCACCAGACGGGTACATTTACCCTTATATCTCTTGAATCACATACCGACAACTAAAGTCTTGCCATCCATCTTGTGCTCATTAACGCATCCCCATCACTTTGCGCTTTGTTCATTACATAGTATACCTCTGCAAAGTAAGCGACTGCTCCAGCCCATGAACGTCGTCCAATCCATGCATCTCTCTCCCAGGGCTCAGCCCATATTACTCTCTGGCCCCGTCGCCTGCATCCCAAAGAAGACAAAGAGATCATGTCTCGTCCACCAGCTCCTCAACCTCTTCCCGAACATATATACGGGAGCGGCAAGCAGACACATGGCCAAGGTAGTGCCTCCGAACGTGAACATCTGTGGCGCGAGTCATTAGCACATTCTATCTCACCCTCGCTGACAACTCTAGCAGGAGCGGCGGAAGAGCGGCCCCTGCCGGACCAGCCAGAAGACCAAGACACTGTCCCTTTACGGAGACATGCACAGTTCTTTTCCCCGGTGCAAGTTTGAGGTTAAAGGGACGGGACGACTTACAATTTCCTCGGGACCTTTGGCGGCGACCCAATTGTTGGCGAAGTTGGAGAGGCCGTAGAACATGAAGTTCTGTATTTCGAGCACTCTTAGCGTCCAAACGGATGGTCTTGATGGGGTGAGGCTGCTTGAGGGGACAGCAATCATACCTTGAAGAACATATTCATCACGAACATCTCGTTGCTCTGGCTACGGAAGGCGTCCAGCCCGTACGACATGGTCGACCACACGCCAATGAGGACACCGACCATCATCAAACCTTGACAGAAGGCGCAGAGGACCGCATTGGAGCCATGGGCCATGGTGTAGCCGAAGAAGAACATACCAAACCCGGCAAATACGGCGCAGGGAAGCATAAATACCAGTCGGAACTCGGGCTCGCTGATTTTTCATTCAGTCAAAATCGGCTCTTTTCATCTCCCGATTGAGGAGCAGGGGGAAACTTACTAAGTCCCTTTGTTCTTGATCGTCATCCATTTTACCACGCGATCTCCAGTCAATGCCACAATGATGGACCCAATCATTCCGCCGATGAATGGCCCTGCTCCAATGTAGCCGATCTGGGCGGGATCAAACAACCAGGGCGGCCCTGCAAAAATGCCGGCCAGAATGATCGCCGAGCCGACGTACCAAGCACAAAGCAGACCCGAGACAATGATGGAGTAGCATCCGGCTGGATTGAGGAGGGTGAGGAACATCCCCAGGACCCACTTGAGGATGTTGTCGTGGGAGAAGATGCCGTTGTAGAACTTGAGTTCCTGGACAAACGTCTTCTTGGGAGGGATGCGTGAGGAAGCCGCGGAGGATTCGTTAAGCTCTTTGACGGCAATGGCGTGCTCACGGTGTTCTTCTTGGGCCTTTTCAATCTGCTCAAACGTCTCGACCTTGACGATGTCGGTCTCGTAGATGGACTCGCGACGATACGTCGTCTCTGGGACGAAGAAGAACATGAGCACGAACTGGAGGACCAGGAATATTTGGAACAGGTGGAAAAGCCAGAGCAGGCCTAGGTTGTTGAACACCTGGCCGCAGATGATCGAGGCCAGACTGGAGGCCGAGTTCAGGATGAAGTTGATGGTTGAAATCCGGAGCCCCCGTTGATGCACGCAGTAGAGATCCCCGACGGCGGCGACAATCAGGGATTCAAACGCGCTGGTCGAGAATCCCTGCACGATTCGAGCCGCGAGGAGGTAGTTGTAGCTTATCTTCGACTCGCCGATTGCGGTCCCGATGATGCAGATGAGAGTTGACACAATGAATACAGGCCGTTTGCCGTATCTGCGGCTAAATGCACACACAAATGGGCCAGCGCAACCGGCAGCAAGGATGTTGTAGCCCGATACCATGACCGTGGTTGTAAGATCTGTATTGATTTCCTGGGCGATAGCAAAGTATGAAGCATTCAAGAAAGGACCCTATCGGGCAGTTAGTATGCAGATACTTCGCCACCATCGCTGCCCAGGCGTACGTTTGTTGCCGCGTTCAACATCGCACCGAAACAGAGAATCCAGATAATGGCCTCTTTCTTCAAGAGAGACCAGTTGAGCGGATCATTGGGATCATCGCTCGGCTGCGGAGAGAGCACGATATGGGAGTTCTTGCCCGTGCCATGCTTGAGGTTCGCTGTCTGAGCTTCTGCATGGGCAGCCTCGTCGTTCAAGAGGACCGTCCCAGGCACATGCGGAAGTTTGGTATCTGGATCGAAGCAGCGTCAGCATCGAGCGGTGGGGTTTCGAGGGGGAACTGTGGAATGTGACAGTCCGTTCACAGAAGCAGACGTCAAGCACCGACCTTCCAAGACACCGAGTCCCATATTTGTTGATACTCTATAGATTTCTGGAAGCAAGTTTACGGAGCAGAGTCGAGGATGATCGGGTGCTATGACAGCAGCAAGGTCTCGACGACAGCGCGGTACGTGGAACGACGCAGATCACTTCCAGGACCTCTTGAACTCGGGAGGAGAGCGAGGTTATATGCCTGGACGTGAGTCCCGCGCATTTTGTGGGATAAAACCCCCAAGCGAAGCAATTGAAATCATCTGCGATTGCCCCAACTTCTCCATGTCCTTCCACACACTCCACATGTCTCGATCGAGTTGGTTCCACGGGTCTGCCGTATAGCAACACGAGGTCGAGTCATCTGTGATCTTTGGGCCGTGACCAAGAGCTGCCAAGAGGGCAAAAAGCAAGAAAGGCGCGCTGGTATAGGATGACGGAAGGCTAGTGAGTCTTCAGTGGCGCGAAAGAGGCGACCATGTCTGGGCCTGGATCGATGGTCGTCTGCCAGTGGAGACCGCCAGACAAGCCTTGCGTACTTGGTACAGGCATTCCTGGCTAAAAGCTGGCACCCCTCCGCAGTAGGTCTCATCAGCCCCAGTCGAAAGGTTGGGGAATCCGGGGAGCATATCCACCAGCTGGTCGCTGGTCGCACGAAAATGCGGAGGTTCTCCACTTGCCTTCCATCTGAAGAGACTTGCTTCTAGTAGACCACAGAGGGTTCAACAGCACCACGCTTTCATTCGCTGTTGCCATTGCCAGCTAACAGTTCTCAGCAGATATCCAGATCGGTTGAGTATAGGCGGTAAACAGGCAACGTGGCACGGTAGCCCATTGATAGGACGGCGGCCAAAAGAGAGAGAGAGATTGGCGTACCGAAGGAGCCTTGTAGATTGCATCTTGGCTGGAAAGCAGCAGTGTGATACCTTCGTGGAGTTCAGTCGATCTTGGCCGGAATAATCCCACTCGCATATGCCCAGGTTTGGGGTGGGTGAAGCGACTTTGGTTGATGCTCTGGATGCTCGACAGGGCCGCTCTTCACATCTGCGCTGTGAGGATGGACTGCCAACAGTCCCTCATGTTGAATTCCATCTCTTTTCCATCAGAAACCTGATGATGCCAACGCGGACCAACGAAAGCTGTAAGAAACGAGGCATCTGCGAGGACCGCCTCAACTTGATAGAGCACACCATGTCTCGTCAAAACCTGTTGTCTGATGTGATCGTCATCGGTATAGACTGACAGTTTGGAAACCAACGGCATCAGCATTCCGCACTCCGGGTGCAAATACGAGCTCTCCACACTCGACATGTGGAGTTTGTTCTATCTTTCTGCTGTCTTGTGCTTTCTGCCAATACTTAGAAGCACAAGACACTGTCTGCTGTAATTATCCCAACCGGAAATGCCAATCCGCGGTTTTCCTGGAGGTCCTTCAGGAGGTCAATCATGGTACGGGGGTTGAGATCGGCCCGGAAGACTGGGTTGGGTGTGGTGTTACACAGCAGAAGAAGAGGAGTTGACTTGGACAACATGCGATTCAAGGCGGAGGATTGCTGAATCAGAGGGCAACATGGCTCAATCTGTTTCACAGTGAAGGGTAGGCGAGTAGTAGCGAAGAGGGTATTGTCTGTGGTCATGTCAGCAGCTGCTCAGCTGTGTGTGTTTAAGTACTGGCTGAATACGCAGCCATAAGGGGTTGGCCAGAGAATTGGACAAGAGTCAGAGAAGATGGAAATCCGGCGAGGTTTAAGATGGCGAGACACTCTCATACAGTGACTGCGCCCAACAACTAGCCACACTCATGGACTCTGCTAACAATGCTTCTAGGTACCTAGGTAGGTAACTGCCGATGGATGGTCTTCCATTGTGTATCGACATTGACGACGGCCTCTTCAGCCTGGCCGTCCTCCTCGTCTGCGCCTTTCTCCCCACCGTCTGTTGTTCATCTCACCTCGTCATTGTGCTGCTGTGTTCTATTTCTGCAAAATCTTGTTGCACCCCATCTGCAGTCACCTCGTAGCATGGCATGCTGGTCCCACACGTTGTTCTGCACCCTGCCAATGGCGCGGTAGAACTCGTTTTCTGGGACTCTACAAATGCCTCCAGGCTATCCCATTCCTTTTCATGTGACTCCCTTTTAGCCTGTTCTTTTGATGGCGGCGGCCTGGGCGGCGGCCTGCTGAGCCCATTCAAAAGCAGCCCATTTATCGACATGGGATGACGCTGCGCCCATGTCAGTGGATTCATCTCAGCCGCAACGCCGATCCCCATGGACTCCAAAAAGATTTACCCATCGAGCGAGCATATCTCGGCTCCTCCGATTAAGCTGCAGGATTGAACCTCAACTCGTTATTATTCGCCGGATCAGCCTGCAACTCCATGACCGGCGGATCGTCGACATCATCATTATCATCATGCACACTCATGTTCACCGGCCTCGACATTCCACGTCCAGACGTACCTATCCCCGATGCGATCTCATCAGGAGGAGGCGCGCTCTCTCTGGTACCACGGTTGTGTCCGAAGTCTTCATGGTGCATGACAGGCCCAGCTTCACTGCTGTATAGAGCAATATCATCGTCGGGGTTGTGATGGATCGAACCCGCGTCCTCCACATCCGTGAAGCTTGGTGCTGGACTGCAATCATTCCCTTCAACGCGCGTACTGTCGTTGGAACTGCCCTTGTCACCAAACATTCCTTCCTCTTCCGAATTGGCTGGCGCTCGCTGCGTCGAGGTCTCTAAGCGCGCAAAATCCCACGTCTGCTGTGACCACTGGAAATCCATGCTGACACCTTCATCGACGTCAGCTTCTGCCGGGGCGTCGTCATATCCTGGAGGCTGCTCGAATTCGCCACCACTACTGGCTGCTGTTGGCAGCATCAAGCTCGGTGGACTTTCTGTTCCGGCTAATAGACCTCGAGTCTGCCGACTTCCTTCTCCCGGCGCCGAGCCACCCGGTCCCACTCCCACGCGGTGACCGTGACCGACTGGAAAAGCGCTCGACGACCCATTGTGGGAGGAGTCGCCGAGACGCCGACCTTCCCCCGTCACCGGAGAAGAGTCACGCGAGTCTTGCGGCAGTTCAGAGTCGGCTGCGGCATCGTTGTTGTTGGTGTTCGATTCTTCGAGGAGTTCCTGAAGCTTGGATCCACCTAAAGGGTGCTCCGACCGTCTACGATAGAACAAGAGGTACGCAGCACTGGTTACGACCGATCTCGGGTCCGTTTTCGACGAGACATGAGAGTCTAATGCGGTTAGCAGAGCCGGCAAATGGGATCCGAGCAACTCACCATTGTATTCATACCAGCTGTTGTTATAAAAGTTCTTCGCGTACGCCGTGTAGTGACCGCCTCCCAAGCCTCCGTAATGGTTGTCAACGGCGATCAAGTCATACACCAAGCTCTTGCCATCTTGCTGATCTCTCACCATCTCCGAAAGATCGAGTCCTTCTGTGGGGTAATCAACTCTCACCTCAAGTTTGTCGCGGAAGTTTCTGTTAGAACTGAACCGCTTAAGGTGCATGACAAGGATATCGGGTGCTTTCCATAACTCAAACATTTTGTCGGCTCGGCGGTGTTCCTTGCATCGAGGACAGTACCAAGCGTTCTGCTCAGATAGCGTTTCGGATTTGCCAAATTCGTTCAGACAATCTACCAACGTGATGCCATGCTTCTTGCGATTGTTTCGCTGCTCGCGTTTCGCCGCAATCTCTGCGTCGGGCAGAAGACCCACGCTTTTCCATGTCGGCAGGCCGCGAAAGCCCTCGACGCCATCATCGCCGCCGCCAAATAAAGCATCATAGCCCTCTTGGCTCCAGTCGAGGATGATGGCTTCGCCCGGTCGGATGAGGTCGCCGGTTTGGGCTTTGGGTAACGGTTGAGGAGGCGGCAAAGGTGATCGGCGATGCGCGCGTCTGGCGGAGAACTTACCCCTGTTTTTATTCTTGCCGTACTTGTTCGCTTTCTTATTCCGGCTGGGCAGGATCTCCTGGGGTTCTTGCAACTCGGATTCGGAGTCAGGACCAGAGGGGATGACTGGGCTGGCTTCCGATCCAGACTCGTTGCTGTCCATAGGCGTGTCGTCATTCTCAACATCTGCAAGCTCATCGTCACTCTCTGCAGAGCCGCTCTCACCATTCGCAAGAGCAAGGGCGCCAGTTGACTTCGTCGAACGAGATACTGGTTTGGGGATTCTGTTCTTGATACACTCGTATTCTCCACTCTCTGAGATCTGACTCCAGCCAGTGGGAATGCCCTCCCCAGTGGTAGTGGCCTGAACGTCGAAAAGCTGTTGGAAACGACGGGGTATGGGCGAATTAGAGTGCAGTAGCTTCTGTAAACCAGCGTCGGTGGGCTGAGGCCTCAGCTCAGGAGCTTGACTAGCGTCTCGCATGGATACATCTACGAGGCCATCTTCGCCTTGCACAGAGTTGGCTGTAGGAAGACCCGAGCCAGAACTGGACATGTCGTCCGTCATGACCATAGTGTCTGACCCTTCCGGTGTCCCCACCCCATCTTCCGACGGATTGTACTCTTCATCAAGTATCTTCTTGGTTGTCATCCCTGTAACATTTCCAAGAATCTTCTTCAGGACACCATCGTAGGTCGATCTGTCTTCGCGACTTAGCACGAGGTACGTCGGCTGGCCAAAGAACGGTTTTGAGGCTACCCGTGCAGAAGGATTTTTGACCAGTCGGTTGTACACTGGTACAAGGAGCAGGTCGGCCTCCGGGCTGTCTGCATCAACCAAGTCGTCGTCTGCATCACTTTTGGTCAAGTACAAGCTGAACTTTCGCGCCTTGTTTGGATTGTAGTTGGTTGGGACGGATTCGAGTTCGTACATGCAGATGATGTCGTTGGGTTGGATGTTTGCTTCAGAGATGACGATGTTGTTGTCAAAGATCTTGTAAATCTTGTTTTTGTAAGACTCTGCAACAAGCAGCCGTTCCACGTCCGCATGCGTCCTCAAAGCAACAAACTCCTTCAAAGCCTTGATTGTCGAATGTTTGTCAATGTCTATGTCAATTCGAATGGGTCGTTTATGGAGCGGAAAATACAGGATCTCTTTCTGCCAGTTGTTCTCGATGGGTAGTTGCAAGGTTAAGTTGTTGAAAGGATCGAAGATGATGCTGACTTTGTTACAAACGGGGCAGGTCAGGGTCGATTTATACATTCCAGCAAAAAGATCCGTGACGACAGAATCATTTCGCGCCTTATAAATCTCCCAGTTTTTCTGAGCGAAAGACTGGAGGGCTGCGCTGTCGTGAACCATTTCATCTGTGGAGTCCGGCTTTTCGATGTATGGCTTCTTCTGGATACGGTTCAAATCTTCCTGGAGACCGTCAAGCAGGAACAAAAGAAACTCCTGGGAGTCTTGTTGCTGATACCCAGAGAAACTGGACCCGTACTTCCCGATGGTTGCCTTGAACCTGCTCGGGTTCGTCGAAGAGGCGTTCTCGTCGTAAATCTGGTGGAGGAGATTGGCGTAGGCTTTTGCAATCTCGCCATGGTGACCAAGAGGATTGTCCACGTTAAGGTCCTGCTTCCATTGGTCGTGGAGGAAGTACTGCGTCAACTCTTCGACACTGCGGATGCATTGCAAGGCCGAATTCATGTAACATGTGTTTCCCAAATTGCTTAGTCCAGTGATGCCGCGTGGTCTCCCGTCCCGTTTCTGCCGTCCCCGCGTCATTATGCCAGGAGCTGGGCTGGATCTACCACTAGGGGTGAGGTTTTTAGCTGCGCCCTTAATGCCTTTGGTCAGGTTGAGTTTGGAACTTTCACTTGGCCATTCATCCTTCCCAGATTTTTGTTCCTCGAGCACAATCACTTCCTCGTTCCTGCCCAGACCGACAAGGCTCAAGGTCGACGTCTTTCCATTGTAATTAGGGTTCGCAGTGTTGTCCTTGATCTCCGTAAGGAGCTCTCGGTGCTCGCCTACTTGAAGGTGTACGAAGGTGTTGACATCAAGGAGCATCTTGTCTCCTGCGGTGGCCACGATCTCAGCACCAGGGGCTGGGGAAACACTTCTGGAAGCAGAGGGAGTGAGACCACCTGAAGCAGTGGCATTTTTCAAGCCGCCGAGGATTCTCCACACTCTTACTTTGGTGTTCAAGTCGATATGCAGGAGCTTCTTGCCTTCCTTCAGCCAGTCGTTGCACAACGTCTTCTTGCTTGCAATCATTCGTTGAGGTGGAAGATCCTTTTCTCGTTGGGTCTGGGTGGTGTGCTCACTAGGCACTTTGAGGAAAGAAAAGAGCGGCGGATTCAGTTCCCAGGTCACGTTCGGCATTGCTGCTTCTGCACCGCTCCAATCGTGGGCGTATCTGGTTATGACAGGTGAATCTTTTGCGAGCCCATACCAGGAGATTATCAGATCCCAAGCTTCCTGAGGGAAAACCCGGTAGTCTTCGTCCAACGTCAGGCCCGGTCGAAGGGGCACATATTTTTCGCCAGCCTCATCCGTCAACTTGACATCCTCGTCAATCACCATGGCAATGTCCGAGTTGTCCACAGGTCCAATTTCACCTTCGGTCGCTGATTTTTCAATCTTTCCCACGTCAGCAGGAAGAGAACCACGGGCTTGGACTTTCTGAAACCATTTTGCAGAGATGAGGTAACCCTTCTGGCCTTCTTCCAGCTCCTTCTGCCACAGCGCCGTCACCTGCGCGATCTGGTCGTCGATAGGAGGTATGGAGGTAGCAGTGGGGAGGACATCAGCGTTCAGCGAGGTGGCCGCAGTGGAACGGTTGGAGGGACTAGGAAAGAGGGAGTCTGTGGTCGAACTGCCACTATTGTCAGACAAAGCCGCCGCGCTTTGCTGGACGGCGCGAGGATCACTTGTGTGGGTCAGTCGATTCGTCGCTAGTATGTCGCGATGTCTCGAGCCCGTGTCTTGTTGCTTCGCCTTCAGAGTGTCTTGAGAACCCGTCGGCGCGGTGTCCGGGTTGACGGGCGTGAACCCAGACCCAGAGCCCGGTATTTGACCCTCGCCCATTTCTACGTCACTGTTGTAGGACTCTCTATCCTGGGCCCCCATATCAGACGCCGGCCTCTTAACAGCAGGAGAAGCGGAGCGCAGATGCCTGCCTAAATCATCCTTGGATTGTGAGAGGTGTTGGTTTTGGTGATTGGGAAGTTTTTGAGAGGAAGCGGGCATGTCCCGGGCGGGAGTGCTCGGAGGGACAGGTAATGAGGAGGTCCAGGTTCGTGACCTACGCCAGGACCATGGATGAGAGGGAATAACAGGGCGGAAATCTGACTGTCGAAATAATGAACGTGTCGTCGAAGAGGGTCTGAAAATGACGCCGCAGAATGTGAGGGCCAGAGTCGTGAGTGGGTACCAGCCTACCTCACTGGCGGTTTGCCTGCGCTAAGAAAATGGACGGCTTGGTGAGGCAGTCACCGCGGTGAAGAGTTTGACGGTAATAATAACACACCGAGGCCTCAGCCACGACTGGTAGAATTATGGGAAGGGCCGCAGGATGGGGTCCGAAAATGCCTGGGTCTTCTAACATGGACTGATTTTGTTTGACAAGCCTCTCTTCTGGAAAGGTCAATTCGCCCTTTTTAGGAGTCTATGAGCCGAGCCGCGGGTAAACCTGCGCTCGTGTGAAGCTTCGCTCTTGCCAGCAAAGTCCAAGCTAACAAACAGCCATCCCGTTCATCCTCCGTGAGGGACCTATAATTCACCACATACCTGGAGTACAGTAATGTGTTGTGGCTGCGATACTAGTCGAGCCACAGGTGACGCATGTTTTGTCCGCCTGCATGGTCCATCATAATTAAACAAGGCTGACATGGCGGCGACGAGGCTTCCCACCGCCTCACTAGAAGTCTTGTGCTGACCCGCCTGCCCAAACCCATTATTCCACTCTTGATAGCCTCACGGAATGAATCAAGGTGTTCTCAGGGGCGTGCCAAACTCATCTCGCGACAATTTTGTCCACCTCATCCCTCGCCTCCGACCACGTTTCTAGATTCTTCCTCGCCCATTCGATATGACATCGCGCATACGAAACCTATCAGCACGTAGAGGTTAGCTTAATGGCGAAGTTCCAGTTTTGCGACTCTGTCGGTCTTTCTGGAGAACACGCACCATGTATCTCTGAAGGTCGTCCTCCTTCTCCTTCTGGAACCTCTTGAGGTCTCGCATCACTCCTTGAGTTGCGTCGTGGACGTCCTTCTCCGACACTTCTAGCGCCTGTTCCAGCTGAGACAGACTTTCTCGTGTTTTCCCAATCTGATCCCGTCTCGTCCTCTCTGGGTCCACGTCCACAAAGCCGTTCACTGCATGTCTGAAGCTGCCAAATATCTTGTTGGTTACAAAGTTGCCGCTGGGAGACTTCCTGTGTGTTGTTGGTGAAGTTGGATTCTGATGTGGCTGTCCCTGAGCAGCCGAAGGAGGCGATGATGGAGGCTCGCCATGAGTGGGTGGAAAGTCAGAGTCAACAGATTCGGTCTCTTCATGCTGCCCGTCTCTTCTCTCTGGTGGGCCCCTCGCAGAAGCACTCGACGTTGAGCGCCGTGGTGGGCTTGCTAGTGTCGTGCTACCGGCCAGGTACGCATCAATCCGTTTCGCCTCTGACTCGCTACGCTCGAGCTGTTCCAAGAGGTGGCGCTTCTTCTCCAAGTCCTCCCTTGTCATCTCTTGCTGCACTCGTTTGAGGACTCTATATTTCAGCACATTCCGAACGACCCCCGCAAACTGGGCGCTCTCCCTCATAGGCTCGGCAAATGTGGCTCCCAAGCTCAGCGATAGCTCCTCGGTTGAGATATACGTGCTGTCCACAGCTTGTCCTATCCGCTCGATTGCTGCGGCTACAGTAGGTGACTGCTCGGAAAGTGAAAATCCATTGTACCGGGCCCCCAACTCTGCAAGGTCCGCTGAAAGCTTGGTTAAGTGCTCGATAGTACGGCGGTTAACCTTTTCGATGCTGCCTTGCAATAGAATCTCGAGTTCCCGGGTGTTCTGTTCAAAATTGATAAAATAGGGATCAAGATCCGTCTCGCTCAGTCTCTCGGAAGTCACGGGAAACCGTCCAAAGACTTGAGGACCAGGTGTCGTATGTGATGCAGTTGACGGGAAGGTCTGATCCGGAGGAGATATAGGCGTTCCAGTACTCGAGGTTGATCCATATGTCCTAAGTTTGGCAGAGGAGGAAGGGATGGGTAGCCAGTTGTGAGCAGGAGTTGGGTTAGCAGGGTCCAAGGGTGGTGCTTTCAGATTATTCTTCGGCACTGAAGAGACCGGATGGGCATGCAAGACTTCATTCTGCGCAGCAAGGTCAGCATCCTGGTTATTGTACAAAGAACATGGCAAGCCACTACCCAGCTGGAGTTGGGGTCCAGGAACCTCCACCAGACGCCGTCCTCAACCACCTCCTTCATTCTCCGACAACGGTTCAAAAATACAGCAAGCATACGCTTTCGCTGGTCGATGATGCCTACGTCTTCCTTTGCCTTTGTGGGTTTGGCGGCATAATCTGCCATGGTGTGTTTCTCGGGGATCGGAGGGATGATCAAGGTAGGATGGAGATTGATCAGAGCGGCGCGCAGTGAACTGAACTCTGAATATCTCCTCGCGACCTCAATGTCCTGCAACATCGATCAGCTACCCGATCATTTGTATCGAAGGGCCCACGGGAGGTGCATACTCCTGTCCGAATCTTGTACACAATGTACCCTCCATCTGCGCTTTTGCCTGCGTCCGTTATGACAATTTCCAGGTCCGGTTGCTCATAAAGAATCTGCTGCACTCTGCTGTCATAGCCACCTTTGGGAGGGACAGGACCACTCTCCGCGTGTCCCTCGTCATCTTCTCCCTCATCGTCGTCATCGCGGAACTGTGAGGCCGGGTTGGAGGAAGTAGAGTATGAGGTAGGTGAGGTCGGTTGGTCCGAGTCTGGGTCTAGTATGTTAGCGACCAGCTCAGACAGACTTGATGCAGGCGCATACAGGAGGCTCCTAGAGTTGGGTTGGAGGGTTCCGTGGCAGAGTCTTGGTTGTTGAAGGACCCATAAGGGTTGTTGTCCTCATCGTCCTGCCACATCTTATTGCTGACATGCGACGGAGACTATGAAGACGACCGAGTACTAGACAAGATGAACACCAGAGTCTTATCGCGGTGGTTCCATTGTTTGAGAAGAATAGTAAATGAGAAGGCACACCTTCAATTGTTGGAGGGACTGGGGACGTTAGATGCACTCCCGCTCGCCTAGCCACGTCATTGGTTAGTCTCTCCAGAACGCTCGGACCAGCTGAGCCCATGGAAGCCTGAGAAAGGATAGAGCTTCACAACCTCCGCAAGCCTCCGCTCTTCGACCTCTCTACCAAGTACAAACGTCCTCAAGCCCACAATGTAGCCCATCAGATGGTCAGCAGTCGTGGCCGGTCTAGTTGCTGCAAATTCTGTCTCTCTAATGCATATGCACCAGCTCCCTCGCCTTTGGAATTTCTGGATGCAAAGTCATCTTCACATCCACCGCGATCGCAGAGTGAAGGAAAGGAGCTCTCGATGGTCAGAACCACCATCTATATCCTCGCCATGGTTGGATGTGATACTTCTCTTCTGTTCCATCATGCTTGTAACCACTTCGTTGCCCATCTTGGTATCCAATCTCTGCCGCCGCAACCGCCCCTCAACCCGACACCATACCCATACCCATACCCATATTGATAAGGCACAACCTGTCCGTTCACCATTGTTGAGTGTACCAGTGATGGGTTCCCTGCATCCACCGGCAGCACCGCTGTTGCTGGGTGTGGCCACGCATGCGCAAACCACCACTTCCCATTTACCCTCTTCCGAGCACACCAAAAGATCACGGCAAAAATGAGAATGGCCCCTAGGACCACGCCAACGATCATGCCCGCCTTGTCACCCGTGCTCCAGTGATCCCAACCACTATCATCCGAGTTCACCACGTAGACCAACTGCCCTGGTACCCCGGTAATTGTTGGATTCGATAGGGAAGAACCTGAGATAGGAATGATCCAGGTTGAATAGATATTTCCCCCATCGTCTTGGAGGTAGATGTCTAGCTCGGTCAGGGTGATCGTTGATGTCTGTGTGGTTGTTGTCGGGATTGGCGTGTACTTCGTTGTGGGTAAAGTGACGACGGTTGTAGAAGGTGAAGCAGGCGAAGAAGGTGAAGGGATTGTGACGGTTTGGCCAAAGGTCGCAGAGAGAGTTGTGGATAAATGAGAGGTTACGGTGGTGGTGGTGTCACTGATGAGTGTTGGTGAGATCATGGCCGCCGTGGTCGTGATCTCAGTGACTGTTTGAGTGGTGAACGACATGTTGGGATTTCTAGCTCCGACAACAGTACAGAAGGCTAGGAGGAAGGAGGTATTCATAGAAGAGGACAATGTTGCAAACCCACAGGGTCAAGAAGATCAAAATCGGCGAGATGGTCAGCCAGCAGTGAAAGGTGAAGTCAAGGATCTTTTCTCGCTGCTGTGTTGCGCTTGTTCTTCTGGGGTGGAAAACTGCACCCGAGTCGTCTCTTGATCTGCAACCTTGAACATCCTAGTCGACAACGACGATGTAGCAGATCAGAAGCCGTCCGCAACTTGTCCGCCAGATACTGCGCTGCAAGTCCCATACACGTACGTGCCCTGCCCTGCCTGAACACCTTGTTCCCACGCGAACACTCCTCCCGCAAATCAAGCTTTCTGACTCTGTCGTTTTAGCGATTATTGTCGATCACTCTGCTCCCACGGTCTGCTGCTGCCCTGCTGCTGCACGCCGTTCACCTTCCTCCAACATTGCCAGGTATTCCTGCATCATCGGCATGAAGAGTTTCCATCCTCCCCAGACGCAGACCGGCGTGATGACCACGAAGCACACCAGGATTGCTAAGCCTGGATTCATATTCGTCGGTGGCACTGATTGAAGTTTCGAATACGGTCGGGCTAGAAGTGATGAGGCCTAGTGTAGGGGTCAGCCCAGATGACAAGAGGAGAGGGAAGATGTGCCACATACGGGCGAGATTTGAAGATTCAGCAGGGTTTTGTTCGAGGATGGCAGAGGCCGAAGGTTGCATGTCCAAGAAGTATGCAATATGCATGAGCCAGGGCAGTGTCGAAAGCACGACCAAGATGCGGAGATTGTTTCTCCTTTGATGAACATCAACGCGGTCGCTCTATGCTGCCGAAACCGTGTTTGTGATTCACTGCCTTTTCAAGGCGCGTTCGACCGCACCCAACATGACCGGATTGACCTGTGAATCACAGCAAACTTCCTTTATACTCTCTAAATTTGACCGTAGTTGCTGGGTGTGCATGGCTGTATCGTGGCGAACAAACACTCCAGCCAAGCTGACCACCTGAAGCATCAAAACCAAAATCGCATGGTCATAGGTCAAGCCTAGTGGATGGACGAACAATGACTCAAGACGCGGACTGTATGACATGATCTGCGGGCGTTGTAACTCGTCTCCGTCGCGAGTGCTTGTTTGCTGTTCAAGAGTGGTGATGCGGTCGGCTTCCAGAAGTTTGAGGACCTGATCCAAACCTTCGAGCGTCCATTTCATCGCTGACGTCGAGAGCTCCTGAATTGTTAATATACAATCTCCGTGATGAAGTATCTCTGTCCACTCCTTAATCTCACGGATGTCGTCCATGTACAGATTCTGTCTTTCCTCTGCGAACAAATCATTCTTCGACTTCGAGATACTCTGGAGCTTAGAATCCAACGAGATATCGAAGAAAGAAACCGGCCCGACACTATGGAAACCATCGCTTGCGACTTGCCCGATGCGCATGATATTGACAATAGCAGCTTCAGCAAGATTCGAGGTCTGGCTGAAATGGCGCGAAAGCTCAGACAGCAAGCTTTCCCTTGCAGCGAGGGCGCTGCAGCCCAGATTGTCCATAGCACTCAGCTGATGTAACCGGAGCTTACGAGCCGCATGAATCGCTTCGAGCCGGATCTCTTCGTCGTCGTCATTCAACAAATCATATAGAACCAACAGTAGCCGAATCCTTACACTGGATGGGAGCTCCAAGGCGTCAGGAGATTTGAGATGCTCAACGTAAGTGGAGATTGCTGTCGCAGCACTCATTCGTGTGGGAAAGTCAAAGTAGTCGGCCGAAATGTCCTGGACTGCATGTAGCCACCCTTCGATGTGTTTCGTAGACGGGAACGAACCACCATGCGCAGTTTGAAGACTTCCCAGCAGTGAAGCTTGTAGTTTCAGAGCTGCATTCCTTAAATCCCGCGTGGTATGGAGTTGGGACATGTCCAGGCGGGAGAAAAGTGTTCGTAGAATACCAATGGGTATATCTGTAATATGATCGAGGCATTGCGCCAAACATGTAAATATCTGCTCAAGAATAGTTGGTGGAAGACGCAAATGCTTGCTTCCGACCTCGATGAGACAGATAAGGAGGTTGACTAAAGTTCGGGATGGTCTGTGACAATGCTTGTGACCCAGGAATTCCAGGACGTAGCTCAGAGCATCAGACTCCTCGACCAATCGACCGGCTAAATCTTGTAGCTCTGTGCTTATATCAACGAGATGCTGGTCCCGAATCAGGATGTGGTAGGTCTGGCAAAGCAGTATCCTTCGAGATAAGTATGAATAATGTGCCGAGTGAATCCTTTCAGTGGGTGGCAGGAGGCCTTGCAACCGTTGTATGCCGGACACACCACATGTCCAGCTGTTTTCAAGAATGCAGGAAGCGGCATCATTCAACAAATCCAACCAAGCAGCGTAGACATACGGTGAGTGGGGGAACAGGTCCCCATCGGAATGTACCATCTGGTCGATGAGACACTGGACGATGAACTCGAGCTCCGTACTTGTAATGATGACTGTAGCTCGCCCCATCAGGTAGAAGCTGCAAAGTAGAATCCCGTGGACTTGATTCTCCGGGCCAGAGAGGCCGATCTCTTGCAGGAGCTTTATGATCGCTCCAGCAGGGCTCCCGCGGAGTATATGGGTGGCCAGTAGCAGGGCCGCATGATCTCGAACGGCCCATGTCGAGTGCGTCAAGTGTTTCATGACAAGCTTTGCGGCTTCATCTGCCTCTGTCTCTCTGAAAATCGCATGTCCCAGAAGGTCGAGACCAGCAAAAACGAGTTCCGTATCACTGCCTTTACGGTTGACAGCTTCCCCAGTTTCGAGCGCCGGTGCATCAAAGAGGCGGAACGCAATTGCTGTTGGAGTATTCCTTTTCACCTTCTCGTTGGACCGATTCGTCGACGCGACTGCCTCGGCTGCCCCTGAAGAATCAAGACGGTTGATGGAGGCGCGGAGAAGCATGAGCCCGCAGTTACGGATCGCCCAGACCTTGGACGATAGGCAAGTCGCAGCGAGTTCCATCATTCTCTCGAGATGTTGAATCACGACAACCGCGAACTTCGAGTTCGTCATGATTTCTTTCAGACAATTCAAAGCGTGGACCTGCGGTAGTTTCACATCCTCGTACTCGAGGATATGAAGTCCATCTGTTGGTCGCTCCGCAATCACCATAAGGTCGTTAATCGCAGAAGAAAAGACATCCAGGTCGGCATGGTTCAAGAGTGCCGCCATCATCGCTGGAAGACCAGCAGAACGCCGCGTTAACCGATTTGCTTGCTCGTTGATTTGACTCAACGCAATCTGTAACGATGAGTCCCCCGAAACCTTGATGCTGATATTGGCGTACCACTTACCTGATACCACTTGTTGACGAGGCCACGGACTTCGACGTCAGAAGACAGCCTGACTTTGTCACAGCATTGGCTAAAGGTCTGAGCAACTGTCGAGAAGGCCCCTCGGTGGCGTAACGAAATCAATTGATCCATGCAAAGGTCGCCGACAGCAGAACAAAGCTCCCGGGAGGGCGCCGCAACGAAAATCAATGATTGAAGAGCAAGACTATATGTATCAGTTTCAATGTCCGTCATTGGGAATGAGGACTCACCTCGAATCTCGAAGTGCCCTCCAAGAATAAGCAAGAAGATCCTTGGGCCCTTCACTGGTGATTTCGTCCTCAGCTTCAGAGGCGGTCTCCGGAGAATCGACGCAAAGTTGGAGTCGCACTTGTTCCCAGACATTCTCACAGACACGGATAACCATGGGGCCAATGGACGTGATCTGTTCATCCTGGCGGCTGAGGTATCGTAGTCGATAATTTGTGGCAAGTAAAAGTGCGTGGAGCGGAATAGCGCAGCCAGGCCTCAGCTCGACAGCTCCTTGTCCAGTTGTTGACTGCTCGAGGAAAGTTAGATCTTTCACCATTTCTGCATGATTGCAATCTCGCTCGGGCACATCCAGCGGCGAACAGAAGCTCGTAAGAGCACAAAGCCGTCCCATTCCGTCAGCATGATCAGCGCGCAGAGTCCTGACAGCCAGCACCTCTACCCTTTTGAGAAGGCTGTGATTTATAGGGCTAGCAACCAAGCTTCCACCTTGAACGATGAGTCTTTGGAGAATAGCTGCCGCAGTGCTCCGGACGTCTTCGAATGGATCGAGCACCAGGCATATCAAAGCATTCAAGAGAGCCTTGTCCCCTGTAAATATGTCAGGCTCCAGACCCAGATCAAGCAGATGTTGCAGGGAATGTAATCCGAGGATGTGACGCTGGTAGGATATTCCTGTATTCAACTCTTCGTTCAAAAAGGCGTAGAAAGTCTTTGTGAAGGAATAGTACGAGTCCAGCAGGGCTTTGGCATCGTTCACATTGTAGAGGACCTGTGTTGATTTTCGTAGTGTCGGGATACTGTTCTGTAGCCTTCGTAGCAGTCTCTTAGTGATGCTCAGAATCTCACCTCGCTCATGGGCGGCTGCGTCATCATGTAGGTATTTCATGCTAGTTGCAATACATTCTAGGGTTTCTGGCAAGACAATGGCACTTGTGGCAGGCGACGTCACCAACAGTCCGTACGTAAGAGTACGCACTTCGGAATCAGCGCTCATCAACATCTGTTTACACCAATAGAGCCTTTTTGTCTCATCTCTGAGGGGAGGAGCGGGCGGAAATGCTGATGCGAAAAGCTCTAATGTTTCTAAAGAGTAGACTGATGTCAGTGACTCGTAAAACACCCAGGGTTGACGAGTGTACATACCAGACTCCGTCAAGATCGACTTCGCTCGACCAACTTTAAGGATCGCGATAAATATGGCCATCCTTGATCCGCCTTCTTGACATGATTTAGAATACGGTTGCACGAAAGCCATGAACTTCTCTTTCCTGTCCAAGATAACCGGCAAAACATTCTCTGCAAAATCACCGAGAGCTGCATGGTTTCTTTCCAAGTACAGCTTTATGGCATGCTCAGCTAGAGCTTGCAAACTTGACGATGCCGGGGATTCGGAAGCATCACTGCAGAGCATGGAGCAAACCTTGAGAGCGGCGCTTCTCGTGTCTAGATCAACCATTGCAAAGATTAGTGCAAGCAGAAAATGAGCGATATTCCCCTGCCCGATAGTAGAAACGTCGTCCATTGAGATGTTATGTCGTGACAGCCGCTGCGTCCACATAAAGCGGTTTTCGTCCATGCATTGTTGGACCAACTGATCAAGATGCGCATGGAGTGGCGTTTTCCGATGGAGGCTTGCCAGTATAAGGCATGCCTTCTTAGTCTCCGAGCGAGGCAAAGATAACAAAATAATCCTCACCAAGGGAAGTGAAGCTTGCCGCAGAATCTCAGTGAGGACATCGGGATCATTCTGCTGGTCAAGCAGATCACAGAGAGTCTCCATGATCTGATTTGCTCTTTTCGTTTTGCCATCGTTGAAGGCCTTGTGGGCACAACGATACGTTTCGAACCACACATCCTTGGAAAGGGCGATTTCTTGAAGCGCAACAGCAGAGCTTGCGGCAGCCCCACGTAGATAGACACAGAGAGTATTTGACGCCGCAGTCATATGTTTGTCGGCCACTCTCGTACTGGTCGCAGTGAGCACCAGCTTGTGCCATAGAGCCAACATTCGGGAGACATCCTCGCTGGAATCAATATTGCCTAGGGCCGCTCTGAGCGAGCCTCTTCCTAGCTCTGAAAGAAGAGAAATAGGAAGTGGTACTTCTGTACTTATGGCGCGAAGTACGGGATCCATATTGTTGATATCAGGACTCCACCCGGCTTCCAACTGATCGCAGCGCAGAATAGTGTTGGATATTGCGAGTCCCCTCCATCACGGCCGTAAAGGCTCTCTTTTGGGAACGGCGACAGTCAGAATGGTCTTCATTGGAGAGGTAGGAAGGATGCAGACTCGAAAGGCGAGGGAGTTTTTGCGGGAAAATGGTGGAAATAGTATATCAAACGCTATCCCTTATCGGGACTAGCTCGGAAGTTATGGGATTCCACCCTATCTTGAATAATCCGCCTTCGAACATTTTCTTCCGGGCGAGTTCGAGTTTCTGCCCGTCCTTCTGCGCCAACCTGCGCTGCGTCTGCCATTGCGATCACCTCCCACCCTTTCCCCTCGACCACCTTCTTCCTATTCGTGTTGCTGTCCATTTAGAACAGCCGAAGATGTCTGTCTGGGACCGTTTCACAGGCAGGAAGCCCTCGAGGCAGCAATCGGAAGGCTCCGCAGACGCCCAATCTTCTTCTTCCTCATCTTCGTCTTCATCATTTACGCCGACCCATTTCGATCCCACAACCGCAACAGACGTATCGTCCTTTCTCGGAAGCGCATCTTTGCCAGATGCGTCGAAACTCCATCCACTGGCCGGTTTGAACCAACAGACACTCGACTACCTCACTCTAGACGAGTCGGCACTCTCAGACCTTCCCGGCTCTAGGTCAATATTACCCTCGCGCGGCTGGTCCGACGACTTGTGTTACGGCACAGGAGTCGTATATCTTACAGCCTTGACTACGGGAGGTGTATGGGGTCTAATAGAAGGATTGAATCGAACACCGGCATCCGCACCTCCCAAGCTAAGATTAAACAGCGTTTTGAACAGCATCACGCGAAGAGGACCTTTCCTGGGCAACTCGGCCGGAGTGGTGGCGATGGTTTACAATGGAGTAAACTCAACGATAGGATATTATCGCGGCAAACATGATGCGACGAACAGCATCCTGGCTGGTGCATTGAGCGGAGCCATTTTCAAGAGTACCAGAGGCGTGAAACCAATGCTGATCTCGAGTGGTATCGTGGGCTCCATTGCGGGAATGTGGGCTGTAAGTACTAACTCATCCAACGCAATTCATGCTCTCAGCTAACCCATGTCGCAGTTGACTCGCAAAGTCATTTTCGAACCAGGCGAACCCGCGGAGGCGAAAGAACAAATGATTGCTCCCACACACGCGAGCATCTGAGCTTGATGGCCTTTGGAGAATCCCCGCTTGTATAAAATTGCCTTTCCCTATCGTGCATGCCTTTCAGAGCAATGCACAGTTGCGACCGACGGATGTCTATTCTACGATCCTCACTCTTCGAATGTGGTAAAAGCATAGCGGGAATGGTATGATACAGGGCGTTCTGGGAGGTGGACTGTGTATGATAGATTTTGGCAAGAGCCCGACCCGTGGAAGTGAGGTCACAGGTACGAAAGGTCTATGGCGACTAATAGCCCAGGAGAGACAGATCTTTGGTTCGCCAACTGATGTCTTATATTTGTTGAGGAGAATTCAGCCACTAAAAATGTTAATGTCAATCAGTACACTCCCCACCATTTCCATGGGTTCTCCCAGAGCGCCAAATCCAAATGCTAGGACTGGAATGGTCCAGGGATGCTCGCGATAAACACCTCCATACCATCCGTTCCGTGCAGTTTGCATTGATATCGTACAAGTCACAGGCAGTGATTATGCATCACAGCATTGTCTTCCGCCAGGCCTTTGCAGCCAAGGCCTCGATCGTCTTTGTATCCAGAACACCCTTCGTCTCCTCGTCGGCAATGGCTTCGACCACAGCGTCTGCGACCAGGTCGACCTTCAGAGGCTTCTCGACGGCGGCACCGAATATGCCAGTTAAGCTGCCTCCGATCATACTGTTTACCGTACTCCCCACCATCCCCGATGCAGCTATAGGCAGGGTGAATTTCCGGCTGCTATCCCAAAGAAACCCTGGTCTTACAAAAATGCTTCTCAGCTTCGACATCTGGCTCGCTATCGTGTTCTCTGCTTCTCGCTTTGTCGTGATATATCGCGAGGGAAGGAGGGGCGCACCCGCCGCGGCGGATATGTAGACGAACGTGTGTGCACCAGCATTCTCAGCTTCTTGTGCTAGGGCGATGGCCGAGTCTCTATTCATCAACTCATAAGTGATTTGGCCGTCTTTTTCGCCCTTCTCCAGACCCTCGCCTGGTTTGCGGTCGAGTGGGTTCTTGGAGCTCCCGGCTTTGGTGGAACTGAATGCCCTTGACAGGCCCGAGAAGATAGACTCCTTTCCAGATAGCACTCCTTTGTAGTCTGCTTCAAGCAAGATGCCCATCGTATGGACGACTGCATCGGCGTCCTCGAGGTAGGAGGTATAAGTTGAGGGCTTTAGGATGTCACCTTTTGCCCAGCTCACCAACTTGGACCAGGATGGAGGCTCTGGAGAGGAGGCTACTGAGGACCATGTCGGTTCGCCTGAGCGACTAGAGAACTGTAAGCCATATTGCACCGCCACATATCTGGCACAGCCAAATACCTTATGGAGGTAACGTCCCAACCTCGAGCGACCGCAGATTTGCAGATCCGCGACCCGAGGAACCCATTGCCTCCTGCAACAACCAACTTCTTCTTGGCAGCTTGTGCCATTGCTGAACTGAGCAACGGTGTACCAACTTGCTGGCCTCGATGCTCTGTTCACTACTAGACGCCCCCAGTTCACACCACCAGAAAATAGTTCGTTGCACTTTTTGGGAGATTCAACTGCGTCATTGACGAGAACTACCTCAAAGGGAAGGTGCGGCGAGAATCAGGCTTTCGACGACCACCCAACGGGCAGATTTCCAAATATCCGCAGGAAATGAACGAACTTTTGCGTTTTGGAGATCAATACACGCTGATCAACTTATCTGTACCAATATGCCTCCCTCTAAGCGACGCAAGCTCAGCCCGGAGCCTGAAGAACCACAAGATGGTGCAGAAAACACTACAGAAACACCTCAGGTGATACAAGACGCAGACCGCGATGGAACTCAACCGGCGACACCTCCGGCTGGGAATGAGGCAGATAAGGATGGAGAAGACTCGACGCCAAAGCCCAAAGAAACAGCTGCCGACGGTACCTCAACAGCCAACCCTATGCCGAGTACCACCAATGCAGACCGACTCGCCCGTTTCGCGGCCCTCAAATCCCGCGCGACCCAGTCGGCAAAGTCCAATCTTGCCGAAGCCAAAGCGGAAGCCAACCGCGCAGCAATGGATCCAGCGTTGCTTGCCAACCTCAACAGACGGTCAGCAATCGCACAGCACAACCTTCTCAAGGCAGACACCGAAGAGGAAGAGGGCAAAGGGGCTTTCGAGCGCAAGCGAGCTTGGGACTACACCATCGAAGAAAGCGAGAGATGGGACGAGAGGCAGGAACGCAAAAAGGCCGCGAGGGACAACAATGCGTTTTCGGACTGGGGTGACGAGGCCGCTAGGATGTACGATCGCCAGATGCGCGAGTTGGAGAAGAGTTCGCTGAAGGACGGCCACCGCAACCGCGAGGAATACGAACGGCAAAAGGCGGAAATCATCGAGAACGCCGCACGCACCGGGGGGCTGGAGATTGTGGAAATGGAGAACGGCGAACTGGTGGCCATCGACAAGGACGGCCGCTTCTACGCAGACAACGACAGTCTGGGGTTCGTGGAGCAAAAGCCCAAGCGGGAGAATGTGGATCGCCTGGTCAACGACCTGAAGAAGGCGGAGGAGGCGCGGTTCAAGAAGAGACGAGAAAGAGGCCGTGACGTGGACGAAGGGGATGTCACGTATATTAATGACAAGAACAAGCAGTTCAACCTCAAGTTGGCGAGGTTCTACGACCGGTATACGAGGGATATCAGGGAGAGTTTCGAGCGAGGGACAGCCATGTAACGTGGACGCAAGGGCCCTTTTTGGGTAGGAGGGAGGAAGAGATGCTCCCCGAATAGATTGTCTTCGACGTGTCTCTACCAGGAGTGCGCTGGCCGCCCACCTTCTCATTGCACGGTAGAGCCCGGACGAGAAGTGACCATTGACTTGCGCCATGGAAACTTGATCCATTTACCACCCTCTCCTAAGAATTCCAAGCGAGTAAAGGACATTCTCTGCCTTCTTTGCTGTCCTCAGTCCTGTGATGCGTGCTTGAGACAGGTTGATTTCTGGGATCCTCCCTTTGGCCCTTCGTTGCGCCACGAAGAGGCTCGTATTCGTTTCCCATGCCGACGAAGACCGAGAGTAACATCCCCAGGTGTGTCGTTAGAAGATCGGCACGTTGCACGAGATACCAAGGGAGGGAGGCATGGCGTTCCCCATGTAGGGATCTAGGTACGCAGTGCAATACGAGTACGAACGGGTATCTACCTACATGGGTGGTGGCGAGCTCAGGGTTAGGTAGGTATCACGGCATATACCGAGTCTATGCAGGTGTGGGAGCGGAGTTGAACGCCCGCGCCCACGCCCTTTCACAGTCGTTGAGCAATAACTACAGAGCGACCGCCATCCATGCCATTTACGAGAGTTTCCATTCATGAATTGATATATCAAGACGCGGTCGTACTCCCTCCCTCCCTCTCCTCCGCTCATTTACCGCCTGTTGCACGTACGACACAAATACATCACCACTTATTGAGATCGTTCCACCGCAAGCCGTTGAGAGGAGAGGAGAGGAAGTCAGCCCGGTTCGAAAGAGGGCGAGAGCGCAGATCGGTTTTCGTCTGACCTTCTCCTCTGGAGTTTACGCGACGTCCTTGAAGGCAGACTCGAGATTTGTCAGAGGTTCAGGAAGCGATTCAGTGGTGTAGGATCTGTGAGCGCGACAGCACGGGAAACGGATGCGATCAGTTGATTGACGGAGGGACCTGTTCGAGCGATTTGGAGATTCTGCAATCGATGCTAACGACTCTGTCACGCTGTTCACGGATACGAAAACGAGAGGAACCAAGCTGGTGTAGTCGAGAAAGAGACCAGTCTTCTCTATCCGCACCTTTCCACCGAAAGGACATATCCTCTGGCTGTTACTCTTTGCAGCTCACGAGCACCCCAGAAAGATATCTCATCATGCCTCGCACGGGCGCCACCAACTTCCTCGTTATCGGTGCCGGCATCACCGGCCTCAGCACGGCAACTCTACTCCAGAGGCACTTCTCGACTGCCCAAATCACCATTGTCGCCGCCGAAACGCCCACTACACCATCCCCATCGGTAGACTATGCCTCAATGTGGGCAGGTGCCCACTATCGTCCAATCCATCCGCTTTCCACCGACCAACTCAAAGAGGAATTTAGAATGGGGGTTCGGACGAGGGAGATCATGAAAGGTATCGCTCGAGACTTTCCAGATTCGGGAGTGGAAGTTATGCCTGGGGTCGAGTACCTTGAGAATCCGCTTCAAGAAATCTTGAAAATCAGGACCGGGGACGAATACGCGGGCCCAAACGATGAATTCCGTGTCCTTCCGCAAGATGAGTTGCCGGATGGTGCAAAATGGGGATGTGAATACCAAAGCTATTGCGTCAATATTTCGAGATACTGTCGCTGGTTGACGGAGCGATTCCTGGCGAACGGCGGGCGGATTCTTCAACGCCGCCTCTCCAATGCAACCGAAGCGTTCAGCTTTGCAGAACGCAATCGACTTGGCGAAATTTCAGTGGTGGTGAATTGCTCTGGGAGAAATTTCGATCGTGATCCCAAAATGAAGATCATCCGGGGTCAGACAGTGCTCGTCAGACAACAATACAGCAAAACTGTTACGCGGCAGAACGCTGATGGCAGTTGGGCATTCTTAGTCCCACGACCTCGAGGTGGCGGGACGATCGTAGGCGGAACGAAGGAGGTTGATGATTGGCATGACACTCCTCGCCCGGAGACGCGGGCAAAATTACTTCGACAGTCTGTTGAGATGTTTCCCTACTTCGTCGACTCGATAGAGAAATTCGAGGTGGTGCAAGATAATGTCGGTCGCAGGCCGTGGCGGGAAGGTGGTTATCGGATCGAAACCGAGTCTTTTGGACCCGGCAGAACCGTTGTTCACGGGTATGGTGCCGGCGGTCGAGGCTATGAGCTGAGTTGGGGCGCTGCTGAGAGAATCCTTGAGCTGGTCAAGGAGTCTGTTGGTGCAGGCGCCCGGCTATGATGACCAAGGACCTCATCCACTTCGCTTCATTTCTTCTTCACAGGCTTCCCTTCGGTCTTTTCCAACTCTTGTAGTCGCGCCTCTTCCTTTGTAAGTTTTGCCTTTTCTTCCGCAATCAGTTTTTGGACTTGCTTGACAGCTTCACCCAGACGATCCAGCTCCTTGCTTTCCTCTTCTCTGCTGAATTTGTTGCCAGGAGAGCTTTTCATGGGAATCTCAGCGGTAGGCGGCGCCTTAATCGTCCCCTTTGCTCCTTTTCCAGCCTTTGATTTGGTCGCTTGAGCACCTCCTGTAAGGATCTCGTAAAAGGCCTCGACAGGTTCGTTGAACAGCACCTCTTCATAGCAGACGCTGCTGATCATGGACCTGTCCTTCTTTTGCTGCTCAACGTCCCCATAGTATGGATGTAATTTTAGACCGTGCCAGATCTGCTGCGGCTTCTCTGTACTCTCGGGCACAAAATAGAACTTGATGGCGATCTCAAATTCACCCCAGCCCGTCTCCTCGACCTCGAATGGAGGACTCTCGATCATGCGCACGCTGTTAGCGTACGTGTCGTGAAGTTTGAATTGCACTTTTCGCAGCCAGTATGAAATGTCTTCGTTGTTGATCCCACGGACGAAGACCTTCCATTTGTGTGTATGGTCGGCTGGTGCGTCCTTTGGGCGGTTTTCTGGGTCGAAAGGAATAGCTTCGGTGCCGTAGATGAAGGGACGATAGATTTGGACCCCGCGAACACGCTTGGTTCCCGCGGGAGCAGGCATCTTGAATGTGGCGCTTCCTCGGTTGTCGTGGAGTTTCGAGCGATATTTCAGGAGTGTCTCGAATTCAGGTCGGGCAGGTAGGCCAAGCGCGAGCCCGGTAGATCGGACATCTGAGTTCACCTGTATCGCATCAAATGCTGGGGGGTAAAATGGAAAATGGAAGAAGAGTGAGGCTCAGTAGCGGAGTGCAAAGTCGCATGCGGTTTCCACCTCTGGGCTTGGCGACGGAGCGGCGCGCGTCGAACGGTTCTCCAGTAACTTCATTTTTACACTTTCACGCATTTGTCTGACGCTTCGATGACCTTAGCAGCACAAAGGGACAAATGTATACATAGCTGGAGCAGGATCTGAGGAGCAGTTGATGGGCGGCACACTCTCGAGCCGTTCTGCGATATGTACGCGGGCCCATGCAAGAATGTGCTGAAGCATAAGCTGTATTCGCCTGCCTTTCGTTCCCAGCTCATATACCGGTGTTGGTCCTGCTCTCCTCGACTGTCTGCGAAAAGGAGCCGGCTTCCGACATACGCCAAACCAGCCACACCAAAGACTCCTGGTGCAGTGCTCGAGACAGTGGCTAAATCGGAGCCGAGTCTGAGAAACGATGGTTCCTACTACATCTCGCCTGACCTTGCCAGTGCACTGCATGGCTTGGGCTTCTTTTCAATCCCGGCTGTCGTGAAGGTGCTTCGGCGTCTCTGCCAGGAGCTGAAGAAACTTCCTCCTGCAAGCGCCTTAGTATCTGCAACCACACAACAGAGTATGTGGGTATTCTCATCACCAGGGGGTGCGGCCGGCTGACTTCTTTGCACTTAGGGTTCATCCAGCTATCCGAGGAAGCTCTGGGCTCTGCTGAGGTGGCTCTCATGCGTGATCCACAGGTTCTACGGAAGGCGTTCCATTCGCTGGGCCAGAATTCATTTCACACGCAAAATCGCAAGGGCGATGAAGGCTGTGATGCCTTACGGATGGCTTTCTTTGCAGGAGAGGCCGACGCGGGGGTGGATGCTGCAGCGGCTGAGATCGCTCTGGGTAGCGCACTGGGTCGGCAAGAGGCTCGTCTTTCCCCACGAATTTCCGACTTCATCAAAGCAAAAGCATTGGCGAGGAGTGACTGGGTAGCAATGTTGCTATACTTGGATGAAACGTCCAGGAAGACCGGCAGCGAAGTAGTTGCGCAAGAGAATTACGAGCTCGCCAAAGATTTGGTTGACATGGTCGAGCCCAGCAAGAAGCTCCGTCGTCAGAACTCGTCTCTCCTACAGCATCACAAATTGCCATGGAGGGTTCTTCATGACGCAGCAGAGTCCTATCTACCTTACCTTCGTGAAGGTGCAGTTTACGACCAAGTCCGGTCGGACCTTGAAAATGCTATTCGAGACGGGCTTTTCAAGTACTCCGATCTTTCAGCTGCTCCCCTCGCATTGCGTCAACCGGGTGTAATCGAGAAGAACTCAAAGGAGTGGGTTGAGCTTGCCACGCAGTCTTCCAGCGCCGGCGATCCGGACTCTTCTCTGCAACTGGCTTTCTACCACCTCCGCAAAGATGGATGGCGTCCTGCGGAGGCGAATAGGAAACCTCGAGATTGGACCGGCATTGAGTGGCTCGCTGTCAGCGCCGCTCTGTCGACTCCCGAAACGGGAGTTATGGCAGCAAAGTATCTCGGGTTAGCCCACCTCTTGCGTGAACACGGCTATGTGGACGAGGGTATTTCGTGGATTGACTTCGCAAAGGAGAGTATGGGCGAGGCCGGGCTAGATCCCGACAACAGGTGGCACGACTATTTCAGCGACTTCCAGCAGGCTTGGAGGGACACGGACGGTTCACTGAAGAGATATGAGAAATCCAGTGAGGAGTTTCTTGCGCAGTTGGAGCGGACCTAGTGGGTAGCAACTGTGCTTCAGAGTGTGTGAGATCTTGACCTACCAGTCGGCCAGTCGACAATGGGAGGAGACTTGCTGTCTATAAGGTGTATGTGTTGCGACAACATGAAACGACCTTCGCGCAGCCAGCGGTCCACTCGAGATATTCTGCGCCGAACAAACCGCGGACTTCGCGTTTGGTTCAACCACAAATCCATCTCGAAAATACCAGTCCTGGACAATAGCAATAGCACCAGCACCAGCACCAGCGTCGAATCCGTCTCCGAGACTGAAGAAATGTTCCAGCCGTGGAAATTGATCAGTCTAGGCATGGCAACGTCTTGGGACGGGCCGCCTTTGGGCAGAACAACCAAAGAAAGGAGATGGCCAGGATCATGATCACGATCACGTTAACCGCATGTCTCTTGTTCCTTGTAATGATATTAGACTCGATCGGGGGCGCGGCCCGGCGAGATCCAAAAGCTTGCTGTTAACGTTTTATCGTTGCGATGTCTATATGTACCGTGTACCTAATGTCTCTACCAGAACTCTCTCATCTCTGATAGCTTGCCTTGCTCGTTGCGTTGGGTATACCGCATCCTTTAAGGATTTCGACCGGACGACCGGACGGAAACGTTCCGTAAGGTAACCTTAGGTTGGGGAACGCCATGAAGCTGGCCCGTTAACACCTGTACATTTTCCGTAGGTACCCACGGTACTTACCTAGGCACTCACTGATTGCAGGCCAGTTGTATGTTTCCAAGTAGGCAGACACCAATCTACCAGGAGGAGGCCATAGGTAGGTGCACGGCACAGCAAGAGCTGCCTCGCTGAAGGTGATGGCATGTCTCGCTTCCACACGCTTCAAGGAAACACCACTCGATAGATGGGACCCTAGGTACCTAGGTACCTTGAAGGAGTATTTTCGGTCGTCTCCCCCGTGCAGCCTTCACCTGCCTCCTAAGTGTGTGTCCCGTCCGGCCTTTACCAGCACAGTCTGCCTCGTGACTAAAGTGAAAACGAGGAGCCCATTATTCAGGTCATCATTGCGCGTTCAAACACCTTTCCCCCCCAGAAATTCTTCGCGACTCGCCCATCACCCCCCACTCGGAAGAAGAGTAGAGCACCTACCAACCTGCCTGCCTGCCTGCAGACCTGCCCGTGAACTCTGCATGCGGGTCGTAATGTGAGCACGGAGCACCTGTTTCCACCGCCCATAACTCACACATCCTACATCCTAACCTTCATCAATCTCTCCTCCAGAACCGTAGCGTCCCCGGTCTTCATCTCTCCTCGGCTGTCCTCATTCAGACTACCGAACAAGAAAAAGAAAGAAAAAGGTAACATGTACGTACGTAAAACCGCTACCTCGAGCAGTAGTAGTACTTGTGGTAGTAGTTAGTTATCAAGGTTCCTCCTTCTTCCACCCGCGGCTCTAACATGCAAACTAGTGATAATATACCTCATATCACGCCTCAGGAGGCCGTGGACGGAGTAACAATGAGGGAGCCCGTAAACTTACTACTCGGGCCGCCCATCGGTAATAGTTGTAGTTGTAGTGTTTTCGCCCGCCATGGCACTGCTCTGCCCCGGTGGAACAGATTTTGTGACGGGGGATGGGATGGATGGATGGATGGATGGATGCCAGCCAGAGTTCTAGACCCAGCGCCCACCCGCTCCGTTCGTGGCCGGTAGTCCCGTTTAAGGCAGAGGTGGCATCCAGATCTAGACCGACCGACCGACCGACCGACCGTGGCGCAGGGGGGGCCGCAACCTGCAAGTTAGTAGTACGAGCAGGTCAACGACGGAGTAAGGAGTGCTCTAGTCAGATAACAATGAACCCTGGACACGGAATTAAAAAAGGGGGCGGCGGCCCTCGCATTTATTAATCTTTCGGAAGAGTGTGCCTGCGAGTAAGGGCCGTGGGAAGCCACAAGGAAGGTTTGGTTCTAGGCTCGTTGGTGCGAGCGAGCGAGCGAGAGAGAGAGAGAGAGAGAGAGAGGGTGTCGTGAGTGTGTGTAACTTCATCATTCTTGCACAAGCAACGCTTGTTACCCTTACTTGGACTTGGGAAATAGAGGCAGGTGGTAGTGGTAGTGGTAAGTGGTAGGAACGGAGGACATCTTGTTATTGTATTGGTGGCATGAGGACAGACTAAAGAACATGCTTCGTACATGCGCACATTCCTCCTCGCCAGAATCTGCCCGATTTCTTAGGGCGCACCCAAGAGAGACTCCATATTACTGCATCAATCGCTTCCTTTTTGTTCCTTTGCTTCCGCCGCTGCACGATCATGCTGTCCGACCGTCGATATCCAGAAGTGCTTGACATTGAGACCGCCTCCCCGTCGCCTTACCGTAGCACGGCCAGCACGGCCAGCACGGCCAGCGACACCAGCAACACAAGCCGGTCCAATGCTTGTTGGACACAGAACCCAACAGTTTGGATACCTCTGACGGCTTCTCGCGTGGCTGTCTCTCTCTCTCTCTCTCTCTTTCTCTCTTGCACTTTCCCAGTCTTGGTGCCGACGTTCCGGTTTCCCCCTACATCCCTTGTGCTGTACTCCAGTGGGATGACAGGCTTGTCCACCAGCTCCCAGGCTCCAGGCCCTAGCCCCTATCTTACTCCTCTAACTCCATGCACTGCTCGTTTACCCTGTGAAAGAACAACAAAAAGAAGAGCAAAAAAAAAAAACTCGGCCCGGAGCAGCTGCCAGTCCTGCGTCTTGCATGCTTGACAAAGTAAACTGACCTTGCCACCCATCTTCCACCTCTCTCCGTCGCCTTGTCTCGTGTCGCGGTCGCGGTCGCGGTCGAATGTATTCCGAACTTCCTCGGAGAATCCATTGTACTTTTAGCTGTTACTTTCGGGGCTCCTGATTGCCCATATCTCATTACCTAGGATCCCAAAGGCAAAGGTATGTCACGTATTGAAAATACCAGTATTCGTTCCATCGTAGACCACCACTGTCCGTCAACACCTTCCCGCCCAGGGGCCTTTCTCACACACCCTCACAACGAGGTCGACTGACTCATGGCATTCACTGCCGGCGCGAATACACCCTGCTTTCATTCATTTTCATTGTCGTAGTCACCGGAATCTTCTTCATCAGAATACTCATCCCATTGTTTTCTTCGTCTTTGGCCCTCTCGGATCCCCTTCTTCAGTTTGAGAGGGAATCCTGCACCTCGATCAATGAGTCCTCGTACCAAGTTGGTGCTAGGCTGGACCTGGTCGAAATCCTTTGCGTTGACAGCCCGAAAGACTTGGCTGGTGACAACATGGTGGGCAGGCACCGTTGCACCCACCTTCAGCAACGGAGGCTCCATCTTCATCAATGTAAATTGTAACCGGTATTCCCCCGCTCGGCGGAGGGAGAGGTCGGCAAAGATAAAGAATGCGCCTGGGATGTTCTGCGGAGCTCTTGGCAGCAGTCTCCGGCGAGGCTGGGATGGCAAAAACCTCGACGTAGGACTGGATGGTGGGGACGCCCCTCGTCTTGTAACGGGATGGGTGGGCATCGTGGGCGGATCAGGGTCATCAGCAGTATGAGTAGGACTCGCCACACTCGTGCCTAGGAGTAGGCGTTGCACTTCCTTTTGCCCTTCGTCAGTGTAATAGGACTGCGTGCTCACGTCCGAGTTCACAGCGACTGCTCCCACCAAGCGGCAGTGCACAACCCAGAAGGGGGATCTGAGCTCGGCTACGTCAACCTCGTTATCAGGATCAAAGTCATCCATCAGCAACTGCACGACCGGTGGCGGATCAACTGCTCTAGACGGACCGATCAGCCATGAACAAGCCCCAAAGCTCCGGGGACTTACCTTCGATCTTTCCCATCCGGTCCAGCGCGCGCGGCTCTAGGCTGCTGTCTGATGTGCAGGTGACACCGCCTGGCAGGGTTGACAATACGCGGGAGGTGGTTTGCGTCCACGTTCGGAACTGCGTCGGGTATAGCTGGTGACTCTGTGGCTGGAACAGTCGAAGGAGCAGCAGCGTCAGGCAAAGCATCAGATACTGGACTGGAAGCCATTGGTCTAGATTGAGCCATTGGTTCGTGAAGTTCGTTGAATGAGGCTTGGAATGGTGAAGGGTCGTATGACCGCCTGGGACGACAATCAGTGAATGAGTTTCAACAGAGCTTCTGCTATTACCTTCTGTCGCTGAAAGTGCTAGTCCCTGGGCTGTGGGTCGGAGCACTGTACCCGGATGGTTGAGACGAAGGAGAAAAGGCAGAATCGTTTTCAGAACCATGCCCAGTCACAGGACGAGAATGAGGTGCAACGTGTAAAGGAGGAAATGGTGAAGGAGGCCAATGTCTGGGACTTTGGGACTGACCAGCAGGAGCCGAGAAATATGAAGGACGGTGTTGGCCGTCAAGACTTCCCGGGGCTGGTATCTGGGTTGTTGGATGGGCGTACATAGCCTCAGAGGCAAATGCATCCGTAGTCAATGAGAACGAGGGAGGATGCCGTGAGCCACTGAGCACACAGGTAGAAGACGACGAACCATGTGCTGTTGGAGTCATGATACTTGGGAGGACTGTGCGTGAATTGTGACGGTAATAGCGCTCGATCTGTTTGCCTCCTTAAATACCACGGGGTACCAGAAGGCAGTCAGTCAGTCGGTCAACCTCAATGCAGTTATGAACCGAAAATCTTGTCGAGCACCACCCTTGGCATCGCGGATGGCATTTAGCGAGGGCTCAGCTGGCGCAATTCGAGACCGGGGGGACCGTGCACCACAGACAGTGCATCCTGGCAAGTGATGTCGCTAGGGTATGGGGCAAAGAAGGAGCACTCGACAGATAGCCGTGGGGAAGGGAGGGGGTGGAAGAGAGCGAGCGAGCGAGCACCGAGATTCGGAAAGGGAGGGAGAGGGATGGAAAAATGGAACGACACGACAGGGTCGGACTTCGCGCGGATTCTGGACAGCAGGCAAAAAGAAGTTTGACGGTTGGTGCCAGTTGGTGCCAGTGGTGCCAGTGGTGCCAGGCCTTTTGCTTTTCTCAGTGTGGTGAACCCCGCCTCTCAGGGCGGGCACACAAAGATGTGTGGCCAGTCGCCGATTTATCGGGGGTTGCAAGGGTTATACGAGACCTCCTTGTCATGTGGATGTTGTATTATGCCGGCCACAGACTCCTCCTGCATCAACATGTGAAGAGGCTGCCGAGAAGCCGTCACATCATGACGCGCACATCATGGATGGGTGTGATGTATCCCTTCCCTTCTCTTTTTGCCCTGGCCGAAGAGACGGTGGTATCGACTGTGAGAGAGCGCAGCAACAGCGCGGATCGCTTCCAGGACCGAAAAACCAAAGTCCCAAAACGTAAGGGCCGTCCGCAGTTCCGAAACTTGGATTCAGAAGAGCCCACACCAAAGAAATCCAAGAATGAAGCTGTAGCTTTCGGCATGGCGCATGGGGGCGGGCTGCGTGGAAGGGTTAGTTTAGGCGAGCACCCCAGCACAGTTGGAAGGTTTGTTGGTTATTAATGAAGGTTGCAAAGTGGAGGTTGACACTAGACGGAGGAGTAGAAACTACGCCAGCCCCAACCGACCTGCGAACTAAGGCAAGGGTGGGTTGAAGCATGCGTTGTGATACGAAAAAGGTGAGAGGGTGACTGGGAGAGCGAGCCACCACCAAGGCCAGCGATGCGACTCTAGGGACAATAGTCCACAGCCCCAGTACCGAAAAGAAGAGGGTGTCAATTGAGGGATGTCGAGGACGAACCATTGCAACTGCTCGATACAGGAAGGGGCTAAGCAAGAAGTGAGAGATGCAAGAATAATAAAATTGGTCGAGTGACTGAGAGGAGGGAGTGTTCTTTGCTGGTCGGCCCCAAATCCCGAAGTTGGAGGGTGAGTGACAAACCATTGCCAACGCCCTATCACTCACTTCGGTTCCAAGTCCTTCACGCCATCACCGGTGCCTCCCCAAGCCAGGTACACGTACAAACATAGCTTCTAGCTCTGGTCTCATTAGCTGCAAAATCACTGACACTACCCTCTCGGTACGGTATTGTGTAGGACGGTGCCCCAACCCGAAACCGAAACCGAAACCCGTCGCCGTTGAACGAGCTGCATGAAACCACACGAATTCTATGCATTGACAGGCGCGACCTTCACCCTCCTTAGGTTGTCCCAGCAAACGAGCGCTTGTTGCCTTCTCACTCGGACTCGATTGTGAGTGAACTGCCGGGCACCACGCGGTGCAGATCTGTTCCCAAAGCACACCGGACAAGGATCCTCCTTCCAGCTCGACCGGGGTATCTCAACACCGTGACAGCATGAATGTTGGTTGAGAGCTGAGTGGCAATCAGCGACATGTCCGGCGAGCACCACTAAGGTATGGATGACCTCCCAGCTCCATTCCCCAAGCTGGAGAAGAGACGGCTTGCAAGTGTTCGGCTCCGCATGGACAGTAAGGTGGTAGTAGACTGACATAGGAGTAGATACAGGTTGACTACTGGGGCTGAATTCATCACCAGCGTCAATGGATGTTTCTGCAACCTGCAGGAACCCCTGCACGACTCAAGATAGTCAAATCCCAATCACAACCGACTCCGCTGACCGGCAAGCCAGGGCTCTGATCGAGTCACAATCCAGCCATTGCAACAATTGGCGGAGTTCAAAACCAAAGTTCAAGCCATGACCCATCTGCCTTCCGCCTTGGAACCGCTCCCAACATTCGGACGTTTTGTGATTGATGGAGATACTCGCACTCCGCGTTGTCATGGGCATTTTCCAGTTCAGAGAACTTGCCCAACAGAAAGGGAGAAAAAAAGAGGTCGTGCCGGGGAACTCACCGCGGACCAACAACCCGAGCGCTCTAAGCGCTGGAATGCAAAGCTAAGTAGGACCACATGCCGATGCCCCATGCACTGCATGTCGCATACGAGTAGTTGCGGACGACCGGGTGCAGCGCCCTGGGAACATGAGCTCTAGCCTCTGTTGATCCATTGCCGCCAGGGCCATAACGACATTGAGAGGAGAACCACCTGCCAGCTCTACTGGGGGACAATCAATGAAGGGGCTGATGGCACAAGCACTGGTCCTTCTGCCACTACCCACTGCGAAATGAACACAAATGAGATGGTGCGCTGCTGTGATCTCGGTTATCGATTCCGGACTCGAGATGCTTGGCTGGCGACGAGCCAGTGACCTAGCTAGACCCTCACTGGACAGGTAAAGGCCGAGTGCCCCAGATGCAAACTTGCGGGCGCTGTTCAACATGGCGGTCATCCACCATGTCCTGTCTCCCATTTGAGATCCTGATATGGCAACTGATCAGCACTATTGGGCTTCCACCATCATTAACACTAATTGGACGCCACCTGAAGGACTCACGGCACCAATGCTCCTCGAAGTTATCAGATGTTGAACCTGAACCGTTGACAAATCATATGCTTCTCAGATGGGCTAGAGTCCCTGAGCTATTTGGCCTTTTCGCAGCAGAGCTTTACCCTATTTCGAAACAAGCCTGCCGGTGCATTACGTCGCCTCGTGCAAACAAAGTGGCGAGTGACACGACGAGCTTGCACGACCATAGCTCCGATTAGATTCAAGACCCCACAAACAAACGGGAAGAAGTCAATCTGAGCTAGAAGGTTGGCCATCTACGCAGCTGCCCGACATAGCTTAGGCATCAAGTGACCCGAGAACCAAGTCTCGGCTTTCACAGACTCTCTTGTCCCTTACGACGACAACGACGACGAATGCCCTCGTATTTTAAGGCCCCTTGCCTGATCCGACTTGTTACCCTTGTCAGGTCTTCTGCAGCAGTTGTTGGAGTCGGTCCCAAGGCCCCTGCTCAGCTGCCGTCCATCTGTAGCATAAACCTTGGGCATTATTGCTCACCGTGCCCGTATTTTGCAGGATGAGGAAAACTTTGTTAAACCGCCATCACGGCTTGTTTTGTCGACCGGCAGCTAGGGAGGTGCGTTAGCGCCCACGACGTTGCTTCAGACGGCAGGAATAGCATGATGAATGGACAATGAAGTCTGGACAGTTCAGCTGGTTGCAAAGGGAGATCTGAATGTGGCCCCAGAGCAATTTGCGGCATCGAATCGACGATGGTTCTATTCTGCTGGTGGCAGAAGCTGCCTCTCCTTGCAATGGCCAATACGGTACTTCCTCGCTTACGCGTTCTCGATATCTACATCAAATTCGACAGTCTGGAACGCCCCAGAGGAGGGGAAGGTTGTCAGCCGGGGGGCTCGGAAATTCAGCCGCCCTTGAAAGGGGAGGCTGTTTGAGGGAGGCAGGACATGTTTTGGGCGAGCGGACACTTACTCAATCAAGTTGCCATCAGGGTCCCTGAGATAAACACTCCGCAGCTTGCCTTGGGCTCCCCTCCTCTCAACCACCTTGGCGCCTTCCAGCACCGTGATCCCTTTCTCCTTGAGCCGTCCCAGGACCCCTTCAACATCCTCCTCCACCAAGAAGCACAGGTCACCGCTCCCGGGCTGGACGATCTCCGCTTTCGGTTCAAACTCTTTGCCACATTCGTGTAGGTTGATTTTCTGGGTGCCAAAGTTCAGCGCATGCCGAGTGATGCTGGGGTCCGTCTCGGCAACGAAGGAGGTGTGCCGCATGCCGCAGACATCCTGGTAGAACTGGATGGTGGCGTCGATGTCCTTGACCGTCAGGACGAGATGATCGAGCGATTTGACTTTGGATACTGAGGTCATGACGTTGCGTTGGAGTTTCCCTAGCCCCTGTCAGAGGTGATCACGGACGGGCGAGAGCGTGACAAGCCACGAAGAACAAAGGAGAAGAAATGCTGCCCTCGGAGGATGGCAGTAGATAGTATTATCAGAGAGGCATGGGCATGACCTGAGAATGTTCTATGTACGCATGAGCCAACGAGGTGTTCTTATGCTGGGTTTCTGCGTCCCCCGCCTTTGTCAGCCCATCTTCCCCAACTCCCGCTCCAGCTGTTCACTGGCACCATTCGCAGGTGGCGGGAATAACACCGAAGGGATTTGGGTGAGCACAACATATTCCGCGGACAATGCGCCGAAGCTCTGGGAGGACATCTACCTAGTTGGGAAGTTTTATATGTCCAGAAAGGGCCAGTACATAGCGAATATTGCAAGCAACAAGTCGGGAGGGCTGGAGAGGAGGACGGGTGGGAGGCAAGGTCGAAGCACGTCAACAGTGGTTCCAATGTTATTTCGCCGTTGGCACTCGCCACGGAATGGCGACCTGAGTGGCCGCCCAATACTCTAAGCCCAGACCATAGATACAGCTGCGAAGCATTCACGTATCCAACACGAAGCCTGGTGTCGCTCCTAGAAGTGTGAGAAGAACGACTTCGCGTATGACCGCAGGCGGACGATCAGATAAGATAAGACGGGCACCATGGCGACGACAGGTGCCACTTCAAATTTCCGCACCTTTTCATCCGTTTTGCTGGACTTCAATTCTGCCAGCTGCCACACCCACAGCCATGGTGACAACCAGGTCTCAGGACCGCAAAATCGCTTCCTCTAGCTCTCCCCTTCCTGCCGTGGAAGCAGGCACGGTGCTGTCAACGAATGCTGAAATATCGCCAACCAGAACATCCAAGACACCTTCCGCAAGGACTCCTGCCTCTGGGAAACGTCTTGCCCAATCTTCCACCACGAAGATTGAAATCGTCATAGACGTAGCACCAAAGCGCAACGCAACTCCAACCCCTCCAATTCAAGAGGGATCACCATCCGAAGGCAAGGAGATGGGACAAGTGATCTCGCAGATCCAGCCCGGTATTTTCAGACCTGCCCATGAACCGGGTCTTCCAGGCGCATTTGAGCACAACTTGCCCAGTGGTGAAGCCGATACTACGCGGGTCGACGGCAGAGGGGCTCTGGAATTCATGCCCGAAGATAGTCGAGAAGTACAGGCCACACTTGCCGACCGCTTGAAGCGCCCTGTGTCACCAAACTACGCACCATCCTCTGTTCCTAAACGAAAGAGGTTCAGTAGCGAAGATGTCGGGGACACGGTCCCCGGAACTGAAAATCCTACGGACCAGTTTGCCGGTGTCGCCACTTCGAACGCGGCTGATCAAGACAGTGTAAGGGATTCTGATGATGACGACGACGACGACGGTGCTCCTCCCGAAGTGATCAGCAGCTCATTTGCGGCACAGCAGGTCTTGGGAACACTGAACCTTTCGTTGCAGCATACGAATCGCAAGAGAAGGGAGATCGTGAGGAATCTCAACGAGGAGGATGGTTCTCCTGTGCCAGCGCCTGACTTGGCAATAGCCCCGAAGCCACTGAAACCAGATACGGCACAAGCTGAAGCCGAAGAATCCATCTCATCAAGTCAAATACCTCAACAAAATGGCGCAGGGAGGGAGACTGGTCAAGCACCAAACCCCGTCACGGACGACCCAAGTACCGTTAAACCACCTTTGCAGGAGACGATCGAGATCGCCACTGCACCAAGGACAAATGAGGTTCCAACACCGGCAAAAAGTACGACCCAATCAGCCAGAAATGAAACAAGGCTCCGGACCCCTGAGAATTTCGACACTGGCGCTCAGCTGCAGCCTTCTGAGCCATTGGTGGACGAGGACACCTCCACCTCCAGTGAAACCGCCCGCCGGATGGATTCAGAAGAGCAACACCAACATGCGGTGAACCTTTCAACCTCCCTATCTCCAGCCATGAGCATGGCTGATCGCAGCCCTTCTGTCACCGATTCAGACGTACCATACCCACCACCGCAGGAAGCGGTTGAAACCGAAGTCACAGCCGAGTCCACCGCCATGATCCTTACCCCGGAAGGTCAGGCACAAGGCACGCCAGAACTTCAGGCAAACACAGCTGGCACGTTTGTAGGCTTGGATACACATTGGCTTGATTTGTCCACTGGGACACAAACAAGCACAAGAGCTTCGGCAAAAAAGCCAAAGCTGAGGGCTCCTACTTCTCAGACCCACTCGCATCCTCGACCATCTCTTCACGAGCAACAAGTCTTGTCAAGACCTAAGCCAACATCTCTGCAACAATACAGAGGTCGGCTATTGGCTCGGCATCCCCACACAACGAAATGGGGACCGCCTGGTTTGCGGAAGGCAAAGTTCGTGGGGACGTGAACTGCAGTCTTTCCCTGTTTTGTGGAGTGGCGTGCAGCTCGAAGTGTCGGCCTGTATACTGCCTTTCATTTTGGTAATTTGTATCACCGTGGACGATTGAAGACCGAGACCATGACGATCACACCTGTTCTTTGGCGGTCAGTGTTCCGGAGAGGCTGAGAAAATGTAGACTAGCGCCGTTCATCACCTCGTTTTTGTGTCGATCAATGTGCAGCCTAGAGGGAACATTGGACAAAGATCCACTCAAATCTGCCCATGCGCCGGGCAGCATTGCATACACATGGCGATTCCCGTCCATTCGCTGTGTGTGGGAGTCGAGGAAAGTGAGGCCGTCGATCGCTCTGGGTAGAAAACAGGATTCAGCCATCCTGGATCGGCGTCGTTGGGCTCGATGGGCCTCCCCGTTGGAGGAAGAAGGACGTATCTGTAAACATGCATTGCATGTACATTAGCATGTCTTTCTGTGTGACACCGAGGCCAGGCTTCTGCAGGCGAGGTAAGGCACTGCCGGGAAAATACGAGGAACTTTGATTCCGAGTTGGCGAGTCGGAACCCCCCCTGGTCAGCAAATATGTAATATGTAACATATACCGTGTAAGGGTGTGCATGTATGTTAGAATGGGAAACTAAGAACCGTGCATCCAGCCTTCGGCCACCAGCAGCGACCGCGCCAATCTGGTTTGAGAGATTCTCGAGTTTGCAACCCGGTCCATGCAATCCATCGCCCGATCACTCCTCTTTGGTCGTCGCTCGGGCAGTCAAGCCAGCCAGCCAGCCAGCCAGTCAATCAATCAGTCCTTCGGCGGCCATTCGCCCTGTCGACCCGTTGGTACGTATGTCTGTATGTATGCATGTAGGAGGACACTAGGGTCAAGACACCGGATACAGGACACAGACCACGAGACGACGCCACAGAGCGTGGGAAATGCGCTCACGCTCCAAGGCCAGTGTGCATACCTAGGTAGGTACCTTAGGTAGGTACCTTAGGTAGGTAGGCAGGCAGGTAGGTAGGCAGGTGTGATGCAGGACAACTCGACTCGACTCGACCCGTGCGCGACACCGTCGTCCCATCTGTCTGTCCATCAACTAATCGAGCGAGCGATGGGGCCTCTTCCTCTATCGGACGAAGGGTAAGGGGCTAGAGGAGACTGGACAGACTCGGGAAATGAAGGGTCTTTTGTCCCTTTTTACCTTGGGCGAGTGAGTGAGTGAGTGAGTGAGTGAGTGAGTGGAATCTCAGCCTCGTCACTCTATTTCTCCATCATCACCTCACTTCGGGTCTCATTGAACCTTTGTGTCGCGCGGGACGAAAGGCGATAGATGGATGGTATGGCACGTTATGACATGATCCACTCTGATATGCTACGTATGCTTTGCACGTTTGCACATTTGCATGTTCGTAGACGTGTGTAATGTGTACGAGGTAATGGAGACGGTGTCACGGCGAGAAGGGGACAATGCGTGAGCAGAAGACAGAAGATACCCAGTCCCCGGCACCCAGCACCCAGCACCAAAGCTCGCTGGAGTATCTGTCTGGGAAGAAAGCACTGGTGCTTAAGACGCCGAGGGCTTCCGTATCAGGTTACATATGTATCTCCGTATTCTTACTTGGGTCGATGGCTGGAATATTGGATTAATAGATGAATCCATTGCACTGAATTGAATTGCTTCGCATTACATTCCAACCGCGCCCTGCCTCGTGGCAACATAGACTCGTTACATTACATGCATAACAACATTAGAATAGTGTGGTCTTCATAATACAGGATCCAAACAGGAAAAAACCCGGGTGAGGACCAGCAGATAACAACATGTTCGACAAACACGCAGGACACAAAAGGACTTCCCGTCCCCTTTTAACATGCTCCACCGCGCCCGGTGACCGCCCGCACAGCGAGAATCTCAATCCTCCTCGCGTACAGATTCATCGAGTGGACCAGAGGATCTCCAAAGACGACTTGTCGCAGTTGTTCGTCCTTGACCAGAGACGCAGTCACGTCCACCTCGTTCGCACCAGGACGGTCAGGGACGCGGAGCACCACGAGGCGGCCTGCATTTGACAAGGTCGCGGGAGGGACGTCCCACCACAGCTTTCTGAGCGGGATAGACGGGTGTTTCGATTTCGGCGGCTTGGGTTTCGGCTGTTTCTTTGGCGCGGGGATCAGGGAGAGGTCGAGTCTCGACATGGACGCCCCGAGCGCCGTCAGCGTCGACACCGAGCTCTGCTTCGGTTCGTAGGACGGCAATGATGGGATCGGTCGCGACAGGAGGTCAACGAGGCTTTTCACGTATGCTTTCTCTGCTCGTACGACCGGGTCGCCCTCGTTCATGAATGAGTGGAACAGACATTTGCGCAGGCGTCCGTCCGCCGTGTCGGGCTTTTGTAGCGGCAGGAGACTGACGGGTGGAGCTCCGAATGTGACACAATGGACTCTCTTAAAACAGCCCGTGAGGATATTGAGTTCGGATTGAACAGTCTCAGCCAGCATGTGGGCGTAGAGCAGACTCGCTACGGCTCCGCCGGCGGAGTGGCCCGTGATCAGGAGGGAACAGCTCGACCGAGACGGGTTCTCTTCCAACAAGTGTCGAAGTCGTGCCGCGATCGGCTTGACCATCGCTCTGGCGACTCGCAGAAACCCCGAGTGGCACAGGTTTCCCTCGTCGTCTAGAAAGCCGACAGGCGAGACGGGTTCGGTGTCGAGGTTGACCCCCCAGTCGCGCACGCTGAAGAAACTTGTCCCACGAATGGCGAAGACAATGGTTTTCTTGTCGTCGCACGGGATCGACTTGATTACCATGGCCTTTGTCCCTAGACGGCCATCCGCCGAGACGAAATCCTTGCGTTCTGAAGAGGACTGTGGGGAGACGTAAGCGCTGTTCGAATATTGTGCCGCAAGACATAGGAGTGGCCATGTTGGTATATAGACTCGAAACGGTTGTAGGGACACCGGTAGTCGAGAGTTCATGTACAAGTCAAGTTTAGAGAAGACGTTGGTCTGCTTCTGTTGCGCTTGTTTCCTCTGTCTCGCTGGCATTTTTTCCATCCCTCCAAGTGCCCGCGTCATGTCCCGATCCTTCGCATATGTCTCTGCCAAATCTGGTGACTGAAACTCTCCCTCTGTGATCATCAGCTCTTTTTCAGAACCCGAAAACGCATCTTCGTCAATGAGCGATATGACGTCTCCCAACTTGTGGTCGATTCTCTCTCGCAACTCAATCGGTACGGGCGCTCTTGAAGGACCAACATCCACATAGTTTGATGTTGGATGTGACCATGTATGTTGAGGTTGTAGAGGCCTTGTGCGGTACTCTGTGTGTATATTCTGGACTGGCGGCAGGGAAAGGGTCGAGGTCATATAAGGATACGAGGACGGAGCGAAGTAGGGCGCGGGCTGCGGTGTCCATTGCAGTTGAGGCTCCTCGTAGATGACTGCAGAGGTATTCAGACCATAAGAGGGCGGGTTTGGAGGAAAGACAGGAACAGCAGCAGCTGGAGGTTCTGTGTATTTGCGGCGCTTGCGGGCGTCACTGAAGAAGGGCATTCTGGCGTGGCAGCGGGTGCTCAAGCTGCCCGCAAGGTGCGACGGTTATCTGGATTTCATATCAAGCAGGAAACGCCGTCGCTTTTGGATGGCATCAGTATCGCATAGTCAGATACCACTCACATGACTGATTGCCTTGAGAGAGGATTGAAGCCGTCAAATACTCGTATCGCTGTCTCATTGCTCTACTCCATTTCGCCTTGTTGCCTTCCTTTGCCCAGCCAGTGTTACCCGCCTAGAGGTTCGGAATTGTCGGGTTCTGGCGCCTGCGCCACGATCAAGACCCAATCATCATGGCGCGTTGTCAGGTTCGCAGAGGCACCCGGAGGGATCGTCAGTCGAATTGGGTCATCTGAGTGCAGCGATAGGCACGGAACTTGCCTTGGTTGTCATACCCAACAAGGCTGATAGGCACAAGAGGAAAGACTCTGTGACATTTTTAGCAGAGGATCTTCGTTCCAGGGAAACCGGTGGTAGCGATAGATGCCCGTTTTGTGGCTTACCCCTGATGTTCTTTAGCTAGGCCCGCCTCGCTCGCTGCGACTAACCTTTAACTATGTCATCACCTGTGTAGTTACTCTGGGAAGTCACATAATTATCTACCTAGGACCCTAGGTTCTTCGTACGAGGTACTTAGGGTCGCCTAGCATTCAAGATGCTCTCAGGCGCGGCCTTTCGGGGTTGATATTACTTCCTGCTTATTACTAGTACTACAGGATGCCAACCCCAGTTCTGGCCGTAGAGCCCAGCAGCGCCCAGACTGATTCATCAAACTCCATTCTCCAGCAACTTCGATCGCCGTCAGTTGCGTTCGAGATCAGTCCCTCTTCGTCCACTTCTGTTACCTTGATCAGACCGATGCTTTCCGCCGTGTAGGAAGGCGGCTTTCGAAGGGGAGAAAGGACAAGAATGAGATGGTGTGATGGGCTATCCACAACAGGCGCGACCATACAGTCTTATGCAGAATCTTGCTACTACACCTTGCAAAATGACATTTAGGACGATTTAGCTTTGCGTCATCCCGGAGGACAACGCAGGCAAAAAGCCCTATCTTCCTCTTAGCCGTTAGGCCGACGTCATTGAGAGTGGATGAAGCATAAGGTGCTGTCAAGCATCCGGCAAACATTGTCAGGTCATGGTGGAAGAGAGTCGTCTCGAAATGACAGCTTGATATTCCGCGATGGACGAGTGTTGGCCAAGCTCGGTAATTGGCGACGACAAACCTATACAGAGAGCTCCTAACAGGCATCTTGAGGTATAATGGAACAGCTCTCCCACCCCAAAAGCCAAAGAGCAAGAAGATGAAACAGTCACCTACTAGATCTCGCCTGCTGCTGGAGCATACCACTATCCTCAGGTCAGACACACAGTCGGCAAAAGCTATGCCTAGACCTACGTTCTGAGTCAAGCGCAACGGTGCTTCGTCCCTCAGAGGTCGATCCCAAAATGGTAGTCACAACCGCTAATATATCAGAGTGTCGAGGCAAGCATCAGGTTTTGCTTCTGTGGCCCCCTATGGACTGAGCAAAGAGCTAGTCCATCGCGTTCGACCGGAGATGGCCTGATGTAATAGCAACACCCGGAAAGAGATCGAGATGCATGAGTCAATAGTCCTGAGTTCGGCACAGACGAGATAGCAGGCTTTTTCTGAGAAACCAACGCCAGCCAAGGGATGAGATGAAAAATCAAAATAACGCTTCAGTGGCAGCTTCACCTGGCATCTGGTGCACAAATCGAAAGACAAACAAAGCAATGCATTCATCGATCTAACTTACCAACAAGTGGTTTGCTCATATTCTTCCACGACATTGCTGTGAGTGCTCGCATTCTCCAGCCTTGGTCTCATGATCTCTGACAATACCCATGCGGCATGTCACATCAGTCCTCAATCTTTTGGTTTCTCGTGGATAGCTTTCTCGGCCCAATCCCACGGGAAGAGTGCGTCATATTCACATAACGGTGCCCGAGAGTAGTTCAGGTATGGAGCTTCCGCCTCGCCAACCAATGTCCTCAGGTGGAATGGAGTCTAAGCGTATCAATAACCATGACCAATCCTAGCTTACAGCACAGCTGCTGAGAAAGGAATCCCTTTGCGGATTGGTCCCGTGGAAGAAGAGAAGCAATGCTAGAGCCACGGACACTACAACAATGGAGGGACCTGCCGGGGATTGGCATGAAAACGTGTTGGTGACCTCCTTGGTAAGCATGCATGGGCCGATCCTGGCAAACCCCTGGTGTCGGCAATGCCACCAAAGCAATGAACCTGGAGCAAGATGCGAGATGGCAAATAGCAGCTGGGCCGACATCCAAGCAGCGCCAGAGCAGCAACTTGCTGTTTGGGAAGGTGCACAGATGGTCCAGACTTGAAGCTAACCGTCGCTCGCTGGGATTAAACGCTCTACCTCTTGTTTAATTTCGATCTAACTGTGCAGAAACCTATCTAGGCACTTGACGTATACAGAGAGACATCCACGCATGTCAGCAACGCATGTACAGCAGAATGCAAGAACTTGCCCCCCCAGGTCGATGCAGATTTTGGATACATGGCTCCGACGCTTCAGTCCTCGCTTCCAGATTGCTTGTTTGGATGCAGATGGACCTGAGACCTCTCCACCGCTGCTGGCCTTGGCCATCAGCCACGGAGGGATAGAGCTTCGGTAGTTATACTCTGGTGGCTCGTTCCAAGCGTTAGTCCTCCTTGTAGGCACATGTACAAGTACAAGTAGCTACGGGGCCGACATTGTGGCCTGTTGGCTCCTCAGGATTTTCCTGATCTTCGATCGTGTGGTTTTCTCCCGAGTCCAATGGGCTTCGCATCCGGTGGCTCTTTAGTCATCTAGACCAGAGAAGCACCACGCGGTGTGGCTGAAGTCGAGGACCAAAGGGGATAAAACCCGCCTGAGGAGAACTGACGAGACGCCAATCGAGCGATGATGGATCATGACGGTGGACGCGAGTCGCGAGTCGTACCACCCAGCACCTTCGTACGTCTTACCTTTCATCTATGTCGATCGAGGAAACACACTGCAATCGCAATTTATTCTCCCTGGCCCTATTTATTTGCCCGGGCCTTGATTCTTGGAGCCAGACCCGCGAGGATATTTTATCCGCCATCAACGATCGCCCCCTTCAACGATGGTTCGGCGGGCGTCCCAGCTTCCTCGCCCAATGAATTCGAGGGCCACAACTTCTCAATTCGAGCCAGGCGCGCGCAAGATGGCTTCGCTAATCCGATGCAGCAGATTCACATCGATCTGGGTGCAAGAGAGAGGCTGAAACTGTAGAATTGGCACAAATCCAACATCCACCATGAAACATGATAAATCTATAGTCTCCCGACTTCCTCCTTCCTCGCGATGTGTCCCATTCTATCTGCTCTACGAACCATCGGAATCACCTCCAAGTATCAACCTGTACGTCCTCCGCCATCAACATGTCCAAGAACGGGCATCCGACGGTCTACCTATTTGTCAACAAGGACAGAGCTTCTCTGTCTCTCTCTAGATGCCACGGGAAAGACGCCTCGGCTATCCTAAGCCATGTACAGTCATGCCGCAACCAGAAGAACAAGCAATTGCACATGTTCAGAGTCGAAGACACCACCGAGCTAGGCTCAGCACCTCCGTCCCCTCGAAAGCAATCCATCGGTCACAAGCACCGGTCGCCGAGATCAACCCCGCCGCTGCGAAGCGAGACACCATCAACACCGAAGCCCCGTGCATTGGTTACGCCCGAGCTGGGGATTGAGCCAGCAAGCTCTTCTCCGCGCGCCAGCTCTCCGGGGAAGTCGCCCGAAGTCGAGGAACTGCTACAATATTTCAACACTCTATGTTTTAGGCAAGAGCGACACCCCCAGGGCCAATCACAAAACCAAGATCTCTTCCATCAGCTGGTCTCTTCGGAAGACTTTTCAAGCTTCTCAAAACGAGTTGTTGGGGGAATTCACGGATATGCCATGCTTGCGTGCACAGCGGCGAGAATGGGAGCCGATATACCCAGTCGACGAGAGGAATTCGAGATCAAGGCCACCAAGTATATGCAACCGTCTCTCCAACGGTTACGGGAGCAGCTCGCAGATCCAGCCACGAGAACGTTGACGGATCGGCAAATTTTGCAGGAAATGCTCCTCCATTGCGTGACGAATTGGTACCTGCAGGACTTTACCGCTGCTCAAACGCACCTCAAGGCCATCAACTATTTTATCGGTTGTCTCGATATCTCCGACAGGTCGGACCGGAAGTTGATGGATCTCATCAACCGGTGCGGTCTTTTTATTGCCAACAGCATACGCGCCGAGCAGAGATCACAACCCAGCTCGTATCAGAGGACAGAATCCTTTGCTGCGCGTGGCTTATGCCGGGTGGTCTAAGGCCAAGGAAGCTCCTCGTCTGTCGAATTATCCCTAGCAAGGGCCTGCAGAAGATAGTCGGGCTATTTATGCTGGCACATATTCAGCTAAAGCGGCTCGTGCAGGACCGAACAAGTACGTCTTCTGGCGGAGTGCGGGGAGGTGTTGTCTGGTTTTACTAATGGAATACTAAAGCCACCAATTAATGCCTTCTCGTTCGTTGATCGGCAATGATCAGCCCTTGCGAGAGGGGGAGGTGGATCGACGATTTTGGCAATGGTGGTTGTGGAGTATCGTGTCGCATGTGTCGCATATGTTGCTATTCAAGGGGGATACCAATATCCAGGTGGATTCTGTGGCTTGTCTCCCACTGGTATCTTCTCGAAGACGCTGGATTTGTTTACTTCGAGCATGGCGTCATCTATCCCAAGAGCTCCTCGCTGGAGGCCTCCCTACTTGGGATAAAAGATACCTGCTAGGCATCCTACTCATCAAGATGACATTGCAACTCTGTTTGAACTGTTTTATGCACTGGAGCGCGTTGCGTCCTGAGACATGATGGTGGAAATTGGTTCAATAGGGTTCACAGGTTCAGCAGCTTTGCTGCTCTGATGTACGAACAGACTTCTGTATACCAACGAAGAACCGACGCAGGAGCAAACGAAGTGAATGACAGTGCTCATCCCATTTGGTGGTTGCATTTCGGTCACTCGTCAAGCTTGCTGTCCCTCTCATCGTTTGACATTCTCGCTCCTCCCCAGAGCCATCATCTTTCAACGACAGATCATGCCGGACAGAGACTGCGGCCCATCATACCCTAGAGTTCCTCAATCCCAGGTCAACGTATAGTCGTGAAGGGTCCTTCCTTTCCTTCCCTGACAGTCTGGATGCTTCTCGAATAGCACAAGGGCTTAAAGAACTCCTATTTGCTCTCGCTCACCTGGTAGAATCTATGTCCAACCTGCCCCCTCTGCTACTGTGACCTCTTCCCTCCCAGTACGAAAGATATCATTCACGGTGGCTCCTTGTTGGCGTCGCGGACCACCTCATCTTCGTAGTTTGCTGGCTAACGTCGACCAGGATCAACTGCAAGACCCTGGCACCTGGGCATCAATCAAGCTGTGTTTAGGGCTTGTTTCAGGGGCACAGGGGGCAGCAGATGTGCCAAGGAAGCCTACCGACGGGATGACCCAATTCCAACTAATTCACCCACTCTCGGCTTGTCCTCAAAAGTTGATTCTGTACAACACATTCGTCGATTGACAGCCCCAACCTTACATGAGTGAGCTTCTGGTGCTTGACCGGTGGCTGCACAAACTGGGCAACAGGTCGAGCAAGCGAGGCCAGCTCTCAGACCACCAACGGATGACGTCAGCAGGACGACGCAGCCACCGCAGCCACCGCAGTCACCCACCTGCATCGTCGCCCATTCTTGTCACACCGGTCGACCGATCACCGCACACCACTTGTTGTCCAGGCTGGCGCTGAACTTTGAGCCATTCAGATTCCTCGCGCCTCCTCGGGGGAGGGCTGGGCGAAAAAAGCAATCTCCCTAACCCTGATCGATGCGTTGTCCAAACAAAACTTTTTCAGCTCGGTAGAATTTATTCTGTCCCTGTGTTTTGAATCCGTCCATCGACATCATAGCCTATCTCACAAATTACCAGCCATGTCTACGCGCGGAGACGACCGCTCCTACAAGGTTGTCTACTCAAGCCGAGCCCGAGATGAAGTCGATGAGCGGATTCCGGCCCGGCTACCGAGGCGGGAGTATGATTACGACGATGATTACCGGGTCGAAAAATCATACTCTCGAGATTATCGCGATGATCGCATTGAGATTGACAGGAGGTCAAGGACCAGTGACACACGTACTCAACTGCCTCCGCCTGTAGGTGCGACGAAGACGACGTATGAAATCGGCCGCGACAGAAACTCCGAATCATATGTTAGACGTTCCAACGCTGTGATTCTTGATCGACCCCGCGATCATGGCCGATCCGAGTATGAAATTCTCCGCCCCGAACGGAGAGACGATGGAGCTTATGTCTTCGACCTTGATGGGGCACGCTCACGCGACTACCTGGTTGATGTGGGTTCGAAGGGTTATGACCGACCTCCACGCTCAAGATACGGTGATCCGCCATTGACAGCGTCCAAGAAGGTGGACGATGTGTTTATGTATGAGAGAACTGGAGGTGGCGGTCGTGATCGAACAGTGAGAGATGTACGGTACAAGGATGTCCACGTTACGGAAGAAATCGACGATGATCCTCGCTACGCCCGCCGAGGTCGCACCTCTGACGCTTATGCCGATGATATTGCTCCGCCGAAACGACTGAGGAGTGCAATGCGCGGCAGAAACAATTCCCCGCCTTCGCTCGTGGAACGACGTAGCGAACACAGTGTAGGATTCTACCGAGATCAAGTCAGTCATCATGATGCAAGTGAAAGCAAGCACGAAAGGCCAGGAGCCGAGGCGCACTTGGCTGGTCGCTATCTTGTTGGTAATGGAGAATTCGACGATGATCTTTATGCAGCGGGTTACACCCGCCGCAACAGGAGTCGAAGCCGCTCCCGAGGAAGATACGGTCCGCAGAGGAGTGACCCAAGACTGCATGAGTACGATGAAGAGGATGAGGAGCGACGCACCTACACCGAGGAAACGATGCGACAATATGAGTATGAAGATGAACAGCGACCCCGATATCCTCCACAGAGAGGCCACTCCAGAAGGCGACACCACCGCCATCATCAGCGTGATGATGACCGCTCGAGCTACTCGGAGTACGACACTGAGGTGGTTAAACGGACCACAAAAGAGTATTACCGATAAAGGTCAGGGTAGCTTGGTCTGTGTTTTTGGCTTGCAAACTACCTCAAGGTATGGCCTGCCTGTCAGAGACAATAAACTATCTTGCTTGAAAAGCTGCGGCATGTCGAAGGACTAAACATCTCGTGAGCAAACTATCTGGGTATTGCGTTCCTCGACTTCCCCACTCATCATCATCCGCCAACAAGACCGATCAGTTCTCGTTACGCATCCTTCCCAGCCAGATCCAACGTCCTTACCAACTGCTCCTTATCTACTGAGAGTCAAATTCCTTTGCTCCGATGGCTACCGCAACACCGGCCTTCTCCTCGATCGAATCTTCCTCCGATGGAGCGACTCCAACTTCGACGTCTGTATTCTGCGATTTTGATGGTGGATAGACCGCCTCATCAATCTTCGCAGCACCCACGTCCGAAACATAAGTGCAGATGAGGTAGTAGACAAGGCTGGAAGTGGTGAAGCCATAGATGCAGGAAAAGGTATAGATCTTCCAGGCACCTCCGACATTGAGGTTTGTGTCAATGCTCTTGCAGAAACCCGGCAGCAGCGGTGCCACCGCCGTGAAGAAGGACGCGTAAGCCCTCCAGTTGATGCCGACCTTGGAGTATCGGTAAATGCCATGGCCGTTGTACATCTCGTGGATGTTAAGCTTCTTGTGCACAATGAGGTAGTAGTGGCTACACATGGTGCCGCAAATGGCACCCATGAACATGCTGTAGCCGGACAGGAAGGCCAGCAAGCCGGATGCGTTTTTGATGATCTGCCATGGGTTCGACACGACACAGAATACCGAGATGATCAAGGTGGCGCGGAAGATGTTGATGTACTTGGGACAAAGACCAGAGACTGTGCTCCTGGTTAGCACTGACCGTTCGACTTTCAAAACAACATCGGCGGACACTTACTATCGTTGGAAAACGGATACGTCCCAGCCGCGATCTGGTTACCAATTGTGGCCAGCATGAAACTGAAGGCCGTGAAGAACTTGGCGGCGCGGGAGTCGAACTTGGCAATCACAGCCGGCATATACCACTGGAATTCTCCCCACAGGTAACTGTGGGCTGAAGTGACAAAGATCGGGGTCAAGGCGCCCAGCGTTCCGATGACGGGCAATGCAAAGAATTGGTTGTATCCCTTCAGGTTGTTCTTGGAGAATCGACTGAAATCCGGGAAGTTGACCGCCATGGAGCTGAAGAGGCCGATGATGGCGTTCAACCCGGTCAGAGCGGAATATGCTGTGTTCATGTATGTCGAAGTGATTTCGGCATGTCCGGTCACCAGTGGCCCACCTCCTTTTGTGACAATGGCGGCCCACAAGAACAGGGCGAGGAAGGTCGGAGGAACGACGATACCCTTGATCAGGAAAAGGATTCGCAGCTTCTTGATGGGCATGCAGGCTAGGATCGTTTGGAAGATCCAGTAAATGAACTGGACATCATCAGTGCTCGATTCGGATGCAGGAATCGGGTATGCTCACAAAGCAGAGGAGTCCAGCTGAAGTGATGCCAGCACTCTCAGGCAAATGATTGGGAAAGTTGGCAAAGCTCGGCCAGATCGCCGTGAGACAGTTGTTGAGAAAGTCACCCGCCTGGACACACAGAATTGCGGCTGTTTATCAAAGTCAGCTCGACTTTCATGTCTGCAAGAAACGCGCGTGACGAGTGTAACAGTCTCGTCAAGTTATCAGGAAGGGAGGCTTACTCCACATGGCCGCCACGAATGACCGCAGAACGATGACTGGATAACTCCCATACATTCCGAAGATAGAGCGCACCAGCACTGGGAAGGGGATGCTATATCGGGCACCCATCTTTCCAGTAAGGGTCAATGCTCCCGAGCAAAGAGCGAAGCCACAAAAGACGATGGGGATCTGCCAATTTGTCGTCAGCATTTACAAGACTTGCGAGCTTTGGGATAAAGCTCCTCCAAGCTGGTTCAGAACCAAGGTACTCACCGTTTCGCGGGCAGTAAATCCCAAGCTCATGACAGACGACACTGTGGATGCCAGTGGAGGCGCAAGCATATCGCTGGTCCAATATGCCCAATAATCCTATGGAAGGGAAGTCAGTCTTGTGAATCTCGAACCGGCTCCGGAGCCTGAGAGCTAGGCACGTACCAAGGCACCCCAGGTACCTGCAGACATAGTCAGCTGGGATTGACTTGGTTGAAGGCGCTTTGGTAGCAGGAAAGACTTACGATCTTCAGGTTTGATAGGGTCGAGATCTGGGTTGGACCAGCGAGCATCTTGGTAGACGCCCTTTTCCATAGGGACCTGCCAGTGCAGCTGAGGCTCGATCTTGGCCTTGATGCGCTTGGGCGAAAGGCGCTTCGGCGAGAAGCGTTCTGCGGAGAAGTTGACCATGTTGTGGGCTGGGATGTGTCAAAGTCAAGGACTAAGTTCAGTCGAAGACGCGAGTGTTGAAGGATTGAGAATCTTCCAACACAATCGGGAGGCGAAACAGAGATCTATATAGCCCTTCAGCTCATGGGCTGAAGAAGTTCAATCCCAAGGCTGGACAGTTGCAGGATAGACGAGCTGGGTGGGGCATGCACAGATAGACAAGGGAGCCACGAGGAGAACGGGCAGATAGGGCCCCGCGGCATGTGGTCGAAGGCCCGCCGAGGTCATCAGATCTGCAGATCCAGACCCATGTGAGTCTGGAGAGATCGTAATCCGGGGTCAGGATGGTTGTGGATAGAGCCAGAATCCATGATACTCCAAGATACTCCAAGATACTCCAAGATACAGGTGCAGGCGAGGTGTGGGTTGGGCGCTGATAAAGCCGCCGGCCGCTGATGGGCGCCGCCGGCGAGGCTGCTGATACTGGAGTCACGTGCCGTAAGGCTCTGACAATACCGCCGACGGCCACAGGGCGGAAATGGGGGCAGCGGCCGCCGGCGGATGAAACATTACAGGCCGCGCGGTACGAGGCTAGCCCGTTCTGGCGTCTCCGGGGTCATCGGCCTTATCCGTTATCAACGCCTCGCCTTGCGCCCTCGTCCAAGCACAGCATTGGCTCAATGGGCCAACAACCTCCAGATCGACCACGTTCGGGTTCACAAGGTCTTGAGCGTCCTGGATGTTTTCTTGACTAAACGACATCTGATGATCGCCACCATACGAGTATCATCCACCGAGGGTATCCCCAGGCTCAGTACCGTATAAAGCCTCACATCTCCGTCAGTCGTAAGCCCCGGGCTTGAGACTTCTTAGACTGCTCAAGGTGGCATATGCTTCTCGCGTGATTTGTGCGCTCAAAAACATCAATCTCCCACCATGGGTATGTCAAAGGACAAGCAAGGCTTCCTCACCATCGAGGCGAAGCCCTACCCCTTTTCCTTCCCGCTCCAGCACACGGCGCTGCTGGTGATTGATATGCAGCGTGATTTCATCTCCGCTGGCGGCTTTGGCGAGATCCAAGGCGGAAACCTGGAGGCGGTTCAGGCCTCCATTGCTCCTACGAAGCAACTCCTGGATGCATGCCGCGATGCTGGCATGCACATCTTCCACACCAGAGAAGGCCAGGTGCCGTCCCTGGCGGACTGTCCGTCCTCGAAACTCGTTCGACAGGCGGCTGCACCTGGGAACACGCAACATCTGAAGGTGATCGGCGACAAAGGCGAAATGGGACGTCTTTTGGTGCGCGGGGAGTACGGCCACGACATCGTCGACGAGCTGCAGCCCCTCCCATCGGAGGTGGTGATTGACAAGCCGGGCAAGGGCTCGTTTTGGAACACCCCGATCCTGCACAAATTGAAGGCCTACGGGATCACCCACCTCCTCGTCTCCGGGGTCACGACAGAATGCTGCTTTTCAACCACGATCCGAGAAGCCAACGACCGGGGGTTCGAGTGCTGCGGCATCGTGCAGAGCACGGCCGGCTACAACTCGGCCTTCAAAACCGCCTCGCTCGACATGATCCACTGGTCCCAGGGCCTGTTCGGCTTCGTGGCCGATCTCCAACCGGTGCTGGATGTGCTTTCCCCCTGGCAAAGCCAGAGCAAGGGAGTCAGCACGCCTCCGCAGACACCGCCGTCTTGGGATGGGAAGCTCGGGATTGCCGATCTCCAGGCCTCGTACAGGAGTGGATTGTCTCCCCTCGAGCTGGTCAATGCGCTGTTCGACCGGATCGAGAAATATGAACACATTGATGGCGCGGTATGGATCCGACGAGAGTCGCGAGAGGCAGTCTTGGACCAAGCACGCCGTCTCCTGGAGCTCTATCCAGACAAGAACGCGCGTCCAGCACTATTTGGTGTGCCGTAAGCATCCCCAGAAAGCGTGCAGCGGTAGCCCTAAGATGTTCTACTTGAAGGTGTTTCCTCTTTTCGCTAACTATTCGACAGGTTCACAGTCAAGGACTCTATTGACGTGCAAGGAGTCGAAACCACCACGGCGTGTCCCCCACTGGCGTTTGTGGCCACCAAATCTGCCATGTGCTACCAAAAGGTGGTTGGACAGGGTGCCTTATACCTGGGCAAAGTCAACTTGGATCAATTGGCAACTGGGCTGAGCGGGTGCAGAAGCCCGTTCGGCATCACGCACTCCGTTTTCAGCGACGAGCACATATCTGGCGGGAGCAGCAGCGGAAGTTGTGTGAGCGTGGGCGCAGATCTGGTAGGTCGACTTTGATTTGGGTGGGCTTTTGACGTGCGTCACTGACGTGTGGGCTCCAGGCGACTTTCTCGCTGGCAACAGACACGGCCGGGTCTGGGCGAGTGCCAGCTGGCTTCAACGGCGTTGTGGGATACAAGCCTACACGCGGGTTGGTGTCTTTTGAGGGCGTGACGCCTGCTTGCTTGTCACTTGATTGCATCGCCTTCACCGCCCGGACGGTCGAAGATGCCCGTACGCTGTGGCAGGTGTGCGAGGGATACGATGAAAATGACCGTTATGCCCGCGATACGTAAGTTCCTTCCTTTTGGGACTGTTATTATCCCAAGAATCACTTTGGTTGCACCGCCACTGTCAATGGTGGCTAACAGAAATGATGACAGATTCCCTGCCGAACGACACGTCAACTCGATAGGGACGCAACGAGAGGCATTTCGATTTGGCATCCCTCCCCCCGAGCTTCTCGAAGTCTGTTCACCTAGCTTCCGCAAACTGTTTAATGAAGCCGTCGCACGGCTCCAAGGCATGGGAGGCACTCTGGTGGCCATGGACTGGACTCCATTCCAGAAAGCGGGAGACCTGCTCTATGAAGGCACGTTTGTCTCGGAGAGACTGGCTAGCTTACCGGACGATTTTCTGGAGAAGAACAGGCAGCACCTCCACCCGGTCATCCTCGAGCTATTCGAGAAGGTGGTGGCACGACAGAGCACGGCGGTGCAGTTGTTCAGAGAACTCCAGGCCAAGGCGCTGTACTCCCGACAAGCCACATCGCAGTTCAGGAGTGCCGATCGATTGGGGCTTGACGTGGTGGTGGTGCCCACCGCGCCGTGGCATCCCACCATCCAGGAAATGCTTGCAGATCCCATCCGGCTGAATGCGAAGATGGGCACCTTCACGCATTTTGCCAACGTGCTGGACATGTGCGGCATTGCCGTGCCATCCTCGACATACCAGGAAAGCGAGGCTGGGCCTCGACTGCCGTTCAGCGTCACGTTCCTGGGCAGCCGATGCTCTGACAGCGAGGTGCTGGGGATTGCCGGCCGATACCAGGAGGCGACGGGGCGATAGGCGGGAGGGGACAACTCTTAGTATTCTTTTCTCTTGTGGTTTGTTGCGTGTGTATTGATAAAAGAGCAGGACATGTTGCATTAGGGCGAGCAGACGAGGACCCAGGACCCCAGCATGGCCCAATGTCGAAGGTTGAAGCGTCTCACCCACGCCCAGCGGCCTGGTCGGTGGCCTACGGTGCCCTATGGTGCCCCTACGGAGGCCCTTGGGTCATGGCACCCAGCAGATCAGCCAATCGAGTGGCCGGCTTCCTTATCTCGAGCAGCCGTGGGAAGCGACACTAGACGGCCTTGTCTGCTATTTCTTACTCAATCAATTGCAGGGCCATTCGCTATACCCGGCTAGACATGACATCTGCTCCACGCCCATTAGTTGCCCAGGCTCCGCTTCGCCGTCTCAGCTCTAGGTCGAGATCTTGCCTTTACCCGTTTTCTGCCTTCCCCCCGGGCTGCCAGCGAGCTCCCAAGTCCTACCAGAGCACAGAAGCTTATCCTGACGCGCCTCAGGGACACAATCGAAATGACTACTGATCGGGAAGCGGTTTAAAAAGCCCATTCACCAAAAACATATCACCACCGAAGAAAAAAAAAAGATTGGCACAATGATAATGGCATCGCCTGCCCTGAAGCTTCCTTCGTTCCTCCTCGCCCAATAAAGGCTATCAGTTGTCCTAAACGAAGGTCTAATCGTCATGCTCTCAACCATGTCGCCTCCCTCGTCCTTCGGTGATAATAATGGTGTCAGTCCCTCCTTTGGCGGTCCTGGCCCAGGTAGTGTGAGCGGTATGACACCGTCCCCCAGTGCTCGCGTGGGAGAAGGGCCGAGCCCCCTAGGCGTTCGACCCGACCGTCCTTGCGATGGCTGTCGCCGTCGCAAGAGTCGCTGCGTCATCAACCCAGACGCGGCCTCGTGTGTGATGTGCCAGTTCCACAAGCAGGCCTGTACCTTTATCGAAGACGCCGCTCCACGCCGACGAAAGCAGCAGCCTCCCACTCCCACCGCCTCGACTACCCTCCCTGGGGGCATTGCCAATTCCGAGAATGCTTCGGTTGCTTTCCTAGCTCGGCAGAGACGATCGTAAGGGCCCCCCTTTTTATCCCACCTTGCTTTATCAAACACCAAATCCACCCCTCCCCCTCCCCTCCGTCCAACCCAAGACTACCGCCCTCCCGGGTCTTGCATATTTTGTCCGTTGTCCCCCTATCATCCAAGGCTAAGACATAGATAACAGAGGTTCCGATGGCAACGGCCACGCCCCACGACGGCAATCTGCTGAATCCATTCGTACTGGTCCCGTCATCGACGATTATGCCAACTTGCAGGGCGAGTCACTGCTGAAGAAGACCTTGGGGTATGTTGTATTGTTGTAGTGGCTTTTGGACCAAGTTTCCTATCCCGCAAGAGCCTTGCCCTCCTCCCTCCCCATCCATCAAACCCTTTATCTCTCCTTGAAGCTGACATGGTCATGGACAGGCTGCAAAATCATAGATATGCAAAATGTAGGTTGCCTGCTCGGCCCCCCCTAGTCCCTCGGTAGAGATATGTCATAGAGATACTTATCCGTGGTAGACATTGGACCTACCGATGAACATGACTTTGCACTGCTAGATCTTCGACTATACGACGACATCAAGGGCGAGAGTCCCGCCGACCAAGGCTCCTTTCGCAAAGTCGGCCCCAACGAGTTCTTCCACCAATATGCCGACTCGGACTCTCCCAACCACGCCCGGGAGGTCGAGGAGCTCGACAACATCGAGCGCATTGTCGCCCCCCACGGCGAGGCTCTGATCAAGCTCTACTTCCGGATTGTCCATCCGACCTTTCCCATCTTGCACAAGAAAGTCTACCTGGAGAAGTATGGCCGGACCCATCGGGAGTTCTCGCCTCCCTTGCTGGCCGCCGTCTACATCCTGGCGTTGAACTGGTGGTCCTACAGCGCCGAATTGGCCAAACAGCTGAAGCCCAACATGGCCGAACTCGAAGACGTCGCCTACCGGACCCTCCAAGACGTCTCGCACCGGGCCAAGCTGTCCACCGTCCAGGCAGGGCTGCTCCTGCTCCAACGGCCGGGCAGCAACCAGGCGTGGCAGCTGACCTCCCAGCTCGTCGCCATCGGCCAGGATCTCGGGCTGCATCTGGACTGTTCGAACTGGCGGATCCCGTCGTGGGAGAAGGGGCTTCGGAAACGACTGGGCTGGGCGCTATTCATGCAAGACACGTGGTCGGCCTTGATCTATGGACGGCCTCCTCACATTTCCTCGACCAACTGGGCCGTGCAGCCAGTGATCAGCAGCGACTTCCCCGAAAGTGCCGCCGACGAGGACGAGGAGGACGGAAGCACCGAGGTCGAGAAGGGCCGGACGCTGTTCAGCGCGATGATCACGCTGACCAAGATGCTCGCCGAGGTGCTGGAGGGACTCTACTCGCTCAAGGCGGAAATCGAAGTCAAGAACTCGTACGACAGCACCAAGGCCATCCTCGACCGCGCCAAACCCATCCAGCTCAAGCTGCGATCGTGGTACACCGAGATGCCCGAGACGCTGCGCATGGACGCCACGCGCGTGGGCAAGCTGAGCTCGGTGGGCTACCTACACCTGGCCTACTTCGCCACGGAAATCACGCTGCATCGCCGGATCCTGCGCTCGCTCTCGCACAACACCGACCCCTACATGATCCAGATCTGTCGGTCCGCCGCCAAAGCGCGGCTGATCAGTGCCATGGACTTTTTCAACCGGCTCAAGCCCGAGCACCTCCAGTCGTTCTGGTACTTTGCGTCCAAGTTCAACTTTGCGCTGATCGGCACCTTTGCCGGGCTGTGCTTCGTCACCTCGGTGAGCCAGGAGGAGGCCGAGTTCTACCAGCGCCGGCTGCAGGAATATCGCTGGACGCTGCGGGTGTCGAACAAGAGCGCCGAGTTCTTGGAGATTGCCAGCGGCATCCTCGAGTCGGCCGTGGGATCGCTGCTGAAGGCCGCCGACGCCATCGACAGCCGGCGCTGGTCGTTCCCCATGCTCCAGCAACAGCCCGAGGAGGATACGGCGATGGAGTCCTTCTTCCCCAGCACCGACGATGCCTTTTACGACATGCAGATGGACTCGTGAATGGTCACATTTGGATTGTTTTGCTACGGATCTGGGCTTGGAGGGCAGTGTGCGGCGACCTTACCATGGCCTGTTCCCTGTCAGCGCTGCTTATCAGAGCTAGTTTCCTGCGCACCCACATGGCGGACAGTGGCATCCGAAACACTGACACACTCTCAACAGCCATTCTGCGCCATTGGCCGGCTATTACCAAATCTGTTACACGATCCGCGGGTCGCTTCGATGCCCCGAGATCCAGCGTGGAAGCGGCCAAATCCGTTTCGACGGCTCAGACAAGCATTAGCCCTTTTTTCTTCTTCTTTTCGCTTGCAACGCTCCGGCGGGCGGTCGGACCTCATTGCAACCCCAGAGATCGTCCAGCTTGACTCATAGCTAGCAATGCGGATATTTAGACCATCCGCCAACGCTGTCGCACGTAGCGAGCCGTACAGTCCCAGAATAGGTCACCATGGCCACCGCTACCGACGTCGAACTACGCACCGTGCTGAGCACAAAGCAGCAGAGCTCCGTGGTTGCACGAGACCGCGGCGACGCCCCGACCTCGTCCATCCCCATTGCGGTTGAACGGCGCTTGGACGCAGAGGAGGCGCCGACGAATGCGGCCACGGCGATCCCTGAGGGAGGCTACGGCTGGACCATCGTCTCGGTGTGTGCGCTGCTGACCTTCTGGTTCAACGGCATCAGCGGCAGCTGGGGGGTCGTGCAGGCGGCGCTCCTGCAGTCCAAGCTCACCGACACGCCGACCTCGACCATCTCCTTCGTGGGCACGCTGGGGCTCGCCTGCGTCGTGGCGTTCGGGCTGTTCGGGGTGCGCCTGGTGCGCCTGCTGGGGGCGCGGGCGACGGCGCTGCTCGGGGTCGCCCTCGTGTCGCTGGGCGAGATCTGCTCGTCCTTCACCACGGCCAACGTGGGCGGCCTGTTCGGGTGCTCGGGCGTGCTGTTCGGCCTGGGCGCCTGCCTGTGCTACTCCATCTCCAACACGCTGCCGACGCAGTACTTTGCCGCGCGCCTGGGCCTGGCGTCGGGCCTGGTCAAGTTCGGCGGCGGCATCGGCGCGGCGGTGCTGGCCGTGGCCATCGACGCCCTGATCCGCCGCGTGGGCATCCCCTGGACGTTCCGGATTCTGGGTGTCTGCTCGCTGGCCACGAGCGGGCCGGCCGTGTTCTTCATCCAGGAGCGCGTCCCGCTCGGGCGCGTCCCGTTCCTGGACCTGTCGCTGTTCCGCAACCTGCCCTTCACGGCCATCTTTTGCGCCGGCGCCATCGGCACGTTCGCGCTCTTCGTCCCGCCCTTCTTCCTCCCGCTGGTCGCGCAGAGCGTCGGGCTCAGCTCGTCGACCGGGGCCGGGCTGGTGGGCGCCTTCAACGCGTGCACCGCGGTCGGCCGCTTCGTGTCCGGTTGGCTCAGCGACCTCATCGGCCCCGTCAACATGTTCCTGCTGGCCATGACCCTGAACGCCGTCAGCATGCTGGCCATCTGGCCCGTCTCGGACTCGCTTGCGCCGCTGGTCGTGTTTGCCATGCTGAACGGCCTGGCCAACGGCGCCTTCTTCACCCTCTACCCCGTCGTGGTGGCCAGTACCGCGGCCCGCGTGGACAACAGCGAGTCCGGCCGCGTGGCCATCGCAATGGGCATGGCCATCTCCGGGTGGACGGGCGGCTACCTGATGGGAGTGTAAGTGTCTTGATTTCACGCGTTAAATCGAAGCCCAACGGGAATAGCTAACCCTTACTCTTCTAGACCCATTGCAGGATATCTCCTCCAGGCCTCCGGGGTTGGGGGCGGGTCGTCGTCCTCGCCTTCCGGTGCAGGGAGGCAAGGAAAATCCGGCGCCTCCATCGACCCGTACCGGCCGGCCATCTTCTATGCCGGGGGTGTCGCGCTCGCGGCCGCGGGGTGCGTGTTGATAGCGAGGTTGAAGCTCGCCCGGGGCATGAGGAAACGGGTTTGAGGTGATGGACAAGACACCGCTGGGACGTTGTTGGCCATAGTCGCCCTCCTACGGGCTGCATATCTGTGCTGCGCTGGTCTAGGGGTGTATCTACACGAGCGCACGCACATGGAGGAAAGGGCCCATCCATCCATTCATCCACGGAGGTCCTTGGAGCGTGGGATCGTGGACCGCATGACACAAGAGGGATTCCCATCTATGGTTGGATGTATATTGAGCGAAGACATCCCAGCTGTCTCTCGTCACGGTCACGCTCCCCTATCCCGCCTCGGTAGCGTGCCTGCATGGGGTAGATACAGTCCTACAGTCCTACAGACCTACTATCCTGTGCTGAGAGGTACAGCACAGACAGACCATAACACGCAGCGCCATTTCCACCCGACCGCTCTGCTCGAAGGACTTCTTCCTTTTTGTAAACCGCCCACTACGTGCCCACCGCTTCATTTCAAATTATATTCCTTTGTGCTGCTTTGCGTTTCTTTTCGTCTTTGAATCTTCGATCTTCGATCTTCAGTCTTTGACGTTCGACGTTCGACGTCCGATTGCTCTGTCCTCCACCTCTGATCTATCCATCCCGCACTGGGGACTTCTGGTCCCACTCACTCACTCACTCACTCACTCACGATCCGTTCCATGGCATCCAGCGAGAAAAAGGTAAAGTGTAAAGTGTCCTCCTCTCCAGTCCAGCGAATCTTGGTGTCTTCCTCATCCGGTCCCCGGTCCATGAGGGAACTAACTACCTACTCGTGGTAAGTCAGTCAGTCAGTAAGTCAGTAGGTAAGTAAAGTAAAGTTGCTGGCTGGGCGAAAAGTGGACGGGCAACAACCCGACTCTAAACCCCCCCCCCCTCTCGCCTCCCTTCTCCCTCCCCCTTCGCTTCGTCCCCTCCTTCCCCCAGAGCCCAGAGTAGCCGGCACCCCTTCCGTGATGTTTATTGCACCCTACACTACACTACACTACAACTACAACTACACTACATTACACTGCAATGCCAAATTACTTACCAACTCGGCTATCCATTCGAGAATAAGTCGCCCAAGCCCAAGCCCGCTATCGTCCGAGGTTTCAGCCGAGCGAACGCTCGCGAGAGAGAGAAGGGGGAGCGGACATTCATCCAGCATTATTATTGCTAATCAGCCCCTTGGTACCTCCGGAGTACTTACCTGCGTAGGTACCTAGAGTGTCTGCCTGGTCAAATAAGACAGCTAGCTATGTAGCTACCTGGTAGCTACCTGGTAGCTAGGTAGATAGATCCCAGCGGCGAGGACACGGTACGGGTACCAAGCTGCATTACTCCTTTTTTTTGGAGGGTGCCTAGTACTAGGTAGGTAGATAGTTACTTTACTTAACTTAACCTGTACACGCATGGACGGCGTACTCGTATAATGAATGGCCTGCTCGAAGCATTCGGGCCCGAAAACCACTCGCTCCTCAACTACGAGTACGTTTAGGTACGTTAGGTAGGTGGGTATCTAGATATGCACCACCACCACCCTCGAGCACACACACACACGAGCACACACAAACCCCCCTCCCGGCCAAAGCTCTATGCATCAATGACACTTCCTGACCAATCCTCCCCATGCATAAACTCATCGCTACCTCAACCTGATTGTTATACCCGAAGCCTGCAGCCTGCATCCTCCAACCCGCGGATCAACAACAGCCTGCCCGGCTATATGGCTCCAGCTTATTGGCTGAGATGCCGTAATCCTCGAGGGGGTTACTAGCCGTGGGTTCAGCTCTGGATTTGCTAGAACCTGCCCAGCTTGCCCCGCGCGCGCGACGAGGTAAAAGGGGGGAGATTGTTGCCTCGGTTCGCGAGACGGATCGGGCGTCACAAAACGAGGACCGCCCACTAGACCCGTTTGCTTTTTAAGCTGGAGCCTGGGTGGGGAGGAGGAGGAGGAGGGGGGCCGGGGGGCCTTGGTGCCTGAAGGAGAGAGAGAGACAGGAGGGTCTTTGAGGTATTACATATATTAGCACGGAGTATATGTAATGTCCGATCGAGAGGGGGGGCTGAGGATACCCTTGCTTTGTGCACTGAGATTTATGTGGTCATTGTAGATTAGAATAACAACTACTACTACACGAAGAAGAAAAACAAACCAAGAACGAGGACAGGGACACGACAAGGACAACGAACGGGGACGGGCCAACCTGCCTCCCCGCCTGTTCGCTTGGATACTCGAACATCTATAAAAACAGCACCCAGCATCAGCACCTACACCAGCACCGTCCCTTCACACTTACCCAACCCAACCCAACCCAACAAACAATACCAAAATCATGGCTGAAGTCCAGGGCCAGTGCGACCCGCGCTTCGAAAAGCTCAAGGCCGCGCTCGCCGCCAAGATCGCCAGCGGTGACGAGCTGGGCGCCTCGATAACGCTCAACATCGGCGGCCAGACCGTCGTGGACATGTGGGGGGGATGGGCAGACGAGGCCAAGACGCGGCCGTGGGAGTCGGACACCATCACCAACGTGTGGTCGTCGACCAAGACGATCGCGACCTTTGCCTGCCTGGTGGCGCACGAGCGCGGCTTGCTCAGCGTCGACGACCCCGTGGTCAAGTACTGGCCCGAGTTCGGCGCGGCGGGCAAGGACAAGGTGCTCGTGCGCCACCTGATGTCGCACACGGCCGGCGTGTCCGGGTGGCAGGACAAGGTGACCAACGCCGACGTGTGCGACGTGCCCGCCGCCACGGCGCGGCTGGCCCAGCAGGCGCCCTGGTGGGAGCCCGGCACGGCCAGCGGGTACCACGCCGTCACCATGGGCCATCTGCTGGGCGAGCTGATCCGGCGCGCGACCGGCAAGCCCATGAAGCAGTTCGTGGCCGACGAGATCGCGGGGCCCCTGGGCGCCGACATGCAGATCGGCGCGCTGGAGAAGGACTGGCCGCGCATCTCGCCCGTCATCCCGCCGCCCCCGTTGCCCTTTGACTTCTCCAAGATGGACCCAAACAGCCCGACCGTCAAGACCTTTGGCAACCCGCCCATGGACGCCACCGTGGCCATGACCCCCGTGTGGCGCCACGCCGACATGTCCGCCGTCAACGGCCACACCAACGCCCGCGGCCTGAACCGCATCCTCGCCGCCATCCCCAACGGCGGCACCGTCGACGGCGTCAAGCTCCTCTCTCCCGAGACCATCGAGCTCATCTTCCGCGAGCAGGCCAACGGCACCGACCTGGTCATCGGCATGCCCATCCGCTTCGGCATCGGCTACGGCCTCGGTGGCGGGTGCACCGCTCAGACTGTGTCGTGGCTGCCCTCGGAGAAGATGTGCTTCTGGGGCGGCTGGGGCGGCAGTTTGGAAGTCATGGACTGTCACCGCAATGTCACCTTCACCTATGTGATGAACAAGATGGGCGAGGGCATCATGGGCAACGACCGCTCCAAGGAGTACACCGAGCTAGTGTGGAAGATCCTAAACGAGGAGGCATGATATGGATGGGCAAGTCAGACCAAGGCTGGAGAGAGACGTCGCTGGCGGGCTGCATAGCTGCTGTACCGAGAACCTTGCAAGGAACTAGTATCAACTGAACATCCCGCGGGCAAAGTGTTGAGTCGTCGTACTCGTGTCTGGTAAATATCTCCCCTCATCTAGCCCAACTTCCAGATAGGCCTGTAAACTCCAATAGACAGGGCTCGTTGGCCGCTTTCTCCTCTCCAATAAATAGCAGTGCTGTGGCAGTGTAGTGTTGGGCGTTACTTCAACCACAAGAAACCGCCGCTTATGGGCTGACCAAGGACATAACTGGCTGAATGCCAACCAGTCTCCTCGCAGACTCGGGGAGAGATCTCGACACCTTGAAAACGTGCTAAAAGACTCTCATCCACATTGCTAATACCAATGTTGGACAGCACACCGGCCTGGAAAAGATGTCTATTGAGGATCATCAAGCTGAAGACCCACCCGAGAGGAAGATTTCGGTGCCCGTCTGGGCCTTGCAGTCAGCAAAGAAAGCTGATAGAGTAGACACAGTGAGCTTGCCCTCCCCCCCGGTGAAGAGACCCCCGTAGCGGCAGTGTGGTAAGAAGTCGACCGTGTTGGATCTCTGAATTGATGGTACTCGGTTCCCGTCAGGCTAAAGAGACCCCTGTTCATGTTGTTTTTCGGTGATCAAACGCCTGAAGCGAGACTCGATATGCTCCACTCTGTCCCAGACACGTTTCATCTTTGTTGCATTTGCTAGGACCAAACGGGAGACGGTTCCGATCATCATCATGTCGAGGCAATATCGGACTAGGCGGCGGCTTGGATCAAGGCAAAGTATCCATTCTGGTGGGTACACTGAGGTAGACACAAGTGATCGTGGAAGCAGATAGATGCGATGAAATGAGATCAGCGTTGCAATGGTTGAGTAGCTTCGAAACTATCGTTTGGGAAGCAATCAATTAACCTGGAAAGGGGTATCAAGAGTCCGACACCTCGTGGCATCCACCCAGCGCAAAGCATGCTGGTATGCAAGTATATATACAAGAACTGAGACATTAGGTTTGACTAAGCAGCGCTCATGCCGTGCCGCGCATCCCGATCGATGTTGCAAGGGCATTTCACAGCATGACAGATGCGATGTCCAAGCAGAACGACGCTGCAAAGCAGACGACCGAACTCGGCGCCAGGAGACCCATTCTCTTCTCAGTAATGCGAGCACCAAAAGTGTGGTCTGTGACTGTAGGTAGGGTATATCAACACTCCAAATCCGCAAGCACCAAGGTACTTGGGACTTATGTTAAAGAGGCACACATGCCGAAATTTCTGGATACTGTATCCAAGGAGACATCGGCACATGGGGAGAATGGTCGCTTGTACGCGCTTGCCCTCCGGTTCGATGTGATCCTGCAACTTGGTTGTTCAGAATTTCCGCGCGTGTTCCAATCTGGTTGTCCCCCTATACGTGCAGGCCTCTTCGCGATTCCTGGCCCCGACGGGGAGTGCCGACGAGCCGTTACCTTCGTATCGACGAGGTATGGACATGACCTTGCTGATGCTAACGTAGGCGCTTTTGGACCCTGTAGGACAACGGCTCTCTCTGAAGTTTGCGAGCGCAGAGCCAGTTTGACAGCGACGACTTATGCGACGCGAACTCTCGTGTCGATTCAGGGCCTTGACTTTTGAGGTTGTTCTGTCAATGGCTTGCAAGCTTGACAGAAAGTCGCTGGAGCGTCAATCACTTCGAAGGTGGCAGCCACTGCGATGGTCAACAGATACCGTCTCCAGCAGCACGGTGAGAATCAGCGAGTACCCAGAAACTTTGAGCCAATTCCACATGGGAGCCGTCATTCATGTTCGCATGAGGAGACTATGCAAGGAGAAGGTTGTGATTAAGTAATCCTCTTAGATGAGCTGACTACCAGTTCCCTCTTTCAGGACGCAATCGGGGCGCGCACCGCGGGTAGCTTCTCCAGCCGAGCAACGACTTTCCTCAGACTGCGTTCCTGCAGAGTCTTGGAATAAAGAAAGCCTGCCATATGGTTGTGTAGGTCCTCGTAAGTGGCAAAGCCGAAATGGCGGCAAATATGGAGCGCTCGGTGCGTGAAGAATTCCTCCTCGGGCTGACCATCGGCCGACCAGCAACCAGTGAGCAAACCCCACAGGACAAATCGGGCCTGCATCTCAACAAAAGGATCGAGACGCGCGGTAGGATCCAGTGGGATACAGTCTTCCGTCCACCCCACGGCAGGGCACCAAAATTTGAGGGCGTACTCCATAGCCCCTTGGAGTCGCCGCACGTTGGCTTTGGCGGTCTGGAAGCCGATCAAGGTACATGCGTGAGTCATGAGAATCAACAGACACAGTCTGACACATTCTGTGCACTTGCACATCAGGTCCATGGCTCCGATGTTGCGGTCTGGGGCAATGGAGAGCAGCCCACGAAGCACTGCTCTGGCTTTGCGGCACAACCATTCTGCGTCGAAACATACCGCCAGGGGCGACAGCCACACCACCTTGGCTATTTCGATGCAGTCAACCAAGTCTGAAACAATGCGACCAAGGTTCCACGGGAAAGCACCCATTTTCAACGCCTGGACAAACTGAGTACCCATTCGTATGTCGAGGGTGGCCGCGAGATCGGCGATGGCGTCCGTGATGCCCATGGAACCATTGGGACCGCGGGCCACTATCAGCGAAGTCGGGTTGGGGTAGCCGTAATACTTTAGATTCTGTGCCTCTCTCCGAAGGATTGCCATCCGTTCAGGGAGCATGGGGCCGGGATCGAATGTGCTCGGTAAGACGGGACGTTTGGCCGTGGATAGGGCAAGTTGATTATCCACGTGAGCAGCCGTCTCCGAGATCCACCGGTCAAGAAGCTGGCTTGGATCCAGTAGGTGCAACAGCTTACCGACAATTTGGAGGTGTTTTCTGACATCTTCATACAGGCCGTACTGCATCTGGTTGACGCAGAGGAAGAGAATGTCCAATATGGTTTGTTTGTCGACGTCGCCTGATCGCGAGCAACGAACCAATTCCTTCCGGAGATAATGTGAGGCTGTCGCACGAACCACTTCAGGGTCGTCGGCGGTGGGTGACATGTCAAAGACGTGCTTCATTCGAGCAAGCATCGCTGCCATCAACGAATAAAGATGATGCTCCTTGTAAACACTGCGCTGAACGACCGCTCCAATGGGAAATTGGCTGATGGTTGACCGCACATGCTTGGGCAAAAAGGCCAGTTTGTAGTTGTTGCCGGCGTAGGAATAGATTTGCAGGGTATACTGTAGAATGACGTGGATGCGAGGGGTGATTCGGACCGGAGTGGTCCTGAAAGGATCAATACAGTCATAGGAGGTGAAGTTCGCCCTGTAGACAGGTGACGACAATTCTAGTGCTCCTTCGTCCTCAAAGTGATGTCCTTCATCATCCAACTCCGGATCGCTGCCGCCAGCCAGGACTCGGACCGACAGTGGCTTGCGAGGCAATGTCTGTGCAATAGGAGGCAATTCAGCAGCTGGCGTGTCGATCAAAGGCGAAAAGACCTGACGGATTGGCGTTGGATCCTGCGGAGGAGATGTCGCCGCCAGCTCCTCGTTGGGCGATGAGACCGGAGAGGATTCATCGCTGCTGGAGCTAAAATTCTTCGTCAGCTTGCGCGCAAGCATGACTCGGTCGAAGGCATTACTCGAATGCCCCCAATCAAGTCAAGGAGGAGGACGTCGAGGGAGGAACTCACCCTTGGCCGGTCTCTTTCCGGTGCCACCCATCCAGAGCGATGCGGCGGGCCGAAGAACAATTGGAGCGAGCAGAGGTGATTTTTTGAGCCTCGACTTTGCGACTCCGGAAATGTTGGGCGTGGCGATTGATCTGTTTGGCGACGGCGCCATCGCTTTTGGACAGAGACTTGGACTTGGGGTTCTTGTTGACGAAGAGAAATACTTGGCCTTCAGCGCGCTCCGATCCGCGCGGCTTCTTCATTGTTGATGCGACAATTGAGAGACGCTCATGCCAGGCCAAGAGGTGATGCGGCGGGAAACAACAGGGAGCAAGGCTGGTCCGCCGGTTGGAAGAGATCCCCAGTCGACCGCAACCCAAAAACTGTCCAAATCCAAAATCCCTTGCGACTGATGGTTAGGTGGTGGGGGCCGACGACAAAAGTTCTGCTTGGTGATGGCGATTTATATTGTTTGCAGAAAACCGACAAGGCAGAGGAAGGATGTGAAATTGTGAGATTCTGGGGTTGCCCAAAATGCCACAAAACGCCCCAGTTTGCGGGCCAAGAGTGAATCGGAAGGAAGGATGGAAGGAAGGAATGGAGGATTAAGAGGAGGGAGAGGGATGAGTGATCCGACAAGCGGTTTTCAGTCTTCAGTCAGTCGATGGCAAAAAAGGCCAGGATGATCGTCAAAGGACATGGGGGGGGAGAAAAATGAACCTAGGCATTAAAGAAGAAGGAGCCGGCGAGCGGGAGGCGGCAGCAGTCGAGAGGAGGAGGAGGAGGAGGATGAGGAGTCAACTTCTCCGTACATACGAGTAGCTCGGTGCGTGGTAGTGTGAAGGGGGGGAAAATTGAGGCAGAGAACGAGAGGGAGGAATGATGATGCTGATGATGAGGGTGGTGATAGGGTCATGCACCGCCATAGGCCATCACGTCAGTCTGTCAGTTTGTCGGTTTGTCAGTCCTTGTCGCGTCTCGCAGAGTTTGGGTTCCGGGGGGAGGGACAGATACCCAAGTCATTGCCACTCTAGCTTCCCAGTAGGCACAGTACCACCTGGCCCGGGCCTGCACCGCCTACAGTTAGCACCCCTAGGCTCGCTGGGCTCGTTCCTCCTGGGCTCGCTCCAACCTCCCCAGCTGGGCCGCAACCCAATATTTTCTCACAGGGGCTCCAACACGTTACCCAAAATGCCCCAAGCTTGTTCAAAGAGCATAGTCCCAGAGACGCCTAGGGCCCCCGGCTACCCACTGGCTTTAACTGGCTTTTAACTGGTTGCTTAGCTAGGGGCCTGCCTAGGTAGGTAGCTGCCTCGGGTGCCCAGGTGGTTAATTGGTTTGGGGAGGGTTTGGCCATGGTTTTGCTAGCCTCCATGTGGAAACCGTGTAAGCGAGCCACCCTCGAGCCGGTGAGCCCATCTTTCTCTCTCCCCCCCGTACCTTGCCTACTACCTACTAGGTACTTAGCCCTCCCCTCCGTTCCCCTCACCCCCTCCCCGGCGCACTTCATAACCCAAAATAAAATGCCCTGTCCACGGCCGAGAGATGCATGCGGATGACCAATCACACAGCGGTAATGCCCATAAAAAAGTGGACGAGTGAGAACCATCTCGGGGCTCTGGAGGTGAGAAAAGCGCTCGCTAGGTCCATGTCAGACGGGCTACCACCTAGGCTATGAGGATAAAGAGGGTAGGGAGATGGTCCAGCAGGATTGGAAAGAAAAACTGCAACTCCTGGGAAACGGCAGTAAAAGCCTCGACCTTCTCTCGGGCTTTCTTGATCCCGCCAACCTGACAAGTTCAGCATATTATTCCCTCTCGCTTTCATGCTGACTACGGAGTACAGGTGCTGTACCACCACTCGACTGGTCCTTGATCCTCCGCTTTAACTCTCGACCATGACCTCGTATCTGTCGTCTCTTCCCCGACACTGACTAACCCTCCAAGTTGTCACCTGCTGGTTGGCTATCACTGGAGAACTCACCGCTTTCAGTCGCCCAATCTGTTCCAAGACTGCTCGAAAGTCCCCGATCAGTGAGCTCTATAATCGATTACCACTACCTGTCTAGCCTCACCTGGCAAGTATAAAAGCATGACAACTGGCAATGGACACAAGCACCGAGAGATGGTGAGGGAGGTAGACAGTCTTTGTTGTTCATCCCACCGTCTCGGCAGGACCGACGAACACGATCTTGGGGCTCCATTGTTTCTTCGTCGTCGTTTGTCATCCACGACCCCCCGATCTCGGGTGGTAAAGCCGGAGGAATTGTCATGTACTGAAGAGATATCGGGGCCGTTGGAGAACGACATCTATGCACAGCCTTCAGATGACCACTTGTCGGTCGGCAATGCAAGAGGTGGTCCACACATTGCCGACTGGCAGCACATCCAAGGCAAAGCCCCCTCTCTCGCCCGATATGGATTCAAATAGCGAAGGTCTGCTCGGTTGGATCTCACCTGGTAAGCATTGACATCGGTGATAATCCTGGTATTCGGCATTTGCCTCCGGGAAAACTTGATGCCATCCCCCGAGCATCGTGCAAGCATCCACGAGCACAACGCCTTTACAATGCCTGTCCTCGTGGATTAGACCCTCTTCGTATGGAATGATATGGAGACGCCCACGTCACGATGATGAGATGTATTCAGAGCTAGTACCTCCGAAATGCCCGTCATCCTCACGAGGCTTATAAATGTCAGCCTTGTCCCGACTTTGCCGTTTTGCCCCGAAGTGTTATACTGGCACGAGACATATCAGTGCTGTGCATCGCTGATACAGCCGCTTCAAACATATTGTAAGAAGCTCCTGTGCGTTGCTGTTGCTGGGACCGGGATCAAATGATGAAACCCTGCCCATGTTTTGCTCGAAGACATACGCATCTTTACCTAAGCTCCCCCTGGCAATCGGAAATGACACGGGAACGAGTCTGCCAGTCGGACCAGAATTACCTGGGGGGTAACCCTGTATCGTTTATCATCCTCGATCCAAGCGATATGGAGGCGTCCCAGCAGGCACCCAGAATGCATTGACCTCGTATGAAATCGGTGGCACTAGTGGATGGAGGATTTGACAGGAGTTGGTGCAAAAACATGTCAGGGACAACCTAAGCGAATAAGCGCCTGTATCCAGCACCCGCTTCAGGCGTGCCATGGCCCATGGACCGTGCTTCTCCTTTGCCGTGATCCGAGTAGCACTGGTGTGGCATGATCGTCATGTCTGACAAACTGCCTTGCCCAGGGTCTGCGACAGCCATAACGAGTAATGTCCCCTGGAGTGGTTTCTCGAGAGTGGTTTGTTTAAACCTTGGAGCCGCCTGGCGAGTCCCCAGGATGTGGCCAGTACGACCGGCGAATCAAGCGTGTCGTGCCATGACTTGGGCAAGACGCGAATACCTTCCATGCAGCTGCTTAACCGAAGATGGTATTCGGTGGCCTCAACCCGGGTGGACTTTTGGCCGCAGAAATTTGTGGAGTTGTCATCGAGATTCCGTGAGAAAGGATTGCTTTCGATTTTCTGGTGGTCCAGGCGTTGTTCCATCGCCAACTCCGACGAATTTCTCTTTCGTGGCCCTTGCTCCAAATCGATCGATTGCAGTCGGGCCTTCGGCTAGGAACCCTACAAATGCTGAAACAAAAGAGGGGGTTTGGACGCGGAGTCCAGCGGATTCCTGGCTAGGTACTCGCACAGTAGCTGTGGCCATGCTTGATGCCGGCGCAAAATTGCAGATCCAGTCCTCTGGGGTGGTTCGCTCAAACAATGCCAGGCTGATCTTTCTGGAGGTGTGCGACTGCGAACGCGCAAGCACCGTTTGCCACAAAGTCGCAGATGGCCATTCGTGCTAATACACTTGACATACATCACGTCGCATGTGGACCTGGTTGTCTGGGAATCTATGTGTCAGCAGTCGAGAGAAAATGGTGCTGCCGGTGGGAGAAGAAGACAGTCGCCTTGCAGGGAGCGTCAGCGCCATGAGCCTCCGATGGCCGGGCCGGTACGGAGTACATACTCCCTCGAAAAAATGTATTTCGATGCCCTTTGATATACTCCTAGGTGGAGTAGCGACTCTATTCGATGCTCTGCCCAGGACCGATGATATAGTCCTGAATGAGTGATTGGTTTGGTCTGGATTGGAAGCAGGCTTTGACGGACACCTGTTCGTGCGAGTACTAATCAGCGCGCGTTGGTTTCAGCTGCTCTCTTGCTTCGTATATGCAAGCGACGGGGACTTTGATGCAGACCACAATGAGGCCGAATCGTCCATTCGCTTCCTTTTCGAACAAAAGTTGATCGCCGGCCGAGCTGTGGTATTTGTAAGCCCTGCAGCTGACGAGGTCTGGCTTTAGGTTCCGTCAACCTAGTGAGGTCCTTGATATACTTGGACACCATTTTTCAGGGGCTTTTACAGACGCTTCTAAAGTGATTGACACAGCAGGTTGAGGCTGACAAACACTCGGACTGGCTCTAAGTACTCGATAATTCCTCAGATGTCGCTGAACGTCGCTGATCCACTTTATCCATGTGTTCCGGGGTATTGAATTTTCGAGCCCGGGCGTGGAGACTTCCACATGCCTGGGCACTATACAAATACCGACATGAGCATGGGATGCAGATCGTCCAGGTTGCAGTTCGCGTTACAAGATTCAAAGACTCGATGATCTCTCGAGCGGGATCATCATACCCCGGGAGAAAGATACGCCAGCTAGGTAGGGTGTTTCGTCACTCATGACTGTGAGTTAGAAAGTGCCAGTACTCGAGACCTGAATGAATGAACGAGGTGTCGGTGGTGATGACCGAGTCAGTCGCTTCTGGACGCGATCAACCACGTATCAGGTTGTAATGCCTTTGCAGCTTCATGGCCTCAGCGGCATAAGTCCAGCTAACCATCGCACTTTGGTCGACGTGACGCCGCGATACAGGGTCCCATCTGATGCTCCGTTGAGGTCCACGCGTGCCTCCATCAACAACCAGTCTGCCATCCCGTGAGCACCAGTCGTACCAGCATTTGGGGACCGCCAGTTTATAGCCTTTTGCGTCTCTAGTCTGTGCAAACGGAGCAGATTTCCACGATGTCTATAAGGTGCTTCGGGGGTGCACAAACGCCGTCCGTGGCTATGAGCAAACGCCAAACTATCTGCCGGTTTGTCAGGTTCCGAGTACAAATGTCATCGGGCAACACGTCCGTCGTCGGCAGGTGTACAGGGTCGGAATCTCTCATGGTCAGAGCTGACGCCATGGATTGTCTCACCATCCTCAATATGCAAGCAGAACGTCTGAGCAGACAGCCGCTCTAATACCACATGTGTAAGACGGGCATGCGGCATTGCTCAACGATTGCTCAACGGTTGCCTAGCAGCAAATGGAGTCATGAAGACAGGACGAACCCAGAAATCGAAGCTGACTGAGGCCAGGCATCACCACGGTCTGGCGCTATGGCGCCAACGACGATCAGCTGGCTAAGTGAGACCCATACATCTTTATCCCAACACTCTCATCCTCAGACCTTGTCGAGGGCGAGGAAGCTGTCGGGTTTCTTGTTTCATCATCTCCCGTATCTAGAGCAATGATGGAGGACGGGCTGCCGGAACAAGACTCAGAGACCACAGCTTGGTTCTGTGCGAGCTTTTCTCGAAACAGATTCAATATTTCCAAACCCATCTTTTCCTCTCTGCAAAGCTGAAGGTACTGCAATTTGAGTGCCGGAACAAGGGGACAGAAACACTGCCAGAAGTGTCGAGTCCGAGGCGCAGTTGGCGCTTGCTAAGTGCAACGATCCGACAGTGCGATCCGCTAACCTGGCGTCGATGAGGGAATAGTTCACATTCCTTGAATACACCAGGCGAGACTGGGCGTGGCCTACCATACTGACATGCTGTTTCAACACGGTCCATTGCATTCATATTGGCGTGTTGAAGATACGCCAGGTTACAGAACACTATCCCCGAGTGCCGTTCACACTGTCCACGTGATGTTGGCGCGATTAGGCACCATCTCAGGCTGGGGAGTGACGCAAGCACCAGATTGACGCGACGGATGGCAAGGGAAGTGCTGATTCAAACTGAGAGGTTGCCCTGGGAGCGAAGCCTCTGGTCATCTCTACTTGGGGCTTGTTTACAACGTGCTCGATGGTTGGGCGCAGGACGATGTCGGTAAAAGTCAGCTCTTGCAGCCGTCGGAGGCTGAATCACATCCTGGACCCTTCTCATGCTACGATGCGAATTGCAGAATCGAGGAATATTTACCTCGGGGTGGAACGAGGAGGAAAGGATACTTGAATTTGTTCAATGACCAAGCATGAATACAAATCAATAAAGGGCCTTCAAAACCTCCCCGCTGGTCGCACGTAATTCTCGTCTCTCATTTCTGCTCGCCGTCCACTGCTGAGTCACATTTGCGTGTCTCACGTATTTCCTCATGGTGTAGTCTCTCTTCTGCAGGCATGAATGAAGTGTCCAAACGCCAGGATGTAGCTCAGATGTTGTCCATCCTCAAAATCAATACACATCGTGACTCCGGTAGCGGCATGTCGTACGTGACTTTCGCGTCGTCGGTCTCGAGGGCTGGCCTTTTACAAGTCGCCAAAGGTGTTTTCGCCAGAGTATCTGGATATTTGTCAGCAACTGCACTGTGCTACGCGCTGTGCGAGACGGGGGTACGTACGTGATGTAGAGGAAACCGTCCTCATCCTTGTGCTCGTCATAGATGCTGCTCATGAGGGCATGAGTGGGTGGAAGGACCTCGTCGACGAAGATGAAGATGGCTTTCTCCGGGCTGAGCTTGATGCGCTTGCGAATGACATAGACGAATTGGCCGACGGTCAGATCTGCGGGGACGAGATACTTCTTCTTGTCGATGGTAGCGATATCGGATTTCTCGACCTTTTCGCAGATGACCTGTAGACGACATTGTCAGTCAAAGGGTGCTGTGTAAAGGGCAATAGAAGGACGAGAGTGAACATACCGGGATGCGGTCGGCGTACTTCTGACGAATGCGTTCGGCTTCCGCCTTACGCTTTTCGAAAGGGTGCTCGTCCTTAAACTTGGAACGCATGGTGAAGATGAAGTGATGTTCGGCCTGTGCAGGGGAGTACAGATGGAGTCTGAGGGTATCGCAGTCTCAAGGGGAATGGTTGGGTGTTGGTGGTATAAAGGGTAGATGAAGGCAAGATGGCTGGTCGGTGAGTGAGCGATGCGGATGAAGTCGTTGAAGGTGCCAGGCGTGGCAGGCAGCACTCGAAGGGGGCGGTGATAGGCGGGCTAGTAGGGGGGGAGGCTAAGGCCCCGTGCGGTGCAGCCGCGAGGTAGTGGGACAGGGAGTCGAGGAGTCACCCGCAGCAACAATAAGAGAGTGCCAGGCCACACAGAGCGAATGACTGCCCCGCGATATCAGTGCAAGCTGCGAACTGACTTTATCGTCCCCGATCACGGGATGCTGCTCAGCCTGATTGTGACTGCCCACCAGCCTTCGGGTTTGGCCACGAGGCTAGATCTTAAATAAGATGGGCGAGTGAGTCACGTCATATCGTCATTCTAGGAACGGCACAAGGAGAGAAAGGTCACAGACTGCATCGGGTCCTTTGCTTCGAATTCATTGTGGACGCTTTGTTTGCAATGTGGCTGATGAAATAGGCGCGGTGTTCATGACTGGTCACACCTGCGCTTCAGAAGTCCCTGCGCTTTGGTCCAAATATCTTCGCTTTCTAGTTCAGAGACCTTCCCTACCAGAGGATGAATTCTCGGATGGGCGAAGATTAATTACAGAGAACCTGATCAACGTCGCCACAGTGCCTCTGTCATTCGACTATGGCTGGATTGGGTGGTAAGAAAGAGCCTCGTCATGTGACGGTGGAGAACCTGAAGCGCGTTTCTCCCGCTTCACGTCGCGGAAAAAGGTCGAGTAGCGGTAATGCTACACCTGCGATGACCTGACGACGGGGACAAATATTTGATTCTTCGTGTGGACCCGTGGCGACAGGCACTCAATGGACTTATTAGACCTGCAATAAACCTGCATCATCTGAATCTGTCCTTCTCCTTCTCCCGCTCCTTCGTTCAGGCCGTGTCAGAGCAGCTTCACTGCACAATTGACCATGTGTGTTCCCAGGTCTGCATGGAGCTCTGTCCGAGCTTCTCACCGTTCGCTATTCAGAGCAGGATCTCAACTCCATGTCCGTCCTTCTCACTCACGCATTTGCTATTCTACTAGCTCTCCAGTGGCTGTAGGAAATCATCGCAGGCAGAGATTGCTGTACCTACCATTGGCTCTCGGCACCCTCCTCGTCGGCACGTTGGCCTACAACACGTCCTACAGGACGCCCATTGCGAACGACTCGCCGCCCGTTCAGCCTGTCAACCTGGCTGAAGTAGATGAGGTGACTAAGAGCAAGCAAAAAATCACACGGAATTCACCGATGCGACTGCGGATGGAGGCTCTGATCAAGGAACATCAAAATCGGATAGTGTTTGCACTGGAAAACCTGGACGGGAAGAAGTTCAGGCGAGATGAATGGACCAGACCAGCTGGTGGCAGTGGCATCTCGTGCGTTCTCCAGGATGGGAATGTCTTCGAGAAAGCGGGTGTCAATATCAGCGTCGTCTACGGAGAGCTATCACGTCCTGCCATTGAGAAGATGCGGTCAGATCACAAGTCCTTTGTTTCTTCGGATACCGACAAATTGAATTTCTTTGCAGCAGGCATCTCGCTAGTGCTGCACCCTCATAACCCCATGGCTCCGACCGTCCACATGAACTACCGATATTTTGAGACATCTGATCCTAGAGACCCAGTCAATGCAACGGGCACGTCCCAGCAAAACTGGTGGTTTGGCGGAGGCACAGACTTGACGCCCTGTTATTTGTTTGAAGAAGACGCCCAATATTTCCACAAGACCCTCAAAGCCGCCTGCGACAAGCATGACAAAGATTACTATCCCAGGTTCAAGAAGTGGTGCGACTCTTATTTCAGAATTCCACATCGAAATGAAGCGCGAGGCATTGGTGGCATCTTCTTCGATGATCTCGAAGCCGATTCACGCCCAAACTCGCGTAATCCGCAGGAGGAGATTTTCCAATTCGTCGTCAGCGGCCTCGAGTCATTCCTACCTTCGTACTTACCCATCGTCAAGAAGAGGAAGGATATGCCCTATTTACCCCAACAAAAAGAGTGGCAACAGATCCGACGAGGTAGATACGTCGAATTCAACCTCATCAATGACAGAGGGACCAGCTTTGGACTGCGGACCCCAGGTGCCCGAGTCGAAAGCATTCTGATGAGTTTGCCATTAACGGCCCGCTGGGAATATATGCATCCTGTTGTAAGTCTATTCTAAACCCGGCTTGGTTGCCTCCCCATTCGATTTTAGATCGGATTGTTTGAAGCTAATGCGCAGCATAGTGTGGCACTGGTATTCCCGAGAATCAAGAGGAGGCTGAAGACTCCCAATATGAGAAAGAGAAGGAGCTAATGGAAGTCCTCAAGCACCCCAGAGAATGGGTCTAGAAGGTCCGCTTCCCAAGACTCACTGGGAATGAAATCCATACTATCAACTCCGACCCAAGCTAGCCAAGAGGTCGGAGCTCATGATACCATGGAAATGGACTGGCCGAGAGAAGTCTACCAGACCGAGCCACCAAGCAATGACAGCCCTTGTCTACAACGACATCAACTACTATGATTACGGGGGTTTGACGCATTACGATCAAACCCACCGCATTAAAAGCAAATTCCGCCGCAACCCTCACTATTCTGATCCCAGTAAAACGGCTTCTAGAGAGGAATCTATACGTTCGATTGGCATTTCAAGTACAAGAGCCAGTTAGGGCTGCACCGGCACGCCAGCACCGGAATCTTGTGGTCCCTCGTCCTTCAGCGACTTGAAAAAGCGCGAGATGAATGATACTCGTTTCCGGAGCTCAGTGGCTGCACTCTTATATAAAAGCATTATTGGCGTCTGCTGGCATATGCACGTGTCAACAGCTTGTTTGTTTAGCCAGGGCCGCTGGGTTCAAATAGACCCGCCATTTCACATTCCGCAAGGACCTCTTCCCTTTGTCGCATTCGAACGATACCTGATAGAGCCTTGCTTATTGCTGCTCTGCCGGTGCCCGTGCGGAGCGAGTCTCTTGCAGCATCTCATTGGCATCCAGGCATTGGTGCTGACGGGCCCAAAGGCTTGCCGCTGCAGCACTTGCCCTTAGGACCCCATTCGCCAGAACTCTGTCGTACAGGTTTCAGCTCGCAACGGAAGCCGAAAAATCTTTTAGGGATGATTCCTGGGAGTTTCCCATTTTCAGCCTCCAAATGCCGGGGTCCAAAGGGCACAGGAATTCATGCACTCCGATTTTCCGAGATCAATCACGCTGACTGCGTCGGCCAGGTCCTTTGAGTCGAACTTTTCTCACCGACATATGTATTGATCAAGAGCTATGTGCATCGCTCGTGATGTCACAATGAAGAGTTCGTCAATGGCCAGCCGCTTGGACGCAGCTGACCGAGTCAACACGATATAGCAATGAGAACTATTTCTGGAAATGCTCCAAGGGGAAATCGCCTGTCTTCCCCGCTATATTAAGAGTTTCAGCCCGAATTCCGTTACGCTCCAAACACATGCTTTGGAGTCCAGGGCGCCCCAGTCGTAACCTTGTCCTACAAACGACCTTCCGATCTTCTGGGGTTGGAGCAGGAACTGGTATGACTGGACGACTTCTCGGCCTCTTGTTGCGGTCGACAGCTCGCAAAGGCCACTTGTTCAGGCATCCAACGATATCTGACCGCCTCATTCACATTGTTCCGTGCCCTCTGGCTCCTGCCACGATAGTGACCTGCGGCGTCGCTTATCTCAATAGAGCTTCTTGCCTGGACTATACACCAGCGGTCGAGTACAAGCCGAATCACAGCTTCGAACCCTCTTACATTAGGACCATTTTGCTCTACCGCCGTTCAGGACCCATGTTGAGCTTCCCCTTGCCCCTGGGTGATTCCGGGCTGCTCGCCTAAGCAGTTCTTCCTTAAAGCGTCCGTGCTTTTGGTGGGCTTGTATGCCTGTCCTAGTCCGATCATACTCTTAACACTCAGAAATGGCTAGCCCAACATGTTTAGTTGATCTTACTGCTCCGCTGGAGTTGCAGATGGAGGCCGAAGTCTGGACCCGCCACTTGCTGGTCAGCTCTGTCCATGGCCGTCGACATAAATACAATCCGTCAGTCTCGAGCGTTGTACAGATCTTCTCTTCTTGGTTACACACTTCTTCAACCTCTCTTCGACCTCGTTCCTGGCGACGATGAGGACATGTTTGGTCTCCGCCCTTCTGGGTGCTGTGTTTGCCGATATCGTTCTGGCTGATCAACCAGGACCTCTTGGACAATGGATGGGAGTAAGCAGAGCAGCCAGACCTGTTACAAGAATTATATTTCGCTGACACTTCTAGGGTGGAGATTGCCCATGGGGAAGTAGAACAGCTTCTGGATCGCATCCCCAGAATGATATGCCAGATACAGGTTCGCAGGTCTCCTCTGAGCTGACGTATGGACGAGGCTGAAATTGATGACAGGCGTTACGCGGTACTATGACTTTACTGTCGCCCGCGGAACATATGCTCCTGATGGAGTGCAACAGGCAATGATTGTTGTCAATGGCCAATATCCAGGTCCCCTGATCGAGGCAAATTGGGGTGATTGGTACGGAAATGCTCGAGGCTGTGCAGAAGAATCCTGCTGACTTGAATAGGATCGAAGTTAATGTTCATAATCAAATCTATGGTCCCGAAGAGCCCACGTCGATACACTGGCATGGCTTGAACCAGCCTGGGACTCCATATTACGACGGAGTCGTCACTGTCGCTCAATGCCCGATCGTCCCCGGTGGAAATTTGACTTACAGATTCCGCGCCGACGAGTTTGGTACTTCCTGGTGGCACGCCCATTACTCTGCTCAGTACTCTGCTGGAGTCGTTGGGCCGATTGTTGTCCACGGTCCCAACGACGCCGGCTACGATGTCGACCTCTATCCTATCCTTGTTTCGGACTGGTTCCACGATACCTATGAGGATATTGTGAACTTGGTCATGTCTCCCAGCAGCTCCGGCCAGCCATTCCGACCTTTCTCAGACTCCAACCTCGTTGCAGGCATCGGCCAATATCCTTGCGCAAATGTCACCAACGGTGCTCCATGCTCCGTAGTCCCATACGCATCATGGGAATTCGAGTCCGGCAAGACCTACCGTTTGCGCTTCGTCAACACAGGCGCCTCAGCATTCGAGACCATTTCGATCGACGGACACCAGTTGACCGTCATTGCCAATGACTTTGTGGCTGTTCAGCCCTACCAGACGGAATTTGTCACCATTGGTGTAGGCCAACGAGTCGATGTTCTTGTCACCGCCAATCAGGCCCCGGGTAACTACTGGCTCCGCGCCTTCAACAGCCCCTGCGGCGACACGAACGGACCTTACGGCCAGGGAATCATATACTATACAGGATCTGATCCCAGCACGCCTCCGACAAGCACCGGTGCTCAACCGCCGCTCAACTCGAACTGCCAGAACGACCCTCTGGCAACCACAGTTCCCCAGTACGTCATGCCCGTTGCCAACCCAGACACTACCATCACTATCACCATTGCAGGCGCCCCTGACGCCTCGGGAGTATTCCACTGGACCATGAACGGAGTGAGCTACGACGGAGATCTTTCGAGCAGCTTGCTCGCGGAAGCGATTTCGGGACAGACCGAGTTCGCACCCCAGTACAACGTGTACAACACGGGCACCAACGGCACTGTTCGAATCATCATCATCAACACGACGCCAGCGCCCCATCCCATGCACATCCACGGGCACGACTTCCAAGTCCTTGCCGAGGGTTTCGGCACGTGGGACGGCACCGTGACGAATCCATCGAACCCCCAACGGCGCGACGTGCACATGCTGTGGGCGCAAGCGACGCCAGACAACCCGTCGTACATTGTGGTGCAGTACACGCAGGACAACGCGGGAGTGTGGCCGCTGCACTGCCACATCGCATGGCACCTGTCGGCCGGCATGGTGATCATGCTGTTGGAGCACCCGGAGCAGCTAACGGCGCTGCAGGTGCCCGACAGTGTGGCGCAGACCTGCCCGGCGTACACGACGTGGTACGCGGCCAACCCGGGCGTGGTGGTGGACGACTCGCTGCGCAAGCGCAGCCTAGGCGAGAAGATGGTCGAGTACATGAAGGGCGGCGTCGAGCACATCCAGCACCTCGACAAGCACCGCAAGCGCGGCGTCCGGGGCTACAGGGGCTACGGCCACAACGCCACGGCCGAGGATTTCCCCAACCACGGCAAGTTCAAGGGCAATGCCACGCACAGCGGCCACGGTCACGGCACCGGCACTGCTAGTAGCGATTCCTCTTGGGCCAGTCATCACTCGACGCACAGCAGCAGCCACACCGGCAAGGCGACGCATACCCCGTCCTGGTCCACCCGGCCGCACACGGGCACCGTGGGCAAGAACCTGGCCCACGAGTCCAAGAGCACTGGCAGGCCCGGGAGGAAGAGGGACGAGGTGTAAAAGGAGGGAACGAGAAGGTGGGCAGGGCAGGGCAGGGCAAGGCAGGGCAGGAGGTTGCCGCAGGGTTGTGGTTGGCGAGGATTCATGCCCTGGCCATGCTTTGCCTTGCATTTTGCTCGAGGGGTGCTCTTTTTCTACTGCGCCATCGCGCCCTTGGTGCTCTTCCATCAGCTCTCAGAACGCAACACATTCTTTCCTTTTGCCTCTTCTCCCTTGGAAACCGAATTTGTAGTCTCCGGATCAAAGACACGTAGGATCTGCCACGATGTGAGAAGTGTATCGGGGGCGGGATATTTGATTTGAATTTTGGACAGGTATTGAATACGTTGTCGCGCAATATTATGATTGTGTTCAAGTAACATCCCATTCTGACAAAGACTGGTCCTTATCCTGCGATACGTACTCAATGCCTGTGCAATTTGGCTGGAGGTCTGGTTGCACTTTGATGACCGTAACTCCGTTTCCGATCCATGGCTTGTCCCCAACTTATCGCAATTTCAATCTTACTCGTTTCAGCGACTGCTCGCAGAATGCTGTTTTCATCTCTCGCTCGCATTGCTAGGTGCAGTAGAACCACCAGCAGCACCAGCTCCCCCTCCACCTCCACGACCATGACCTTCGCCGCCCCTTGCATCAAAATACCTTGATCTCAAAGCCTGTCCAATCCCACTGGTGACCCGCCCTCCAAAACCTCCAAACTGCGTCGTCATCGTGGTGTTCCCCATTCCACTCAACAATGCTTCTTCCAATGCTGATTGTGTCACACTCGTATCATCGAGGTCGGAGAAGGAGGAGCCCATAGAAGGCGAAGTGTCAGAACCCGGGCCGGTGCCATGGCGGCGAGGGGATGCGGCTGCTGATGCCGATTGTGAGTGATTGTGCAGGAGGCCACGGTGAGGAGGAGACAAAGGCGTGCCGAGCCTGGGAATGGCGGGCGGCTGGGTTGGTAGGTGACCTTGAGTAGGGTATTGAGCATCAGTTCGAGGCGTGGGTCGAGTCGAGGTTGTGTTTGCAGCGGTGGGATGGGTAGGAGAAGACAGAGATGAGGTCGAGGATGTCATGGTTGATGGATTCCGCTGAGTTTGCACTGGAGTAGGCGGCTCGATGGTTGGAGACGAGACTATGCGTTCAGATGTCGTACGACGTTGGATGCCAGGTCGCTGTGATTGCAATCCGCCTCGCAAGGTTGCGCTGGGATCCTGTGGAGAGGAAGATGATGGCCGAGCCTTGTTTTCAGATGCGGGATTGGCAAAGGGGAGGAAAGATGGCTCGTCTTCTTCATCGTCTTCCTCGTCGTGGGGAGGTGGGTTTTGTGCAAGACTCTTCTCGTCCAGATTGCCCGCCGTTCCTTTCTGGGATTGGTGCTCCTTTCTGTACGATAGAACGCGGCGGTGCATGGATGACGGGTTCGGTCGACGAGCCATAATACGGGATTGAGTCATCTCATCTTCAGAGTCAGACGATTGAGGCTGATTACTCCGCGTCTGGCCTGGTGATCTTGCCAATGGATGTTGGATACTGCCTCTTCTAGACTGCGGCGCCTCCGCATCCTTGGAAGACTGCCTCGATAACGGCCTCGACGTTCCGGAAGCCACTCTGGACTGTGGACCACCCGCAGCTGCAACAGCCCCCGTCGTATTCCGGAATGGTAGAGAAGTCCTGCTCTTAGCAGGAGTTCCTGGTGTACTGTCTCCTCCCGCAACAGGACTTCCAAGGTGCTGGGTGGACAAGCGAGAAGGGACACGTGACCCTCCGCTACCAGCTCTCTTCATCGCCTGGCCACCCACCATGCTGGCTGAAGCTGATCCTGGAGCCGGGGACGGCGTGGCGGATTGTCTATTTCCGACTCGGCGCATCTGGGCCCGGACTTGGGATAGTTGTCGCTCGTAGAGCCATGCAGCTTGTTGAAGGAGGAATGTCTGGGAGACTTCGAAGTTCTCCGATAGCGCCTTCCAGTCGATTTCATTGTTCTTGGACTGGCGAGACATGACATCCCATAGTGCTCGCTCTTTGGCAGCAGACCAAGCCACGGGGGGAGGATCGACGAAGTGACCCCGGTTGAAGGGGAGACGGATGAAGACTGTGAAGTGGTTCTCGATTTCGGCCATACTGGTGTTGTTGTTTGCGTCCGACTGGTGGCTTGCAGGGTTAGAAACCTAGGGATAAAAGATATGTTAGCTTCCTCCGAACGTCCAGAAGCAGTTGGCCATGATGGAGAATGATGATGTCTTGAGATGGACAATGACGGAGAGGAAACCAGGCAAGATGATGAGGCTCCTTGTTGGGACTGTGGCTGAACGTGGCGCTGTCGTGGCGTAGATAGACGCCACAACTGCCTGGTCTGGGCATCCAGGGGCCGGAGATATAATTGTCCGCATATCAACCTCAACCTCGATCCTGTCCTCCTCCTCTTCACCCTCTGTGCTGCAAGATGGATCTCCGTTCGTATCTTCACTTACACGTTGATGCTGTCTCCTCTCTCCCAGGTAAGAGGCTTCAGTTATGGTGTCCTCAGAGCTTGAGCCTCCTCCCCAGCCAGTCTCAGCATCGTGGTCATGAGCCTGGCCCCAAATCCAGCACCCAACACAGTATCCTATGCCATCCCAATCACTGGGGACGTCTTGCTGGTAGGCCATGGTTGAATTAGGGCCCTCTTTGCCGTTCGTTGTGAAGATTTGCGAGACTTTGAGTCAAATGTTTGTCTGCCTCTGTAGCATGGAAGCTGCTGTCATTATCCCACCAAGATGGAGACAAACAAGAACTGGAGAAGACACACCTCTCAGCCTCCTTCTGCGCTCCCTTTCCCAATGACACCCTGGGGAATATGCCTGCGAATTTCGGAGAGACTGGAAAAATCATGGAACGTCTGCGCCAGCCAAATAGATTCATTCTTGCCAATGTGAACCTCTCGACATGTCGACGACTAAGCGCTTATGTCGGCGACCCATTTCGCACACGTCTCGGCAGGATACACACAGAGAATGTTCAAAAGGTTCTGTCACATTGCAAGATCTTCATCTCGCAGTCAACTCCCTTCATATTGTGTCTTCATATGTGCGGGCCTTGTCCTGACTCTGCGAAATCAATCTGCTGGAGAGCCACGAAAGTCACCTTCATCTTATCTCTGAGATTGTCATCTACTGGCCACAGGTGCCTCGTTCACGAAATGTCTCAAATCATGCTGCAAGAAGACATGGTGGCTCGCCCTGCTTTCCTCTCTCGGATCTTCTCTTCTAAAGGTCGATTCTACCGCACCATGTCGCCAAGGGTCAGCGTCGATGGTGAAAACTCCAGCACGACTTTGAAAACATTCATCTCAGTTTTCAACTCGTCTCACATCTCCAGAATCACTCTTAAGGACAGACTCAGACAAATCATTATCCAAGGCGCGTCAAAGGCCTGGAATCCATCATCCTGCTCGATCAGCCCACAGAACCTATTCAAACAAGACTTCAAGCCCGCCGATCCAGCTCCCCATCTCTCCTCTCACACGTCTTCACTCGTCACCACTCCACTGCACTCAGTACAGGTGTCCTTGTCGGCGTTCCTCTCAGACACAGCAACCCCTTCCTCAACAGTCACCCGATCCAACATCTCACATATCTCCGACCCCTCTTCATCTCACGACGAGATGTGCTTCAAGTACAAGTGCGACGCGTGCGAGAAGGCGAGATACGACTTCTGCCAAAACTACCTCCAGAACCAGGAGGAGCGCAAGTGGTGCGACGTTGCGGTGGAGGAGCCCTGGGGTGGCATGCTTAAACGCTGCCATACCTGCACCACGATCACCGGCGCCATCAAGGAGTTGAAGGCGCTTGTCTTCCGCGAGCCATGGCTCGTGACCGAGGGAATGGCGGGCGCGCCAGAGAAGGCCGCCTGGGAGAAGGAGGGGGAGGAGGAGGAGGAAGCCGTCGGGGGTGTTGTCGTCGTCGACGACGACGATGACGCCACCCCCGATGGCTATACGAAGGAGGAACGGGACCGGGTGCGGCGTGAGGCCGAGGAGGCCGTCATGCGTCGCTGGGGGTTGATGCGGGCGGAGCAGGCCGCGGAGGGGGAAGCCAAGGCTGAATAGAGAAGACGCCCGCCAGCGAGCATGACGGTCGACTCGGCCGGGGAGACAGGACGTACTGTATTTTTACGGGGCCATGGTCGGGCCGGTGGTGGAGAGAGCGTGCGCTCTGTCGCCATAGGCGACTGAATAAGAGAGATTTCACATCCTGTTTTCCGTTCTCCGATTCTCCTCTCTTCTTGAGCATCTGGAGCATCTTGATCGCATCGTTGTCGACGACAGGATGGCTGCGAATTCAGGCATATCAGCAAGATGGTGACACTGACATTCTGGACAGATGCAGGGCCTTGTCACTATCATCGAACACTAATATTGGACAGGGCGCAGCAAGCAACAACCTCTCAAAAGGGTCGAAGTACAGGGCGAGATGGGCGTCTTCTACAGGTTTCTTGGAACCTTGCATAGAACACCTGGTGTTACTCGATACCTACCTAGGTAGGCATTCGACGTCGACCTGTCTGCCAGGTTCTTGCACGAGGACCTCGAATGCACCGGAACGCATTCCGCATCCCAGCCTCAACCAGTTGTCAGGAAACCAAGCTTGAAGCGAGCAACGTCATTTCAAACAACGCACAGCCACGCAAAACCACTCAGCCCACCGTGCCCCGGCTTCTTTCTGCAAGGAGAGAATCCAAGAACAACGAAATCTCTGACAAGAAGGGGGTAAATCATCATTTGGGCCGACAAGCCATCCATCCAGAAGCCATGCCCTTCAAAGACGCCCTCGCGCACTTCAAGTCCCAGATCAAGGACCTCCAGCAGGAAGGGCAGAAGATCTTCTCCGGGGGCCAGCAACAAAGACAACACCAAGACCCGCAGCAATATCCCGGCGCACAGCAGCATCAACCGCCCCCGATCCCGCAGTCCACACGGCCCAACCAACAGCAATTCCATCCACCGGGCGGCCAGCCGGGATTCCCACCCCAGCAGCCAGCGATATACTGGCAGGCTCGCTTTGATCCAGCGGTGCCGGTCAGCGCGGAGTGGGAGCACAAGCTGGGCAATAACAACGGGTGGGGGAACAATGAGATCGAGCATTATACGGCCGAGGGGGGGAATTCGTTCTAGTAAGTTTGTTTTCGAGTCAACCTTTGACACATCGTCGGGCTGTGGCAATTTCTTTCGTTCTTCTCCAGCAGTGGTTCAAGATCAAGAGGAGGGACTGCTTTGTGGCTTTGGAGAGGTTAGCGGAGAATACAGAACCCATGCTCTGAGAGAGGGAGTAGTTGCTCCGAGACCTGAGAAGCCTCTTGACGTTTGATCGATTGTAGGGGAGTGTAGGCTGTTACATCATGGTCGAGGATAACGTCTACTGTTTCCTTCTCCCCATCCTGTATTCCTGTCCCATCCTCCACCGCGTTGCGAGAGACAATATCTAACGGACCCTCCTCTCTCCTCTACTTTCAACAGCACGCCCAACAACCTCCTGGTCCTGCGCGCCACCTCGTCTCCCAACAACCCGGACCCGACGAAGAAATACACCTCGGCACGCCTCGTCTCGCGACAGCGCCTCTCACGCCCACAGGGCAGCCTAGTGGCGACGCTGACGCTGCCCTGCGCAGGGGGCATCTGGCCCGCATTCTGGCTGCTGCCGTTCGAGCCGTTCGCGTGGCCGACGGACGGGGAGGTGGACATTGCCGAGACGTGGAACGGCGACGGGGTCAACCACTCGTGCCTGCACTGGGGGTTCTACACGCCGCAGGACACGATGAAGCACCGCGTCGTGGCCACCCCCGTGCAGGGCATGGCCGGCGGCAGACCCGTGCGGTTCGAGTTCGCGTGGATGCAGGACACGTCCGCGGGACCGGGACAGGGACAGGGGCGGTTGCTGTGGTGGATTGACGGGCAGGCCGTCATGAAGGCCCCCATCCCGCAGGGCACGCGGCCCATGGCCGACTTCGTCGTGCTCCTCAACATCGCCATGGGGGGCAACGTCTGCGCGGGCCAGATCCCCCGCGAGGGCAGCTACGATATGGCGGTGCACGAGATGAAGATGATCGAGGAGCCCGAGGCCGGGGGCTGGGCGAGGTTCGAGAGGGACTGGGCATGGGTCAGGGAGGGGAACACCATTTAAGATGGATTAGAGGCGCGTCAATTCTTGGTCCTTTCTTTGAGCGTGAAGGAATGATTGATGACCGGTTGGGTTGGAGCCAGTTCACTCACTACACGAAACATATGGACTTCGACCATGGCGTTTTACAGATTGAATTCATAAATCTCAAAGTCGCCCTGCACCCGTATGTTCCGGGCTGGGGATGGGGGCTGTGCACTGATGAGGTTGCAGCATATTGAGGAGACGAGCGAACGTTGGAACAATATTAATGCCCATTTTTAGAGACTCGGTCTCGTGCTGTACACATGTCGTTGGTAGAACAAGCCCAGTTACAATTTCATACAATACGTCTCTTTTACTTCTTGACTCTGCGGCATGGGCCATCTGGTTCTTCATCCATCACTGCAACATATTCCCAATCTTCATTTGCCATATCCATGACGGCAGCCTGATATATGCCGCGTTAACCAGCTTGGTACAAGGCTGGTCCCGCATAGACGTAACTGTTATACGGTCAGCGACATAATCTTTGATCTCCTTCTAAGTAACGGAACTTACGGATTAACCATCGACAGATTAAACTGTGTAACATATGGATTCTGGCTTGTCAGCGCAATAAAGATAGTTGAGTTGACGGCAGGACTGCAGCATCATTCTAGTTAGCATTCGTTCACAACCAACTGGGCCCACCAATCGAACGAGGCGGTCATAAAAAGTGTACGAGGAAGAACTCACTCTCCAGCATATGTCGACATGTTGGGCTGGATGACCGCTGCAGTGTTGCCGCTAATGTTGACAAGCGGGATGAAAGTGGCGTTGAGTTGAGAGACGAACAGGGCAAAGCGGGGTGCATCGGCAAGAGGCGATCGTGCGGTGAGGTAACTATTATTGGGACCGACAGTCTCATTCACATTGCCCCACGAGAATTGGATGGGTCTACCAGGATAAGACAGAGGGATGGACTTGTTCTGGCTGATAGCGGGACCACAGTCTGAAGACTCGCCCTTCGCGTCGATGCACAAGTTGCTGGAGGCAATACCGGTGGTGTTTAAGGGGTCAGATCCAGTTGTGTTTGACATGGGGCCAATGTTGGGATTCGTCTTTGCCGGGTTGGGGTTATTCACAATGGTGAGCGCAGGGAAGTTCTGCCATGCGAGACGAGTTGTGTTCGCAGGGCAGCTCGAGCTGAGAGAGGTTAGAACATGAACCTCGACTTCAGGTACCAGAAAGGGGTGCCTGAATAGAAACAATCCAATGCTCCAGAGGCGGGAAATGTCTTACATGTATGGAGCTAGCAGTGTCCAAGCCCAAGACTGAGGAATCCCAGGGATGAACCATTCAGGCATCGGGAACAAGCCATCAAATTGACGGAAAATCAACTGTTGGCGGGCTTCAGTGGTGATAGAGTCAAGCAACAGCGTGGCAGATTCTCGCGAATCCAAGTGTCCAAGGAAGCCGTAGACACCGCTCTCGCCGAAACGGGTCAGTTTCTGACAAAAGTCAAGAAATTCCCGGACATTGGTGTAGGGATAATTGTAGGTGCATTGGGGCGGAGCCTACGTTTATGTTAGTTTGCAGGCTGCAACAGCAGCAAGGAAAGATGCCAGCAACTCACCGCAGGCCCCAGGATGTTGCTAAGCAATGTTGCATGGCCAACCTCTTGGTTTGCCATAAACTCGATCAAGAATCGATCCTCTGCAGTCAAGCCGGCATTGTTGAAATCCTGCACGGAGAATCGAGCGAGACCATTGTGGAAAAGATCCAGCTCAATCCATTCTTGGTAAAGGGCCAGAGTCAATGACTCGTAGTCGAAGTCGGACAGCGGGTGATAATATGGCAGGGTTCCATTGGTGCCCTGTCCGCCGGCTGGCTGATACGGGACGGGCATGCTAGAAGCTTGGAGTAGCCCATTGTTGTTCGTGTAAGTGACTGGGGCTGGCCCAGCAGGAGCGATCGATTGAGCCACGGGCGGAGCGCTCAATGCTCCCGTCACGGTGGGACTGGGACCGTTGTAAGGACCATGAGAAGTCGGTCCTGTCTGTTCACTGCTTCGAACAGGGGGAATGGGGGCGCTCGCGGGCGTGAGAGTGAGTTGAGGAGCAGGAGCAGCCGCTGCAAGAGTGCCAAAGCCCAAGAGAATACCCGCGTAAGACTTCATTGTCACGGCAGGAATAGAGAACGAGTCCGGGAACGAAACGAGGGTCAGAGTGCGGCTCTCAGATTTTGCGGGAATTATAACTTTTCATTGACCACGCTGTCTCACAAACTGCATGACCTCAACATTCCGTCCATACCGAGAGCATCCGGTTGTCAGATCCATCTCGTCCAAGTTCGTCAGAATGCCCATGGAATCGAGGCTCGGCAAGCGGCCCCGGAACAGCCTTCGACCACATATTTCACCTGTATGAGCAATGGGCGGGGAATATGTAGCTGTCATGGTGCGCCACACGAGCATTGCCGGTGTTCAAGTCGCCCAATGGACATCCCAGACCAGAGTCGATGAACACAGCTCTTTCGAATCGTGACGTAGTCAATGATGCTTGCAGAGGTCAGAGAGGCATGAGAGGTAAGACGAGGCTGCGCAAGTCCGTGGTCAAAGATACTCCACTGGGAGGTTTTTGCGTCGCGTCCGAGTGGCCATGGTATAGGAAGAGATGGAAGTAAGGCGAGGGAGGAGCTGCTGCTGCTGTCATGACGTCTGTGATTGAGGCGGATTAGATATCCTGGGGCTGCATCCCAGTAGCAGCTCCGGTCCTTGCAGCCATCAACCACCTACCACAGCCCATACCTGAGTGGCACTTGTCAGCTTCTTTCCCGGCTCTGCAGGATTCGAATCGCATCCAGTCATCGAGTACCACACCTGAACAGAATGCATCAATCAATGGCTGAACGAGGGAGTATGGCACGTCTCGCGTTGTAAGGATGTGGTGAGGTGCAGGTGAGCAAAAAGCGAAGAGTGCGCAATGCGCGTCTGGACGAGAGTGAGAGTGAAAATGCGGAGAAAGGCCAGTCTATCCGACCCAATCACTGGCTCCCCACACATGGCATCATGACTTTCTTCCTGCGCGTCCACGGTTGACGACCTTCACTTTGGAACCAAACAACCACAATATTGGGGTTTGAGTTTTGCCTGCCGTCAATATCCTAGGAAGCCCGCGGAAGACGCAAGCGGAGCGCGTAAGATTTACCATCCAGGTCCGCGAGTTCGTTCCTCCGCTCTCCATTCCCATCACTTTCCGACGTCCAACCAGAGATGCCATGACCTCAGCTCTCTTCGTGCAGCAGTAACATCAGCAGCAGCCAATCTCATTTCGGGGAAAGCCTTGTGATGCAGCCTTCATGAAAGAGACTTCTCGCCACTGGACATATAACAGAAGTTATCTTCTCAATCTTGATCCTGCCTGGGGCCCGAACAAGCAAGAGAAATTGGATGCGCTCATTTGGTGAGCAGGCCAGATGTTGCGAATTACACAATCGAAAAGGGCCGTGAGGCGCGGGGAGGAAAGATCAGCATGAGAAACAGGAGGATCAATGCACTTTCCGCGTCAGTGACGACTGGTGGTGTCGAACCGACCTCGATAGGTATCATCCTCACCCATATACAAATGTGTGTGTGTATATATACGGAGTACTTGGTATATATCGTAGCATGACCGACTTCCATGACGGATCAGCTGCAACACCAGTGGGAAAAGGGCCAAGATCTCGCACCATCAGCCCAAAGCTCAGCTGAAAAGCCATCGAGGCTCGGCAGTGATCCAATGGAGAAATTCATCCCCCCTGAAAAATGGAGAGCCACTGTGAAACAACACAGAAAATTAATATTGCACCATCGCGTCCATCTGGCCACGCTGCAACTCAGCAGCGCCAACGCGTCACTGGCACCACGGGGGGGCGGTCGATGGCACAGAATGGCATCGATGGGCATCTCGGGTGAGGAGCCTCACACCAATTTTGGACACTGGGACCTTGCTCCTTTTTCACGTTTCTCTGGCAGACTGGCACCAGCTGCCGCCCGTGATACCCAAACGACAGCGGCTCACTCACTCCAGGGCTGTGGACCATGCTACATTGGGACTTTGGGAAGGCTTCTAGCGACGCCCAGATCCTCTGTGGCTGGACTAGGCGCGTCCCCACTGGCTGATGGCCCCGGTACCTGCGCAAGCCCCCGAAGCCTTAATTTGAGCCTTTGGGAAGCCTTGGGAGTCTGAAGCGAAACTCTCCTCTCTCCTGACTGGTCTGTTCGCCCCTTTCACTCCCCCTGGTGGGTGGTTGTGACCTCGCCGTTGCCCACCATGGGTCCATGGGATTCGCGGTAGTGGCCAGACATGGTGTCTGATGGGCGGCGCTGGGGAAATTGCACTGGGAAGACTCTGAATTAGCCTCAATCGGTGCATGGCTTGACGAGCCGGCCTCCAATCTCCCTGGCTAGCGACAGCAGTACAAGAAGCTCAGGGCGCCCAAAGCTATCGTCTTCTTTCCTTTCCTATACTCAAGCTGTGACTTCAGTATCCTGCAAAGCCCTTTGACTTCGGTCGTCCACTCTTTCGAGTTCAGCTCACCCACGCTCGTTCAAAGCACCACATCGACGTCCTTCGCTTCTTCGAAGTTGTTTAGTTTTCCTCGATTCCGGTAATTCGATCTCAATCCAACCAAAATCAAAATGCGCTCCACCATTGCTGTCGCTGCCGGCCTTGCTGCCGTTGCATCTGCTGGAACCACCACCATCACCGACACCGTCGATGTGACCATCACCTCCTGCGAGCCCACGGTCACCAACTGCCCTTACAAGGGCGGTTCTGACCCGACCTGGGGCGACTGGAGCGTCACTGCCTCGACCACCTCCAGCGTCCCCGTCTCCGCTGCGTCTAGCAGCTGGGATCCGTCTGGAACCTGGGCTGACTGGTCCAGCGTGAGCAGCACCAGCAGCAAGCCCGTCTCTGCTGCGTCTGGCACCTGGGATCCGACCTGGAGCGACTGGAGCGCCTCGACCACGGCGTCTCCCGTGTCCGCCACCTCTACGGCTCCTTGCGGCAGCTACACTGCCACCACTCCTCCGGCCTGGTTCTCTCTCCTCCCAACTGACCAGCTCAGCTCCATCCAAGCCCAGTGGACTGGTGCTCCTCCCTCCGACTGGTGCTACTGGACTTACAGCACTGGCTCTCTCAAGACCACTGCCACTCCCGTCTCTGCTACCACTGTTGCCTGGGGCTCCCCAAGCGGCACCTGGTCTTCCGTTGCTGCCGCCTCGACTGGCACTGGTTCTTGGTCTTCTCCCGTGGCTGCTGCCTCGACTGGCGTCTGGTCCTACTCTGGGTAAGTGTTTAATTCTTTTCTGGCGATTTGAAGTCTTCAGAATCAGTCACGCTAACGGTTCGAACAGCTCCTCCACCCCCGTCGCGCCTGCCGTCGCCACCTTCACTGGTGCTGCCAATGCCAACACAGGTTCTTTCGCTCTCGCCGGTCTCGCTGCCGCCGCCGTTTTGGTTATGGCATAAGCGGGGTTGATCTTACGAGGGGCTTTTGAACATTTTTCTGTTACGATCCACATGGCCATTGCATTTGCAGGAACAGCAAAGAAGTCCTGCTTGATACCGAGGAAGTAAGCAGCATGTCTGGGGAGGTAGTCTACGTGGGGGAGAGCAGCGAGTGTTTCTGTAATTAGTTGCAAGTGTGCATGGGGTAGTTAGTTGCATGATTGAAGATGGTCCCTTCTTTGCATTTTATTTTTGGACGCATCAAGGAGGTGCTGGCTTGACCACGGTAGCTAGCACTGCGTAATACCTGTTTACCGGAAGCCCCTTTGGAAATGCCCTTCTCGTCGATCGTCTGCCCAATTTGGAGACACTGTGCACTCACCTGTAGCCGATACCGTGAACTCTGTGTGAGAACCGAGAATCAGGGGGGAGAGGAGTGGAGGTGGCGGGAACGAGCCTCTGGTGGATGCTAGGGAGATTGCATGTGGCCGAAATTAGCAGGTCGCGAGACGCCACACAGTCTTCATCCTTTGACTTGCCCGCGTTCTCTCTATACGGAGTCTTCTGTCTCACCTTCCTTCCTCCTTGACGAAATGAAACACTGCTGTGGACAGCCTTGGCATTTCTCTATAGCAACGGCGCCAGTGCTTGTCCACTGCGAGAGGGAAGATTGCGCACCGCATACGGCATTGTGATTCCCCATGCGAGATTACAAGCAGCAATCTCGCCTGGATCGCGTGTCCGTGGCCAGCTCCCACGTGGCAATCTTGTGAAGCTTGCATTTCTCTCCCCCAGAAAAGGCGAAGAGATCAGTGGTGTTCGCATCTGTGGGGAAAATTCATCACAGGGGACAATGGGCTGATTCCCAGACCAGACAATCTGACCCCGACCTCTCGCCGTGGCCAAAGTATATGATCGGCTCTCTCCTCGTTTCAGCTACTTCACCTTACAAGCACCCTCCCGCGACGAGAGATTCGAATGAATGACAGATGTAACCCAAGCAAGGGCCGATGCGCTGTTGGACGGACCCCAAGCAATCCTCAGTCCAAATCTCATACAAGATTCCCCTCTGGGGACTTCATCCAACATCCTGCTGGGGGAAAGCAGGTTAATCCTCTGTGCACGGTCTTCAACGGCGTGCTTTTATCCCGCATGGCCGCCCGCTCTGAACCAGATGGAGAGTTACACTCTACAAGTACTGCTACTGAGGCGCCTGAGGCATTATTCCATCGAGGCTTCCAGCGCCCGCGGGCCTGAGACGTTTGGCGGTTTGGACCCCAACACGACCGTTTTGACCGCCAGGCTTGGGGCTAGTGAGGCTGGGCAGTTGGCCATGTGAAGGCTTGATCTGCTTACTCCGCCCCCAGCTTGTCAGCTCTAGCTTGTTGGGGCAATTTCTGCAACGGCTTTGTTCTGTGAGGGAAGCGCTCATTTTCTTTTCTATTCCAACTTGATCAGAAGGAACATCGGACCGCGAAGAGCCTCCAGTCCATCGCCTCGACCGCCGTGCAACTGTCTCCCTTCTCGGACTTTCGTTATTGCCGTCAGCGCTGTTAACTGTTTATTGCGATGTTAGGCTATTACGAGGCGTGAGCTCATGGGATTGGGAGTAGAATAGGCCTTGCTGCACAGCCAGCAGAACCTCGCTTCCCTTAGCCTCCCTCGCTGCCACATTGCTATTCTTCACTGCGCCCGCGACATACTCGCCCCTTCTGCTATGATTATTCTGACGCTTACCGCTTACTGACAGTCGCTTCCCGCACCATTTACTATCAATGGACAGACCCAGTGTTGGCGCCGTTCCTCAGTGTAAGTCTGACGATTCCAGGACCCCGATTACGCGACGGATGATGGTCGTCGAAACTTGCCCTTCCTACAGCCCTTGTCTCCGTCACGATTCAGCCCATCAAACAATAAAGCTCATATGTCGCCCTTCGCCATGGCTGCGTGGCATGCCATGTGCCTCTTCACCTTTTTGACGAGTGGCCTGGTTGGTTGCCGATATTTTCTCGTCGTCTTTCTTTAAATGATTTTGGCATCGAGGGTCGGTGGATGCCGCCAGGAGGAAAGATCATCATCGTCCTTGGGATACTCTCACTCTTTCGGTCAGCCTGACAAGTGAATGATCCTGGTCTGGACGTGTCTTAGTCTTCCAGACTCGTTTTGTCATGATGAGTTCACCAAGCAACAATGTCTTCAGTCAAGTCCGGTCAAAGCTCCGGCAGTCTCGCTCCAGCATGATGCTGTCAAGCTCGACACACTCTCAATTCGAGCAAACCAATTGGGAAAATGTTCCGGTGGCATTTCAGCCTGTCGAGAGGGCAGAGGTTCGAGTTGTACATGGTTATTACTTGGATCGACCTCTTCCTGGACCCCCTCCACGTCCGCGAACAACATCTCCTCCAGCTTTCGAGCATCGACCGGCTGTGGATATCGGCAGTCTCAGAAATCCTACACCTCGCACACATCGCAGCAGGTCGGCTGAAATAGCGCAAAGAGAGTGGTCAAGTTTTGATGGGCGCGACTCGACCTTTCAAAACAAGAGGGCAAGTGTCAATATTGCCATTGCCCTTCCACCGGACCATCTCGATCCTCCTCCGCCGTACTCTCGCTACCCTTCGCCGCCATCCGCACGGCCTGAATATCCGGCCAGTCCGCAACCTCCGCGTGTTCGCGAACAGCCGTTCATAAAACCATATAACCCAGTCGATTATGTCAGTCAGCCAAGCCAGGCTGCGAGACGAATGCCTGAAGAGATACCCATGATAGCTGCTCCAGAGCCGCCCACTCCGGTTTCCCCCATCAATGCTCTGGATTTGCAGTACTTGGCTATGAGGCGTCCGCCTGCCACCGACAGCAATGTCACCATCGATGGTCTTCTGGGTCATCCTATGCTGCAACAGAGATGAGCTTCCAGACTCCTTGCGTCCCAGCGAGTTTAATTTGCCATGGCGGCGGAGACTTTCGGTTGTTGGAGAGGTTGGTCGATGCTAGTTTCCACCGAAAACGCAGACTCTGGTCGAGCCCGCAGCGGTAAAGGATATTCACGCAGACATGTGTGCTCGGACCATGGCCGATCCAGGTGCCAGATCCCCGGTCCCCGCGTGCATGCCTTGGGAAGGTGGGAGGAGGAACTACTATTGCCTGCCACCTGAATCGCGGTCTGTTGGAATGCAACGCGCAAGGAGACACCCCTTCGCATCGCGACCGTGGGATGCGTTACAAGGAATCATTGCTTTATATGGTGCCCTTCGCCACAGGCAAGTTTGATTTCAATCACTACTTTCACTCATTTCTTTTTCTTCCAACCCTCCTTTGCTTTGCACGTGTTCCTTTCCGTAGCCGCTTCTGTCCCGGCAAGACGTTCTTTCCACAATCGCGTAAAAGAGATTCACTCATTAGCTATCTTCAATGGCGCCGATCTCTTCTAGCGGCGCAAATGCCGATGGCAATACCTTTTCACCCCGGCGGCTTGTCTCACGCGCCCTACCTTCCGAGTCCCTCATCGCTGCAATTATTGTCCTCTCGGTGATCTCGACGCTTCTATTCGGCAGTATGGTCTTCCTGTTAGGCAGAATCTGGAAACAAGTGAGGGCCAAGGGAGCCAGTACACATGCATCCGACGCACCCAAGAGTCAAAGCGGAATCTCCGAGCGCAAGCAGAGTGACTGGGCCCGGAAGAATAGCAACGTGCTCTGGTCCATGTATATTGAAGAGGACGATCTGAAAGCTCAATTCGCTGTGTCGCCAAAGTCCAGGCTGTTCTCCATCGGATCCGTCTCCACCGTTGATCAGGGAACATGTCCCCTGGAGCGACGACATTCACATGGCAATCCACCGGGCCAGCACAAGATTGCGGACGACAAGATCCCCAAGACAGAGGGGTCAACTGCCGACCTACGCAGTCGAACTCCATTCGAGCATCAGACAACACCAACCAAGAACGTCCCTCGCGCGCGAGCCCTATCTCAGCCTTGCCACCACAAATACAGCAGTTCCATCGAGGAGCTGGCGAAGTGAAAACAAAGTGTACCCGCGCGGATCGATGAAGAGCTTTTCGGGGGCTACGAGTTCTATGGAAGCCCCTGAGTGCAAGAGTGGGAAGGTTTCTGCTAGGATCTGGACGCAACGGTTGACGAGAGGCTGCCTCGGGACTATCTCTCATTTACGATCCTTACCACTTCGATATCGCCATCTTTTTAGAGGAATACTGATTCAATTCAACTTGCCACTCATCGTATTCTGCTTCGGCGACGTCTCGGATCACCTCATCGCATGCCGAGTCACGTGTCTCACTCCCTCAGCAAATTCGTTAAGGTCCTCAAAATCCATTCCTCCTCTCTATTCGTCACTCAACCAATTCCTTCGCACAAGACATTTGACTCTAGACCATCTGTACCTTGCAGGAATGCCTTGCACCAATGATGCTGAAGAGTTTGCCTGCATGGAACCCCGATTCTCCAGCCCAAGACGGAGCACCATGTGTAGTTGTGTGTGCAGCCCTCGTGTCTGGCTCCCAATGCTGCGAGCTTCAAGATGCCGATGACGAGATGACGGGTCTCGTTCTATACTGTGGGCAGCTGTGTCCAAGAGATAAGTTTGTCCTCATCTCCTCCTTCCCGTTCACACGTCTGGGTTGTTTGCCGGTTTCACTTTCCCGCCTATTGTTTGGAAAGGGCTCTCGCTGCCAGCATTTGCCTTCAGCAAACATCCTGCTGTTATACTTCCCAACTTGACTTGCCAGCTTCTCGTCTTGGTCTCCGTGTGCTCATCTTCGCTCCCTGTTCTCTGTTCTCTTGAGCAGACTTGGACAATGCTTCTCAACGCCTCTCACAAGCTCAGCTTCAGCGGTCTCCCCCCGGATCTGCTCGATGCCTATGTGCGGTACAAGAAAAGCACCCGTGCTCTTCTGACGTGGTTCCTCCAGCACAGCCCGACGCCAGACAAGCCTGTCAAGAGCTTAACCATCAAAGACCTTGAGTCCCTGGCTCAACTGGCGTCTAAGAAGATACGTTCTTTGCCCGATGTGGTGCACTTCTACTTCCGCGAGACAATTTCAGATCGGAAGAAATTCAGCAAGTATTACCGTTCCCAAGTCGGTGAATCCGCCGGTTTTGATGTCGATACGATCAACCACGAACATTTCACTGCAACGCAAGTCTTGGATTGCTGACTTGTCGATCTGAATGCTGACTCCGTCCGCAGTCTCACCAAAATCTACAACGATCTCTGCGTCTGTTGTGGTGACCCCAAGCCTGGAAACCAACCACACCGTAAATCGCCTTCGACATCTCCCGTCTGTCAATCCCTTCGTCCGGTCAATCTTTACGAGGGCCTGGCAGTTGAGGAAGCCGAAGACCATGAAGGACAGACCCCTGGAAAAAAGAGACCTTCAGGCCAATCTAAGCCCATCCCACCGCCGCTCTCGGCATCTGAGGGTTCAGATCTAGACATTCGCCTTGCAGACGATGATCTCGGCAACGCTCTCGAGCTGGCTGCCGCCGCGCAGGTAAGACAACCGTGAAACGCACCACCATCTTGCTAACGAAATCAGCAAATCCACGACATCTCTTGCTCCGTCGAACAATTTTGGCGACTTGTTGGAGAGGGTACCCTCTCGATCGCTGTGGGATCTTTCATGACCAATGTCGCTTTTGCATTGCTGCGCCAAACCGTTGACGAGTTGCTCCAATACGACGAATGCTTGAGTCTCGCAGACCTCCGTCATATATGTTCTTCTAAACATGCAGCCAGTCAAAATGAAGGTGGCACTGAGGAGCCCAAGGGCACAAACCAAGCCCTGCTGGATCGGCTGCAGCAGATTGAACAAACCCTGTCAGATGTCTCAAACGGTAGTTTGCCCTTGGCCGACCCATCTTGCGCCAAGTGCGGCCACAAAGAGGCTCAGGAAGCCCAGGACAGAATCATCAAGGACAATATCGGTAATCAACACCTCTCGTCAGCCATCATAGAAAAGCTTGTCCAGTTGGCGAACAGCAAAGCAACAGAAATCGAGGTCATCAAAACCGGGACACCAGTCTATTGGGATGTGCGCTGCACCATGTCGAATCCAAATATTGCGACCAAGTCTTGGTCGGCTGTTCTGGGATTGAACCTCCTGACCCAAGGCACCCAAAGCTTTCTTCGATCCCTTCCGCAGCCACAAATGGCTTCACAAGGTCGCATTGCAGTCCTAAAGCTTGCACACCAAGCTCGTTCTCACGTCACCGCAGTCTTGAAGAACAAAGCCGCCTTTCCCTGCCGATGTCCTCAGACTCTTGGCTGTCACCTGCAGAATCTGGAGACCGAGCTGCATCGGTATGCAAGCTACAATTGCTGGGATCTCGTGTTTCAATCTCCATGGGTCGCTGGTAATCACGCCCTCGAAATGGTAGACCTGTGTCACTACTATGGATTGCATCTACTCAGGTATCGGCACTACGTGGGCGCTGTCTTGCATTCCTACAACGTTCTCCGACAACTGGGCGGACTGGAAGAAATCCCGGCTCTGGAGAAACTGTGCATTCAATTTGGGGATATCTTGTTTCCCGCCAGCAAGGCACCAAAGTCGAACTTTCGCACTTGCTGGGCGAGGCACGTGGGCGCCAGGCTGAAATTCGAACAGGGCCATAAGGGCAAGAACAGGCATGACAACTGGTGTCTCGCTATTCCTGCTCATGCGGCGAAGGCTGCAGCTGGATTCGATATCCCGAACCACCAACACAAGCAAGGTTCAGGTTGCATGTTGTTTCGCTATAAGCACCAGAACTACCACATCAGCGATGCCCAGATGAAGGAGCTTGGTGCTCCCCAGTTGCTTCGCAACGGAACGAGCGGAGATCGGGCAACAAAACGGATGTGCAAGGCAGACGCACAGATCATTCAAGCTGCAGGCCAGAATCCGATGCTGTTGCCGCTTGGCCTAGCGACGCACCGATTATTCACCACGGGCACCTGCGGATTTCTTCCCATGGCGCGCGTGAATCTCTTTGCACTGTTTGAGCGATGCCTCAGGGTGGTCTCAGAGGTCTCGGACAAGATGCATTCTGAGAACGAGGCCGAGACGGGGAGCAATTGCATCTGTTTCTGCAGTGAGATTTTCAGCGCCGCAGATCGTATTGTTAAAGGCAGACGGCTGGGAAAGCTCGAGGCGTGGCATGAACACGAACGCAAGCTCATTGAGAACACGAAAGAAGCCATCCATAAAGCATTCGGCTCTATTACGGCAGACGAGATGCTGTGGACTATCTGAGGCTCACCATCGCAAACAGTTCGGCATACCTAGGGCCTCAGTTTGTCAGCAGGTGGCAGTGCAGAGGTGCAATGAGCTGGAACTGCTTTCAAAAACGCTCGTTTTGCTACCGTCTTTCCTTTTACTTTTCGAGGGGTTTTATGGTAGCAGATGGAGGCTATTGGAGGGTTAGCTCGAGAATTTTGTCGTTGGTCGGTCGCTGTGGAATCAACAGGTATGGATGCTTCAAATTTACAGTCTGGCTCGCGTAGTGATTAGGTAGTCACCCTTCCACAGATTTCAATCCCACATTGTCTGTCGACATGACAGCCGAATTGAATTTGTCAGAGGTGGGCAGTTCAATGTGGACATTGTTCACAGTGGCAATGCCCATGTTCACCTCGTCTGCGTGCAGTTCGAGAACGTGTCCTCCGATCTTCTTATCCTTGTCAATGAAGTGCATGTGCTCGCCGGCGACAAAGAAGCCCTGCCACGCAGCTGGCGAGCGGAATCCCACAATCGTGCCCTCGACGTCGTGATACTCTGCGACGAATTGCTTCTTTCCCAGCTCGCTCAGCGGCTGGCCGTCGTACTCCTGGCCCTTGACGGTGCGGCACTTGATGCGCTGGAACACGCCCTCGACCCGGTACGACATGAACAGATTGCTGGCGTGGTCGTTGAACTGTTCTAGGACCTGGTCGACCGAGTCCTTGGTCTCGAGCTTGATGGACGCCAGCGTCCTCTGCGAGCGGAAATGCGTCGCCGCAGCGTAGGGGATCTGGTCATCGGGGGACGCCACGCGGATTTTGCCCTCGGCTTGGAGCTGGTAGACCGTGCCGTCTAGCAGGAGCAGCTCGCCGTCCATGCGCACGAAGGTGCCCAGCCCTTGGTTCCCCTTCTCGAGGAGCTGCGTGACGGTGATTCCGCTGTCCGAGACGCCCGACATCAGCGCACTAGAAGGGAGGGGGGAGTTGTTGTTAGCTGTGTCCATTCCATTCGTCCAGGCGTGCATCAGGGCGTAGATACACTTACTTGACCAGGGAGTATTGGTAGATCTCGTTGATCGCCATCTCTGTCGCATTCCACTCCCTCCGCGACAAATGCTGAGATATGCTTCTGTTTTGCTTTGTTCGCTCCCTCTTTTTATTTCTTGGCCGTCCTCAGATGATTCGCCTTCTCTTTTATGTTCTTCTCGTCGTGAGTGTGTTTTCTCTTTTCTTTAGTGATCCAGCACGAAAGTCAAGGTGCCCGATGACGTCCGCGAGGAGAAAAGGGCTGGCCCTGAATGGGAATACGGGACTGTGTTTGGAGTCGCTGCGCTTGAAAGGAGTGGAATGGGTGGAATCACCGGCAGCCGATTACATCATCCAGCATCCCAATGAATGAGGCTGTTACATTGCCTTCAATGGGGGGTGGAAGTCATTTTACAAGTAGATTACTGTGAGTGAGTGAGTGGGCAGGTGAGGATATACTTGTATGACACTTCGCACTGTGTCTTGATACTTCTACTTTCTTCTTCCCCCCTCCTCCCTCTCCTCGCAACCCCCCGGATCCAGTGTGAGCCCAACATGAGTACCGACGACACTGTTGCTCAGATCATCGTCAACAGCCTCTACAATGCCGGCGTGCGCTTGGTGTTTGGGGTGCCAGGCGCCAAAATCGACGCCATCTTTGACTGCCTGATGGACCATCCCGAGATCAAGCTCATCGTCGCCCGGCACGAGCAAAATGCTGCCTTCATGGCCGCCGCTGTGGGCCGCATCACGGGCATCCCGGGGGTCTGCATCGGCACCAGTGGCCCAGGGGCGTCGAATCTCGCCACGGGCCTCGTGACAGCGACGACGGAAAACGACCCCGTGGTGGCGCTGGTGGGCTCGGTGCCGCGCCACATGAACCTCAAGCGCACGCATCAGAGCATGCGCGCGCTGGACATCCTGGGCCCGACGGCCAAGGTCGCCGTCGGCATCGACGTCGAGGACCAAGCCGCCGAGGTCATCCTCAACGCCTTCCGCACCGCCAACACCGCCCCCAAGGGCGCCACCGTCATCTCCATCCCGCAGGACGTCGCCAAGGGCAGGTCGACCATCCTCCCGTTCCCGAGCGCCGCGTTCGTGCCGCCACTGTACGGGCCTGCGCCGCTGCAGAAGCTCGACCAAGTGGTGCAGATGATCGAGGGCGCCAAACTGCCGGTGTTGTTTCTGGGGATGCGGGCGAGCAGCCCGCGCGTGGTGAGCGCCGTGCGCCGCCTGCTGTCCAAGTTCCCCCTGCCGACGGTCGAGACGTTCCAGGCCGCGGGCGCCGTGCCCCGCGAGCTGGTGCACCTGTTCTACGGGCGCGTGGGCCTGTTCCGCAACCAGGTGGGCGACAAGCTGCTGTCGCGGTCCGACCTGGTGCTCGCCGTGGGCTACGACCCGGTCGAGTACGACGCCAACCTGTGGAACCCGCAGCAGAAGAACAACATTGTGCACATCGACTTCACCGCCTCGGACTACGGCACCTACTACCACCCGGTCGCGGAGCTGTTGGGATCCGTCGTCGAGAACCTCACGTACATCGCCGACCACCTCTCCCGCATCGCCGAGCCCTCGCCCGCCATCTCCGACACCTGCCGGGGCTTGATCAAGGAGTACACCCTGTGGCAGGACCGGCCCGAGGTCAAGGGCTCGGCGTCGCCTTCGGGGCTGGTTCATCCGCTGCATTTCATCACCACCTTGCAGGGCCTCGTTTCCAAGGACACGACCGTGTGTGTGGATGTGGGTTCGGTGTAAGTTTTTGGCCCTACTTCTGGCTCGGCCCTCTCCTCTGGGTGTCTCCATATTTCCAAAGATGCTCGGGAGCAGGTGCAATCATGAGAGCACAGCTACGATCAACAACCAGGGTCTCGCTAATGCTCTTTGTTCTTGTGTGCAGGTATATCTACTTTATGCGGTTCTTCTTCGCCTACGAGCCGCGCCGGCTACTGTGGTAAGCCCGCCTTCCTTGTCCTCCTGCTCCTCACCTGTCCCATGATCTCACCCCTTTTTCTCCCCGGCCTTATTCTTTCCCAAGAGAAACCAACCCCTCTAACAACCTATCCTCCCGTCCTGTTCCCCACCACAGTTCCGACGGCCAACAAACCCTGGGCGTGGCCCTTCCCTGGGCCATCGCCTCGTCCCTGACACAGACCCCGACGCCGTGCGCGGACAAGGTCGTCTCCATCTCCGGCGACGGGGGGTTCATGTTCTCGTCCCAGGAGCTGTCGACGGCGGTACAGCAAGGGTGCGACATCACGCACTTCATCTGGAACGACCACGCGTACAACATGGTCGAGTTCCAGGAGGTGCTCAAGTACGGGCGCGCCAGCGGCGTGCGGCTCGGCGGCGTGGACTTCGTCGCCCTGGCCGCGGCGTTCGGCGCCAGGGGGTTCCGCATCGAGAGGTCCGACCAGGTCGAGCGCGTCGTGCGGGAGGCCCTCGCGTACAAGGGCGTCAGTCTCGTCGACGTCGCGATCGATTATGCGGGCAATGTCGAGTTGGCGGAGAATGTCATTGCGGATGAGTGGAATTGAAAGGCCCCCCGGATCTTCTGTCTAGGAGAATGTTTTGTGGGGAGGATTGGGTTTCAATTGATGAGGCGGTCTCCTTGGGTATACATGGACAGTCCCGTTGGATACCTAGTCGCCATAGAGGGGCGCCCCCAAAAGCGCCATGACATGACATGACATGAAGCGACGACGTATGAAGAAAGCTCTCTGGGCCTGTGCGTCGCGCATAAGCAGCTGGACACCTGTTCTGACCTATGTTGCTTGGACAGTCTTTTCTGTCTTCCTTCCGTCCTTTGGTGGTACATTACTTCTCTCCCACAAGAAACACAGCCCTCTTATGTCCATACTTTCATCCTGATTAAACCAAGCGGGTAGACCAGCTCCGCAGATACCCTGGACAGAAAACCATGTGGCTGCCATGCACCTCATGTCCCAGCCCCTCGCTGGCGGCGGCGCGACTGCTTGTACACCAGGGCTGCCCCTTCTGGCGTCATTACAAACTCAGTCTTCCAGCCCACAACGTAGTCCTCTCTCGCCCCCGAACCCCTTCTGACACTCCTGCCCTCCTCTCCTGCAATGCCTAGATCTTTGGGATCCAACTCCGCAGGCATAGGAACCTCAGCAGCGAACTGCGATGAAACTCCGACTAGGTCCGCCCTCACCTCTTCAGGCACAACCACTCTCTGCTGAGGCTGCACTGTCTGCGATTGCTGCGACGTCGTTGAGTCCCTGGTGAGAGTGTTGCCGGACCCGCCGCCGCCGCCGACTCGCCCAGCACCAGCACCACCCTTGCCACGAGCCTCGTGGAACTGGACGAGGATGTCGTTGAGGGCAGACTTCTCAAAGAAACCCAGACCGACGAGATCATAGCGGGCGTGGAGGGCAAGCAGAAACTCCTGCATGTTGACGTCCTGGCTTGTCTCATAATACTCGCCGGCAAGCGCCTCGAGCTCGGAGCGCGCTGTGCCTGAGACGTTGAGCGCCGCTGGAGGGACATGCCGGAGGAAATCCAGGACGTAAGATCGGAAGGCGTCGTCGGGGAGGGTTGAGGTGGTGCTCGACATATGGTACAGATCTCTCGTCAATCCTTTGCACAGAATTGTCTGGTTGATTTGGCTGAAGTAAAGGTGCTCTGACTTTGAAAGAGACGTCCCGGGTTCAGTCTGTAAGGTGACGCGTTAACACATAACTTGTTCAATAGGTGGTAGGTTCTCCCGTACTGATCTCCTTCATCCAGTGATCCTGGAGCGCCGCTGGAGGGGTTGGGAAGCAGTTTGAGCGGAGTGTCGACGTCTGGAAGGTGCGAGGTCACAGATGAGAAATGGGTGGTTAATATGAAATTGGTCGCAGCTTCGCCTTACATGCTGAAAGCAGTGGTAAAGATCCGTCAATTCAACCTCAACCGATGCTAGAGGCTGCGGAAAGACGCACACCAGGTCCAAACCCAGGAGGCTTTGATCGCTCCAGCTGAACACCTTGGCGGCCCTTTCTCCAGTAATTCACGCTCATGACGCAGACTAGGCGAAGGAAAATGCCAGGGAGAGACTCATTCCACGTCGGCGATATGTCGCGATATGAAGGAGGCGAACAACAGAGACAAGGCGGTTCTGTGTTGAACTTCTCCAGTCGTCTTTGTGGCACAACTTTAGATGCCGTCGGACAACATAGTGGTTCGTCCCACTGGATGGACGAGAAGTTGTCGAAAGCGCGTCTCGGTGGCTTCCACTGCATTGTTGAGTGCGGATCATGAGAGACCAGCAGCTGCCTGGCGATTGCTGGGACAGGCCAGTAAGTTCTGTACCCAAAACGGCATGCGCCAATATGGACTTCATGTACGGCACAAACGAGCACTCCTGTCGTTGGGTGATGAACGAAGAGAAGTCGGATAGGTCGCAATAGCGAAGAAAGATGTCCTTAACTAGTCCGCAAGTGACCAGGTCGATGTCATCAATGTATCCAGCCTCGCCTCGGATATTATCCATCGCTGCAAATGAGCACGGAACTGTCGACAGTCATTGATCTCTTCTGTTGCCATCAGCAATCCCCCCGATGAGCAGTCGTCCTGAAAGGCTTCTTTCTGGAGCGGAAGCACGTTAATGTGTTATATGACCCTTATTGCATGGGAGAGTGTTTGTACCACAAAGGATGAAATTTCTTTTTCGTCCCATGTACATCGTCGTCTTGACCATACGCACCAGCATGCGCTGTGAACCTTACATAGCGAGATTGACCCGGAGAGTTGATTATCTCAATATCAGGCCAGATCCCAATCGGCTTGTCACGAGTGCCAGATTCCAGCTGCAAATCACGGCTTTCGTATTGAGGGTCAATCTTGACGGGGACAAAAACAGTTACTTTGTCAGGGCTTGATAAGTCAACCATGTTGGCATGACCAGGATGTTGATATTGTGGGGTTTCATCACCGATCGAATACCAGAGAGCCGCATATATCATCCGAAACTGCACTGACATGATCTTGGCCAACTGGAGATCTTCACCTGTGGGTTTCTGACCATCGATGCCCAAGATATAGTTGCGCACCAGCCCGTACCATTGGCGCAGCAAACTGTGGAGCTGGTGAAAGCCAGAACAGGTTCTGTTCCATTCTCTGTGGCGGAGGGCATACGAAAACCGCCAGCAGAAGACTTCGAAGAACTTCTGTTGTATCTGGACAGGATCATGGAATGCTTTTGGGAGCCGTGGTATACTCTGGTCGAAGGAGATGGTGGGTTCCGCTCCAGGAAGAAACATGGGGGTTCTGAAAATGGAAACCACCGTCTCCACCTGCATCGCGATGGAATAGATCGCTCTGGTGGCCGGCGTCCACTTGGTATGAGGGTCATTCATGATGCGAAAGGCCGCGGCGAGATGTGACAAGCCCGCATGGCACTTGATATGCGGATCGAGGTGCTCGTAAACGGCTATCAGGACGCAACACAGGAGCACCGTGTCCACACAGATCACGTCCTTTTCTCGGTTGAGCCAGGACAACGCTTGTAGATACTGTTCGGACGCAAAGGAGGGCTGCGCCGAAATCAAATCAGAGGTTTCCCTATACCTGCCAGCCAGGGCAACTGCGAGGTGCCGAGCCGCCGGGATCGATGTTACGCATTGTCGAACATGGCGGAACCAAAAGTCCTGAGCGCTGCTCGCAAACGTCCATTCTGCCATGGCGGGCGTGGTGACTTCGCAGAAGTATTGAAAAGACCAGCGCTCGAGATCTTGGCCTTGTTCCGTTGATATAGACCCGGGTAAGAACGCAGGAACGGGAGATGTATCTGATGACCTGTTGCCAGAGGGCTCGAATATCCAAACTCTGCGAGCAACATAGCCGTCACAGTGACGACTGCTTCGCTCGCATCTCAGACAATTTGGCTTGCCCTCGTCGCATTTTAGGTGACGCCGTTTACAAGTGAGGCAACCAGTGACGACCTTGGAATGATGTGCTCGTTTGGTGGAATAGTGTGCGTTATTGTTGCTGGGCAGACCTGAAGGAAGTGGGTCGTTGTATAGCGAACATGGTGAGGATGAGGGCGAAGTATCCAGGCGTTGCACGCCGACATTGTGCCCGATGGGTTGGTGTCCCCCAATATTCGTGCGCCTGTGTTTGCGTCTCGGTGCCATAGGATGCGCTTCCCACTGAAAGACCTTGAACAAACCACATTGTCGTCTGACAAAAATCCCCCTCAGACTGAAGCAGTCCCTTTATAAACCCGAACAGGGCTGAGATGCATGACGCAAATCAGTGATGGGAGGCCTGAGCCGCTTTGCAGCACATGGTGGCACTAGATTGGACCTCCAAAGAGGCTAGCCCGTACGACTGCAGAGATGGAGGCTGCCATGCCGTCAAGACTTGTAAACGAGCTTGATAGCGATTCGCTCAAAGCCTGGGATTTGCCGGATATAGCTCTATTGACCTTCTTTCGGGACCTACCCCAGAGGTGGAAAGCCTGTTGACCTGAGTGCACATGGCGGGGGAATTGAAGCCATACCAGTGGCCAGGCATTTCTGAGGGGTCGCGGCGAAGTCACAGGGGGCTTAGAGGTCCTCTCCCGTAGCTTTTTAGGCGAGACTCCGGCGCCCTGAGAGCCTAATGCGAATTGATTTGCCTTGATGCACTGGGAGATGCCAGGGCCATCGAGAGATCTTCGCCCTCAGCGTTGGGTTTTCGCTCACATGTCCATGCTAGGGTACTCGTCTAGCCGTGTCCTCGCTTCTGTTCTGCTCGTCTGAGACTGGGGTTGTTAGTCAAGGTTTGCGCATGCGGAGAGTCGCTTGTTGAGCATTGGTATTCAGAGCAATCGAGATGGGCAGGGGTTGTGAACCGCTTCCAAGCTCTTCTATACCGATAAAGGGGACTGCTGTCAGAGCACGGTCGCCTAGAATGCTACCATTACCAAAGAACTTTCTTGCGAGTTTGAAAGGAAGACAGCATCCAGGGACGCCATTCGCCAGAGCTCGGGCGAGAACGTTGCACCCAGCGACTCCTCACTCCATATAGGCGTCCCGTGTTCGGGTCGATGAATGTGAAATGCCCAGGACGATCTGGATGAAGAGCAGTAAAGCAACGACAAGACGAAAGACGAGAGGGAAAGTGCCCAGCCTCGTGGGACGAGATCCTATCAGGGTTTAGGCCAGCCTTGCCAACCTCGCCGGACTTGTAACCACCAACTTCCAGCTCTAAGCACTCATCTCACAAACTCATCTGGCCTTCCGTCGTCATGGAGGACAATATCCTGATTCCAGTCCCATCGTTTCATGTCGAGCTCGCCGCGCTCGATGCTCTCCACCCGTAGGTCTCCTCAAAATCCGCGACAACGACCTGTGTTGCAGCGTCTTTGGATCTCTGAGATCTCCTCGCTCTCTTCAATACTGATGCCAGACTAGTGTCCACTACAGCCGCCGCCTTCTCATATTTCGCTGTACCTCCCTTGCCCAACGAGATGCTCAACTGGCTGCCTTGAAGGTGGGCTTACAAGCTCTTGGCTTGCGGTGTCCCATCTTGGGTGGTACCATTACCCCTCTACAACCTGCAGAAATCAACACCACCAACTCCAATCCGGACTGGCGTACGATCCGGCCTGACCCTGGCATTGAGCTGGTGGTAAAAGACCTACGGGCGGTGTTGCCTTCTTTTGAGGAGCTCAAGTCCTCCGGGTTTCCCATCACCGGACTCCCCTATAACCTGCTTGTGCCTGTGCCTCAGGACATTGGCAATGACCGACCCTCCGCGGCATGCAAGATCCAGTTCAGCACGATCGAGGGCGGTACTATCCTTACCTGGGCAATGTCACATTGTGTAGCTGATGGCAGCGGAAACAACGAGTTGATGCACGTGCTGAGTGAGGCCACAAAGCTCGCACAAGACCGTGCTACGGACGACGTGCTTGCACAGGCTGCCGCTTCGACGCAGATAGGGTTTGACCGGAGTATCATGCGTGGTATTTGTAGCGAGATCCCGTTCAGGATAGAGGATCATCCAGGATATATGGCCAACGCGCCAAAGCGACCCCCAAGCCATCCCTTCGAGGCTACATCCGCGGAGGTATCAGTGCTCTTTCACATCCCCGCGACTCGGGTGGCGCAACTCAAAGCAGATGCAACACAGCCGGGCGCACCCCCGATTTCGACACACGATGCAATATGCGCCCTTATATGGCGAAGTCTCATCCTGATCCGCAGTCACCGCTCTCCCGAAGCACGGAACGTCCCCGACTCCGCAAAGACCAACCTTTTCATGCCCTCAGATGCCCGCCGCCACCTGAACCTCCCGCAATCGTACATTGGCAACGCCGTCTACCAACTTTCCGTCTCAATCGACCTGGGCACCATCCTCGCCCCAAGCTCGGGCTTGCGGGAAGCTGCCAGCGCTGTCCGCCGCGCTATCACGGCCGTCAATCCGACCCTCGTGCGCAGCGTCATGGCCGAGACAAATAAGCGGTGGGTGGACTGGGCTTTTCTGGGTAGCTACTCGTCGACCGGAGTGGCCATGGGCACTGACTGGACGAGCTCGGCGCTTTATCAACAAGACTGGGGGACCGAGTTCGGGGGCGCCCCGGCCAGGTACAGATATCCAAATGAACCGGGTGTCAATTGTATCATGCCCAAGCTACCAGATGGAGCTGCGGAGGTCATAGTCAGCGTTATGGAAGGCGAAGCGGCCCGATTGAGCAGTGAAGAGTGTTTTGGGAAGTATATCGAGCCACAGCCTGTTGGGAAATGATTGTACAGGGCAGATCGGCTGTTGCCCAGGAACAACGATCTTCAGGCTACATCCACTACTCTTCTGCGATCTATTCTCGAGTCACTGCAAAGAAAACTATTAAATGCGCATTGCCATCTCTGCGACGACACACTATCTCTGTTAGCTTTGTGAAGCCTGTCATCCTCTTCCTGTCGTTAAGCTGAATAATTCAATTCTGCAAATACGTCAACAAACAACCCCGTCCTCAAGAGGCAGAAGTCGTCATCATGTCCCAGCATTAAGGGAGAAGAAGATACACCCCTTTGTTCAAGAATCATACACAGGCCTACTGGCGAAATGCACCATCTTCTCCCCCCAGTCAAAGACGACCAACAAGCTCCGCATGAGACTGTCTCCGATAATCCCCACGAGGCTGTCCCCTTGGATGCTCTGCACCCCGGAGACGCAAATCTCGCCCGAGAACCAGACCAGGTCAATCGGATTGACGGGCAATTCGACACCGCCCACGAAGAGGGACAGCTGCGGCAGGGTCGCGTCGCAGGACACGACGTAGAGACCTTGGGAGTTCAGGGTGGCGGGGGGGTCGAAGAGGGCGTTGATGGCCTGCGCGATGGCCGGGGGGAACCGCGAGAGCGTGGTCCCGGAGTCGACAATGTACAGCGACGGTGTGGCATCCTGGTCCCCGAAGTCGCCTGAGGCGTCGGCCCAGGCCAGGCCGTCGGGGATGATGGTGTAGTGAGTAAAGCGGTCGCCGCACCCGCTGACTTCAGGATTGAGTTCGAGCAGGGCGGAGCCGAAGTCTGCCACGGCGTTGATTGTCGGGTCTGAGAGGTCGGGAATCCCGCCGATGGTCAGATAGCCACCGAAGCCGGTCTCGGAGGCGTCGCGACAGATGGCCATGGAGAAGAGTGGCTCTGTGAGGCCCTGGGTGAAGATGGTGTTGATAATCGACGAGTATATCACTGGCTGTCCGTCCTCGAGCGCCGAAGTCAGACACGGGTAAGCTAGACCGAGGAGGCCCGTCATCACGCCATCCCCAACGACACCAAGCTGGCTACTATTTCAGCTTCGGTCGCCCGATCGGATGGGAAAGAGCCCTTACCTTTGTGGCGAGGCCGATCGTCTGTTCTGCCACCGTGAGATCTGCAATCCCCACGCTTGTGTTCGCCAGGGGACCACTTGCGTAGGATTTGTCGACGTAGCTGATAAGAAACTCGGCATCTGGAATGAGATCGAACTCATCATTGACCGTGATAGTATCCCCAAAGGCACAATCGAAGTCCGGATCGCAGTCAAACCCAGCGGTGACAGCCCAGGTGTCGGAGCTGCCAGTATCGACCAGCAGGCCAACGGACTGACCGCCCAGCTCTACCTCCGTCAAGAAGTGACTCTCATATCCTGGATCGACGAGAATTTCTGACTGGCGCCGATGCTTTGGGCCATGAGAGCCTCGTTGTACAGTCTTCAATGGCAGGGTGTGAGGAACGACTGGGAAGCTGCGAGGTGCCAAAGTTCCAACCTTGCTTGAATGCAGCGGAGTGGGCGAGCAGTAGACAAGTAAGAAAGTCGCGAAGAGTGTCAGGCTGGTTGTCAGGGGGCTCATGATGGCAGGTGAAGAGGCCTCGGCGAAATGTTGTGTTGGGCCTTCTGCACTTCATCCGTCCCTCCACCCATTTATATCTCCTTTCTTTCTAGGCGTCGCTCAGTCCCAAGAAGCGAACAACATGCCAAGTTGGGGCTACAACATTCACCGTCAAGTTATGTAGTGGCCAAGAGCTCATTCACGAGCTTGGCCTCGTCCTAGCCAAGCCCGGGCTCGAGAGGATTCGTGGGGAACCAGGCAGTCTCGGAGCAAGAGGCTTGGTGATGTTTGGTGAGGCTGAGTCTCGCCAACGCCATTGGGAGACAAATATCAGGCTGCATGAGCTGAATATCAGTGGCAGCCCCATCAGGTTGGTGTCACTCTGTGTCTGCGTAGTAATGTGGCGATCATGTGCCCTTTATACGATAATGTCGGTCCCATTTCAGGATAGCAGAACGTTGTGTCGCCCATGGAACAGGCTCCTCTCAGGGCACCATGCTCCAGCAGCTGCAGTCCTCCTCTTGGCATTAAGGCGGACCGAATGTTGGGGTCAAAAGATCATGGAGGGTAGAAAGGTTTTCAAGTGAACAGCCGGGGTGTCTTTTGACAAGTGCCAATAGCCAGGTTCGGACAGTGGCAGCCTGGATCCGTCTCACACCTGGAAATCAATCTTTGCCAACGTTCCAAAAGGCAGACGCTGTCCACCTGCCACGTGTGTCGCTCTCAAAACGGTGCAGAGCTTGCCCTTATGGCATCTTGTCGAATGTTGGCCCAAGGAGAGCTTCCTCCTCTGATATATTCCCGTAGTTGCAGTGGCGGATACTCTGGCCGGAATGACGTTTTAACTGTGCGGCTGGAATTTGAAGATGCGCAAGAAATTGTCAAGGCCGTGCGTTGGGGTTGGACTGCGCGGCCCTTCAAAGTCCGAATGTCCTCTTGAAAGGTCTCGAGCAGGCCTTAATCTCTAACAGTGCAAGATGCAACTGCAGTCACTACCAGGGCCTTGTCTGCCATTGTCAGTCGAGCAAGTAAAAGAAGGTTGGAGGATGGGTAACGAGGGGCGACCGATGCATGTAACGTATTCGGGAAGCGATTACGAGCTTGATGTACTCGCCTAGGCAACAAGTCTGCAATGAGCTCCTGAAGGAGCCCTCGATGACGAGTGCCCTTCCGGCCTTGCACTCATCATTGTCCGCCTTGTATGCTAGATCGCCGAGCGTATGTCACTGGTCAGTTAAGCCTCACTCCATTCGATCTCAAGTCATCTGGCATTGCCGTCGCAGTGCCTGCCGATATCAAGTTAGCAATGCGTGGCGAGGAATGGGGCAACGAAGGAACACAGGGAAAGCTTTGTTGTGGAAAGTCAAGGGGCTCGCCCCTGGCAACAAGATGCCATTCATTCAAATCTCATATGCACTCTCCTTCGGCAATATGATTGCCATGTTCATTTGCAATCGCCGGACGCCAGCTCGCTAAATGCATCACTGTTCATTCATAACACGCCGTAGACAATGGCACATCGCCATCGCGTTTCTATCAAGGTACCCAATCGTTTCCATATAAACTCCTAGGAAACATGCTGCTGGACAGCCTCCTTGGGAATGACGCCCTGCGCCACAAAGATATCAATGAGTCCCTGCAATGGCTCCATGTCTTTCTTGCTGATCAGGTCGTAGTACATCGCGACAGTACAGAAGTGGACGAAGCAGCTGTTCAATTCTGCGTGACGACCAATGTGCCAAAAGGGATCGGTAAAGTGACAATGATAGAGGTGCGCATAGCAGCGGAACATTTGCTTGATGATAGCCTTGACGTCCGAGTGGAAGTGTTGAGGGAATCCCGATGACTTGCCGATCCATTCGTCTTGGACGCCTGCAAGAGTTGTCAGGGATTGGTTGAGGTTGGTAGGAGGTGCGGAAATTGGCGTAGTGGCCGAGGGGGGAGCAACGCCCGTGTCGCCGGACATGTACGAAGTTTGGTCAACCGTTGGTGGAGGGGCGGTAGGGAAGGTCTTCTCATCGTGGATTTTCCCGACGATCCAGCGCTGTACTCGGACGATGTATTGAGGCGCAGGGATCTTGGCTGGTCGACCGTTTTCGAGCCAGGTGTAAGTGAGACTAGGAAGAATTAATCGGTGAAGGTCCGCTGCCTGAATGGGGCTCAAACATACCGCCCAGCAGACATAGTAGGACACTGCTGCTCATTGCAAAGTGGCAATCCCGTGTTGGTATCAACCTCCTGGATGACCTGAATCATGCCGGTAAGGAGTCGGTTCATCTCGACCACTGGAGGAAATGAGCTTCCTCTTATTAAAACTGTAAGACCGCATTTTAACTCACATTGATGGGCCAGCCATTCTCCAAGTTCGACATTCTTCGGCTGTGCAGCGAGTGTCAAGAAGTTCCCCTTGACGGAGCACTTGGCATATTTCTCATTCAGGAATTTCTTGGGCTCTTGTTCGACATAACCGCTTTGTTCACTGAAGGTGGAGGAGATGGAAGGCGAATTGGTCAGAGGAGGAAGAGGAGGGGCTTGCTGTGAGATCGGGGATTGAGATTGGCCATTGTTGTACTGAGCCTTGAGGTTTTGATTGGATTTGGTGTTGGCTCGAGTGAAACCCTGACGACTGGGAGAAGGATCAGCAACTGTGGCATGTTTTGTAGGACTGACAGGCCGTTTGAAGCCTCGTAAAGAAATCTTCCATTTGAATTTGCCCATTTTCAATGCGTCGAGCCGCAGGGACAAGATGAAGACAGTTGACGTCGGCGGTGAAAGTGAGAGAAGTGTGAAAATCGGGGTAGGTTGAAGACGGCGGGGCAAACTTACACGCTCTGAAAAAAGGTCGCCATAACGGTGAGATAGACCCGCAAAGGGTCGGGCAATACTCTCAATTGTTCACAACACAGCTGCTTGTCGTCGACGGTGTGTAAGTGGTGAAAAGGAGTAGTCAGTTGACTCGTCGACAGTGAGGAGAAGGAGTCTCTCATTGAAACAAATAATTCCCCATGAGACAACTCAGCCGAGGGAGGGGCACGTGAGCTCTGCGCTAGCCCTTTGTGGATCATCTCAACTCCAAATCGTGGTCCGTACCTGGCGACATCAAGACCATTCACAACCCAAACTTTTCATTTCCCTTGCACTCAAACTTGGAGCAGACGGCGAACACGTTCCGTCTTTGTCTCTTTATTCTCTTTCTATGGGATGTGTCAAGTCCCGGTTGAAACCTTTCGCAGCTATTGTTAGCGCACTCCGTGGTGTCCCTGCGATCCAAATTCTAGATCCCACAACCAACAGCCAGAATGTCTGCCGAAGTTGAGTCTGCTCCACGCGGCAGCACTCTGGAGGAAGATGAAGGTCACGACGGCGATCTTGCGTCTGACGGTGACGGAGATCTATTTGGAGACGACGATGAAGAGGAGCAACGGAATGAGTACGATCTTATTGCTGGCCCTTGGAACTCTCACTAACCTGCAGCAGCCTCCATAGAAAATTAGACGATTCAGAACTTGACTCCGGCGATGACGATGGTCGAAACGATCGCGTTGCAACCACTGTGGAAGACGAGGAGGGTCTCTACGAAGAGCAGAAACAACTCAAACTTCTGGACGTGGACATAGCACGAGTCAAACCACCCGAAGGCGACGAACTATACCTCCTGAACATTCCAAACTTCCTAGGTGTCAAACACAGAAATTTTGACCCCTCGAGCTATGAACCGCCCACCAGGCCCCATGATGGCCGCGATCCCACGGCAGACTCTACTGCCAAATTCTCCCCATTCTCCACAGCCAATACCTCCATCTTCTGGCGCCGAGATCCCAAGAACCCTGAAGTCATACAATCAAACTCGCGCATAGTCCGCTGGTCGGACGGCAGTTTCACTCTACAGATCGCCTCTAAGCCTCAAGACCATTATCGAATCTCCACTACCGCAATGCGACAGGGTTGGCCTAAGAAGCTGTCTGGTTCGCAACATCAAGACTACGATCCTACAAAGGAAACAAACCACTTCCTTGCTGCGCCTCACGCTGCGGCAGGCATTGATCTCCAAATAATTGCCCCCTTCGATGCGTCGATGAAGATCCAGCCCGCGGGCGACCAAGCAGACGAGGCCGAAATGAAACTCCGCCAATCTATTGCTGCCACCACGCAAATGCACGAATCCCCCACAACCTTCAAGTCTGTCAAAGAAGACCCTGAACTGGCTAAGAAGGCTGCGGAGATGTTCGAAAAGGAGCGTGCTCGGGCGGACCGCCGCAGAGAGGCTGCTCAAGACCGGCAGTTCATGCGTAGGGACCGCGTATTGGGGAAATCTGGGCTCGGTCGTTCAATAGGTGGTGCAGGTCTCTCTATTGCGGGATTGGAAGATGATGACGGAATGCCCACGGCCAGAGGGAAGAAGGCGACAGCTAAGCGACGCAAGACGAATCGGCGCGGAGATATCTACTCGGATGACGAAGATGAGGAAACATTCCGCCGGAGAGGTAGAGAAGATGAGTATGATCGCGAAGATGATTTCCTCGCTGCGAGCGATGAAGAACCTGAGATTTACGAAGATGAAGGAGAGGAGGAAGTCGAAGCCGAAGAAGATCCGGATGTTGACGACTTAGAGATTGAGGGACGTGAGACGGTGATTGAAAACCGCACTCGAGGCGGTGCTAGGGACCGAGATCGAACTCCCAAACGCGCTTTGCGGGACGAGGACGAAGACGCCGAGGGCGAAGAAGACAACGAGGTTGGAGAAAGCAGAAGAGCTGTGGGAAGTCCTGCGGCCCGCAAGAAGAGGAGAATCATCGACGACGACGACGAAGACGAGGAGTAGTCGTCTCATTGGGCTTTGTCGCACCCCTTGCCCTCCTATCCTGTCTTGGATAGCATCGGTTCCGAAGTCGACCAGATTCATGGATGGGTGCCAGTGCGACCGTTGGTGTTGTCAGAGCCCCTCGATGCTACACACGAGGCAGCGAACCACGAGTCCTCGGCATTTCGAGATGTCAGCTATGCAAACGGTTACAAACCTGGACATGGCATTTTTGCATCCCGCTCTGCATTGAATTCCGCGGCAAAAAGGACGGGCATATTGGATGCCATGATATCGAATGATATCATTCACTTCGACTACCTCTTCTCCGCGGACACCACGGTCGCTCCCTGGCTCCCCGGCTCCCTGGTCACAGAGGAGTTGAGCTGCTCGCAGCATTCCAACGACGCCGTGTCGCGTCATGCCGTGCCGAGCCACGCCACGACCTAGCACTGGGCTCCGTGTCAACCTGACTCAAGCGCCATGCTTTCTTGACCTTCCTTGACACGCGAACATGTCAAGATGTTGGCTTCACAGGCAGAACATAGGGGCAGAGAACCGAGAAAAAGACCTCGGAAAGCCACTGAGGAGCAGAGCCTTCAGGACACGAACAGCCGAAATAAACAAGGCACCAAAAATGTGGTGGTTTTTTTTTTGGAAAAAAAAAAAATTCTGAATCTTCATTTTCTCAAATCTATCTTGTTCTCCTCTTTCATCCTCCTCGTGGATCCTTTCTCGTCTTCGTAGGATGACTTTTCGGACTAACAGTACAGGAGAAACAGCGCAGTCACGCTGAATACACGGCCTGTGGCTTGGACATAACGCTATTTTCTTGCTGCGATATCCGAGACCCCTCAGGAAGAGCTGCTCTATGCAGCTCTAGGACTGAATGCCTTCACCAGGGGGTTATAATACAACACAATTCGAAAACCCACTTCTGGACAGAACCGGCTTTCCTGGCTGACCACGGTATCCACGGTCCAAAGGGCTCAATGCAAATATCACACAAAGTCAACAATCAATCGACCTCCTCGGAATTCATAAAAACACTCCACCAGCCATCCGTTTTATTCTTGACACTCTTCTTTTCATGGATATCTTCATCTTTCTAGGACAGCAGATTCTTCACACTCGGACTAGCACTCGCTCCTAGTCCATCTCTCCTATCGTCTCTGGTGAAGGCAGGCCCTGTAGAGGGAGTAAGTGGTCTCTGTTGTGGGCTCCCCGGGACTGGCCTTGGTCCAAATCGGGGTGTGTTTGTCATCTCAACACTCGCCTGCCTGGAATGCGGCCTTCCCACTGACTGATCGCCGGCCGCTTGAGCAATTTGCGCCAGAGACTGTGCTGACGGAGATTGTCTCATCGGTGGAGGAAGTGGGGGTGGAGGAGGACCTTGAGCATACATTCTCGAAGCAGAAGAATGAGGAGCCGCGTACCCATTCACAGGAGAACCGAGGCCTGATGGACGGGGTGGTTCAGGATACCCCCGTGACAACAGACTCGAAGGCCCCAGTCCAAGATGAGGTGGCGGGACAGGGGGCCGGTCAGAGCTATATCGTGGGGGAGATGGTGGGCGCGTGACTTGTGGTGGAACCGAAGGCGGAGGAATGGCATGATGAGCGTGATGAGGGTGGTGAGGAGGAAGAGGAGGTGGAGGGTGATGCCCATAGGCAGCCGAAGGAGGAGAATGCTGAGGCACCAAACCTGGACCGGGTGGTGGGGGAGGTGGTACGCTGGCATATGGCGAAGGATGCCCTGGTCTGCCATAGTGTGATTGACTGTATTCGGGCGCTGCTGGTGGTGGTGGCGGCGGAGGAGGAGGCGGCCGGTACATAGGTTGACCGTAAAGTGGCGGAGCTGCTGGCGGAGAAGGGTGACGCGCTGCTCGCACTCCAGGGGAGGACCATTGGGGGGGAGGACCACCCTGCCAAGGTGGATAATGAGACGCTGGAGCAGGAAGGGGTGGAGGATGAGAATGCGGTGTCCCTTCAATTGGCGGTCTATTCAACGCGTAGATGCTGGGGGGTGGAGGAGCATACGGCGCCTGGTGTTTGTATGTGTCGGGGGGCGGATCCAGTGGAATAGGTTTCTCACGAGGCTTAACTTGTGATGGCGACGAAGGGGGAGTGCGCTTGAGAACATGACACTTGTGGCACTGATACATGGTGCGGTCCTTGCTACCAGCGATTGCTCCGAGAGTCGTGCCGTCGGCCGGTTCAGCTTTAACAGCGCCATTGGGTACAACAGTATCCCGTGAACCATTCACTTGAGGTTGGTCTGTGGACAATTCCATTGGTGTCCCGTTGGGAGCCGGCGAGAGTTCTTGCCGGAGGGGCCACCATCTGGGACTGACATCCACAAGACAAGTACAGCACTTTTTCTGACCGACGCTTCGTTTCCTCGAGCTTTCGTTCGCCGCTGATTCGGTCGGTGCTACGTCTGAATCCAACATTGATTCTGCTGCTCCGGCAGCTGCTGGAGAGCTGCGAAGACTCGTGCCGCCGTTTCTTTCATTATGAGCGACGGTGCCGTTCGGTGCCCCGTTGACGGTGCTGTCCCGCCGCTGAGGAGGCTGGACCGCGGGTGCAGAACTCGCAAAATTGGTGACAAACTGCGCAGCGCGCCGAACGGTGCCTGTAACGGTACTGTCAACCTGTTTATAAGTGCGAGCGAACAATTGCATGGCCGTCAGTTCGGTGTCTGTCATCTCGAGCATGCTGTGGACCCAAGTATTCGGAGCATGAGACGGGCACCAGATCCCTGCAGTGACAATACCAGTCTCGGAACCAAGTTTCATGATATTGGCCGTGTCGCGTCTGCTGCTCTTGACCGGTTGCACATCGAAGCCAAAAGTGTATTCTGCCTGATGTGCACAGCCAACATGGAAGTAGGCATTGCAACTGGGCATATGACATTTGACCGTAGGCATACCAGAGAGCATACCAGAGACCTTGCATATCTTGCAGATCGGTTCAAAGCGCTCTGGAGGGATGAAACCCACCCCTTCAGCATCATCAAGCAGCTCCGAGTTGCCAAATTTGATCTCCTTGGTCCAAAGAGCGCAGGTAATGTGGATCCAGTTGTTCCAGGCTGTCCTCTTGAGAGCTTCACGGGGGTTCACAGGACGGCCTGCTGCTTCTTGTTCCATACGCCATCTTCGGCTCGCCTCCTGTATGATCTCTTTTTCGATGCGTTCCTTTTCACGTTCCCGATCGCTCTTCTTCTTGTGGGTTGTTCTCAGAGGCTCCATCAGCTCTTGGGCGGTGTACTTGACAGGACAGAGAACGCATTCGTACGTCGTTGAGACTTGTAGGTTGTGGTCATTTCGGCACATATCACAGAACCATGGCTTAGTGTTCGTCTTCTTCCCGACCCCATAGCATGCACCGTGTACATGAAGCCTGCAGTCCCGGCACTTGAGTAATTCCAAGCCAGGGGCTTCGATAACCCGACACACGGCACAGGGGTGGACCTTGACCCTGGGCGGGTCCGGCTCGATCGCGACGGGTTCCGGCGGTTTTTCGGACGCCTTCTTCTTTTCCGGGACGACATCTGGAGTTGGTTGTGAGGCATCTTTGTCGAGCTTGCCCTTCTTCTTAGGAGGTTCCTCAGGTTGAATGATATTCTGGGGCACTTCCAGACCAGCCTTATTGACCTCATCAACAGCTCGCGGGGAAATATAATCGCCGGACATCTGATGCGCCTCAAGAATGAGACGCAAGAGTTCTTCGTCCACTTTCCGTTTTGCTGCCCTACTTCCCGAGGATGCGATCTTCTTCGAGACTTCCTCAATATCCTCGTATTGAACGGCATATTTGCGCCAAAGATAGGCACATCGGCCACATAACGCCAGAGTGAGCCACCCACTCTTGTCTTTGCTGTTTTTCGCGGAGGGATCCTTGGGGACCAGCGTGTTGGGTGGTGTCCCTGGTGCACGTCGCCATTGCCTAGAATGGTGAGTCGCACAAAATTTGCAGACAAAGCCTCGCTTCTTCTGGGCTGCCTTTTCGTCATCGAAAGCCGAGTCATCCTGATCATCGGCAACATCGTCCAAGAGTTTCGGCACGTTGCCCTCTTTGTCCGGTCGTTTAGATTCCTTCTTCGAACGTCGCCCCTCGAAATTGCCCCAGATCTGCCGACCTCTTTCGGTCTTCTTCCACATATAGTAGAACCGAACGATCCGAGATTCCTTGACATTCCCAACATGACGAGTAACATGATGGAGCTCACTCCCAAACTTAGCCACTCCTTCTTCGAAACGCTTAATTTCGTCACGGGAGAGCTCGGGCTGTTTCAAGTCGCCCTTCAAGCTGAGTTCCGTCATGGCTTTCAACGCTTTCTCGACATTGTAGTCATTCTCCTGCAGCTTTTCGATCGCTTTGGTGAGAAAGTCGACAGATGAATCGAGCAGATTGTATTTGGCTGCAATTGGTTTCACCTTCGTCATATAATCGTCCACCAGTTGCTCTGGATCCACAGGTCGCGAGATGTCGTCGCCGCCTCTTCCTGAGAGTTGTCCTGGTTCAGGCATCTTGAAAAGCAATTGGGCAGTGTGCTCTTTTTTGCCCTTGATTTCGATCGGCTCATCCTGGCCTCGAGGGACATAACCAACCGGCTCGTCAATTACCCACTTGGGGCGTTTCAGCTTCTGATCTCTGTCGGTATCGGTGCCGGTATCCTGGGCGCCCTTGCCACCTTTGATGTGATGCGCATGTTTCAAGTATTTCCGCTTGATCTCGGCGGGCTTCACCAATTCAACGGGTCGGCCGTGCCACACATTGACGTTGGCTTGGTGCCGAGGGCCCAACCTGGAACTTGCTCGAGGATATATTCGGTCATCATAATCTAGCGCATCTTCAGGACGTGAATGAACACCAAGGTACCGCCACGGCCACAGATTTGCTTGGGCAATCTGTTCCTTGGTGGGCGGTGGATGAGGCTCCGGTGCGATGCTGCTCTCACGAGTGTCTCGGCTCTTGGGATGATTATCATCTTCGTCCTCGTCCATGGGATCGTCATCCTCGCCATGCCCGGCTTCTGAGCCTGCGGGCGTGTTGCGACTGTCCATCTTGATTTCCTGTGCCCGGCTGCAATGGGCACAGGCCCAGGCAAATCCTCGAGCAGGCTTTTTCAGGAGCGGTGGCCGGACGCACTGCATGTGATATGTCCGCTTGCAAACTGCGCAGTCGACCGAGTCGTGATTGCTGGCAAACTGTTCACACTTTGTACACTTTTTGCTCTCACTGGTCAGATCACGACCGCGGCCAGTCTCGACCAAGACGAATTTCCAGCGTTGATCCAGGACAGTCTTGACATGTTGGGGGACGTTGACGACCCTACTGGTCGGAATGACCTCGTAAAATCGGTGCATATATCGATCATACAATCGGTCAAACCAAAAAGAATCTTGCTGACCACGGTATTCGTCCATGTTAGATATTTCTGAAAGGTGGCTGATGTTGCATTTCCCACGCAGCGAGGTGAGGGGACAGGTGTCGGAATGCATTGAAGCATAGACAGCCCGTGTGTCTTGGACTCTTCGCAGGATATCTCTCGGGCGGTAGTACCAATTGACTCGGATGGAATCGATGGGACCTTCGGGGTCATTCTTCGCGTGTAGGAATTCCATGATGCGGGCAAGGTAGTAGGGTTCTCCCGGAGGTTCGCAGATGAGATAGACGTGGTCTAAACGTCAATTAGCATGAAACATCACAGGTAGTGTGCTGGGGAGGCGGAGGTACCGTTGGCCTGGACGGCGGTGCCGTCGTCGGCAACCAGCTGGTTTTTTGCATTCAACTTGTATCCGCAGCGTTTGAAACTCATCATGTTTGTTTCAACATAGCCCTTGAAGGGGACCGAGGCGATAGGTCTCGCGCGCGAATGGCTGCCCATCGTTGAGGTTGCGGCCACGGTATGATTGCTCCCGGGATGTTTTCTTTTCTTCGAGGGTGCAGGAGCCGCAGCGGGAGTGGGCGTTGACGCATTGGCCGCAGGTGTGGTTTCGGAGGGCTTGTCGGAGTGAGACTTATTGACAGACGTAAAGCTCGTACTCGAGGGCTGTTGCTGCTGCTGCTGCTGCTGCTGCTGCTGCAGCTGCAGCTCGCTCGCTGCGGCGGAAGATCGCTTACTCGAACGACTCGGCTTGGACAAAGCCTCTATTTCCAGATCCAACTCCTTGTCCTCGGCGTAGTTTGGGCGAGTGCCACCTGTCCGATTTCTTGAGCGTGTACCGTAGGGACCGGAGGTTGAATTGTCTCCATTCTCGAGGGGCGGCTGTAACGAGGAAGTGGACGCGGTCGCAGTCATGGGCTGGGACTGGGGCGTGTCGAGGGGGCCCGCGAGCGTGGGCGCGGGCGCAGTCTGGGGCCCAGGCGACACATCTGCACTTCGACCATCCTTCCCGAGTGCGCTTGGCGGTGCGTCGCTCTGTGCGTGTGCTGGTGCGTCTGTCTGCTCATTGGATTGGGGGTCTGGAGGTGCTGTCGCGACCGGAGGACTCTCAACTGCCGACATGACGAGTTGAGAGGAAGCGAGCGGTGGAAAACCAGGTGCGGTAAGCCCTACTTTATCGCATGGCGGCCGGGGGAAGAGTTGGCCTGGGTAGGGCTGCAACGACGACAGCTCCCTCGCAGCAAATCAGCTGAGGGACGTCTCGGCACCAAATAAAATGAGTGATGATATCTCGAAGTAGACTTTACAGAGGGAGCGATACTAGTGATGAGTCTCCCAGCGTCCTGGAAAATTAGGGCAGAGCAAGTCAGGAAAAGGTCGAGGCTTGTGAGGGCAGTCGTGACCAAGAAGGGAGGAAGGTGTCGTGGGCGGCGGAGTGGGCGATCGTATGGACTATATCTCGGACAAGGCACGCGCCAGGATGCTGAGTTGTGCGGGTCTTAGCGCCTACTCAGTTGGTGGAAGTCGACGCGGCAAAAAGTCGAAAAGCGAGGGATGCGGATCAGGTGGGGGAACACACAGAAGAGCGATCCCGCCAAATGCGGTCGGGAGGTGGGTTGGGAGAGTCGAAGGAGAGGAGCAAGGAGGATAGAATAGGAAGGAAGAAAGAGGCTGAGGGGAGGAAGAACAAGAATGGAATGGGATGAGAAAGAGAGTGTCGATGGGAAGGACAGACACTCGGCAGAGGCAAGGAAAAATGCGGCCTAGTCGACAAGGTTTGAGCCTTAGTCCGGAAAGATAGTGTATGAGGACGAGTGACAAGGGAGAGGAAGCGAGTCTGAGTGGACGCCGGATCAATGCCGAGATACTGCGAGGTGAATGGTCCCAGGTTGACGGCAAAAGATGAGCTAAGAGAGTCAGAGCCAACCTGCGGGCAGACACAAAGGGCGAAATACGAGGGCTGTTTAAAGGAGCATCGGCGTCAAGTGCGAGCACTGGGCCACTGGGCGGAGGGGAGGGGAGGGGCGGTGTCATTGCAGAGTGCGGATGGGTTTTGTCGTGAGGGCAAGGCAACTGGAAGGCGGACAAGGACAAAGATGCACACAGCGACACAGGACAACACGACAAAAGAGGTCGAGGGGGACAAGAGGCACAGAGACGTGAGATGAGGATGGGCGATGGGCGATGAGCGATGTGAGAGAGCGAGAGTCAGAGACAGTGCCAGTGTGTGGAGAGGGAGGGAGGAAGGAAGGGGGGCCACACACGAGATGTGCTTGGGAAAAGTGGATGAGTGACATGGAAGATGTGGATCATCTGCAAGGCAAGGAAACGCTAAAAATGAACAGCAGACAAAGAGAAAAGAAAGGCATTCCTGGAGTGCAGTTGAGGTTGGAAACCTTGAGCAAATCATGCAGGGTCCCTTAACGTGATTCGGTACGCTGACGACATTACTCATGACTTGGGGCCTGCGGCCACCACCACCACCACCACCACCACCGCCGCTGTGAGATGTGCCACGATCTCGCTCAGTTTGGCCTGCGATCTCTATTGTTTTTGCTTTCTTCCGAACATAAATGACTGCTGTTCCCTTTCCTTCCACAAATGCGCTCATATCTGCACGAGATGCCCCCCCCCCCTGGATCGATCCCTCACCGCGCAGCTCCCGGCGTTGGCGGTCGCATACATTTGTCGGTCGTGGTCATCCCATCTTTGCATCCGTCTGAAGGCCCGCTCCTCCGTGTCGTTTGGATGATTATCGAGGGTTGTGGCATTTCCTGGCGCAGTGAATGCTGAGGGCAGCGGAGGAAGTGAGGTCGGTGGGTGGCGACCACACAGCCCGGCTGCTTAGTGCCCGAGGACCCCTTGGCGTCACCTGACCGAGGATTTCCCTCTCTTAATTTTGACCACATCTCTATTCTGCCCTCGACACTTGGGATGGCCACGTAAATCCAACCCTGCCCTTGGGCGCCCGATAGACAGTGCCAGTGGACTGGGCGTTGTCTGTTTGCCATTCTACAATTGCTTTTGCCATGTTTCTCGCCCCAGAATCATGGTCCAGCAACCCTGGGCATTTTGTCGCAGAATCAAGTCGGGGCCTCCCCGAACCTCCACCCACCACTCACTTTGCTTTGACCATGGTCATCACTTTGCCAGCCTGTCTCTCTGCTCCCTCGGCTGAGCACCAACGCATTCTTCTCTATATCTACTCGATCGGCTGCAGTGCATCTGATTCCGCCGCTACGATGGCAGTCACACCCCCATTTCATGTTTGAAGTTGGCGGAGGTCATACCACGACAACATACTCAACGCAGACCTCCCGCCCATGTCGCTGCTGTTACATGGTCGAATGGCTGCAAATCTGGACCCCCAGCCACCATTTTCCGTTGAGGCATGCTTGTAGGCGCGATGGACTGTCAGAGACCGTTTGGCGTGTGGTGCCAGGGCGATGGATGGTCTGGGGGGGGCCCCGGCTCCCGCGGTAAGTGGCTTTCGGACTTGGCAACTCACCCGAACCTTTTAGAGTTTGGAACCATTCCTTTATTGGACTCGCCTCTTTCCCTGTTTATCTTGCAGTCACGCATGGGCTTGCCTTGGTTGGCACGGATCTAGATCTGATGCTGTGTCGATGCTGGACAACCATTGTCGCAGATGTTTTCATTGTGGATGTGCCAGAGACAATCATTAATAGATCCCCCTAAGCTGCCGCTGCTACTGGGGAACCGACGACGCGCCATATCGCCTTCCCTTCTCGCGTAGACGCGCCGGTCCCACTATGAAATTCGATGGCAGCACCATGGCATCAGTTGGCTTTGCCTCCTGGTCAAACCACCTCTGTTGACCTTGTCCGCAATCAGAGCTACAACACAAAGCCCCTGGCAGGGGTCAAACGTACCATTCAAAAAGTGCATGACGTTCAGCTAGGCCTTCCAATCCACGGCCAGTCATCAGTCCAGCGGCCACAGACCATCGACACGCCTCTTTACCCGTGCGACTGCCACCCACCTCGCCTTCAAGCCAGTTGTATTATTGAAGCGGACCGCAGTGATGGCAGCAAAGCAGCCGTGCACACCCCTTCTGCTCATCTGCCTCTAATAAAGTCATCTACCCCAGGCCCTTCGCAAAACCCTCTTCTCAGCCTTCGACATCCCCGGTATGGTTTACCTTCCCAGTTAGTTGACAATTTCGAATCACTTGGTGTGCGCGCCATATACCCATGGCAGTCGTCGTGCTTATTGGGCCCGGGGGTATTGACTGGAGAGCAAAACTTGGTCTATACAGCTCCCACTGGCGGGGGCAAATCGCTGGTGGCTGATGTCCTTCTACTTAAACGAGTCATCGAAGATCCTACAGCAAAGGGGATCCTCGTCCTCCCCTACGTCGCTCTTGTCCAAGAGAAGTTGAAGTGGCTACGTGCCTTAGCGGATAAAGTATCCAGAGCGGTTGACGATAGCCCTGACTGCCTGCCAGCACCGACATGGCGCCGGCCAAGCCCACTGGTTCGAGTCAGCGGATTCTTTGGTGGGAGCAGATCGAATATCAGCTGGTCAGATTGCGACATCGCTGTATGCACCATCGAGAAGGCCAATTCACTGGTGAACGGTGCCATTGAGGAAGGCAAATATGGCGACATCGGAGTGGTTGTGCTCGATGAACTTCACATGATCAACGACGAACACCGGGGGTATCTTATGGAACTCGTTGCCACGAAGTTAATGTCGCTTGCCTCCGGCGAGAAGAAAGTTCAGATCGTGGGTATGAGCGGCACCCTGCCCAACCCACAACTCCTAGCACAATGGCTCAACGCGAAATTTTACATCGCAAAATACCGTCCAATCCCCATCGAGGAACATCTTGTGTATGAGAATGCTATCTATCCAACAGCAAACGCAAAAGAGTTCTTTCGCACAGCGAGCCAGTTAGCTGCCGGTGATGCACTCCCGACACAACTACCACAACCACAGCGGACGATTGCCATATCGAATCACCGAGAACTCCAAAGTCCGACGACCAATGCCGTCGTAGCATTGGCTGTTGAAACTGCCCTCGCCGGTCATGGTGCGCTGACATTCTGTGGCAGTCGAATGGGCGCGGAGAAAACTGCGCTCCTAATCAGCGATGCCTTACCTACTGATCATCTTGGCCGAGACGTGTTGGAGAAGCGACAAGATCTCCTGGCATCTCTGTGTGCGCTTCCAGGTGGATTTGAGCCCACATTTTCCAAGGTTATACCTTGTGGAGTTGGCTTCCACCATGCAGGGTTGACAACTGAAGAGCGAGAGCTCGTTTGCGAAGCATATGACGCAGGGATTCTGCGAGTGATGGTGGCGACGTGCAGCCTCGCGGCCGGCATCAATCTTCCGGCAAGGAGGGTAATACTAAATGGGGCTCGAATTGGCCGAGAGCTTGTTGGTCCTGCTATGCTTCGACAGATGCGGGGACGTGCTGGCCGTAAGGGTAAGGACGAAGTCGGTGAGACCTACCTTTGCTGTCAAAAAGTCGACCTTGAGACTGTGGCAGAATTACTCGAGGCGGAAATGCCTCCGGTCGAAAGCTGCCTGACACCCGAGAAGCGAGGATTCAAGAGAGCTCTTCTAGAGGTCATTGGGACCCGAATGGCGTCCAGCACGTCATTGTTGATTGAATATGTCCAGTCGTCGCTCCTTTGGCACAGCATTGACCGCTCACAAGTTGCGGAAATGGTCGACGTGGCGAAGAAGGCGTTACTCCAGGATGGATTGATCCAAGAAGGGGAATACGACAGTTGCCTCGAACCGACCAGACTGGGAATTGCGGTCGTGGCGGCTGGACTCGGCCCTGAGGATGGAGTTTTTGTCCACTCGGAACTGCGGCGAGCACTCGAATCGTTCGTCATGGATGGTGAGATGCATATATTTTATCTTTTCACTCCGGTCCAGACCACGGGGTTCGCTGAAATCTCTTGGTTGACTTTTCGAAACCAATTGGAAGATCTCGACGACAGTGGAATGCGAGCGATCCGACTCATTGGCGTCAATCCAGCTTTCGTCAACAGACTCGTCAACAGCGGCGCGCAGCTGAAGGAAAACACGGCGGAGGAGATCCGGATGGCACGCATCTACCGCAGGGCATACTCCGCCTTCCAGCTACGAGACCTGTGCAATGAAATGCCCATTCACGAAATCAGCTTGAAATACTCTGTTCCACGGGGACAGGTGCAAACGCTGGCTCAAACCTGCCACGGATTTGCAGCAGGGATGATCAAATTCTGCGAGAGAATGAAATGGGGGATGCTGGCGGCTGTGCTGGCACATATGCTGGACCGCCTTCGTGCCGGCGCTCGGGCCGATCTGCTGGAAATGGCTCAGATCGCGTTCGTCAAGAGTCGCATGGCCCGGATGCTGTGGGAGAACGGATTCAAGAGTGTTCGAGCTCTGAGTGAGGCCGATCCACAGGCTCTGGTACCGATCATGATGCAGGCCCAACCACGGAAAACGAAATTGCAGGGTGAAGCGGCCGCCAAATTCCAGGCAAAGTTGTTATCCAAGGCAGAGATCATAGTCAGCAGCGCGAACAGACTGTGGGAGAGGCAACAGATGGTGCAGTGGGAGGAGGAATAACGACCTGGATATACCGGAGGCCGTGATTCCCTCTCAAGGAGGTGCAGATGCCCCCGTTCAAGGTTGGGCGATCAACATCCATCCATTGAATACGGAAGGTAGTATGAGGGTCCAAGTATTTCTTGGTGCCTTGCATTAGCGGTGCCATTCCTCGCACGGGCGGGCAACACAAGGGGAATAAAGTCCTTGCCGATTTGAGCACTGTCAACACCAGTTAGAGATGCGCTCCAGACGCACCAGCAACCGCACGGGCTGTGTGAAGCTAGCAATGCAAGCGAGGGCAGTAGCCGGTGGAGAGGTCTATCTGACGATGGGCTTGATCGGTGTTGTGGTCTTCGCCGAAGCTGCCGACGATGTGATCGAGCGTGCCGGCGAAAGACGGCTGGACCTGTATGATGCCAGTGCCTGCATATTAATTATTACATCGCAGGTGGGAGCTGACAAATGACCGACAGCGGTTTCTGGGGGGATGCTTATTCGAGGAATCCCAGCTTGGAGAGAATAGCGCCCAAAGAAGAGCTCCCGAGGGTTGGTTTGGGTGGTTGGGCTGGGTGGATTACAAAGAAGGCCACTGGGTCGATTCCGCACTGCGACAGCAGCAGGCCTAGGGTGATTGGCTGTGCTTTGACAATCCTCTGTCAGCTTTTCATAAGCTGGTGTTTTGGTGACATGGGCACCGATGGACCGTGTTTTCCGAGGCTGAAAACTTGGGCCCTCGATAGGCCAGGAAATTTACTTGTTAGGAAGAAGACAATGCGGCAATCGACTCGGACCCGGGAGCTAGGGGCAGATGCCTAGTTCGCGTATGAGTTTCGGAGAGGGAGGGAGGCAAGAAGAGCGGAAGTTGCCATGAGAAATTCGTGCTCAAGTAATGCTGCTGTAATACAAGTACTGTGCAAATGCTGGTGAGTGACGACTGTGCGAGTCATTACAGGTGTCTGGGCATCTGCCTCCCTACTAAGAGGAGGCAAGCAGGCAAACCTACGACAGGCTGGTGCCAGGTACAGGCCGTATCAGCAGTGCCGCCCACTCCCCCTGCGGGCGCCAGTTAGTGCTCTGGCGTCATTCTAGGCCCCACAGCTCCCTAGGTAAGCTCGCTGGTGCTGGTGCTGGTGCTGGTGCTGGTGCTGGCGCTCAATGCTCACTAAACCTGTGCGGGGTTCCCTGCCATGGCCTGCCGTCGCTCTTCGATACCTTCCCAATGCGTCTCGACGAAATGTCAGCGCCCAGCGCGAGAGTTCCAGGCACACCCGGCACAGCCCCTCGTGTTTTCCGCACCAGGTGGATGAAACCAAAAGGTAAACAAGGTCCGTAGTGGTGAAGCTTCATCGTAAGATCCCTCTGCTTCAACTGACCTGCAACGGAGGACGGAGTGCCGTTGCGGATACAAAAACCTCAAGCCCTTCCTCCCTCTCGTGCCAGTTCCGTCCTCTCTTTCCATCTCACCCAAGCTTCGTCTTCAAGCCCACATACCTCTGTATCTGTCTCTGTCTCTATTTCTCTCTCTATCTCTAACACACCTCCTTCACAATGGCTCCCAAGATCGCCATCATCTACGTATGTTGCTCTCTCACCCTCCCCTCAACCCTCCCTGCCTACCCCACTGTTCCAGGTTCATCGTCGCACATTTTGGGACATCTGTTGCGGCTGCTAACAGACCATTCCGGACAAACAGTACTCCATGTATGGCCATGTCGCCCAGCTTGCCCAGGCCGAGAAGAAAGGTATTGAAGAGGCCGGTGGCACTGCCGATATCTACCAGTACGTTGCCTGGACACCACACCATTTTCTCGGAGAGACAGGCCGCCCCCAGAGACTGACTTGGGCCTATGTAGAATCGAAGAAACCCTCCCCCAAGAGGTCTTGACCAAAATGCACGCACCGGGCATGAACAAAGACATTCCCGTCGCCACTCCCGAGATCTTGCTCAAGTACGACGCTTTCCTCTTCGGCATTGCCACCCGTTACGGCACCTACTCCGCCCAATGGAAGACCTTCATCGATAGACTCGGCGGACACTGGCAGACTGGGGCACTCTTTGGAAAATACTTTGGCCTGTTCATCAGCACGGCTACTATGGGCGGTGGGCAAGAGACCACGGCCATCACCGCTCTCTCGTCCTGGGTTCACCAGGGCATGATCTACGTTCCTCTGGGCTATGCCAAAGCCTTCCCTATCATGGCCGACCTCAGCGCGGCCCGTGGTGGCAGTCCATGGGGCGCAGGTACATTCGCCGCCGGCGACGGCTCCAGACAGCCTTCCGGTCCCGAACTGGAGCTCGCTACCATCCAGGGCAAGTCGTTCTATGAGCACGTCAGCAAGGTCAGTTTTGCGTGACTAGATGGCAGTACCGAAGAGAAGAAGCCGGCCGAAGGCAACGACGTGAAGCCGGCAGAGCAGCCTGCAAAGACGGAAGGGACAACAGCGGCTGCGGGATCCAAGAAACCAACACAACCGATACAGACAGATGACAAGGAAGAGGAGAGCGGGCCCTGTGGATTGCCCAAGAAGTGCGTGATTTTATGATCGCTGCTATCGTGTGGTCAAGCACATGGAGCGTTGGAGGACGCAGCGTGGCTTGGTAGTACAGCGATGGGGAAAAGCACAAGATACCATTCTGCTAATACATGTCTCATGAACACACCATTGACACGAAGAACGAAGCTTTTTGTCCTCTGTAATCACCAGTGATCATTGACTGCCTGCCCAAAAATTGGACGGAATGATGGGCAACTCCGATTGGGCTCTAACTGCACCCCCAGGTCCTGCAGTTGCCACAGGATGGGGAAGTTCAGGCCACCCTAATTAAGACCAGAGAAGCTACTCATAGCGGTACCTACAGTGCCTACCTACCGAGTATTCGCTAACTGGGCTTGGGGCAGATGATCGACGTCCACACACCTCGAGTAACTTTCCACCAGGCTGCCATCCACCAGATCCCCCGGCTTGTGAGGCGCGAGGACAAATGATTCCTACATCTAGTCCCGCCTGTAGCCCCTTCCGTTGACCCTGTACAGCCTCTTCGCAGGAATGTCGAATGCGCAGGCGGCCGCCTCCCTGTTCGAGGCCTATGGCCAGTTCCCCATCGCAAGGACCTTCGCAGCCACCGATTCAGTGCCCGGACTTCTAGATTCAGAAGTGCCCGCTTACAGTGCCGCCTTTGATGCGGATCCTTCGGCTAAGAGGCATTCTGCCTGCGATGAGTGCAGTCCGTCCTTTGAACGTGCCATGGCCGTACCAAGACTCACAATGCCTCAGGAAAGCGCAAGTTGAAGTGTTCGGGCGAGCCCACTGGCTGCGAACGATGCGTCAAGCAGAATTTGACATGCCATTACTCAGCTCAGAAGCAGATGGGAAGGCCGCGCAAGAGACAAAAGACTGACGACTTCCCTCAGGCCGATGAGATCTCCGTCGCAAAGACGTCTCATTTCAATGGTGGCCTGCAACCTGCTCCCATTCCCGCTGATTACCAGCATCCTCTTCATCCTCCACCGCCCGCGGTTGTCGAACCCGCGATCGACCCCGAACTCTCTGAAAAAGCTGTTGAGCGGACAAACTTTGAGAACATCTGCGTTGCCCCCATTACCCAGTCGATCAAACGGTCCAGCCACGACGCCCGCGCGGCCGCCGAGAGGGCAGGCCCTTCGAACACTGGCAATGCCAGCAGCCATCTACCTTCCCAAGGCTCGAGCAGCACTTCGCCATACGATGGGCCTCGCACGCCCCCAGGTGGAAGTGACGTTATGTCCCGGGTCTCCTATCCAACTGATGTCTCGCAGTGGCCTGACTTCAGTGACATGACCATGCTCCCAATGCTGGTGCAAGACAGCCATGAATACGACAAGTTATACCCTGCCAACAACGTGGATCCCAACTCTTCTATGTCTACTGGCACAGGACCTGGGCCGTATCCCCAACAGCCCCTCGATCTCAACACCAATCCCACAACCTTGACTCAACTTCCCATCGTTCCAGCTTGCCCCTGCCTGCCCAACCTCTATCTCACTCTATCAACCCTGTCATCCCTGTCCGCATTTCCTGTGTCATCCGGCATGATCGATACCCTCCTCGCCGCACATCGTACCGGTCGCTCAGTCATATACTGTCCCGTTTGCCCCCAGAGGATGCAATCAGGGTCCCAAAACGTATTCCTGAGCGCCATGTTGATCACTGTGCTCGCAGATCATTGGCACCGCGTCAGAAGGGCCGGTGCAACAGAGCTGAAGATGGGATTTGGCAGCCTCGAATCAGGGCCACCAGTCACTATCGCGGAACCCATGGGCATCCGCGAGGATCTCGAGTGGCGCACGTTTGGGTATCATCTAATTCGCGCGTATGTTTTTGGCGACCACCCAATCCCTGACCCGCCCAATGGTTCCCTTTCCAGTACTTCGAGAAAATCGAAAGTCATACCCACGCATATAGCTTCTGAGGACAGTGACACATCCACGATATACACGCTCGAATCGCTTGTGGCTGCCATCGAACGGCGCCAGAAGCAATGGCACGACGTTGAACCCTACCGCAACTTGCAGGAATTTCCCCCTCGATTAGACCATCAGCATCATTTACATGCTGGTGCTTCAGGGAGTGTTCATGGTTTGCCACGGGGATACACACCAGGGATGACGCTCGAGGATCTCAAGAAGTGCGAGGAAGAGTATCGCGCTAATGGCGGTCCCGAGGATGGATTACTGTGTTTGAAGATTGTGAAGCATTCAAGGGTCATGCTGGGGACTTTGGATGGAGGCGTACCGAGAATTGAGTGACGAATTGAACATCCATCTCGCAAGCGAAATTGGTATCATCATGGGTTGAGCTGTTTGCGGACGGATCAGAATAAAAGTCAACCGTGGACCAGAAAAGTTTTGTCTACGTTGCCGGCAATGTCTCTCTGATTGAAAGCGAATTTGACGGCCCTCGCAGTCTTGGATTTGAGAACTAGACTGTCGTATGTGATGTTTCGCCTCCAGAGGGGGACCCGTGAACACTCTTTGCTTCTAGCCCGTTCCCGTGCAAGCGCACTGTGTTTATTTATATGTATACCCAGGAAATGGCTGACCAGAAGCATGGCGCCTTGACTGACTGGATATCGTCAGAGGCGCGAAGCTACTGGCGAAAAGCCATGGCCTTCTTTGTGGCTCTGCTCTCAAGCTACGGGCTATCAAACATTGGCACTTACTTACATGCCTCTCTCCTCTTGTGCCATTCTGGCTCTCACACAAGAGGGATCTAGCGAGCTATTGCAGCTGCTGCGGAGGCCGGCGTATTGTTGCCGACAAGGCCAGCGCTCCTTTTACCTTGCTGGCTCGAGAGCTGGACGAGGTAAGGCTCTGCATCAGGTCAACTACCTCGGTGCAACTCGGTTACCGCGACCACGCACCGAGTCAAGGTTGGGCTAGTCATGCTGGGGCCCATATACATATCTCTGCCAGAACACATCCATGTATACCGAGTCCATGCGTGTCGCGCCATCCTCTGAGTGGCCCTTTCTTGTGCGTGTCTTGGTCATCTAACTTCAGACCGGCAAGATGAACCCAAACCCGACAGCAAAATCCGGCTCGCGCCACGAACTCGACGACACATCGCTGAGCAAGTATCTTGCCGATTCGAATACTATTCCGGGATTGAAGGCGCCTGTTGTGTCGACGAAAATTGGTTATGGGCAGAGTAATCCGACCTACTTTCTCGATGATGCTGCGTACGTTGAGTCCTGTTCATTGCCCCCCGACCAGCCTGTGCCTATTACTTGGATTGGTAGCCACGATGGTGTGGCTGTTCTTTGCTGGTGTTCTGTCTCCATTCCTTTGTGGATTCGAGGGCAGTAGTATGGTTCTCCTATTGCATCTTGGGCCAGGCCATCTATATATTCGAGGGCAACCATGGTTATCTACACCGTCCCGCGGCGACTTGTGGATATCGAGCATACCTATTATACATCCTTCATTCGCCATCCTATACCATTTGAGTTTCTGCTTTCTCTCTCGTCCTTGGAACTGACGCTGCATAGAGGCACACGGTTCATCCTACGCAAGAAACCGTCTGGGACAATCATCAGCCCCGTCGCTCACCAAGTGGATCGCGAATTCCGGGTTCTGAAAGCCTTGGGCTCGGTCAAAGGGTTTCCTGTACCGAAAGTCTATACGCTTTGCATGGACCCGAGTGTCATTGGGACGCCGTTTTATGTATGCCCCTATCGACTATTCTCCTGACCTCGGCGTCGTCCGCGGTCCGGCGACGCAGGGCACGGATGTGCAGGGCTGACTGGTGCGATGTTTAGGTTATGGAATTCGTGAAGGGCAGGATAATAACAGATCCCGACTTGGGAGAGCTTTCACCGTCGGATCGAAGAAAGGCGTAAGTCGTTACCTGCCCGGAAAGCTGTCCAGGCTGCTGCCCTTCGCTTGCGTGACTCCTCCCAGCTTCCCTTGTGCGCCTCTGTCCTTGCACACACCAGCTGATTGAAGTGCCAAAGTTGGATCTCTCTCGTGGAAACCCTCGCCTGGCTGCACAGCATCGACCCGGACTCGATCGGCCTGTCCAACTTTGGCAAAAAGCAGGGGTTCTATCAACGGCACTGCAACACGTTCCAGCGCATAGAGGCCCAGCAATCCAAGGTCAAGGACATCAACACGGGAAAGGAACTGGGCCGCGCACACGAACATTACGACGAGATGGTGGATTTTGTCCGGACCCATATGACCAGCGACAGGTATTCGATCGTGCATGGAGATTACAAGTTCGACAACGTGGTAAGTTTGAGGCCAAATCTAGAGAGAGAGAGCCTGTGAGGCCAAACATCCGCGTGAATAGCGGTTCCCTTGTTGTATCTAGATTCCTCAACGTCTAACCACGCCGGCGCGAACAGGTCCTCCATCCGACTGAACCGCGCGTCATCGCCATTCTCGACTGGGAACTCTCGACCATCGGCCACCCGCTCATGGACGCCGTGTACGTGATCGGGCCGTTCTGGAACGAGATCACCAAGGCCGGCCACCCGGTCTCCAATTCTAAGACATCCTCACCGACAGCCAACGCGTTCCAATCCTCCCCCTACGCGCCGGCCAACCGCGCCCGGTCCGGCATGCCCGAGCCCGCGGAGCTGCTCGACCGCTACGCGCGCATCACGGGCTTCGACCCGCGCCGCGAGGGCACCCCGCCGGGCACGGACTTTGAGATCGCCAAGATCTTCCACTACGTGCGCGGCGGGACCATCTCGCACGGCATCCAGGCCCGCACCATCAGCGGCCAGGCCAGCAGCGACTTCTCGCACGTCTACTTCGAGAACACCCGCAAGAGCCTCAACGCCGCGTACCAGATGATGCAGCGCCTGAAGGAGGGCGATCGGCTGGGGAGCCAGGCCGGGAAAGCGAGGTTATAGTAGATGCTAGTGGTCTTTGCAAACATCGACAAGTATCTACCAAATATCTACAAGTAGACGCGGAAGATTTAGGGGACAGGGGGAGAGGAAAGTGGCTGGCCTCGAGAGATTGGCAGATAGGGGGCGGGCTGAGGTAGAGAGGGCTCTGACATTTGTGGTTCAGTTACTGAGGTCTGAGCCAACCCTGAGATTAGTGAAAGGAAGAAAGTGAGTAGAACGAGGCTGTCTGGGACAGGTGTCGGCCGAGGACCCATGTGTATATGCATGTATATGTCTATCTGGACTTCCTCATGTCTAGTTCCAGCGGCATAGATACCCCCACAGGCATAGACGCCCACACCAACACACTCCCTCTCCCTCTCCCTCTCCCTCTCGCTCTACTTCCGCTTCCTCCCTCCTTTCCAACCTCCCCTCTCCCTCTGATTATCCCCGCCTCACAACTTCGCCCTCCCATCCCCTTCCGCCCCCGCCTCCTTCTCCGCCTGCTCCTTCAACACCCTCTTGAGGATCTTCCCGCTGGGACTCTTGGGGATCTCGGCCACGAAGACCACTCCGCCGGTCAGGGCCTTGTAACCAGCGAGATTCTTGCGGATGAACGCCTTGACCTCGTCCTCCGTCAACGGCGACTCCACCGGAGACGAGCCACTGTCCGCGCTCGGGCGGCGGACCACAACGTACGCGCGGATCAGCTCGTCGGCGTGCGGCGCGCGGCGGCTCGCGGGCCGGAAGCCCAACACCGCGCAGTCGACGATGCGCGGGTGCGAGAGCAGCACGGCCTCCAGCTCCGAGGGGGAGACTTGGAAGCCCCGGACCTTGATGAGTTCCTGCGCGTCCGGAGTTTGTTAGTCGTAGGGTGTTGACACAGGTACAGAGGGGTTGTTTATGGGAGAGAATAGACGGAGAGAGAGCGAGACGGCAATGGGCAACGGGTGGGTGGACGCTGGGAGCATTACACACCTTCTTCCGGTCCACGATGTACCACTTCTTCGTCTGGCCGTCGCAGTACAGCACGTCACCCGTCTTGAAGTACCCCTCCGCGTCGTACGCCTCGGCGTTCGCTTTGGGGTTGTTGAAGTAGCCCCGGATGACAGTGGGGCCGCGCACGCAGAGCTCACCCTGGACGTCGTAGTCTGTGATGTCCTTGCCGTTGTCGTCGATCAACCTGCGTAGCGCCGCATTCAGTTAGTTCTGGTATGAGATGTATCAATTATGATTAAAAGAGAAAGGTCCCCAGGGAGAGATAGCCAACAGAACTCATTGGGGGCTGTCTCTCTATCAAAATCAAAACATTGGGGGAGATGGTGCACGAGGGAGTTCCCCGGGCACACCCAGTCGCGGGAATATCACGTACTTGACGTCGGTGTTGGGTAGAAATCGACTCCCCACGCTGCCCGTCTCGTCCTGCTCCGGGTGGAAGAACTGGCTGATGGTCCCCGTCGTCTCGGTCATGCCAAAGACCTGGGTGAAGCTGGCGTCCGGGGCGCACAGGTCCCGGAACTTGTTCTGCGAGGCGGCGTCCAGGGGCGCGGCGCCGCACTTGATCTTGCGCAGCGACCGGAGCGAGTAGCGGTGGCGCAGGGGGGACATGATGATGGCGATGACGAGGGGCGGGACGATGCCGATGTTGGTGATGCGGTGGCGCTCCAGCGCGGCCAGGAACGCCTCGAGCTCGAACCGGCGCATGATCCAGCACTGGTCGCCCGTCCGGAAGGGGCAGGCGTGCACCAGCGGCACCGTGGCGACGTGGAATCCCGGGAGCGTGTACAGGTTGCGCACCGCCCACGGCACGGGCGCGATGTCGTGCAGCATCGTGTGCCACGACGTCGCGTTGTAGTGCGACTGCATCGCCGTCTTGGGCAGGCCCGTCGTCCCCGACGTGTTGAGCCGCGCCACCTCGGTGCGCTGCAGCGTCTCCAGGTCCGTGATCCGCACCCAGTCCTCCTCCCCCTGGTCCAGCAGCCACTCCCAGCTCCGGAACCCGGGGGGCACGCGCTGCTGCGGCCGCGTGTTGAAGATGAAGATCTTGTCCCGCGCGATGCCCTCCAGCTCGGCCGCCTCCAGGATCGGCCCCAGCACCTCCGGCTCCACGATGAACATCTTGACCTGTGCCGTGCGGATGTGGTGCCGGATCTCATAGATCTGGTAGGCCGGGTTCGTGCCGCTGGGGGTATGCATGCTTCAGCATCGAGACGAAAGCCGGCTATAGCGACGACAGGGATAGAGAGCTCTCTGGACCACCAGGGCTGTCTCGTCCAGACAAACTCCGTTTGCCCTCTTTCTTTCAAGAAACACAAAAACTTACCTGAAAATACCGCCAGCCGCCACCCCGCCGAGGAAGAGCATCGAATACATGATCTTTTTTTTTGAGACATCTTCATCAGAGCCTAGGATCTGCCAGGGAGCTAGAATGGGGAGGAGAGACGATTGTGCCGACAAAAGTCGTTGCTCGTTTTCATGCATCGAACTCATTTCAGCAGGGAAAAAAAACTTACATCGTTGAAGGAAGCAATGCTGAAACAATCACCCCTCTTCAGCCCAGCCTTGCGGAATCCAGCCGCGAGTTTCCTCGTGATGGAGCGTCCTTGCCGCCATGATATCGTGCGATTGGGGTTTTCTAGGTCGTGGTAGATCTTTGGGTTCTTATGTTAGACGAGAGACACCTCTCTTTGGAGGGGGGGGGGACGAGAAGAGCTTTCCAAGAACTTGAAGCATTGGGCGGTAAAAGGAGATATGGTGGGACGGATGGAAATAGCACTGACTGGTTTATCAGGGTCATAGGCACATTCGTCAAAGACGAGTGAGATCAAGTCTTTCTGAGGAAGGGGGTAAGATTCTTGACTGAGCCATGGCATCTTTGCTGGACCTGCCTGCCCGGCTGGGTACTTGCTGGAGATGGCTGGAGATACGACACTCAAGCGCGGGGAGAGTGTTTGTAAGAGGCTGGGGGCAAAACCTTTTGGTTACGAAAGATACCTAGCTGGAGTATACTGTACCTAACTGGCCCCATAGGGTGGTGGGAAGGGGATCCTTCAACCGGAACCTTCATAGGGGAGACTTGATTATTAGCCACGGGTTCTTGTGCTGAGTCCGACTCCCTGACAGAGCTGCCTGTGCGGTGTGTCAACCATCTTGACATGGGCGCGTCCGGGGGTGCCGAGGATTTGTTCGGTAACGGATGAGCTGGGAGGGAGGATAGCCTTGAGGTGGAGGAAGAGGAGTTGGAGGGGGGCAAAGTAGTAGTGGCTCGGTAGCTTGTGGGATTTCAGGGGCTCCGCTTGGGGGGAGGCGAAAAGTGTGGGGGGAGAAGGGCTAAGTGATCCTCCACTAGCTGGGGAAGAATGTAAAATGGAATACTCATTGTTTCTAAAGAGAGCGAGAGAGAGAGCGCAAGAAACGTAGAGAGGCAGACCAAGATGGCAACGTCAATGAGCTGTATTATTTGCCGTAGTAAGCAGATTTCCCTGCGCCTGCCTAGGACTTTGCAATGACCGTAGATACTCGATAAGTGACTATCCAGCCAGCTATGACAGCCTCGCCTTCAGCGGCGAAGAAGCATCTCTCAGCTCAACCGCTGCCTGCGAGATCACCACCCGATCCCCAGCAAGCTGTCTATACACAATCTTCCTTCCTCCATCCTCCCGCCACATCTCAGTTCTCACCACCTCGCCGGGAAACACAGGCTTACTCAACCTCAGCTTCACGTTCTGGAACCGACTGAAATCCCCCCCGGCGAACGTGTCGATGATGTGCAACACGCCCATCCCCACCGTGCAGGTCCCGGTCAGGATCGGGCCCGGGAAACCACCTGCTTTGGCCACCGCGGGGTCGATGTGTAAGGGGTTCAAGTCTCCCGAGGCGGCGCGGTACAGGGCCCCCTGCTCCGGCGAGGTTTTGTATTCCACCACCGCGTCCGGTTTGCGATCTGTGGGCGTCGGGTGCGTCGCCGTGGCTGCACCGCGCGGTATGGGTTTCGTGGATGCCCCTGCTCCGGGGACTTTCATGACAAACGATGTCCACTCGCTGTAGCATATCTCCAAGCCGGTGGCGGCGTCAACGGTGGTGATGCCCACGGCCACGGTGACGCCGCTGCGGCGATCCACAATATCCACCACTCGGGCAGTGGTGTTTAACGTCGCCTGTTTGGGAAACGTGCCTTTCATCTCCAGATAGTGCTCGCCGTGGACGTGGTTGTGTGCCTGGAAGTTTGGCAGGAACTCCATCATCCCGTACGTGACTTCACGCATGACAGAGATCACGGGGAGCGTGGCGAACGTCGGCATGGCCGCGAAGTCTGGATGTGCTTCAAAGCATCGCGACAGGTCGGTGCCCTTGACGCCTAGCGCGATGTTGTAGGTGATGATGTTGTTGGGAGTGTAGCTGCTGGTCACACTCCATGATCGCTTCTTGATGGCGTCAACGTCGATTGTCGTCGCCATGGCTGCTCAATGGTTTGTGACGAGAAGACTAGGATCCGTCTGAGGATTAGACTTTTGTACACCTAGAGAATAGTGTACATGCACAACGCGTTTATGTATGCCCGAGGCAGATATAGGCGAATCGTCTGCCGAGGTCAGCTCGGGCCTTGGAAATGGATGGCTGCACAACTCACACCGTCTCGATGCAGGCTGCTCTTTGCGGAATGAAGCTCATGGGAATACCGTTGCCCCATCTACAGGCGCTCGGGCGAGGGGTGGTAGTCATCCTTAGGAGAGCTCAACTTATCCAGGGCAATACACCCAGCAGCAACTCCACAGCTGGTTTCTCCACGGCCAGAGCCTTGCCCATACAGCATACTTTCTGCGGGGAAGCGGGGTCTTACCACATCAAGATAGCCTTGCTTCCGAGGTCCACAGCACAAGTCCTTATGGTCCTCGAGTACTCAAGACCCCCAAAGTATAGAAGAGGTGTAGAATGTGTAGATGAGAGTGCCAGATATCCGTACAGTCATCGTCGTTGTGACCGGTAGCATTCGTTCTCTTCTTGACAATTAAGTGATCGTGAAAACAGCTCACCTGAAAATGACCACCACACCCCCATCCTACCAGACCGTCATTGCAACCAGCCTTTCACCGGGGGCACTACTGCTGGAATACAATCAACCCAAGATCTCCAACGCGTTCACCCTCCAACAGTACCACGACCTAGCCGACGCGCTTCACTGGGCGCGCAATGCCCCCTCCATCAGGGTGATCGTCCTCACCGGCAAGGGAAAGCACTACTGCGCGGGAAAAGTGCTTCTGCCCCCGGGCCAATCTGGACCGACGATCGAGCAAGAAATCGAAGCAGGCCGCAAATTGGGGGAAGAGTTACAGGGCTACCCAAAGGTGCTCATTGCCGCGGTCCACGGTGCCGCCATCGGATGGGGATGCACCCAACTGTGGAATTTCGATCTGGTGTATGCGTGGGAGAAAGCGGCAGTGTTTCAAACGCCCTTCATGAGTCTGGGATTCGTCCCCGAAGGGGCTTCAAGCTGGAGCTTCCCCAAGGTCATGGGCAAACAGCGAGCGAACGCCCTGCTACTGGCGGCCGAGAAGCTGAATGCGAGGGAGATGTACGATGCGGGCATGGTGACCAAAGTCATTGGAGGTGACACGGTTGAGGCCTTCCGAGACGAGGTCTTCAAGATTGCAAAGAGGATAGGCACCTACAGCGCCGAGAGTCTGAGAATGGCCAAGGCACAGGTGAATCGGCCCACTGTGTTGGCAGAGCAGCGAGAGGCGAGCATGTGGGAAGCAGTGGACCTGAAGGTGAGGCTGAACAGTGACGAGGCCAAGGCGGCGATGAAGGCCTTTATGGACAAGAGCAAGCCGAAGCTGTAGATAGGTCTTGATGGATGCTGGTCGCAGTTTTGCACGAGGCCGACCGGGCTGGCGGCGGTGCCGAGGCAGCCTTGCTGACATAATGTGATACGGCGGAGTAAATGGCTTCCCGATGCCTCGAAATTTATTTTTCTCAAAATTCTCAATTGCGGTGGCGGAGACGACTGGGTGCGCCCACATATCCCTGCACCAACCTCGCTTCCTTTCCCTCACTTTGTACGCAAAAGGGAAAGCACATAAACGACGGTCAATATGAGCAAGCATAAACTTGACGACGAGGCCGCTCTATTGGCCAAGCAGGAGCGGAAGAGGAGGAAGAGAGACCGCAAGGAAGCCCTGCGACTGCAAGATATCACACCCTCTTCAACGGACGCTACAGCCAACTCAACTCCAGCCCCAGAAGATAAAGTCTCCGACAATGCTAAAGCCAACGGCAATACCGTCAACAAGCCTGTATCAGCTCTTGGTACACTGCGACAAGCCGAAGTCGATAACTTCTTGAAAACACAATCTGTGCAGATCTTCGACCCACAGAATACCAACGTACAACCTCTCCTCGCCTTTTCACACCTTCCCCAAGAGTTGGCCTCTCAATTCTCGAGCATCTTCTCCTCCTTCCAAAAGCCCTCGTCCATTCAGTCTGCCGCTTGGCCCTTCCTGTTGTCCGGTCGAGATGTGGTTGGGGTGGCGGAAACAGGCAGTGGGAAAACACTTGCCTTCGGGTTGCCTCTTGTTGTCCGTCTCACATCTCTCGAGAAGAAGAAGGGAATCAGGGCTGTCATTGTCGCACCCACGCGGGAACTGGCGATCCAGGTCTTTGAACAATTGGACAAGCTCAGCAAAACAACTCAGAAGCTCAAGGCGGCATGTATATACGGAGGGACCAACAAAGACGAACAGCGCCGCAGTTTGCAAGGGGCGAATATTGTCGTTGCAACTCCGGGTCGACTGAAGGACTTCATGTCGGACGGAACGGTCGATGTATCTAAAACGAGGTATCTGGTCCTGGACGAAGCAGATCGGATGCTCGACAAGGGCTTCGAAGACGACATCAAACAGATCATTTCCCAGATGTCTTCTTCGAAGAAGCGACAGACCGCAATGTTTACCGCCACATGGCCGAAGTCGATCCGCGAGCTGGCGGCAACGTTCATGCAGCAACCGGTCAAAATCACCATCGGCCGCGAGGATACCGATGACTCGGGAGAATTGAGGGCCAACACGCGTATCGTCCAGAAAGTCGAAGTCATTGACGGCTCTGAAAAGCAGCAGCGTCTTTTGCAGTTGTTGAAGCAGCATACTGCGGGCCAAAAGCGCAACGATCGCATCCTGATATTCTGCCTGTACAAAAAGGAGGCTCTCCGGATTGAGAACTTCATCCGCTCGCGGGGGTTCAATGTCGCCGGAATCCACGGCGACATGTCCCAGTCCGCACGGATCAACAGCTTAGAATCGTTCAAGTCCGGCGCCACGACGCTCCTCGTGGCTACCGACGTGGCAGCACGGGGGCTGGACATCCCCGAGGTGAAACTCGTCATCAATGTAACATTCCCCTTGACCGCAGAAGACTATGTCCACCGCATCGGCCGCACGGGCCGCGCTGGCAAGGACGGTCTTGCAATCACTTTCTTCACCGAACAGGATAAGGGCCTGGCAGGCTCGCTGATCAACGTCTTGAAAGCTGCCAAGCAAGACGTTCCCGAAAATCTGTTGAGGTTCGGCACCACGGTCAAGAAGAAGGTCCATAGTGAGTATGGTGCCTTCTATCGGGAGGCCGAGGAAGGAGAGAAGACGACCTCGACGAAAATCACGTTTGATGATTAATGGAAAGTTTCAAAAAGTTGATCATTTCGAAGCCTCACGTGTTGATTCCGTTGAAGAGGGTTTCAAGAAGTCGGGAATCTTTGCAGCGAGGCGTTGCGGGAGGATAGATTCGAGGAGCTGGAGGAGGAATTCGCGCTCGGCGATGAGACTAGAATTTAGACGGACTCGTTAGACACGGGAGAAACTTGGACGACCATGAAGACTAGAGGTTCAGACTCCCCAACAAGAAATGCCGAAAAGAGTGCGGAACTCACATGGTAGAACCCAAGACCACCACGCCACTGATCCAAGCCCCCAGAAACTGGAGATCCAACTGCCCCTTTCCCGCCTCTGGTGTCGTGAATGAGCCGCCCATTTTCAGCCCGAGCATCACCAGCAGCGTGACAGCGATGGTCGCCTTTGCTGGCACCGCATCCCTGACCATCATCGCCTTTGCCCACCCCTTTTGCCCGGACTCGTCCTCGCGTTGGGTGAGCCAGGCTCTCAAAAACCACGAGCTCCACAAAATCCTCAGGCCCATATTCACCATGTTCGCGCCCACGAGGCCAACGCTGCCCGTCCCCCACACCCTCAACATGGCCCATGCCGCGACCCCGTAAATCCCCGTGAACACCAGCATCCAGAGACTCTGGCTCCGCAGCTGCGCCGGCGAAGCGACGCTTGTGACGAATGCGTCGAGAATACCGTTGAGCGCCATGAGTGGGATGTAGTAGCAGTAGGTTGAGAGGAGAAGAGATGTTGATGGGGTGCGCCATTGGGGGGAGAGGACGTAGGGGATGAGGAGAGGGAGGATTTGGGGTGCCAGACTGATCATGGGTAGCGAGAAGAGGAGGTAGACGTGTAGAGTTGTGAACAGGTAGGATAGGCCAAGGCGGGTATTGGTGTTCTGGTCCGAGGGGTTCGTCTTTGGCGAATTCAAGTCCAACGGTGGCTTGTTACTGCTCGACGAAGATGGAGAGAGAAGTCGTCCGAATGTATTTCGACTACTCTCTTCCACCGGTTGGAAGACGAGGCGTGCTAGCAGGCCGCCATAGTTGGAGGCCAGCGCGAAGGCACCTTGATCAGCGAGAGTGGAAAAGAAACTCATGATCAGAGCGTCGCCTTGAGTGAGAAGGAGTTTGAAGATAGACTGCAGGTACATGGTCGCTGCGAGCGAGAGGCTTGACTTGTGGAAGAGCTTCAAGTAGTATGTTTGGTCTGACCCGGGCAAGAGTATTCGTTTCGGGGCGAGGCTGAAATTGTCGGCTCTCGATAGTTTGACCGTTGGCAGGAAGTAAAGAGCCAAAAGAGTGAGGGCATATGCTGTCTGTCCCACGGCAAACGGTAATATCGAAGGAGCGAGGCCCTTCCGATGTCCCAGCACCGCAACGATGCAGGCCGAAAGACATCTTACCATAGCGGCACTGGTCTCTGCCCGTGCCCTGTCTGTGTACAGACCTTTCTGCTGGATGACAACGAATGCTGGTTCGGCAAGTAATTCAACCAAGGTTGCAGCTGCATAGATCTGGAAGGATGGGTCAAAGTAAGGGCTGTCGAGAACTTCATCTGGGGCACTCCGTAGATACGAGAAACCAAATAGTGTCGAGACACCCAAACCCAGGAGCACGGCCAAGTGGGAGAGGTTGACCACAGTTTGCGTCTCCGTTCCCGCGACCTTTTGCTCTTGTTGTCCAGCGGAGATGTCATCTGATGACTGCGTCGATGAGCGCGGCCGTTGCAAAGCCACTCGAAGACTCTCTCGTGCGAAGTATAAACTTGTTACAGAAACGAGTTCGAGCTGGACCGAGATCCCCAATAGCGATGGAGACAGAAAGCGAAGAAGGAATTGGTTGCCGACGAAGGTGAGCGCTCTTGAGGCGACTTGGATCAAGATGAGCAAAAGCGTGCCATTTCCTGCCTGGGGAGACGCTTGTGTGCCTGACATGGTGAAGTCTTGAATTGAAGTAAAGCTGGTGGTTCAACACACTCTGCTGTTCGGTCGTCGAAGGGCGGTCGACCCCACGTAAGGACGGGCTCCTAGAAGAAAACGGTCAACTGAATTCAGCAAACATGCTTTCAGGCCCGGCTCAAGGACCTCGTAAAAAATGCGACGCCAGCGAGGATCGGTCTTGTTGAAGGGACGTTCAAGGATCCCAAGCGAGAAAACGTGGCCTTTGCATGTCTCCGCTGAGCATTGGTACTGGAGCAGTTTCTGAGAGAGCTGGAACAACGGATCTAGCACCGTTCCCAGTATCACATCGCTGAATTATTAAGATGCATCTTCAGTGTACATTGATGTAGTTGTAGAGGTTGTTCGGAGACTGACATTATCAACGAGACAGGAGGAGCTCTGTTGGCGGTAGTCTGCCATCGCTCCTCTACCAGCGCCAGCACACCACAACCATCCGATCAAGCTTACACTTCAATGCATGCCGAACTACATCAAGAATGGAAGTTCATCTGGTGGCTCGGAAGTCTTCGCAAAGCCTGTTGTTCTCCTCTAGATGCACCTTTGCGCCATAGCCCATGTCCGCCGCAGTTATGCCCGGTTGGATGGCTTCAGTCCATGAACAAGCCTGAGATGGCAATGATGATACACGTTCAGCTTCTTCCCGGCAGCAGCCCTTCTCATACCTCGTCCACGTCCATCTTCTCCACGACGACCAGGCTATCCGAGTCACTTCCGCTGCCAATCTCATGCACAGTAACATACCGCCCGATCTCCTCCTTTGTGATCACCTTCTCATTCAGCACCGCAGTCGTGCCTCTTGCAAACTTATAATTGCGCTCCTTCTTTACCCGCTCGTTGGGTTTGATGTAGTTCCGCATCAGCTGCGATGGTTTGTCCTTCTCAATCACACAGACGTCGACATTGCTTCCTGAACCCAGATCATTAAAGATACCGGCCAAAATCGCTTCCGAGCAGATTTTGATGGCCTCTTCTCTGTTGCAGTCTTTTTTCCACGTCGATTCGAATACTGCCATGGCGGCAAGCGAACCAGAGCCCATAGTCACGTAGGGGAGCTTGTCTGTTGAGCCGTGAGCGTGTACGGTGAATAATCCCACTCCTGTAGGATCAACACCCGCAACCACCAGGTACGCGCCGATGTAGCCTTGGTATCTGAAGAGATGCTGTTTCAGCATTGTCATCACCGTGACGACTCGGGGTGTCCGGCCCGTAGATAGGGAGTGTAGTTCGAGATTGGAGGAGATGAGGGCGGTAGTGAATTCGGTGTCTGCTGCAGTACCAGCACCGGCGCACCAGATGTTGGGAGAGATATAATGCAATTTCTCGCAGTTCTGTTCAGAGTCAGAAAGGTCAAAAGATTCTTGGGGGCGCAGCTGTGTGTAATCGTACCTTGTCCGCAACTATAGGTCCGCTCGTTGCTCTTGTGTCTGCAGCTATCTATCCAGATTGTCAGGCTTGCTCGAATCTAACGTGGAATTGGTGGAATTGGATTGTTCACTTACCACCACGCCATTGTCGAATATGCACCCTACAATAGTTGTCCCTGTGCTCGTTGCCTTCGGCAGTGGGACACCTCGTGCATGTAAGGCCGCGTTGCGATTGTAGTTGCTAAAGTCGAAGCCGGGCATGTTTGCGGCAGAGGCGCAGAGCCTTGACTGGGGACAGTAATGTTAAGAGACCACCGAGTCGGTTTGGATTTGATGTGCACGGATTGAAGCTGGTAGGAGAGCGTGACGATGAAGTTATGATGTCTAACCTAGATGTCAAAGAAGAGATATGTTGTGTGGACAGGGAGAGGCTTGAAGGGACAATTGACTGTTGGTCTGCTGCAGACCGGAAGGCAGCTTTCGTGATGCGCAATACTTGACGACGCGGCGGCGCGAGATTCCGCCGCTTTAAAAGAAGTGTTCATACTAGCCCATTTTGGCGGACACCGGACAGTCTTGCATTTCTCTAGCGACATCACGCCGAGTGTTCTACCCTATCTAAGTATCTAGAGTCAAGTTTGCATTGCTTGCGACTTTGGCGCTTGTGGGCAGTTCGATATGCTGCTGGAAGAGGCACTGAGGGCTAAGGAAGGTATTTCGTCCAACAGACACCAAACACAGCTTAGATCCAGCTTGTACCCAGACTGTTCAGGCCTTGGATTCCACAAGCTCGTGCTCGTGCACACCGCTGGCCTTCTCACCGATTGAGCCTCGCTTGCGAAGTTCATCTTCCTCGTCTTGTTGTGCGGCCTTTTCCATCTCTTCCTTCTCAGCGTCGGTGGCGCCATAGAAGTGGATGGCCACCTGCTCGCCAAATTGGGCGTTGATATCTTCCTAGAATACGTGTCAGTGAATAGTCAGGTAACAAACTGATCGTGTTAGAGCATACCAAGCTTCGGCCTTTGGTCTCGGGGCACATGAAATAGACGAAGGCAATGTGGAAAGCCGTAGGGATGATCAAGACCAGGAAGAATTTCCAGCCGATATTGTTCAGCGCGATAGGACCCGCGACGAGTAGGATGATGTCTGCCAGATAGAGGCCGCACATACCGACAGCCATACCCTGGCTGCGAATATGCGTTGGGAAGATTTCCGATCTGTCGCCTCACATTAGTAACTGGGATTGAGACCTCTTTTTGGTCCCGAACCAAGAAAGACTTACACATAGAGGAATTGGCTGGCATCCATGAAAGTCGACCAAAAAGGTGTAATGAACTATAGATTAGAGGTCAGTCAGACGAAGGGCACCGACTAGGAATGCAGGGCGCTCGATGCAGATTGCTGGGATAGAGCCCATCGAGCGTCTGGTGAACCAAGGACTTACCAAGAATATAAAGAAGACTCCAAAATCCAATGCCACATGGTTGGTGGTGCCCAAGTAGGTTGCTTGGATGGCAATTTCACAGATAAGGCTAACAAGAATACCACTCAATCCGATGAGCATGAACCTCCGTCGGCCGAATCTTTCGACGAAGAAAGCGCAGAAGATATTACCAGGGAACTGCATGTATCCGTTAGCGTGTGCCGATATCAAGAGACCGTCCGAGAGCAACCAGCTTCTCTGAGGCTAGGAGAGTATCTCGGGAATCAGGGAAACTTACCGTCGACAAGACCCACAAGGCACTGAGTAACAGTGGCCAATATCCTGTCATACCGAGTTGGGTGTAAAGAATAACCCCATAGTTTGCGATGATCAGGACGCCCGTGAACTGATTGTTCCACATGAGCAGGAAGCCGACGAGAGCACGTCTCCGATTTGGTTTTGTCTTGAACACTTCCCATTTGGAAGTCGTGGCTCTGATCTGATGGTCCAACTCAACCTGCTTCTTCATCTGATAGTACTCTTTGCGGGCAAGAGAGTCATGGGGGTCATCCTTTGACCTATGCAGACGCTTGATCACTTCATGGGCTTCGTCAAAGCGCTTTTGCATCATGAGCCAACGGGGACTGTATGGCAGCCAGGGAGAGCCCGCGAGCAGGAGGAGAGCGGGGACCATCTGGAATGCAATAGGAAACCGCCAAGGGAAGGATGATTCCGATCCGCTTGCCGAAACGAAGTATACCCCAAAGCCGATGAAACCGGAAAGAGTGTAGCCCATAGCGAACATAACTCCCTATGCCTTGTTAGTAGCTGGCCAGCGTTTCACAAGCTGTCTGGTAAGCGCTTACATGCATCGAGACCATGAAGCCGCGGCTTTCTGGCGTTGACACCTCTGCCTGGTACATGGGAATAGCGGTCACCAAAGCACCGATCTATTATGTGGTTAGCAATGTCACACCGTAAGGAAATGATGCGAGGATCATGAAGCATTTGCAATGCCTGCACAGATTCTCCAGAGACTTACACCCAAGCCATTGATGACACGGCCAACCATGAACATGGCATTGTCCACTGAGCCTGCGCAAATAGCTGCCCCGATAACAAGAATCACTGCTGCCACTTGGATGGTGTGCTTGCGACTAAATTTGTCGGCGCAATAGGCACAGGCCGCTGCACCGATGGCAGATCCAGCAGAGTTCACACCTAGCAAGACGGGATGTCAGAATGTTTTCCTATTCCTGTGCGTTGAGTTTGAGAGCTTTACCATTGAAAGCACCGATATATTGAGTGGTACGACTGTAGCCCGGCTCGCCCTGAGGAGCAAGGTGGAGAGATCTGTAGAAGCTGGGCTGTCCTATGGTAGAGCTTCCTTTGTGTTAGTTCGGTAACTCAGAATCAAGTGAGCGCATTCTTACCCGATGATCGCCATTCCATAGGAACAGGACGTCGAACCCAGCGCGACGAAGATCACGACCGCCAGGTTAAAGGCATTGGGGATGAGTTTCCCCATTGTGGGAGAAAACGTCTATCAAACGTTGATATCCAAATACGAGCCTGCGAGATTCTTCTGCGAGAAACCGCCTTTGGACCCTAAGATAGAGAGAACGGAGAGCCGCCTGGCATGATCCTGGCACTACGAGGGGGCTTTATACAACGGCGTCAGGCTTGCTGATGGCAAGCTCCGGATTTCAGGACAAGCGAGAACATATCGAGTGGTCTGAACTGGTCTCCGAGTTTACGAGAAATAGACACACACCGTTTGTCACAAAACCCTAGGCATCTAGTCCTGTTGAGGAGAGGCTCGTTGTTTGATTGGATATCATAAGATGCCTTCCTGGTCGAACTTTGAGAAGTGGCCGGGGCTAGACCTCTGAGAGCAGACATGTCAGGTCATTTAAACCATCTAAACTCAAGACAGAAGGGTGGCGACGAGGACAGAAGCGAGAGCCAGGCTCCTGGATGCGATAGGCAGCGGCTCTTGGCTCAAATTTCACCCTCGGGCTTGGGCCGGTGGAAGTGCGGGGAGCAGTCGATGTGGTCTCGAATCCCCCGGGTTTGCGGGGAATCACCGAGGTCGATTTCTCGAAACAGTTAGGGAAACCCGCAGGTGCTTTCTCGGAGCCTAAGGGCTGACGATTGTCACTCTGGCAGTGACCATGCCATGACAATTGAAGGGGTGTTTGACTTTCATGTGGATATTGAATATCCTCGGGTAGATAAACCGCCCTAAAGAAACGCACTTTGTTCAAGGCAAGACAGATGGCGTGAACAGACGATTGGTTCGTGCGGAAATTGTAAATGGGAAATGTCCCATCTGACCTCGAGTCGACGGAACGCTTGCGCCACGTGTTAGCGACCTCGTGCAGAGGCCCCTCTACAAGAGGTTAGTCCTTGCAGATACCTCGTCGATGTTCAGCCGAAACCCACCCCGGCGGTACCGCTCGAGACGTCCTCACGTCCGGACTGCGAACCAGTAATATCGTTTTGACCTCCGATCTCCCCTCGAAGCTGGCCTTCCGGTGGATGTCCCCTCCGTGTAAGGTTTGCAGTTCATGGAGAGCGTGCGTGGGGAACAGAGCCAGTGGGGTAAGACACTGCAAATGGTAATGGCTCGGAGACTCCTGAGACGAGGAACTTGTATTGTGCGCATCAGATACACGAGGTGTCTGAGTCAGAAAAAGGGGAAAAATGGAGTTCATTCTCCGTCCGCATGTGCTGCCCACTGTTGGAAGGTGTCTTGGACAGGTTAAGATACTGTTGAGACGCTGTCCAGGGAGTATTAACCTTCTGAAGAGAAATGAGCGAGGGAAATATCATCGGAAGGGCAATACTGGGTCCTGCATTTGGGCATACTGAGCCTCGTGACAAGATGGGCTTGCCGGGAGCAATCCAGGAAGTTCACTGCAATCCCTGTAATCACAGTTGTATCTTTGTCTATCGCAGCTGGGATATTGGATTAGATCTTCGTACTTAATATGGTGTCTCATGGAACAATTTCGACCCTCATCTCTGTGCAGAGCTGGGGACGCAAGAATCGCGGTGACAACTCCCTTGAAAAAGGACTTGGGACTTGCGGACGCGGAATGCAGCCATGAGAGGTTCTCATTATTACGGACGATTCAGGTGGAAGATTGCTGCGAACAGACACAATCGCACTCGCATTGATCCACCGTAATCTACGGCCCTGCACAACAACGCGATACCGCAATGCACCAGTCGCGACTTTTTCATATTATTTGGTTTCCGCAGGCTGTCGCTGGTGCTTGTCGACAGTTGCGCACTCCCCTTTTTATGCCGTCAGGAGGAGTCGCGCATTTTTCCTGTTGCCTAAGACTCTATGATTGTCCTTCACAATTGCCGAACCCAAGAAGACACCATCGGTTTGGAGGCCCAGGGCACTCCTGCGACATTCCTTTACCTTTACAACTCCAACCCCAAAACGAAATCTGTCGAACACGCATGTCTCATCCCCTCTCTCACCTACTGACGCAAGACGGTCGCTGTCGGCCGAGCTACCGCGACTAAGAATGGCGTTTAGTTTTTCAAATGCCGCGTTAAGCGGCTCAGCTGCTGGTTCTCTGGGTGTCAACGTAAAAGATGGAGCCGAATTACAAGAAATTCAGACAAATGAACTGGGGTTTGCAGCTCTTAATGGCGAGTCGAGAGTCCAGCTCCTTCCGACACCATGGCCTGCGGATAACCCCCCTCCTCCCTCGTCGTCTTTACTCAGTGTTGCGTCAGCCAGAGGCTTGTTAGCTGCCGCAGGGCCGGATGCTGTCTACATCACCTCCACGACCAAGATCCGAGAAGCGTTCAACTCTCCACCACCTGATAAAAGCCAGACACGTCAATTCCTGGCAGAGATCAAGTTGCCATATCCGCGAGTATCTCATCTCGCCTTCTCCTGTGACGAGAGCGTCCTTGTCATCGCAACCTCAACGGGGGGAATTGTAGCCTTTCAGGCTGAAAGCTTGCAGAAAGGCAACCTTACCCCTGCCCTAGAAATCTCCACAAATGGCCAGAACCTCCGAATAGTTGCGCCAAATCCAGTCGCAGAATCGGCGGAGCTATTCGCTGTGATCACCGCAAATGGCGAGCTGATGCTTCTTGACTTAAAAGCCGGGGCTATAAAATCTGGCAACGAGGACAATGTGCTCAAGAGAGGCGCAAGTTGTCTGTCATGGAGTAATCGAGGCAAGCAGTTGGTTGCAGGCATGGCGGACGGGACGGCGGTCCAGATGAAACCGGATGGAACTGTTGTTGCGACCATTCCCAAGTCAACAAGCCTCCCCACAGACTCGCATGTGTCTGGCATATCATGGCTCGAGAACGATACCTTCTTCATCATATATACACCCAACAACACGGGCGATGAGATCCCACCATCAGAATACTACATCGTGCAAAGGGAGAAAACCAACTTCACATTTCAGAAACTTCCCGAGATCCTGCCACCATTCGGTCTACCCAGACTCCCTGCTTTCCACTTCATCTCGAGACTGAGGAATTTCCAGCCTCATATTCGAGACTTGTTAATAGTAGCCGCCACAACCGCTACAGACGTCGGCCTGATCTCCAAGTCGGACCAGGCTTTGTCACAGGAAGATCCAGTCATTTCGGCATTCACTTTCACCACAATCGAAGATGATACGAGACGCGCTCAGCTTCCCCTTTCTGCGACGATGGAGGATACTTCGCCTATCGGTATGATAGTAGACTTGTCCAGTTCCGAAAAGGTTCCGAACCCTATCCCTTCGGACCCAGAAATCGAAGAAACTGCTGGACCTGTGCCATGCCTGCTCATATTGAACAATGAAGGCATTCTGGTGGGCTGGTGGATCATATACAACGAGTCAGTGCGATCAAAGATTACTTTCCCCGGTTTTGCATCTGTGCAAACTGCAAAGGAAGGTTCAGCACCTGCTGTTCAGTCCTCCTCACCGCCTCCTGCTGCCGCCGCCGCCGCCGCTCCTACTACATCTAAGGAACCACATTCTGCCGGTGCTTTCGGACAGGCTGCAAGCGAGGTCTTTGGTGTGCCCGCAGCCCCTTCAGCCTTTGGCGCCTCTTCTGCCAAAACATTTGGGACTTCCTCCCCGATCACGTCTGATAAACCTTCATGGGCTAGCACGGGGTTTGGCTCTACTGGAGGTGCAGCGTCGACACCTGCCTTCGGACGGCCTGCGTTCGGTTTAGCTACGCCTATGGGAGGGACTAATGCTCCCGCGTTTGGGTCAGTAAGTGCTTTGGGAAGTCGAACGTCGGCTTTTGGACAACCCTCGACTTTCGGAGGTACTCCTGCATTTGGTCAGACTTCTGCCTTTGGTACCGCTTCAACCTCTAGTCCTTTCGCAAAAGCCGCAGGTGGCGCAAACAGCGGAGGCTTTTCCTCGTTCTCGAAGGGAGGGGGTTTTTCTTCTTTTGCGGGAGGCACCTCGGCGCAGAGCAGCCAAAGTCCTTTCGGTGCAGCGAGCGGGACGAGTCCCTTTGCACAAGCAACTGGAAATATATTCAGCTCCAACAAGTCTCAAGAATCTCCATTTGCAACGAAGAAAACCGGCGACGCCCCCAGCTCTTTTGGATCGGCGAATGCTTTCAAATTGCAGTCATCATTCCGAGGAGATGGAACAGCGAAAGACGACCTACCACCGCCCAAAGAACCAGGCGGTTTTAGCTTTGGAACCTCGTTTGGTGATATGCTAGGCGACAGCAAGCCCGCACTGTCGCCCACCCACAACAAAGAAGAGGAAATGGACGAGGAAAGCGGACCGAGCGAGGCTGAATCCGACAGAATCCAAGATACGTCGTCCCAGAGATTCTCACCACAGACCTCAGTTAAACCACCTCAGACTTTGGTTACACCTCCCTCCACCCTCACTCAATCCAAAACTACTCCTGTGCCAGCGGTTTCCACCATATTTGGCCCGCCGCAAAATGAGACCACCACCCCGCTAGCTCCAAATCCCACCGCGGTCTGGTCTTTCAACGCCTTGTCGTCCACAACTCCCAAGGAAACTCCGAAGCCCTCTCATATGGCTATGTTTGGCACAAAGAACACAACCCAAGAAACACCAGCTGTCGTACAAAAAGGTGTGCCAGCACCTACTTTTGGTTCTGTAGGCCCACCACCAGAGATCAAGAAAGAGCCTGTGAGCGAGGACGAGTCTGTTGATCGCAAGACCATCCCGGAGGCACCTCTACCGCCCGATACTGTCAGTAAGCCACGCTATGTATCGGGTGAGACTTCGGCTTCGTCGAATACATCGAAAACACCGCCAGATGATGCCCCTCTGCCGCCAGATTTCCTTCCTGTGCCTAGGGCAGGCCAAGCTGAAGAGCTTAATCCGGAACTACCGGATGACGACGAAGATGAGTTCAGCTCAGGCTATGAGGATGAAGCAGAAGAAATCGAAGATGAAAGTGCGGAGGAGGATGTCACTGAAGAACGAACTGAGCATCTGGAGACATCACCAGAAAGCTCGTTCAAGAGTGGCGACAGGAGTCCAGAAACAAGTCCCACAGGTGGATTGTTTACGAAGGTTACTGCGGCCTCCATACCACCCAAGCCTGCTAGACCGCTTTTTGGCGAGGTGGGTGCCGGTCCTGTTTTCGCCCCCCCCAAACCGCAAGAAAGTCCACGGTCGCCGAGCCCTGTGAGGCAGGCCTTCTCAATCGAAGGTCTCCGAGCAGATGCCTCCAGGTCGGTTAGTGCACCGGCTCACCCTCGGTCCATCATTGACCAACGGAAGGCTGAATACCAGAAATCTGCACTGGCCGCCCAGGCAGCGAGGACCAAGGAGGAAGGGGCAGCGAAAGAGAAGGCTCGCCGCGAGGCTATTGCGCGCGAAAAAGCGCAAGCGGAATCTGAGGAGCTCGCACCACTTGAGGATGACGAGGATGAGAGATTGCGCCAGGAGCTGGAAGGGCCTATCACGCCCTCCGAAACACTGGACGATTTCGTCACTTATCAACCCCGTTCTCGCGAAGAGACACAAAAGACTGGCATACCAGCACAGATCGAGCGGCTTTACTCGGATATTAATTCGATGGTATATACCCTGGGAATTAATTGCCGGTCGCTAACAGCATTCCTGCAATACCAGCAACCCGAGGCAACCAATCAATCATGGCCAGCTGTGCTCAAATCCGAGACACCACTGGATGCCCTGAATGACGAGCTTCTCTTGACTGATATTGCTAGATTGCATGAAGGATATACGGTGCTTTCAGACATGCTTGCGGATTGCAGTATTGGGGATTACATCGAGAAATTTGAAGAGGCCCAAGCTCTGATAAAGCGAGAAGTCTTCGACTTGAGAAACAAGCTCATGTCTGTACGTAAGACCTTGCACAGTCTGTCAACTACCGACGGTGCAGGGAGCGCACCTCTTTCTGCCGAGCAGACTTCCATCCAGCATGATCTCCGCAAGACTTTTACCTGTGTGCAGACGCAGATGGTTCAGGTTGAAGATGGGCTTTCCATCCTTCGTGCGAAGCTCGCCCAATTGGCTCCGACCGATGACTCGAGCCAAACAACGGGGGCTTTGGGACGAGCGTCTTCTCGGAAGAAGCCGACTGTGGAAGCCGTGACCAAGACGGTCGAAAAGATGATGACTATGGCGGAACAGAAGAGTGCAGACGTCGACGTCCTGGAAGCGCAGCTCAAAAAGATGAGCGTGTCCTCGGGTACGTCCCACGTCGGCAATGGCGACATGTCTATTGGAGTTCCAAGCACTCCAAGGAGCCGACAGATAAATACCGCGGCGACCCCAGGAAGTGCCGGCAGTGTCTACCATACTCCAGACTCCAAATTTACCAATAGCACCCGTTCAGCTCGAGGTTTCAGAACAAGCCAGACCGGAGGGTTAATCATGATATCGGCAGAAGATAAGCAACGATGGCAGGCCAAGGCACGTCGTCGCAAGGATGTTGCCAACATGTTGAAAGAAGTCTTGGAAGAGAAACAAAAAGGCATGGCAAAGGTCGCCAAGGGATGACTTGGGCGCGAGATCCTGTTCTAATACTTTTGTGACATTAGAGGGATCAAGGATCTGTATCATGGACTATCTTGCCGTCTTGGAAATGAAATGGGATTGCGTCTAGATTCGGCAGTAGGCCCCTCCCACTGGGTAACATAGCAGCGGCAAAGCGTTGGTGTTTGGTAGCTTAGTAATGACGAGAGGCCTCAAGTGATATCACGTGAGACCATCGCGATGGCCGTTGGAGGCGTGGCTTGGCAACGCAATCAAACTTCCCCTCTCGCGCGGTCTGGTGTCTCTTCGAAATTTGTTCGTTCATCTTCCCAACTCGCTTGCCCCCAGACACGCCATCACCAGCGCCCCCATCCCCTTGTCAAGCTTGCAACTTCTGCGTCCTAAGGAGGCGTCGATCGTCCCTCGATCATTTCAACCTCAACCCTCAACCCATCTCCTCATCCTTTTAGGCTCCCTCTCTACCTCGAAAACACCCTTCGCCGGTCCTGTTGCATTTCTGCGCCGCGGTACCTCCCCCGACCCTCGACACCTGAATTCTTCTACAGTCTCTACCTGCGCTTTCCAAGCTCCTCTCTTCTTGTGCTGCGGAATCTGTCAAACGTCTCCCTGCCCATCATTTCCGATCCCAACCCTGTGTCTCATTCTGTCTCGTCCTCCCTCCAACGATCTTGGGCGTCTGAGTTAAGTACAGATTCACCCTTCTGCTAGATACGGGAAGGACAGAGGATCAGGACCATCTTCAAAAGGCGTTGCTTTACTCAAATCCATCCTCGCACACACTTCCTCACCCACCATCACCATCACTATCTCCTCTACGACTCCTCCGTTGAGCATCTCGCACGTCCGCCCTCAGTTTCACCTCCACACGTCCTTTCTTGCACCTCATCGAGCCATTTCAGAGCACACAGCATATCTCTCCAGTTCACAGCCAACCCCAGCACGAACCTGAACCTATCCTCTTTCACACTCACAATCTTATCCCTGGCGTTTCGCTCTCGCATTCGCAGTTCGACCCTCTCCCCTACACCAGCAAGTTTTCCTTCGACCACCTCTTGGTGTACATAAAAAGAATTATCCCAGAGAAGAAATAATAAAAAAGAAATTTACCTGCACACTGTCTCCCTGGGTAACCCCCTCGATACACGCAATATGTCTGCCTCACCCAGCTCCCACGCCATGTCTTCAGCAAAACGCCCCTTGGAAGATCCCTCTTCCCCTTCTGCCCCGACTGACTTACCGGACGCCAAACGCCCAGCGCTAGACAAGGTGGTCAGAGATGATGCTGCCGCTGAGGGATCTGCTGCCACTAGCAGCGGACTGGTCGAAGGTCCAAAGCCCACTGAAAAGCACCCATTACCAGCACCGGTTACAAATGGATCAACAGATGGACACGTTGAAGGCGCCACAGCAGTGGGAACCAAGGGAGCACCAACCGTTCCCTCGCCAGACACGCAGTCGCAAACTGCTTCCCAAAACGATCGAGCCACGTCTCAGCCTCCATCTATGCCGCCGCAAGATGAGACCAACTGGATTCATATCCGTGCGGTCATTTCAAGTGCAGAAGCTGCAACCTGTATTGGCAAGGGCGGCGAGAATGTCACGCAAATCCGAAGACTTTCTGGTGCCAAGTGCACCGTGAGCGATTATTCCAGGGGTGCTGTTGAGCGCATCTTGACTGTTAGTGGTGCTCAAGATGCTGTCGCAAAGGCGTTTGGCCTTATCATTCGTACCCTGAACAACGAGCCCCTCGAAGCTCCGTCCACCGCGCAATCCAAGACCTACCCACTGCGACTCCTGATCCCCCATATCCTGATCGGCTCCATCATCGGAAAATCTGGCGTGCGCATCCGAGAAATCCAGGAAGCCTCGGGAGCTCGCCTCAACGCTTCGGACTCGTGCCTCCCCCTTTCCACCGAGCGCTCTCTGGTCGTACTTGGCGTCGCTGATGCAGTTCACATTGCCACGTACTATATTGCAGTCACCTTGGTTGAGCAATTGACGGAACGTTTTGGTGGCCCTGCCGCGTCCGCTTATGCCACAAGAAGTGGCGGTCCGGCAGGAGTTGTCCCAGGTGGTATGCAGGTTGTGCCATATGTGCCCCAGCCGGCCGGCGGTCAATATGGCCACCCAGACATGTATAAGAGGCACAATACGCATCCACCACAACGAATGCCTCCTCAGCCCTATGGCGCACCACAGATGCATGGTACTCCCCAACAACCATATCCTCAATTCGCCCAGCCGTACGCAGGAGCAACGCCACGAACTCCGAGTTATGGGGTCGGCCCACAGCAACCGGCAGCGTATGGGCAAATGCCGCCTCAGCCTGCTGCTGCTCATGGACAACCTGCCCAGCCAGCACACGCGATGCCAGGACAACCAATCACGCAGCAAATCTTCATTCCCAACGATATGGTAGGTGCGATCATTGGCAAGGGTGGCGCCAAAATCAATGAGATTCGGCATCTCAGCGGAAGTGTCATCAAGATCAACGAGCCACAGGACAACAGCAATGAAAGGCTGGTCACCATTACCGGAACGCAAGAATGCAACCAGATGGCATTATACATGCTGTATTCGAGGCTGGGTAAGTCTGACTTGAAACATCTAACCCCAATGCGAATGCCAGCTGACCTTATGAACAGAGAGCGAGAAACATCGGATCTAGATGGCAGCGGAAGAGATCGTTCGCTTGGCATGGTAGCAGCTCAAATCTTCTATTCTGTGTCGAAGCTGCCATTTCTTTCGGGCTTTCGAGAGTGGTGAATAATGTGATGGCTTACAGCTAGTATTTTTATGTGGTTCGGGCCAGGGCTGCCCGAATGAAGGATTGCCCATGCGTGATATTACGAGGACCAGATGCAATCTGGGAGTAGGACGCTTTGGTCAGGCGTCATTAATTTCTTCCAAGTCGGGAGGATATCTTCGAGGCATGGAAAGAATGGAGCTATTTGGAAGCAACAGATGGACCAACCTTTCTGCTTTGTTCCTGGCTTGATGAATGTGTACCATTAATAGACTGCAAAAGTTCGTTTCTCAGTGCTTTGGGATTGCGTCAATCACAGTTGTGGTTAAATACGGCTCGTTGTCGTTCCTCGGTGTCATCTTTTCATCTCTGGTTGCAAAGAAGGCCTCAAGGCTCCCCAAGGCTGACCTCAGCCCATATGAGTACATCCAGATGTGCCAACTGTCGTAAGCTGACCCAGCAAGGTGCAATTGAGACCGTATGACTGCCTCGATGGAGAAACAACATAACATGGCAACGAACTTTCTGCTTGAGAACATTAATGGATATAAAAGACTTGTGGGTCGGAAGGGGGCTCGCAGCCTCACTCACGCCCGAACCCCTTCATCTGGCCCATCTGGAATCAACGGCCATAACATTTCCGAACGACACGAATCTTTCGCATACGAGGAGGTCAGCCATTCCGAATATGAGACTCGGGAACTCCCTCGCCGTGGCGCTTGTGGCTACTATGACGAACCACACGGCCGCCGGAACAACAATCTCGCTCGGCCACGATGCGGTCAACAACTACGCCTGGCTCACGGGCTCTGAGCCATGTAGCCCCGTCGTCGTTTCCGCGTACGGGGCGTCTTCTGAATGTGGTGTGGAATTCGACATCGACATCGCCGGCGGAGACGACGAAGACGACGTGGCTACATATCGCCTTGAGCACTGCGGAGAGGCGACTTTCCAGCTGCAGGAACACGCTGGGGGCGATGGGTGGGCGTTCACTGCGTCCTGTGAGCCCGCGCCTCAAGGGGATGGTCGGATGGATTGTTCCTCTTCGACGGGCAAGGGAACTGTGCTCGAGGAAGTGTGGAGGTGTGGGTGAGAGAGTCAACCGACTATGTGCATGGCGGGAGAGAGGTGGAGGAGAGGAAGAGAAAAAAAAAAGGGGTGGGTAGCCTCGTCAGCTGTCCGCGAGGCGGGATGTTGATGCCTCGCCTCGAGACGAATCTCCCTGTAACCACGTTGACATCTGGTCATGAAATTGAGTATCAGGGCATTGCCCATCGATATAGATTGCTCCATCTTCCACCTGCTGACCCAAGAAGTGCGCTTCATAGTACCTGACCATTTGGCGCAACAACAGAAGACAGAAATCTCCATCATATCGGAGAGCAAAGACTGCGCACGATCTAGGATCCACGTTCCCGTGGTCAATAGACCTTAAATCAACGGACAACTAGATAATGGACATCTCCACCTCACTCCCGTAGGCAAAGAAAACGTACGACGAGTCCAGGTTGAGCAAGAGAAACGCAGGCAAAACACAGCAGGCTGCTTCAGGAGCTCTGCAAATTGGTCGATCATCTTCTGGGAGCCTTCTGTCTTGCACGGACGTACCAATCCTACCATGCTGACTCCAGCATGATCTTCAGGGAATTGAACGCGGGGACTTGTTGATTGTTCGATGGACTAATGAACATGCTTGGAGGTTTCCGGACTAACCAATCGCTCAGGATGTCGGCAGGTTAGTCTCTCATTATGGCTACTCGCACCAGTGAAATCCATCTTGTTCTGAGCCTGCTTACCTTCTACTGCATTCTGGGTAGGTGCAAAGCAGTGTGTTCTCAGATTCGAGTCACGTAACCATGGAAAGACCCAGATACGGTGCTCCATCTTTCTCCCATCTCTGATTCTCGATGCTCCACTCATATCCTTTGCCGATTGGTTCCAGAGAGTAATAGTCACCCAGCTGAGTTGATTGTTCTTCCTGCCCGCGATAGACGCTCAGGACATCATCGGCTCTGAGGGCGAGGTCTGGTGACCCGGATGTAGAGCCTATCTGGACCTTAACCTTCGGAAGCCAGCCTTCTGGATCGTAAGACACATCCATCAAGGCGACGCCGATATAGTCACATTCGATGAACGTTTCCGTGGTGTCTTCCACGCGCGGGAGCTGAGTCGGTTTGACAACCAAACAAAACCTTTGTCGACGATAGCATGTAAGAACCAGATATTCGGTCGGATGCTGGAGTGCAACCATCAGTTTCCGCTGGGAAGCGCTGTGCATCATGAAAGGTTCGACGTCGTTTTCACGCAGCGATGACAGAGTCCGCGCCAAAAATGTGCCAGTCAATGAGCCGCTGTCGCTATCAACATCAAGTTTAAGCAGACCCCAGGTGCTATTTTGTAGAATGATAGTTGTTGACCCAGAAAAAAGATTCGAAGGGCACCAGGAGAGAGGTCCACGTTCGACCACTGTGGGAGATCCATGAATCAATATGCCTGCATCGACTTGGCGATATGAGGTGACGATTTGTTGCATTATACGTGCCTCCATGTTGACAGCATCCATGTCTGGCTTCACCCCAGCCAGGAGGCCTGCAACCACAACCCGATCCCTTGGCCAGGAGTTGTTTCGCGATTTGAGATTTCGCATCAGGTTCCGCACTGAACGAGGCTCGACGTTTGTCTTCAGCAGCCTGTGGATGACTTCCGTTGCTATTCTATGACCTAGGCAGTCGTGGAGTCGGGAGGCCAGGACATCTCTCCTCAGGTCTTTGATCAATGGCACTCGGTCGTTGTTGGGATCCTTGAATAACACCTTGACGCTTCGAGATGATACGAGCTCAACAGCTGTCCAACCCCGTGTGAACCACGGGCTCAGCACCAAAGCCAGGCAAGGAGTGCCATCATCCTTCCAGGGAATGTTGACCAGATATTCGTCGTGGACCACGGTATGCTTGGCCGAGCTGAAGTTCAGTTGCATGTCACGAAGAGCTTTCGCACGCAGCTTCGGATCTGAAGGGATTGAGACGGTGTCTCACCAGACACCCACACAGTCCAGGGCTTTTGCCACTTCGCAAAAGTATTGGAAGAGGCACCTGTTCACCACGCCAGGCCCATTTGTACCTGCGCCAGTTCCGTCAGACCAGACATGTGATATGGCGATATATTCTCCGTCGGTCAGAGCAGGTGCGTCGCGAGACGCTGTCGACAATTCCACCGCCTTCCAGATCAACCGATCGGCAGGCTGCAGGGATGTTCGAGGGAAATGTATTGCAGGGCATGAGGAGATGTCAGACCCCCAGCATTTATGCCGTTGCGCAACTCGAGTGCTATCGAGCAATGCAAAGTCACAATGATCAGAGGTACAACCCTCATGGGTGATCGCGCCCGACGAGTCAGCAAAGCTCGCAACGGCCGGTTGTTCCCTCAAGGCGAAGTCCTCTTGATGTCTGAAATAGCGGGCTCGAGTGGCTTGTGTATCACCAATCATGAGCAAAAGGGCTGGTAGGTCTTGATCTTCCCGGGGACAACATGAAATGAGATTGAACAGGCGGTATTTGCAGCTCCCCAACCGTTCAGCCTGGCCGATGGCACTTGTGACGTCCTCTTCATACACCTCGTCCGGGCACCAGAAAGTGGAAGAATGTGCGGCTACCAGGGCCGACACGCGAGAACGATCTGGGGTGTATCCGACGTCCATTCTATAAATCCATTCCACCAGATCATAGATCGTTCTGTCAGGTAGCACGTAAGAGCTCAAAGGAATCCGTTTCTCACCAGACCTCGGATCCTTGAGGCACTGTAAGAGAGATAGTGAAAGATTGATCTTCACCTGCGGCTGGCCATGTTGATGATAGTGACCTAGGGCCGTAAGGTGGCAGGAAATCCACTGGATCATCCAGTCGAAAAAGGCGACACACCAGACTGGACCACGAATGTTTCTTGATAGCAGCGCTTTGTTTGCCTGACAATCTCGACTGAAACATGCCTTAATGTGAGAGTCTTTGGCACAATGGTAGAGCCTCTCAAGTGTCGAAAAATGGTCTGTAAATATTTGGGTGGTATCCACGACCTGAACTGTAGCGTAAAAAGCTGGATTTTTGGAAATCCAATAAGTTGCAGCAGAACGATCGAAGAAAGTGACATACCTTGCCTATCATATTGTTGTCGAAATTAGCACAGGGTGATAGAGACATGGGTGTTCTCGTCGCCGGCGGCAGGCCTTCCAACAGGCTTCCTTCTGCCAACAGCCTCCTTTTGCTGGTCCATTCCATCCAAGCCGTGTCCAGAGGGCTTGGGTAAAACTTATCTCGGCCATCGAGGAACTGTCGAATGTCGGGAGGCGTAGGAGGATCTTGGCTGGTGTCATTGGAGCCCGACCCTAATTCAGCCTCGACATCGCTGCTCTGTCCTAATGAGTCAGTGGCATTCATGCCCAAGGAGTAATGGAGATATTGAACCTCTATCACCCTTATCGCCCTATCCTTAGAGAAGCGCCACTTCATTTCGGGGTCGTATTCGCATGAGATATCAAGTCAAGCGAGGAGTTTGCGCTTATTCCCTTTCAGTCGAAATATAACGCTATTTGTTTGGGGGTGTTAAGACTGTTTGATGAGTTGACGTGATTCTGAAGCGGAGACGTGACGGATGAGGCTCGATATGTCCGAGTGTTCTTGGCCGAAGGACGCGGAAACGCCCAATTAGCCCCTTTGATCAGCAACAAGGCTATTAGTATACCTTGTGCAGAACGCGTCGACCGCTTTCGATGGAGGTTTGTACGACGATATATCATCTTGTCATACCGCTCTGCTTCTGTCTCGATTCTTTCACTCGTACTCTACTAGACTTCCCCATCAACGGGACATAGCAAGGCCCGTTCCGGTGCCCAATTGTGTCTACGAATAGGAACACCAACGGGTTCTATCTAGACGGGCTCGAATCTCGCTTAGTAACGGCCCGTGAATCACTAGTCAACGACTAGTCAGTAAGGCGTCCAACTCACACATGCAGAGAGGCCGGACAAGTTTCGACTTTCCACTATCACAACATTGAGCATCCTATCGATAGCCAAAGCCCTGCCCGAGTCCGCCAGGAACAACTCCATAGTGCCATAAGAATTGTGAGACGACTGCATCCCTGAGGATCAAGTGTGGATGGCAGTTGTGCGTTGTGAGTTCTGATAGCGCTCGAGGTTGATCACACAGACCAAGTTCTTGATTGAACTCGACGGATTCAGCGAATGGGAGACCGACAGATAATGGATGAAATCATGGAGGATGCGGCTGGCGTTTCTGGCATTCAACAGGGCGGACAACCCGAAGGCGCCACTCATGCTGCTACTCTGCGCTTCGCTCCAACCACCGAGGAGCTGGATGACCATGACCTCCTCACAGAGGCACCTCCCAGCCAGGACATCAAGGGAGCATCGGAATACCCAGACAGCAGAATCAGCCCCCAAATGTCGAGGTCGTCAAAATCCATCCGTCTAGAGCCGCCGCCGGTGGTGATGAGGCCACCCAAGGTCAGGTTTGACGGTTTCAGCTCAGCGGCTTTGTCGTGGTTTGCATGGAACCGCAACGAGGAGAAAGATCTCCCCGACTGTGCAAGATCCATGCGTCGGTCCTACTCGTACCGATCGACTTTCCGCCTTTTCGGGTTCAGTGTGTCGAAGGATGTCAGCTACAAAACGTCGGAGAGCGGGATCGTTGCCGCGATGCAGAATGTTCGCCTGGTGAGTAGAACTTCTAGGATAAGACAGTCTGCCTTACCTGGATTGCTGATCTATATCTGTCGGTCAGGGCTGGGGGAAGTCGGAGACCAATTGGGTACGCGACAAGCTTCCACAAGCACGGCAGAGATTTGGTCTTTCCGGTAGCGGGCAGGGAGAATCCCCGGATGAAGAGGCGCAGGACGCCGCCAGCCAAGATCAGAGCAGTACCACGGCGGCGGTAGAAGGTCAGAAGGCTTCGAAAGAGCCCAAACACACGATCCCTCGCATCGCACACCCGTGGCACCTTGACTACTATTATGTGGTCGTCGGCATCATGGGCGACGAGATCGCGCCCAAGGAGACCCTCCGCCGTGTCATGGAGATCGACGGACTGTTCCAGCAGATACGCAAAGCGCACAGATACCTGCGCAATCCCGTTCGAAGGGCGATGTCGCTCAAAGAAGTCTCTGGCTTCGGCATCTACCAGTGCGATCCCAGCAAAGGCTACCACCGAGAGGTGGAATTGGACAGCGAAACGGAGAGCGCGCTCGCAGAACTCTGGCGGAGTTACAACACCCACAAGCTCGACTACGAGGGTCGCTGGCTGCTCTGGATCCACCAGCATTTCAACAACAGCTCCAAGAACCCGGAGGCGGGCACACTGACCCTGGAGCTGCGACTTCGGTGGTCCGTCTTCAAGGTCGTCTTCTGGGGTGTCGTGCCCATCCTGCTGAGCTTGGCTGTGGGCTTTTCGTACATGTACTCGGACCACGGAGAGGTTGATGACGTCGCAGTCGCAGAGGCCGCGTGGGTTATTGCAACTTATATCATCACAACGTCGGCGCGTGAGTGATTCTCTCCCAAGAACCCTTTGCCCTGCAGGGAAACTGACTTGGATCAAACAGTGATCTTTGCACTGTTGGCCGTTATCACACAGCTTGGAGATATTTGAACTGCCTTCCTGTGACCTCTGCGTCATTCGCTAGAGCACAGTATGGTCTAGAACAGATCCCTTCGTTGTTGGGGGCTGGCTATCACCTTCCCCGCTGCCACCATGCACAGACGCAGCCGTCGAAAACAAATCAGTCATGACGATTAGACGTTGACTGTTGATCAGGGGCACCGGCGTTCGGACAGGCGTTTGAGCGAATGAAACAATTAGACAACCTCCGAGCGTAACCTGTGAACCAGAAAAGAAAACGGGTGTTCATCGTGTAGCTACCGCGAATCGCTAGTAAAGACCCTGGGCCTGGCCTTAGCCGATGTTCAAGGAGTGGGTAAGGCTCTAGGTCCTCCACTGAAGCCATCCGCTCAAATCTACCAGCGGCAGTGTGATGGGAAAGTCCACAGCAGCCAACAGCAACGCCAGCAACAGGTACCACCCGGCCATGCAGCTCACCCCAAGGCTTGCGCCGCCAATATAACAAGTAGTTCCCGCGCCACTTCCCCCGTCCGCCAGCAGCCAGAAAGTCGTCGTCAGCAACGTAAATCCCCAGAACAACCCGGCGAAGATGATGACAAAGACCAGATTTGTCCGCAGGGCGCAAACGAGGTAAATCAGACAGAGAACGGCCATGAAGATCATGAAGAAGCCGAAAGAGGCGTTGAAGCCTTTGCTTTCTAAGCCCGCAGTGATGTCTTTCGGGTCAGGCGAGTATGCGCCAAAGGCGTTGAAGAATGGGAGGAGAGTGGCGCCGTAGGAGAACCAGAAGCCGCCGAAGGAGGCGAACACGACGAACGGGAACGTGTTGCCAGCCACCCATTCGAGGAAGCCGCCCAGGAGCATGAGCACGCCGCCGATGAAGAAATACGCCCCGCTGTGGCAGAGGCAATCAGACTTTCTGTCTCGGGAGTGGGTTGGGAGGTTGGGAAGGGACGTGTGCACTTACACCGACGCAGCTCCATTTCCACCCGCCCCTCGCCAGCCCATCAGGTCACAGCTCAGCGGGCTCAGACAAAGTAAGAATCCAACAATAGACAGTGGCGTTGGATTGCCAAATGTTTGCTTCGTGCTTTTGCCTCCTGCGGGCTCTTGGTTCTGTGCCTGCAAGAACATCCGATCGAACATGTCGGCCGGGATCGACACCATGGTGGCGTCTTGGAACGACGGGGGAGGCGCTTGTGGCCTTGGGGGTATGTATTTGGTCTTCTCGTCCATGTAGAACTGCGCCTCAAATGACTGCTGCGAGTATGGTATACTTTGTGGACTGGGCGGTTTATAGTAGTTTGAGTGTGGTGGAGGGAGAGGGCCTCTGATGTCAAAGGGTGCAGATGCCATTCTTGCAGTCAAGATAGGTTGAAAGGTAGAGCAACTGGCTAGACACAAATAATGGTAATAGGAAAGGGTGGTGATTTCAAGGATGGGCGGAGCGACTAGACAAGGACAGAACGTAGAGAGAAGAACAGTCCTTTATATTTCCCCTGCTTGACCACGAGGAAAGCCGCCAGCCGTGCCAGCTCTGTGATATCCGCAGCGACATCCCAACAGCATGCAGAGTCTGTAACATGGCCTGCCTCAGCCTCAGCGATCACCACCGTCCAGAACCAGTAAAAGGACAGGAAGACGGTTTGCGCAAACATTGGCAAAAGTCTTTCATCCCTTGCGTTGGCGCAAGCCGCCCAAGAAGTGTTTGGGGAAGCTTGGAAGTTCTTGGTACATATACACACTTACCGAAACCTTCGCATTGAGTGCTGCGAACTCCGTCGAAGGTGAAACGACTCCGAAGTCTGGGGGACCAAGCCAGCGGGAGAAGGTGGAACGTCAAGGGGTCTCAAGAGAGGCTTGGCGCTCAGGGGCTCGGATAAGCTGAGCATCCCATTGGTGCGGGCCGCAGCCTATCACGGTCTCCATATGTGCGCTGTAGGGCTGCAAGGGGAAGGGTGAAAGTCTGTGGACTCGGACTCACAAATGCTTAGTTCACACAAGCAAGGATTCTACAATGGCTAATGCACACAGCTCAGCTGAACACAGCTCAAGAGCATCGGAGGTAGGCAAACAGACACAGAGGGTTCAGCTCCAATGCCCAGCCCCCTCTTTTCTACACCCAGTCGTCGTTGAAGAGATTCAAAAGGCGTTCCACTGCCCCTGACGATCAGAGCATTTACATGCCTGTCATGCATCCAGGGACATGAGACCCAAATGAACAGAGTCCACGTAGTCAGAGTCGCTTCAACAGGACAGGTTCCTAGACTCTTCCAGATAGACCGGTGAACAGCTCTTTGGCTTCGTTGTAGGCTCCCAGACCTTGTACACAGCAAGCACGCGAGCACACAATACACAAGGATGGGCGATGCGAAAACTGCCGAGACTGAAAACGCCGTTGCGAACCGGACTATCGTCTTCGAGTTTAGGAAAGACAAGCCTTTGTCTTTGCCTCAGGTAAGGAGCGAAGAGTCCACCAAGTGCAATTGATATCTGCTAGGTTAGCAGGAGTAAGCTCTCATCCATGCTGTATGCCAGAAAGCACTGACAATAAGAAGCAGGACTGATAAGCTGTGGGTGTCCCTCCTTGGTTGATGATGCTCGGTGCTGGGGCTACGACAAGCCCTGGCAGCTTTCATGTGTCCCGAAAATGTGCACCTTCTCCTTCGCACTTCATCCGCCCGTAACGTCCGGCGCTGCCTTAGACTGAATGAAACCCAGTCTCAAACAGTCAAAGATCAAGGTTCAGAACCTCACCAGCGCCTGCAGGGCTCGGAATTCGATAGACACATCGACGAAATCTGCCTATCAAAAACCCTTTCATTCTTGCTTCACGAAATTCATTTGCTTCTTGGAACGAAAAAGAAAATCTGAAGTCCGAAATGAGTGGCAGGAGGGATTGCACACAGAACGAACACTGTTCGACGAACGATTGTAGGTTCCCAGGTCGATAGACTCGATACTGGCACCCGGACACATGCATTGTCGACTGCTATATCCCCGTCCGCTGTCACATCACGAGTTCCTCCTACTGTGCTAACCAGAAATCGAACCACTGGGCAATGGCTCTAAGGCTCTCTTCCTTAGCATAACCTGTCAATTGGTCAGCCACACTCAAGTTGAAAGCTCCAACAGCTCCCAGATATGAATCATCGACATACGCTCGTAGGGGTTGTCCAAGTTGCAGCGAAGCGCAAACCCGTGTTCAACACCCGAGAATAGCTGCAAGTTATATGGTTTCTTGTCTTCCTGGAGGATCTTGATGGCATCATTGCGTGCGGCAGTCCCAAATGTGTGGTCGGTCTCGGCGCAAGACAGAAAAAGAGGTTCTTGAAGAGCTTGTGTTAGTCGAGTCACCGCGGAATATGCTCAAGCTATCTTACTCTTAAGCCGCCGGAAATGTGTCTCCTTCAAGAAGGCCGGGTGGGCGAACGCGCCGGCAGTGCAGATGTCTCTGGCTAACTCGTTGCAGACATATGGAGCCCCAAAACAATACCTGGCACAGGTGGTCAAAATCAAGTCAAAGCTCTCATACCACCAAAAGATGACATACCCGACGCACGCATATTTTGTCGTGGGTGAGCCAAACTGAGCCTTTACAGCCTCGACCCAACCCGGCACCACCTCATCTGCGAATGCGATGTGCTTCTTCTTCCATGCTTCATAATCAAACCCTGGAGCAGGGTCATCGCGACTCTTGCGATGCTTCCACACCGGGTCCTGGGAATCCGCATCAGCATCAGAGAGCCGTGATTCCTTGTGGTCGTGGAAAGGCTTACCCCTCGAAAATAATCCAATCCTATACACGTATAGCCGGCATCCGCAAAACCGTCCATGACCAGGAAACCGTTGTTGAAGAATCCCCATACGTCAGGGAAGTAAAGCACGACGTTGCCATTGTTCCTACCCTGAGGAGCCGAGATGTATGTCTCAATACCAGCGACCGTCTCGGTCCGGCCCCTGGGCTGCCCCTCGTGTAGCGTGCCTTTCAAGCAACACTCGCCCGACGGCTTTGCGAGATATCCTTCTTTGTCCGCCATGGGCGCTGTGATTCTGCCGAGCAAGATCTCCTTCGCGACTATCCAGAATGACAACGTTAGTCAATGCCCTTCCCACTTCGAGGATTTGTTTCTTTCGAGATGGCGGGATCACGCAATTCTTCCGACGGCTATTTCGAGCGACGGAAGCCCGTTTCATCCTTTCTCCAACTGTGCAATTCTCCAAGCCGGTCAAAAAGCCGGTGATCCAATCAGAGGCGCAAGAACCCCATCAAAAGTACCTTATACAAGCTTTTGCAGGACGTGTCCCCGCAAGCGGGCATCGCCCGCAACCGGTTATGAGGCATCGAGAGCCATATATGACACCCAGTCATGTGCTCTGGCGATGTCGGAGACGTTGAAGGCTTCAGAAGACTACAATAAGAGGTAGGTAGGGAACTTGGGTGTTTTACGGTTTCTGACACAAGAGGATTCCCTGACCACGTTTGACACCACTGCATGAGGTGTACTGAGTTCGGAAAGACACAATGGCTTCGAACACATCCCACCCACCCTTCCGTTTCGACGGCGAAGTCGCCATCGTTTCTGGCGCAGGTTCGCGCATGGCTGGTAAGACCACTTACTCAGCCTGAACCTCCTTCCATCATCTTTGGCTGAACACCCATTCAGGTGAAATTGGCAACGGGCGTGCGACGGCCATTCTACTCGCTCGGCAAGGCGCCAAAGTCGCCCTTCTGGACATCAACGTCTCGTGGGCCGAGGAGACCAAGCGCATGATCGACGCGGAGGGTGGCATTTCAGCCGTCATCCGCACGGACGTCACAGATGAATCATCATGCAAGGACGCTGTGGCCAAGACGGTCGAGCTCTTCGGCAAGGTGACCATCCTAGTCAACATCGTCGGCGTCGGCGGCGCCATGGGAGATGCCACGACGGTGGACCTTGCGGCTTGGGACCGCGACATGCGCATCAATGTCACCAGCATGGTCCTGATGGCGCGATATGTGGTCCCCGAGATGCGTAAGGTCGGCCGGGGCGCCATTGTCAATTTGTCCTCGGTGTCCGGCTTGCAGGGCGGCAATCCGAGCCTGTTGTACCCTACAAGCAAGGGTGCCACTGTTCAGATGACGAGGGCGATGGCCGCGCAACATGGGACGGAGAACATTAGAGTCAACTGTGTGTGTCCCGGCATGGTGTTCACTCCGGTCAGTTTCTGCCTTGCCCTTACTCAGTTCTTGTATCTCGTTTCTCTCTTCCTTGGTTTATCTGCCCAGTGATCTCTCGGTATTGCTCGAGACATTCTGTCACAGAACCCTGTCCCAGCGACGATGCTAACTCGCCGGCATTGAAAGATGGTAAGGAGCCGTGGTATCTCCGACGACTTGAGGCAGGCCAGGATAAACCAAAACATGTTGAAACAAGAGGGCACTGCCTGGGATGTGGGATACGGTAATCCTTTGTTCTCCTGCATTCTGCGGTGCCTGATGCTGACGGTTCTTCGGTAGCTATTCTGTTCTTGTGTAGCAAGGAGGCCAAATGGATCACTGGGCTGATCATGCCAGTCGATGGTGGCACTACAGCAGGGAAATCAGTTGCGGATAGGCCCGCGCTGGCGGCCGATGTGTTGGCGGAGCAGATGACAGGCATACCGAACAAGGCAGGGCAGTAGGTCCCTCATGAAAGGTTGTGCGCCGTGGGAATCCGATAAAGATCGGCTTTTCGATCAAAGGCCCAGAGCCACCAACGAAAGATATCAGCTCCAGTGCTGGAGAGATGTCACCCCGAAGAGGTCCTCCGAGAATGGCTTCGGCGGCCCGTTGTTGCGATGTAAAGGCATAGTTCGTCACAGTGCTTTGGATATAGCCAGTGGATAGTCAGCCGATCTTGGAACCCTAAGAACTATAGGTCGAATGAACCAAATGAACGACTGGTATCTTTGAGCGCGTGTTTATCTGCGACGGCAATGATAGTTGGATATAGAATTTGATGCTGTCTGTCTCAACGATGATCCATGATGGCCATGCCTCTGCACGCAGAAACCTGGTCATTGCAAAGTTGCAAGAAAACTTTTCGCGGCTTGCGATTTGCTGCCGATGTTTTCATATTACGTGCATGTTAATCTACAAGGACTGGGAGACAGAATGGCTGACATGGCCATAGCTAACATATTTCTATCTGGTGTTCGTTTTGTGTTTCGACGAGGCGATCTCAGCCTGATGCTGCGTTGCCTTGCAGAGCACAAACCTCCGCATTTTTGAATTTGGTCCCCTTGCTATTGACACAGGTGCTATAGTGAACTGGTGTACTGGTATACCACGAAGTCCTTTCCCTTGGTTGCCCTTTTTGCCGTCTCCTCATATACTTCCTTTGCCCGGTCGCCCAGTGGCGTTTGGGCCCTTGCGTCTTTCGCCGCCGTCATCGCCAACCGCAGGTCTTTTTACATCAGATTGAGAGCAAAGCAGCCGCCGTAGTCACGGTTGGATGGTGCCGTATCGAGGATCCTAAGGAAAGGATGATCGATCTCGGTAGCCCAGCTCTTGCCTGTGGCAGTTTTCATTAGGCTCGTCAGAGCCTTCGGGTTCATTCCCCATTGGATGGCGGCGTTGAAAATTTAGGAGGCGGCAATTGTGTTCAATGCAGTCAGCGTGGTTTTCGATACCGTATCGATAAGCCCGATACAATACCTGGTATGAATTGTATAGTATCAGTATTATAATAATACTCTTGGTATCTCGTAACTAGTGCTAATCCAGAACTAGCTTATCTATATCTAGACTAGCGTGTAAGTACTCTCTGAATTCTTGTCCCCACTTAATGGCCTACTCTCTAAGTTTAGCCCCCTAAACTAAAGTATTATGATACTACTAATACTAGCGATACTAGTAATACCAGCTAATACTAGCATTACTATGATACCTTTTGATACCCGGGGTATCGAAAACCACCCTGCGCAGACTTAGCAAGAGAACGAAGAGCAGCGAGGAAAACTTACTTTTCGGCTGCACCAAGACCTCCAGCGCCTCTCCATCCTAGCAAAACCTTGGACAGAGGCGTCAGGGAAAGTAGAAAGCCCACTAGGGCCTTGAGAATTCGATCGGACGCTGAAAGGCTGAGCGGAGTGCCCAGTCCAACTTACAATGGGGTTGGATTTCCGAAGGTCGATCTAAAGTTTGTTCGAGACTCGATTTTTGGGAGACAAATAGATCTCGAATAGCTCAGCAGTGATGGTGAGCCCGCAAGCAGAATGGATTCTTTGCAGAGCATCATCCACGTTGTGGTGGTCGTGATGAAGGTTATAGTCCTTCTCATAAATCGCGCCTTTCAGAGCCTTGTGATACAGGGAGTTCGACGTCGGAATCTCGACATGAGGACTTTCCATTTCCATCTTTGGACCTGAGCGTGGCCCTGAGCCTCGCCGCTTCAACCTGAGCTGCTCCTGCAGGTGACTGAGCATGATGTATGTGTGCCTACGAGGTACATCTGGGCCAGGAGGCCCTGTTCCCGGCACCCGCCTGTATTTGCCGATTTATCGCCTCGGTCAAGTCTAGCCATAACTTGGCAACCGATCCTAGTTGACGTAATGGGCACAAAAGTTCCCTTTCTCTACATTGTACTCCCCTCCCCTTGCAGTTCCGCATCCCCACGAGGACGTCGAGTCAAGTGCTTCATTGCTCAGGCATGTTGGCGCATACGCTGCTATTTTGATGGCAAGGTAGATTTATGTAGACGGGGTTGACGAAGAGCCGACAACCTAGCCTTTTTTTTTTAAACAAGGGCGGCCACTTTCACTCCATGACACAGCTTCTAGGTGTTGGACGCAACAAGCAGTTACAACAACGTCAATGTTCACCAGTTGTTGGTGTTGTCAGCTCGTGCTCTGAGACAAGCCAGGCATCCGGATGCCTCCTTATTGGCAGGAGGCAGCAACAACAACGACGTTGCAACGCTGTCGATTTTGCCTATATAAACCCAGATAGATGTCCTCAGATAGAGAGCTCCCGCGAGAGCATCAATCAGACTCATTCGGGCAACAAAGGTCTGCTCGCAACAGCGAATCTTCAAAAAGGGTCTCTCAATTGTCTTCATAAAGGAAGCACTATCACGAGCAGCACTGCGGCAACTCACTCAGCAGCGGCGGTGCAGGCCTTGTAGGCACTATCGGCGACGATGTTTGTGAAGAAATGTCGGAACCTTTCGCAACTTTGATCCATCTCTAAGTTCCTTGATCACTCTGAAACTTATCCAGGTACTTGAAAGATGAAATGGAAGATCAGGAGCCTTGTACCACATACTGGAAATATCAAAACTACCTAGCTATCTGCTATATTGAACTGCTCGTGCAAATTCAGGGGCATCAAACACTGAAATAAGAGAATGCCGTATCAGCAAGGTTGAAAAGGCACTCCATACTTGTTTACCTAGTAGCTGTTCTCTGGAATTTATGTTTATGTGTGTATGTGGTACGGGGGCTCAAAAAGGGGCTCAAGATGAGGAAACAATACTAATCTGCACTTCAAGACAATTTCAACCATCACCTCATGACATCAAGGCGTTTTGGAAACAAAACCTTAGACCTTTTTGAAGTCGTTTTCGTTCGAGATTGGGACTGGCGCAGCCGGCACAAGCGTCGCCACACTAAGATGCGGCCAGCTCAATTTGCCAAAGTCAAGCGTGACGTTCTGCGAGTACTGAAGCTGCGTATAGCGAACCTTTGCGTCGGACGCCGTGGTGTTCTTGTCCAGTCGAATCTGGAAGGAGGGTTTCCTCACACCTGGCGTAGCTGGGGGCGACACCACTGGCCAGATAATGTTCTCGGGCTTGTCCTTGAGGGTTGGATCGGCATTGATCCGTGGCAAGCTGGCCTTATCGAATACCGGAATCTTGATAGTGTCTTCAACAGTCGAAATCCAGTATTGGCAGGTGACTCGAACCGCATTGGCGTTGGCCGTGGAGGTCCCAGCAGTTTTCGAAACGTGAGTCACTTGAGTAATGACCCCGTTTACTGGGACTTCTTTTTCCCGCTCGGCAAGTTGTGCAATGTT